CACAAAAATAAAGATAATATTAAAACCAAGATCATTCTTAGATCTGGAAAACTACTTCCTTATATAGCTTTCTTCGGTGCCTCATTTGCTTTATGCGACAGGATTAGTTTCAGATACTCATTATCAAATAATCCTAGTAGCCTCAACTGGAACCTCATAAGGTTCCTGAAACAACTCTCTAACTCTGACAGAGGCCACGACGGTTCTATCTGATCTGCAGCTCTAACTATTACTTGAACGAGCAGAGAAAATTGGAGTTAACCAGAACCCCTGCGAGTCCTACTACAATAAATGATTATACAAGATATGTCCCAAAGTTGTACGTGTATCGGATGTGTCGGAAAGTGTGTACTCTTCAGGATCGGTGATCTGGAATCTTCGCTGAAACACTAGCCCCTGTTAAATAATCTCCCCTCGGGAATAACAAATACCAATGGTAATTCTGAGTTCAACTATTATTCGCCACCCATAGTTCTCCGATGTGTCTCAATTATTTCCCACGATTTCATTGATTTAATTTAAAGTCTTTAGTTCTGTCAGGCCAGACTATAATAACAGATTTAGCGTGCCTTACCTTTGTTTTCGCGGCCTTTGCGTAGTTCCTCTCGTTCAACGCTATTTCTGCATTTAAATGTCCGAAGCTTGATCGTTCACGGCTGCGTGCGGCGCAACTCCCATGTGCGACAAACTTGTAGTTCCCCACACCTTTCACTATCTCTCTAGCAAGTAGCATAGACTTCACGTCACCACCCAGTAATTAAATGCCATCTCCTGGGCCTATCCCAGATGAGACACCCCCAGACAATGCTCCTGAGTCTGAGTTTTCCTTGCACTGGCGCCAGTCGCGTGCGTGTGGACGCTGTCGACGCTTGAAGATGCGCTGCGCGTACACGGATCCCTCGCAGCGCTCATGCGCACGGTGCTCCCGGGCGAAAATCGAGTGTTCGCTCATGGATGTGGCCGAAAGTCTGAGATCAAAACGGCCCAAGCCAAACCGCGGCACGGCTTTGGTGAAAGATGCGAGCTCCGCGCTTGCGAACTTGCGTGGGTTTCTCCTGGAAAATACCGATGGAGAGACGGGAACCGATCTTGCGGTTTTCAAAGCGGAATTGGAGTTGATAAGAGGAATGGTTCCTGAATCCAGAAGGGAGATATCTACAGAATTGGAACCCACGTCTCCTAAAGCGAAACTCACCACGCAGCTCGGAGGTTCGCAACTTTCATCTCCTACTGAGGAAACGAGTTTCTCTCCGCTCAGCTTAGCCTCCGCCCGCTCCCGCCATCACCGCTTCCTCGCCCACTTTCTCCCATCCTGGCCGTGTATCACCCTTCCCTACACCTTCGACTTTCTCTTCCACTCCCGCCCCGCGCTTCTTCTCACCATCATCACTGTCACCACTTTGGACGAGCCCACGCTCCACGCGATGCTCAGCGCGCGACTTGAGTCGCACCTCGCCCGACAGCTCACCGTCTCCGGCGATGCTTCTCTCGAAACCATCCAGTGCTACGTCCTTCTCTCGCTCTGGTGCCCGCCACCGGCAAAATGGGGCTCCTATAAGCACCAACTCAACCTCTTGCTCGGCTATACCTTGTCTCTCTGCTTAGACTTGGGTCACGAACGGATAATCGGCAACTCACGAGCTGCTGCTATCCCGAAGGAGTCTCTCCGAGTATATCTTGCGATATATGCTAGTTGTGGCAGCTTGGGGCTCTCGCTTCCACGGTTTAGCGTGGTAAGATGGTCTGCAAGCCATGCTGAGGCCGTGGAGATTCTCGCTCGGGGCGACCCGGAGGACGAGTTTCTCTGTTTGTTTGCCAGATTGGTGGCGGTGGGGCAAGAAATGATGGAATCTGTACAGGAAGAATACGCTCCCTTTAGGAGAGTGTTTCACGAGAATGAGGAAGAAGAACAGTCTTTAGAACCAATAGAGCAAACGAGGAAGTTGTCAGATGGAGAGAATCCTGACAGAGGGCCGTTATTCGGAGAAAGGTCAGACCAGGAAACAAACGGGTCATTTGGGTCTCCCGGTAACCGGTTAAGCAGAGATGCGAATGAATTCGAGCAGGCGAACAAGTCAAAGGCATTCGCCTCGGCTGACCGGCCAATCGAAAACGGGTTCGGTACCTCCTTCGGGGGTTCCACCCAGGCGCTTTACGAACACCGTCTCTACACGTTAATCCACTCTAGCACGCTCTTCCAGACTAACCTGCCACTGTGCCACTTACTTTCTATCATCTACTACCAGTTGTTGATGAGCATGTACGACTCTGCCGTGTGCCGAACCCATGACCGAGCGGCACCAGGCTACAGCGAGCTGCTAGCAAAGCTCATCCAGGCGGGAGAAAAGGTGATCGACTCGTTCGTCCAGGCATGTGAATCTTCCGGGAACATACCGACCTTCTTCTTCTATCGCCCGATGCACGCGTTGGTCGCGTTGATCCGCGCGCGGTTGTTGGTGTTCTCTGAATCGGCAGATATCGAGGTGAACGTCGAGCGTGAGTTCGAGCGAGTATCCGAATCGATGACGCGACTTGGCAAGTCATCGCTGGTGGCGCGGTGTATGACCACGATGCTCGGCAAGATTGAACGCTGGATGCGTGTCAGCAGCGACTTTATCACCCGCGAGTGCACATCGTCGACCTCTCTTAGCGCGTTGTTGGAAGATCTCGGAAGGGAGCGGGCAATTGCCGACCTTCGGGGGCCGCGCAAGAGACCGGGGACGAATACAAACGAACCAAAAAGGAGTACCACGAATGGACCAGATGTGGATACAGATATGGCTACTTCTTTGTTGAATAACGTTATGAACGAGTCCTTGCCGAATAACATTGAACCGCAAAGTGAAGGGAGGAAGGATGAAATGACAAGTCCAAACAGGGGAGTTGAGACTGTAGAAGATCCGGAGTTGGCCAGTGCTCATGTAGACGGAAGCTATCTCGGCTACGTGTCAGATGACTGGCAATTGTTCAAGGAAATCTTTGGGGAGATAGACTTGGACTTTTCCGAGTATCTAAATCAAAGCTGGACCCCCGAATTCGAGTCAATGGTCTAAACATTAACGTATTTTCCCCAATATCTCCATATCCGTGGCACTATTTTCCATATAACCCCCCCACCCCTTTCTAGTCATACCTACTTTGGTTTTTACCTGTCCTTAATACTTTACCAGTATATCGTATATATCCTCCTAGTAGCTAAAAGCAAATCTCTACAATGTTTTTTTCCCGCCTCAAATTTATATCCTTCCCCTCTCACTTTATAGAAATTGTTATTTTAACAGTTTATTGTATATACAAGTGCTAGAAACTATAAACAAACCTCCTAGGCATCGCCCTTGTGTACGGTGTGGTATCTCTTACCCCTGAAGCCGAAGATCTGCTGATTAAACTGGAAGGTCTCGTGGGGGTTCATGTCGTTCAATTCCCACTTGGTGGCACCGTAGAGGTTCTCGGTTGGCTTGAACAAAATGTCCATGTCTTTCTCGTATGTGCTGGTCAAGTGCTGGTAGTCGGTCGCGAGGTCCTCATCATTGTATGATGACACAAAAACAGCGCACTTCGACTCCAACAACGCTGGGATCGACTTGGCCCACATCTCCTTGCACTCTGGCGAGCCGAAGCCCGGGTGGAAGCAGAAGAACACATCAAGGTATGGGTCGTATGGGAAGAAGTCTGTCGCCTCGTGCAACACATGGAAGAACTCCGTGTGGAACTGCAAGGACAATGTGCTGTCAACTCTCTCCACCGTCTTGCTGTTGTTGAGGTAGAGGTATTGGTTCTTTGCGCGGTCAAAGTACGCCTCTGGCCCGATGAAGTGAATCTCGAACTCAACCCCGGGGTGTAACATCGTGAGCTGTTTCCACACAGGACCGGGTAACTGCGACTCTGCGCGCGCACCTAAGATGAAGATACGCATCGGTCTCTCCTTCCAGGTCGACTGGCGCTTCGCGGGGTAGAGCGTGTAGCGCAACGCCGCGAGAGACTTGAGGCCCTCCAAGGTTACCGGTCCCTTCGGTTCCAATGCGTATGGCGTGTACTGGTTCAACACCGACCCAATGGTTAACGGGTAACTCAACATCTTGGTGCTAGTTGCCCGCTGAAACTCCGTGTCCATGGAAAAGAAGCCACGCGTGTAGAAGAACATGTCCCAGTTGATGAAGTTGACCCTGCGGTCAGGATCCTGCTCGTTCGGAAAGTCAAACTCTGGGAACTCTCTCCCGCTTCTGATGTCGTGCTCAAAAACGTTCACCTTGCGCAAAGTTTCGTACTTCTTGGTCGCGTGGTAGGCGGTATCCTTCTCCCAGGCCTCGCGCGAGTGGTGCGTCGGGATTCCCGAGTACGGACACGCGTAGTTGATCGGCTTGGACGTCACCGGGCACTTGGCACGCGCACGGATGGACGCCGCGCGCGTACGAAGGTCCGCACATGGCGACAGGTCCCACGGGTAGAACCGGTTCTCCTCTGTCGGTACCGGCACCGTGAGATCGCCCTTATCGTTAGCGTCCGGCTTGGCCTTGAAGAACCCGAAAAAGCTTCTCTTGGAAGCAAGGCCTGCTGGGGCCTGCTGGATGTGTCTGGAAAGCATTAGGTGAAGAAAAGAAGGAAAAGCGTTTGGCAGTTTTTGCTGGTTTTAAATATCGCACCAGAAAAAGAAAAACCGTGCAGTACGACGCCACGCCGCCACACGTACAAACACCGGTACAATACACCGCAACATATTCCATCAAACAGGGTATAAAGGTAATCTACTATTTGGATGTGTTTGAACCCATAAATTTGATTGTTTTCCTCCGGAAAACCTTCCCTTTAGCGACCTATAGAATGATCTGGAGCGGACGATTAATCCCTGGAGGGTACCCTGGTGTGGCGTCGGTCTGCGATGTACAACTACACGCGTAAATCACCGCCCTAACTCCACATTAGTGATGAGCTGTATCTTTAAGATTAAACGTCATGTTGTGTCAGCGTTGAAGTCGTCACCTGTCATTTCTGCTGGTTATATCTTCTTTACAGTATTAGATTAATATAACGCTTTTACTGTTGGGTTGTGTGAAAAGATCTTAGACGATCGGTTATTGTTTCGATTATCCTTCAAAATTCCCTTGACTACTCACTGTTTTATTGCTGGTTATTCAAGTCCACCGCCTCCTGATTATTCTCGCGAGTTTTATCTTCTGAGACCCCTCCTAATAGATTTTGCTGGCTACACCTATTGCTTACTGTTGGCTCATCTATTGTTTATTGCTGATTCACCTATCGCTTACTATTATTGATATCACTATATCAAGTACTGCTTTAGTCACATAACTGAAAACTTCACATTGGCTTTTGGTTCCCCGAAAATCTCTCACATTTTCCGTTACTGCTAAAGCCATCTTCGGATTCCATATTACGACTTATTCACGTTGAACATCTCGTAATCGTCCCACAATTTTTGCTACCGTTGATTCACAAAATTATTGCATCGGGTGCTATTCCACAGACTATGAATATGCCCAGATCTGTCACGATAAAGACACGTGCCCCCAACCCGAGACACTTCGGGTTTGCTTCCCAGACGTTCCGTGTGTCGCTAGACAACACTGTCGCTGATCTCAAGGAATTGATCTGGCAGTGCTCTCCGGGTCACAGCTTGGTACCTGACTCCTTTGTGGTGAAGTACCCACAACTGTCGGAATCCCCTCTCACTTTAGCCGAGCTCTTGGGCGTTCAGGGTGAGTATGACGACGAATACACCGTCCTGATTACTGTAGACGACTCTCTACTCGTTGCCAAAGACCCAAGACCCTTTATGTTTGATATTACATTGGAGTACGACGGCGAAGACACCATCCGGGAGGCGTACACAAGCTCTGTCTACAGCATCAAGGAGTCGATTTTGGCGATTTTGCAGCGCAAAGACGCAAGATTTACCACGTTGGACGAATTTACTGTTTCATACAGAGATACTGTCTTAGAAGAGGGCACTATAGACCACGTTGTCGGCCTTGACTTGCCTCCACCAGAAGGTATCCGCTTGGTGGTGGTCTCGAAGCTTCCACCGCCGCCATTGCAGCAGCTGTTTGCGCTTCGCGTTTTGTCCACCACTGAGCTAGAGAACAACGTGGTCCAGGTGTGCTTGGAAGACAAGATTTCAAAGATTAAAGACTTTATTCTAGCAGGATTGCCGGCAAAGTTGCAACGCGACAACACTCCGGTTACCAGAGAACACGTCACGGTGATCTACATGGCCCTTGTACGGAGAGATGAGGATACGTTGCAAGCAGTTTTGAACACTGACACCCCTCCGGGTTCGCTTATCTCGTTACACTTTGTCTTAGCACCTGAATATGAGTTCTTCAACACGTCTCCGGTTGGCCCTTCCGTTGAAAGTCACCAAGAGCCGTATTCCGCCGAAATCCCGTTGGAACCGTTCTCGATGGTGCTTGACAACGGCGAGAAAGTGAATCTCAGCGGTAACACGTATGAAATGATCACCACCAGCGACGGGAGGTACTTACTCAACCAGAAAAAAGTCTCGTCGGTTAACTTTGTGGTGACGTGTACAGCCTCTGCTGAGCTCCAGAAAGTCACCTTGTCCTCCTCGCAGTGTTTTGTGGTAAACAACCCGAACCATCAGCCGTACTTGGCCGTCAGTCCGAGCGGATTGAGCAAGTTGCACAGTGCCGGAATTGCGTTGAGTCAGGTCACGGTAAACATCCAGGGAGCGAACACTGGTGGTGATTTTATTGGTTCCCCGACTTTCACCGCGACGCCGTCTCAGCCTGGCGTGAACATCGAAGGGAGTCCTCTGCCTGCTCCAGTTCCTACGCCGACACAAGCAGCTCCGAATACAAATCATGATCCATCTGTTTTTAGGCCGCAGGCTGTTCTGGGTGAAGCTCAGACACCAGGTCGGGTTCAAATCCAGGCTCAAATTAACGAAAACATTCCTGCAAACGACATTCCCGCTAATGAAGTTCCTGTCGGCTTCTTCCAGGACCCTATCCCGCGAGTTCTTCAGGCTTTCCGTGAGAGACGTGAGAATGGGGTCTGGACCGCAGTGGGAAAGGTTTTGTTTGCGGTGGTGCGTGTGCTTGCGGTGATGTTCATCGTGGAGTTGTACTCCGGATTGTCGAAGGAATCGCATGTGGCGTACCTCACGGTATTTACCGTTGCCGGGATTGTCAGTTTCACGCGTCACGACTTCTTGGGGTCTCTCGAGTTTCTCATGCGTGTGGAACCGAACGCGTGGGTCAGGGGAGGCATCGGAATCATCCACGAGAACTGCAACTTTGTGGCGGAATGCATGAACGATGGGTTCGGCACGGTGATCCGCTCCCTCATTGAGGCGTTGGCGTACAGACCGGTCCGGGGGAATATCATGCTTGAGGGCGTTGAAGGATTGCTCAAGGATCTTGGTGTGTTAATTATCAGCTTCGTGCCCTCGTGGTTGGACTTGTTCTTGGCTGAAATTTCTAAACACCAAGCAGAAGAGGCTCGGGCCAGGCGAGAAGCTGAATCCAGAGGTCAAGATGCAGAAGCAGAAGGTATGAATCATGCGGAAGCAGAAGGCAGGAATCATGCGGAAGCTGAAGGTAGAAGTCATGTGGATATTGAAATATCTGAGTCAGTAGAGGAACTTGAGCCCGTCTCAGAAGAATTTGGGCCTCTTTTGAATGCTAACGAAACTGAAACTGAAGGATTGTCAGCGACCGATGGAGCTTTGCGCTACGAAAGAGATCTTGAAGAGTACCTCGAGGAAGAGCCTGTGAATGTGTCCACTTTGAAGAATACAGCTACGGGTTACCAAGCGGAGGGCGAAGTGCGCATTCGTCAAGTGCAAGGCACCGAGGATCTCGTTGATTTAAACAGCTAGGTTATAAATACTGTGAGATAACAAGTACGTAAAGATTGTGAGATGCCATTCCGATGAACGGATTGAATTGTGCAGAGAGTTAGCTAACAAATTAAGTGGCTCGAGCCTTGTTGTTTTTGAGCGGGTGGGCCGTCAATAAATGTTATGTGCATAATCTATACCTTACTGGCTAAAAAAAATAGTATGAGGAATAACCCATCGACAAAAACCAGCATAGCTAGGTATACGTATTAAACTACAAATATGCTTGGTCTAGGGTTTGTTGTAGAGTTAGATGATACATAAATTCAAATAAGAGATATGTTCTGGTAGACCAATATGTGGCGCAGTGTTCGTTCTGCCGGCCGTTGTACAATGCCGAACCGGCCACGAAAGCGTTGAAGGGTTCTTGGAATACGCATATCCAACGCTTTTGTCTTCCGATGTACGATCGTACTTAGTGATTGATTACATAGCAAAAGAACTAGGCCCCACAGCGCTATGCTCGATTTTTTCCTATTCGGGTAACTATCAGGAAAAACCCCTGGATTATACGAGTTCGGAATACCGAGCAGATTACGGTAGGGGTAAACGCAGAAGAGTATTACTATATAAAAAGAAACCAAAACTGTGGCTCATATATGTACAGGATAAAATATTAATGCGTGTCCTGGCGCGTGAAAGAATTAAGGAAAGCCGATCCGTTTCCATGCCTTTTATCCGAAACTCTTGCAAGCCGCGTTTCGCAGATTAACCTTTTGACACAACCTTACCTCTCCTAAACGGCCGGGGGTACTCACTGACGCCAATACACAGTTTCACCATTAGCTAACTCTCCTTAGACCTAGGTAACCCTAACACTGTACGATTTGTATTACGTTAGTTAGCCACACAGTTTGTGGGGCGTCGTCCGTAGATCAAGAAAGTTACCCGGCTGCCTCCAGCCTTGCATGCACTGTGCCACTCATTCTGCATCTTACTAATGTGTACCGCGCCTGGAACCTTGCCTGTGGATGGTAACCCCGATAAATTTCCTCAGATGGCAGAGCCATGCATGTGCGGGTTGCCTCTACTTTGGTCCTATTTTGCTGGGCGGCAGTATAAAAGGAGATGAAATTCCCCCTGAGCCACATTTGTCACATCTTCTCTCCATCAATTTACTAGTAAATTTTACATACACAAACACAATGGCCGTTCAAGTTCAAAGACCAGCTCCATCCTTCAAGAAGACCGCCGTCATCGATGGTGTCTTCGAGGAAGTCTCTTTGGAGCAATACAGAGGCAAGTGGGTCTTGTTGGCCTTCATTCCATTGGCCTTCACCTTTGTCTGCCCAACCGAAATCATTGCTTACTCTGAAGCCGCCAAGAAGTTCGCCGACAAGGACGCCCAGATCTTGTTCGCCTCCACCGACTCCGAGTACTCCTTGTTGGCCTGGACCAACGTGGCCAGAAAGGACGGTGGCTTGGGTCCAATCGATATCCCATTGTTGGCCGATACCAACCACTCCTTGTCTAAGGACTACGGCGTCTTGATCGAGGAAGAAGGTGTTGCCTTGAGAGGTATCTTCTTGATCGATCCAAAGGGTAACTTGAGACAGATCACCATCAACGATTTGCCAGTTGGCAGAAACGTTGAAGAATCCTACAGATTGTTGGAAGCCTTCCAGTTCGTCGAAGAGCACGGCGAAGTTTGCCCTGCCAACTGGCAGCCAGGTTCCGAGACTATCAACCCAGACGTTGAAAAGTCTAAGGACTACTTTTCCAAGGTCAACTAAGCGCCTCACTGTATGATACGCTCCATAGCGAAAACAAGTATATAATTTTAATAGACACAACGTCCTAACGAATTTCTTGTAAGTTAAAATCACCGTCGATTGAACACACCTCCTGTTTTCCAATACTTGCCACACGACCTGTGTCAAACTGTGCATACAAGCGGAAGATTGGCACCGAAAAAGAAAGATTTCGTTGAGGAACGACGGCTGGAGTCCTGAAGTCACATGACAAACGGTTCTCGATTCCAGGGAAGAAACTCTAAATGCACCGGTTGGGCGAGATCTAAAAATGTGGCGTCTTGTGTTTGCAGTTTGTAGCCACCCACATTAAGAGGGATCGTCTTGTCTGACTGATAAGGGAGGCATACAAAATCTTGAGTGGCTATAAATATGGATGCAAAAAAGCGGGTGTTGTGGGGGTATTGATTCCGAGTAGTACTCAAGGATATTTCAGTTAATTACGTATGTTGTCTTTCGCTTTACCGTTGTCCGGAGGGAATTAATTGCCCAGGTTACTATAACAGAGTAATTAGCGTAATGGACGAATTATTCATATTCAGGCTAATGATGCATGAAGGCATATTTTAATGTATAATGGCCGTTTGGCCGAGTGGTCTAAGGCGTCTGACTCAAGATCAGATCTCGTAAGAGGCAAGCGTTCGAACCGCTTAGCGGTCATTATTTTTTTCTCCTGGCCATGGCTGGATTGAATATTTTTCACCCAAAAGTGTATAAGCACTTATTGTGGAATATCTAGTAGATAGGGGATAGTGGACGCTAACTTTCGTCCGGTTAAATAATATTTTTACTATGCATATAGTCGTTATATTAATTGTTCAATCCATTTATTTGCGTATACCAAACTTTCTAGGTTTAGACATAAAGCTATATCTATATAAATCCCCTCCTAATAATAATAGCGTAGTATCACCAACCATATATATCATTAGTATTAATTTAACACCATATATCTACCTGAGTGCGTTTATTCAATTATATATACGCTTATCCATTCAGCTCAGATCAAGTTAATACAGTGTAAATTTCTACTCTTAGAAATTGGGATGCATATGCACTAGGTCTATAGACAATTTCACATAGACGCTGCTGATCAGTACCAAATATTATCTCGGTTTAGCATACTAGTCGGGTGTGACTGTAATCCTCCTCCTTCATCAAATATACTCTTATTGTGGAAATTCAGAGAATGTCCATTTTATCGATTCCTTAGGAGCTAAAGTTACAGTTGCTGACGGCTCTTGTCCAACAGTGAACCAGAAACTGAACCTCGTCCGGTATACAAGCCAGTCAAGTTCATACATGCAGCAAAGTTTGGCACGACGATAGAAGAAGTGGCCAACGATTGTCTCAAAACAACCAGAAATAAACCCAAGGCCAGTCCGAAGTCCATAAGGCAACAGCAAGTGCAACTTTACAATGGACTCAAGTGCTAGAATATTTTTCTCCAAGTTTTTGGTTACCAAACAGGTGTGTCAACTCTACCCCACTCTCAAAGTAACTCGACTAACATTGCTCTAGGTTTTCTACGTACGTATTTTTTCGCCCACCTGGTAGCCAATACTGACCCTTCTAGAAATCAAAGCACACATATGCCTTGGTGAACTTAAAACCTTTGGTTCCCGGCCACGTAAGTACCTCTCATTCCCTACTTGAGGACGATACTAACCTCCCAGGTGCTTGTGGTACCATTGAGACTTGTGCCACACTTGAAAGACCTCACCACGGAAGAGTCAATCGACTACATGTTAACCATACAGTTCGTGCACAAATTTATCCAACACCACTACAAAGCCGATTCGCTCAACTTATCGATCCAGGATGGCCCGGAGGCCGGCCAGTCTGTGCCCCATTTGCACACCCACATCATTCCGCGGTACAAAGCTGACGGATACGGTGACGCCATGTACCTGATGTTGGAGAAGAAAGATCTTGCCAGGGAATTCGGCGAAGCCGCCAAAGACTGGGCCATCAGAAGGGAGATTTTCAAACAGGAGGGCACGTTTTCCAAGGTGTTGGATGACAACCAAAGGACCGGGAGGCTGCAGGAGGTTATGCTAGAAGAAGCTCTCATGTTGAAAGCGGAATTAGAGAAGTATGGTGTGGATCAATGAGATCGTTAATAGGAGGAGGAAAGCCAATAGATCATGTTAGCGTTCTACAAAAATCGTATCATAGTACGATAAACCAACATTGTTTCCATCCAATTGCCTTTAAAGCCTGTAAATATATTTGTAAATGAGACCTTGCTATCTCCAATTTTACCACATGCCGTCAAATTCAACATACGTGTGTACTTGTAAAGGCTCTATAATCTAGGCTATACCCTTTGCCTTATTAATGACATATGCTTATAAATATCACTATTATTTTATCAATATAACCTAGTACCGCGAGCGGCCACACCCGCTTTTCAATCCTATTGGACTAACATCATATCTTTAGCCCCATATTCAGTATGTTACAATTTATTGTGGGCGACTATAAACAAGACCAGATAACGTAGGTTTCCGGAAACCCCACTGAGGGCGCAGATCCAACTGCGGTGAGAATGATAGAGATTCCTGAGGGATTTTTAGGCCGTAGCTTACCTTCTCATCTTGGCTTCAAGCTCTGCTTCGAATCTACGTCTGTTTCTTTCACCGCCGTGCCACTTCTTGCTCTGCTTAACCTCCTGCACGTGCTTGCCCTGCAAATGATTGTGTCTCATGCTCAACATGTATCTTCTCAATCTGGTGTCGATGCCCTTTTGCTTCAACTCCTCGGAGGAGGCCTTGAGGAATTCCTGGAAGTCGCCGAACGCCTCGGCGTGCTCGGCCGCATCTCTGCCGATAGCAGCGCAGAAATCTTTGAAGGTTCTAAACTCCTGCTTCGGGTAGTTTGGTTGTGGACGGAATCTGCTAGGGATCTGCTGCTTAGGTGGCTTGACCGGGTAGTCTGGGATGGTCAACGGACGCGGTCTCTTGATGAGCTCTGTCCTGGTATGGGCGTGGGTGGAGTAGGTTCTGCTAGCCAACACATTTGGGGCGTGGGGGAGCTTGGAAAACACTCTAGACAACATATTAATTGTACAGCGTGCGGACTGATGAGTGCTGGCTGGTTTAATATGGCGACGGAACGCTTTTGTGGTTGGGTCGGTGAAAAATTCTGAGAGCGGGTAACAACATAGCCTGCATACAGTATATATCAACCCATTTACTTGAAGCACCGGGTTTCATCTACAATTGACGCTGATTTTATCTAAACTCAAACAACGGGTTAACCACAATGGCAGATAACACCCCTTTGGATGAATTACAATGGCGATCACCGGAATGGATCCAGGCGTTTGGGCTCCGCACCGACAACATTCTTGAGTACTTCTCGCAGTCCCCCTTTTACGACAGAACTTCCAATAACCAGGTACTTAAGATGCAATCACAGTTCAATGAAAACTTGGGTAGCTTGAATGATGTAACCGAGCGGTTGCGAGAGATGAAGGGTATTGAGTTTACCGTTGCGTATGTTCGTGAGCCGGACTTTTGGATTGTGCGCAAGCAGAAGCGTTACAGCGAAGAGGAGACAGAGACGTTGGCAGACTTTTATGTCATAGGAGCCAATGTTTATATGGCGCCAGATATCCACTCCATATTGTCATCCCGATTGGTATGTCATTTATCTCACCTTGTGTTACATAACTAACATTATAGCTCAGCACAGTGTTGTCCTTACGGACTTCCTTGGGAAAGCTTCAGCAGGTTTCACGTTTTACGCCGTCCCAGGGCCATATTTATCCCGCCGAGCAGCAGTATAACAAAAGTGTGGGGTCCAGACCTAAGACAAATATTTCAACGCCCTACTCCGCCACCCCTGGAACCGTCGGTGGAAGCGCCGCGTCCGTCACGGCCGCAGTAAACGCTGCCACATCGTCCAAGACGTTTGACAACCTTTTGAACATTTCACTAAAGAACAGTACGGTGTATTTGGAGGATATCCCGTTAGCGGGACCGGGATCGACGCGAGCGACGCTTATTAATGAGGCGACAAATACAAACAAGGAGAAGAGATAGCTGCATGCAAATCCAGCGAGCCAGTTAAGCGAAGCAAGGATAAATCCCTAGTTTTCGTATGCCAAAGAGAGCCGAGCTTAGTTAAATGGGAAGATGCTGTATTTTTCATAGAGAAGCGGGCGCAAGGTTTACTTCATCGAGAGTCGAATGACAAGTGGCATGAGAAGCTCAGAGAGCCACGTTAAGCAAGAATATTCAAATAACTTCATGACAGCAAGCCGGGCTGAACGTCGTAAATGAAGTAGAATACATGGTATATATACTATAGTGATATTTTAGTAAAATTTGGTTAAAACAACGGTGCACAGCATTGTTAAGCATACGTATCACTTAGTAGGTAAGCAAAAGCGATCGAAGACCCTAGTACTCACAAGAAACCATGCTCGGTAAAAGTACTATAATAACAGTAGAAAAAACAATTTAAACCGGAACCGCCCCAAGGTCATTCTTAAGGGCCTTTTCACTTTTACAAATATCAATCCATTTAAGCTGTCAAATCGGTAATGCGCCCCTTTGCGTACCCAACCTAACAGGAACTCACCGCGAAAGGCATGCTTTCAAAACAAAAGACCTTCGCGAAAGCAAGCAGAGAGGCTATTTCACGGACAATCCGCGAACCCTCCACTCCGCTCGTTGTTCGCCCCGCCACCTGTATATAAAATCACCCTCTGTTCTTTCACTCCTTTTCACTAATTTCCTTCCCATTAATGATGAAGCTTATCTCTTCCCTTGCTATTGTGTTCTTTACCCTTTTTGCCTTCTTCCAGTTTGGCAGCGCTTCTGCCAAGCCATTGGCGGAGGAGCCTACCATCACCCACCAGGTATTCTTTGATGTCAACGAGGGCGACGAGTTCTTGGGCAGAATTACCATCGGGTTGTTCGGTGACGTTGTGCCAAAGACCGTAGAGAACTTCAGACAGTTGGCTATCTCTGAAGATCCTAAGTTCGGTTACACCCAGTCCATCTTCCACAGAGTCATCAAGAGCTTCATGATCCAGGGTGGTGACTTCACTCACGGCACCGGGATCGGTGGCAAGTCCATTTATGGTAACAAGTTTGCGGATGAAAATTTCCAGTTGAAGCACGACAGACCGGGTAGATTGTCCATGGCCAACGCCGGCAAAAACACCAATGGGTCCCAGTTCTTCTTGACTACCGTGGTCACTTCCTGGTTGGACGGCAAGCATGTAGTTTTCGGGCAGGTCATCGACGGGATGGATGTTGTCAAGGATATTGAGAGCACCAGGACCGCTCGCGGTGACAAGCCGCTCAAGGATATTAAGATTGTCAAGTGTGGCGAGTTGCCTGTTGTCAAGGCCGAGCCAGTCGCCGACGTCGAAGACGTGGTCGATACCAAGGACGAACTTTAGAAAGGCTTGGTAAGAAAATCGACAGAGTAAATTATGTTGGAGATAGTTATGACGTAATATATGTCTTTGTTAGGTATGTTTAGGGAATACAGCTCGGTCCTAAATGCTCTCAATCGTTTAAAAGGACAACCGGTTACATTGCCAGCGTGAAAACTCATTAACAATTGAGAACTTGGCAAATGCTCCAGCAGACCTGTTCATGCCAACTAAAACGTATATTTCTAATTTTTCTAATCATGGACCCACCCATATTTTATAGTAGACCAGCAAACGTGTAAACCGGTATCATCATTTGAAACCGCAATAGCAATTTTTAATACCTCAGAAGGGACATAGAAACACCCCTAACTTTTAAAACGATCAAAATTCTAAAATCTCTCAACTCTCAATCCCTAAACACTCTAATTTATATATTTCCTAAATCTCGTGTTTAGTTTCTTTGAAACTTTCCCATGTTCAACCTAAGTAAATGAGACTCTTCCCAGCGCTCAAAACCCTAACGCTAAACCAACGCAACAGAAGTACAAAGAGAGCGTCCATTCCGTTACTCATCAAACAAATCTCCTGTTATACAATGAGTGTGCCAGAAACCACCAGTGCTTCTGCTGGGGAACAGTCTGCTATCCCTAGAGATGTGCGCTTGTTGCATCTTATTCTCGCCGCCCAGGGGATCCAAAACTACCAGGACCACGTTCCGTTGCAGCTCATGGACTTTGCTTTCCGTATGTGAAATCCCGTTGCCGCTTTAATAGCATACTAACAGCGCAGGCTACACCACCAGTGTCCTTCAAGACGCGATTTTATACAGCGATCATGCTCATGGCTCATCGCACACGTCTCACGCTGGGAATACAGGCTCTAATGCGGTTCTCACCACCAACGACGTGCGGTTGGCTATTGCCGCCAGAACCAACTACCAATTCAAGCCTACGCCTCCGAAAGAGCTACTATTGGAAATGGCGGCCGAGAGAAACAAGGTCAAGTTACCGCCTCCAGTGGCCACCTGGGGACTCCAGTTGCCACCAGAAAAGTACTGTTTGCATGCCAAGGACTGGTCCCTTAGCGACGAAGAGTTTGACGTAAGTTTTTTTTTTTATTTTATTTTTTTCACATTTCCGAGTTTCAAGACATTTACTAACGTGTATAGGATGATGAGGAGCCACCAGCCAAGAAGCCAAAGGGAGTCAACTAGACTACGAGATTGCCGACCGCCACGCGCTGAATATTTTGTATTATTGTATATTAGGTTGTAATTTATTTCTGGTCTGAGGATTTTGTAGCAATTGCTGGGAGTTAGTATAATATTTTGAAAGGGAACCATTATTTAGGTGAATGGGCCGTAACCTTTGAGATTGAAGTGAAATAATGGGGGTAGATTATGAAGGTATAAGTCTATGCGTCAATCTCGGGCCATGCTATGATCGTGTTTATTGCTTAAAAAATCCAGGGCATACAGGTATTAGATGTATTTTATATTACTACAACTTTAACCTATATTCGGTCTCTAGGTCTGCGATTCAAAGGTTTCTAGGTTTCATAGCATGTACTTCGATAGATTACAAGTAGCATACTGTGATGCCGTCTTATAGATCGTCATTGAACTATAACGAAGGGTGTTATCGGTATAAAGTTTGCGATTTTGCCGACACCGGGGCGAATCCCTGAGTAACATTCAATTCCAGGAAATACTATAGCATTATATTGTAGGCTATATAAACGTGAAAAGGTTCAGGCTGTCAGTCATAAAAACATTCAAGCCACATACTAATATCCCAGACCATACCAATAGTATACTCGTATACAACACCTATAGAATACTTTCACTCTATAGCTAGATCTCCAGAGTACTACTCTAAATATGCCATTTTAAAATGCTAAGATTACACTCTAAAGCACAAGATAATACAATCTAGGTCATGATATACACCAAGCTCGACCTACTTAGCTCCTGCTAGACTCGACCCGCAGAGCCTGACCCAGTAAACAAAACCTCACAATGCACGACTTCTTAGAAGCTTCTAAGCTCCATTTGATAAGTACAACACCGCTCGATGTCGTTACACTCCACCTCGTGCTACGCACCCGGTTTATCTAGCTTGCATCCACCCCCGCAAACCCAAACTCCTCAAACAACAGAAACGTATCGTTCATCAATTCCACCACACCCTCACCCTCCGACGTGTACTTTGCAACGATCTGGTTCATCACCTTGGTCACACCCTTCTCGCTGACAATTCCTGCTAATGCCAAAATAAGCGTCGGAGAATACTCAATATACCACCGGTGGTCCCACACGGTCAAGTTTACAGAAAATTCCACAATCTTAGTATCAAGTGTGGCAAGCGACTTGGCGATCTGTGCTGGTGCCAAGGCCGTCTCCTCCCCCGACTGTGACAACTTGACCAACTTGTGCTTCTCTTTCTGGAAGTACTTCAACAAGCGGCGCGTGGACTTGACGGAGAAGCGGCCGGTCAACGCGTTAGTGAATGCCACCGACGCCTCTTTGAAGTGGCGGAGACGCGTCGCAACCAACCCCAACAACTCCCACTCCAACGGCGACTTTTTGTACTCCATGTTCTGCGCCTGGAACTGGAGTAATTCCGTCTGCCACAGAGTGTACACCTTGAGGTCGTCGTAGAGCACCATGAAGAGGTGGTCTAACCACCGCTCACACAAGCGCTTGGTTTTGAAGCCAGAGTCGCCGGCATCGCCAGCAGTGGTTCCGTTATTATCTTTCTTTTGGGTGCTATCCTTCAGATAGCTCTCATTTCCCTCCCCCTTCCGGTATTCCTCCTCCATAACAAACACCTTCGTCCGCACCTTCAACAACTTCTCCCAGCCGATGCGGTGAATTATGTCTGTGAGCAAGTCATAGGCCGCGGCGAATGTCGACTTGAGACCAGTGGCCTGCAAGTTCATCAAGCTTGGATCTGCGTTCAGCTGCTCTTCCTGGATGGCCATCGCGTTTAAGCCGGTGACGGCCTCCAAAGTGGCGTCGATAGGCAACGGCAAATGGAGGTTGTTGCGGTTCACCGGGGTGACACGTTTGAAACTGTAGCGCTCCTTGTTGGCGAACATCGGACACGAGTTGATGGTCAACAATGCCTGCTCGTACTCGCCCATGGCGACGTACACTTTGGTGAGAATCTCCCACGGTCTGAACTCGGACGGCGACGCCTTCACGGCCTGCGTCGCAGCGGCCAACGCAAACGCGTATTGGCTCTTCTCCATCAAGTACTTTGCCTGGAGAATGAGCAATGCCGCGTTGCGGGGGTTGGCGCGGATCCCGTGCGCAATCGTCTGGATCGCCTTGACCTCTTCGTCCTGCATCAAGAGCACCTGTGCGACGATGGAGATGACGCGTGGGTCGCGCTCCTGGAGGCGGTGCAAGACTTCCAACGCGGTGTCAAACTTCCGTGTGACCTCCACCGCCTTCAAAAACGTATCGACGAGGTAGTTGTTGGTGAGAGACGGCACCTGGACGTCGCATGCGGCACCTAGGCGCGGGCCGTCCCAGAACATCGCTTCGAACGCCTGAAAGAAGGTCTCGGCCCCTGTAACAGAAGTTAACGGATTGATTCGTCTGGTTTCCACGACATGGTTCAACTCCTCTTCATCCTCACCCGACGTGAGCAAGCACCGGGCGATGGAACTGATATAGGTCTCGAGCCACAAGCGCTCGGAGCCTTCCACAGGGCCGTTAGCGCCTACCAAAGTGACCTCGGTCGAGCCCGGTACGTGTATGGTGACACGCGCGTCGACCTTGCTGAACGCGTTGAACGCGCAAAACACCGCCTTTTCGATGCTGTACGTCTTGGATTTGCCGAACCACGTCTGGGGTTTACCGTGGAATACCTTGACCACATCCATGAGGTGCGACGCGATGGTTGCAGAGTTGGACGTGTCGACACCGGCCGTGTTAAAGAAGGTGCCGTAGCGGTGCTTGTTACCAGTCTTGGTGAGGTGGACCAAGTCTGCCGGCCCGAGGTCGTTGAACTGCGGCATGAACGCCGTGCGCTGCTCGATGGACTGGTGGAGTTCGTCCTCCAACACCCTGGAGGTTAGTATATGAAGTGGGCTCGTCTGAGATGGAATTGAAAGACTCGTCTGGGTGAATTGGCAGTACTTACTCTGGAATCGATGAGAGATTAATTGCAACCATTGTGTGTGAGGGGTGAGATAGCTTGGGTTGGTAGTGAGGCAAGTTGCGTGTCTTTTATTGACACGGGACATGTTACACACCAGCGCTTACGTCAGCGATGCAGGCTGTGCGAATGATAGCGACACTGGGAGTGTGACAGATCGGGAGTGTACAACAGCGAGAGTAGCTTGTATATGAAATTAATGATATGGCATTGAGCTTGTAATATCTTGGTATCAGATGGTTTAGTTACCAAAATTACCGTAGGAGATATAGAATTAGCTGTTTAACAGGAAAAAAATACTAGCTCAACTTAATTATTGAGAGTAGCTAGTGCCAGACGCTTCAACTGAATGTGCTTCATTTTGACAGAAAATAAGCCACGATTGGAAGACTATTTTAACCTTGTACTTTATTAATGTTAATGCTGGATAATCAGAACAGTTAAATGTATATTTTCCTATGGAGATTTCCGCAATCGATAATCTGAGCGACTAGTTGACCGGGAGTAAGAGTAGCATGGGGTATTTCGTATTTTTTAAGGACCTAGAAGTAAATTTATGACCATAAAATTTGATCCCAAAGACTATCTTTATTAAGTTTTGCGCTTTCAGACCTGTGATTAGGGAACCCGATATACAAATCTAGGTTTCACAAAGTGCCAAACCCGAGGCTGTAAAAGCCACTCTATCCAGATGGTTAAAATTCGGTTACTAACCCAACCAAATTATATATACACTCTGATTATTTTATCAATATATTTTCCTAGTACGACACAGTGTATAAATTCCAAGAAAAATACCCCAGGCTGAGTAGCATCGTCTATTCTTAGATCCCCTTGTTCATGGCCATTCCCTAATACCTTGGCCACACACCACGACCCGGGACACGAAAAGAACTCTTGACGCACGTCTCTGACATCTCTACAAACTACATCAGTTCTTGTCATGGCGACTCTGCCAATACATAGCCCTTCCCATATCAATTATACAATGTCCGATACCACCATCATTTACAAAGAGCCAGTGCTCCATGCAGTAAGTATATCGAGCTGTTCTGTTCTCCCAGAATGCTAACATTGCAGCCCCTTTCCGAGTCCAATCTCGCAAGCATTATAACAGACGCGGTTCAAGAGGATTTCGCGGCGCACACAACCATCCAACGAGTCTTAGAGCATCTTCAGGCCAAATCTTCTCTCCACAAGTTCTTGGTCACCGTATCAGTGGTAGAAACGGCCGGAGCTAACGCAGCTGTCAAGACCTCGTTCGGTGCCGCCTGGGACGAATCCAAGGATGGGACATACACACAGAAAGTGGAGTTAGCGGAAGCGGTAGCAATTGTCACGGTTAACTGGATATACGTGGGGAATTAATGCTGCTAGGTGTTCAAGGAGCGATACGGTTTACGAGTACATATGTAAGGGCGGTAGATGACGAATAAACACACGAAAGAAGGTAATGAAAGGAGTTTAAAGTAAATCAAGCTAAAGGCGTATCGATATGCATAGAATATCTTTCTTAGCTTCAATTGTTTAACTATATGTCTCCTTCGAAGTCGGGCTACGCCTAGCCATCCGATTTAACGCATAAGGAGAGCCATCTAGTGCGGGATATTCCTTTGTCTATATCAGAAATTCGAGCGACTCCATAGATTTCTCTTTGAGCTGAGTATAAGATTACTAGTGGCAATACAGAGCACGACGAGCAAGTCCACTTTTTCCTCATCGATATAGATGAGATACCTATGACCGCCAGGGACAGACTTCATCATAGACAACTGCTCGTGAACCTCGTCGTAGCCCATGTCTTTTCCGGAAATTCGTTCTAAGAATGCGGAATATTCCCTCCAGCAATATTCACCTGCCTTGGGATCGCTTCTGAGCTGAAATTTCCCCCAGTCCTTCTGCCGATCAACCTCGATAAGCTTCCGACTTCTTTCCTCCTTGATTTGGGCACAGAGCGGAGGAAAGTACCGTGCCAAGGGGAAATGTTCGGAGGAAGGTTTTGGATGTCCAATGTCTATAGATGGAGGTAAATTGGCTATCAAGTTTGAAACTTCCTGAGGCTGGTGGGAGGTTGCCTTACTTTGTTTCGTCCCCTTTGGCCTAATGGTGTACGTAACTTCCTTAACACCCAAGAAATCCCACCTCGTTTCTTCCACATCCTGCGGTAAGTTTGACACACTTCCAGGGTATTCAACGTTGGCGTGAAACTCAATAAATGTCGTCTGCTTATTTGATCCGATCCGAGCCACCTCCATGCCTTGAATTTTGTCAAATACGCTCCAACAGGCAATCTTTCGGTGACTTAGGCTTCCCAAAGTCCTGTTTGAAGTAGGCTTGAATTTCGACACTTGATACAAGTGGCGTCCACCCTCGTCTTTTATACTGTATGAAATTTCAGTGATATCACATACCCTCTCTATCTGGTACTTTGAGCAGCGGCTGAAGTCTAGGTGGATGGACTCTGTGGGATCTGTCTTTCTCCTTATTCTTGCCAATTTCCCGACGTTATAGGCAGTGGTAGCTCCGCCTATCACTGCAAAGGTGATTCCTGCAATCGTGAATATCTCCATATTTAGGAAACCGTAGCAAAACGTAGAGCAATACCAACACGTGGTCTTAAACACCCACTTATTGATTTTTTTCCCTAGTAACTAAAGTGAAACTCTTTGAATACGATGGTTGCAACGGACATTGCATGAATGGGCACAAAACTACAACTTGCATACGCATTATAATTTGCATCTACATATTATCTACAGGGATGCAAACGCATAAAACAAACTCATATATAAGTGTTCTGAACTAAAATTTACCTTGCCACCGAGAAACTTTCAGTCTTATTTCACCGATACCCGGTGGCTTCCACTGTGCCTAACTTTACCCCGATCACCGTCATATCTATTGAGTTTTTTCTTGAGCAAACCCTAGAATTACTTCTCGAAGTGACAATGCTACTGATATTACTGTGGATAAAGTCAACAGTCTCAATAGGGTCACATAATAACCCGTCCATTTTACTTTCAGCAATGGTTGCATGCATGTCTAGACCCAAAGGCTCGCCGTGAAGGCTAGTGCCCGATAATGGAGGTGAAAGTAAATGCGATTTTGCAGTTTTGGGGTTTTCCTGGACCATCGCTTTTGGTCTATTCAGTGTGGGCAGTATTTGAGAGCTAAACACCGGTGATAGATCTCCACAAATGGCTTGATGGATATTGGTTCTTTCACGTGGTATAAACTCAGTTCGAGGGATTTCCGACCTTAACCAGGGATGACCCAAAGCTTGCCCAGGTGTCATACGCAGTACCGGATCGGTAACGAAACACAGGCCAATGAACTGTTTTGAATCTGCACTGATATGGTTCCAGTATTCCGGAGGTTCATACATATAGTCTGCTTTCATTATGGCCTCCTTTGTCTCCTCGTCTGTTTCACAGTCGAAGGGCATGTAGCCACACAACATGAAATAGGTCAAAACCCCCAAGGCCCACATATCCACTGGATAACTATATCCTTCCTTTGTAAATATTTCTGGCGCCATGTACGAGTAAGTCCCACACACAGAATACAGGAACTTTGACGGAGCAAGTATTTCAGCCAAACCAAAATCACCAAGTAAAATGTCCGATGCTGTATTCTTAGCCCAGAAGAAAATGTTTTCGGCTTTGATGTCGCGATGAACAATCGACCGGGAATGCAAGTATTGGATACCGTTGACAAGGGACACCACAATTCTTTTGGTATGGCTCTCCAGGAGTGTCCCTTCGCGTTCTATTTTGTCAAAGAGATCGCCACCCAAGGCGAGGTCTGTAACCAAATATAACTCGTCATCCGTTTCGAAATAATCCACAAGTGATAGGAGGTGTCGGTGTTGTATGCCAACCTGCTTCATCGCGGTGATCTCTTTCTGGATGAGACTCTCACGCCCGTGCACCATCAGCTTTTGGATTTTCTTGATTGCATAACGAGTACCGGTGTCGATGTGTTTCCCCGTCACCACCTCAGAAAAAGAACCCGTACCCAACACTGTGGATGATAATAGATATTTGCACTTGGAATGTGGCTTCTGTTTGATGTTCTTCCTTATGACGTTGTCTCTGGAGGGCCAGAGAATGGGCTGGACCACGATAATATCTGTCATGGTTGCTATTTTTGAATGTGGGGCGAGTAAAGGAGGGTTTAAACTAAAAATAACTTGTAATAAGGTGTTAGTATGCAATATCGACACCTCGTATCAGCTGTGGATTAAATCGCGTGAGATAACCGGAAGCAGCTGCATGTAAGCAACTCTGTTGCTGTCATCTCCACACATGGAACGGTAAGGGGTTTATCCGAACCTGCATGTAGATTTTGTCCGAGACCGACATGAATAATATTTGAGTACGGTAAAGGCAACGAACAATCAGCTCGATAGTTGTAATTACAATACAGGTTAGTACTATATGAGAAGCCTATTTTATAACAAACCACAACCTACGCAGTAATCCCATCTATAAACTTATAAATGACTGCAGTCTGGTAACCCATTCATGGATCCTGACCAGGTGAGAACGTCTTCCCAAGGCTTGATTAGCGCAGACCATCGCTTATAAAATTTTACCGATAACAAACCAACCGCTGTTCAGCTTCTCTAACTGCACATCTGTCAGTGGTATATTCAATTTTTCAGCAAAGCCGCCACACAATATTGCACTCGGAAGCCCTTGTCTTGATAGCCACACCATCTCCTCTTCAACGCGGTTAATAGATACGGGGGACACATAGTCCAGCAGTGATACCACACACATAGTTCTAAGCCCTAGAGTTTCAGCATTCATCAGAGATTTTCTGGCGCCAGTCACTGGGAGAGGGATGAATCGAAGATGCCCCCGCAGAATTTCCGTCGGCGTGGTCGCTTGTTGAGTAATACCCCTTCCTTCTTTACATTCAAATCCTGGAGGGAGGGGCCTTTTAAGAGGGTACTCTTGTAATGGCACTGGACTGTCCAGTTTAGGTTTAGTGGGACTACGCATAAAGTTCCCTGAGCCACGTACACCTATACTTAAGATACCCAGGCTAGTTATGGCAAGATCGCTTTGTGACTTTTGGAAGCTGCTCAAGATGGTAGTATTTGGGGTGAGTAAGGCAGATGGATCGTATTGCAGATGCGAAAAATACGCAGGTTGAGATAGAACCTTAGGTGAAGAGAGGACTAGGGGTTTTTCGGGTGAATCCTCTTTTCTACCGCCGAGTAACGTATTGGACGTGTCGATTTGAAGACCTAAAGATTTATAGATCGGTGAGTTGAATTTTTCAATCGTCGCGTCTTGATGATCCATTTTTGCTATATCAGATGCAAGATCAGTGATCTCGTCTCGGTCTAACGAATCTGGCAGGAATGTTGTTGTATAATATCCCGCCTGTAATGGCTGGGCTTTCTTATTGGAAATTTCCATGGTTGCACTATTCAAACCTTTTTCCAAATCTCGTTTCAGATCTTTAGTTATTAAGTCCCCTTCCAGGTTCATCTCAAAATCTTTCCCCAGCTTTCTATCCATTTTCCAGCCTTCCGTAACCCTTTTTAAATCTCTGTCCACATCTCTTACCGGTTCTCCCCCAAGATTATTGCCTCCATCCTGAATCCCTTTATAATACGATAACGCTCTGGATTCGGCAGCAAAACCCCCCTCAAGATTTTCTCTCAGACTATGTGCTTTATCCACCACAGCTGTTAGGGTTTCCACTAACCCTTCGCAAACGTCTTTAAGTGAAACACCAATCGTGAACACATTGTTCTTTTCAGGCTCAACATTCACATCAATATTCGCAGGGGCAATGGCAAAGTTTAGGCAGTATACGGACGGCAGCAACAAACGACTATCGGAGTATACCTTGCCCAACGCTCTCAGAACTGCTTTCCCAAACGACAAAGTAGTGCTAAGGGGTCTTCCATTCACCGCAATAACCTTGGTTCCCGAACGCTTTACTGATGTGACATGATTATTCAACAACATACTGGGAAGAACGTACTCCATTTTCCACTGCGGGAGCACCTCTACGGACCCGCTGAAAAACGACGAGTCACGGATGCCGTGTAGTGTCATGAGGAGCCTTGTTTGGGAATTCATGTCTCCTAGATTTGGAATCTTCATCTGAGGATTCACCACAAAATCTCTCTGCGGATTTGGCACCACCTTCTTGTTTGTTCCCACCTTTACATACCTGATCACGAATCGGATGTTTCTGTGCACCATGGCATACGACACGACAAGACGCTTGACTTCTTCCAATGTTTGTTCCGATTTTATCGCCAAAAGGTTTTTCCGCACGGGAAACGAGGAAAAAAGCCCCTTAACTACCACCAAGGTCCCGCGCGGGGCAGAGACTGCTCTCACTGGCCCAGAGGTGCCATCTGGCCCTACTTGCCACTTTTCCGCCACCGCATCCTCCTTGGTTTTGGTTGTTACGTACATGGTTCCCTGGGCACATAACTGAGCGAGGGAAAACAAGCCCTCACCTCTGAACCCCAAAGAGGTGGTGGTCACGATATCCGCGATGTCGCGGATTTTGGACGTGGTCCAGTTGTTGCACATCAACGGCCGATCTTCTTTTATGACACCATCACCATTGTCTGTAACGGCCAAGTGGGAAAGTCCACCTGTGGAATCAATCTCGATGATGATGGATGTGGAATTTGCGTCGATGGCATTGTCCACGATCTCTTTTACCGCAGACACGGGCGAGAAGATCGAAGAGGTGGAAGTGATAGCGGACGTGGCGTGTGCCGGGATCCTATTTATCGACATAGCCTAATATTAGTAACGGGCCATCATAATACGCATCAACGGAAGGTATTGGAATACCTGAACCATGAACAAGTACCAGGTAAACATAGCGCGTGGGATTAGAGCCGCATGCGAAACGTCAAATAGGGAAGTTAGACCAACGAGGTGTTTAATTTACGAATTGTTGTAGGCTATTGCCTTATGTTGGGATTTATAATGGTGATTGATAACTAGCCAAAATGAAAGCAATATTAATTACGGTTTATAACCATTGATAGAAAAAGGCCTATGTCACCTAACAGATTAGTCCACCTTTACTACCATATGGCTTAATGGACGCTTCTTAAGGATTATATCTTCCATGCTTTCATGGTGTTTTTCATAGAAGCTTCGAAACAATAATAATTTCCACTTTATACGAGAATTTAGCCTCCGGTGAATACAGCGATGCTCCCTCATCGCAGCTCAGCAATTAGTGCCTGTATATCCAAACGGGGGGTTCTCTACCAGCCATTAATACCCACAGTATGGGCTCACAACCAGAGATAATTCTGGGGGCCGCATCATATCACGATCTTCAGACGTCTTCAATGCTATTACAGGGACGGTATTTACCCCCAGTGACGTTAACCAAACACCCAACGTGTGTGACCGCGTCCTAGCACGCCCAATACATTATCCCTAACCATTAGCCATCCCTAGCCTTCGATACCTCCCCTACAACCCACTCTACCAGCTACCTTTCTAGTTTCTCTACCTGTACTGCCAAAATCCATGCTTAGTTGTTGATACCTATACCAGTTTTAGCATCCACCTTTATTCACCCCCTCCTCCAATAATATTGCGATGGCCGTCACATCACTTATTAGCAAAACCTTGAAGGCGCTTCCGCCGCTGCTCCGCAACTCCGATGCGGTGGGCTTTAACAATCGGCGTCGACGGATGTCGATCACGTTCATCCCGCCGTCGACACAATCTCCGTTGTTCTTGTACGGCGCAGGAGACCAGCGCTCGTTCCTTCTGTTGTGCCTGGGATCCGCGCGCGACAGCGTGCGCGACGATGCGACCGTCAGCACGTCGCGTTCGCTCCCATCCACGCTCAGTACCGTGGCCTCCGACGAGCCAGACCAGATGACCTGGTTGCTTGAGGAACGCCGCCGCTATACTGAATCTTTACGCGAAGAAGACGAAGAAGAAGACGACCACTATGGCACCAGCGCAAAGTCCATCCAGAGCTCCACCCAATCCGAAGACCTTTCAGCCCTTGTGACAAACCCAAAAAATGAGTTCCGCACGCTTGTCAACTACTCCATTCCGTTGATCATTACTTTTGTGTTGCAACAAGCCTTTTCGGTCGTGTGTGTGTTGGTGGTGGGCCATCTCGGGAAGAACGAGCTTGCGGCGGTATCGCTTGCGTCCATGACGTCGACGATCACCTTAGCCATCTTTGAGGGCATTTCCACCAGCTTGGACACGTTGTGTCCCCAAGCGTACGGTGCAGGCAATTTCCACGGCGTCGGAGTCCACTTCCAGCGCTGCACACTCTTTTCGCTTGTGTTTTTTGTCCCGTGCGCTGCCTTCTGGTGGTTCAGCGAACATTTCTTGCGCCACGCGATCCACGATGAGGAAGTGGTGCGCCTCACGGTGCAGTTCCTTCGCGTCATGATTGCGGGTGCGCCCGCGTACATTCTTTTTGAAAACGGGAAGCGTTTCCTCCAGGCACAAGGCATTTTTGAGGCCGGGACGGCTATTTTATTCATTACCGCTCCTGTTAACATCGTCTTGAGCTATCTCCTTGTGTGGCACCCGGTGATTGGTGTGGGTTACGTGGGCGCGCCGATCGCGGCGGTTACGAACTTTTGGTTCCAGGTCGTGCTCCTCTACCTCTATGTAGCATTCGTGGATGGTGACAAGTGTTGGGGTGGCTTTTCACGCGACGCATTGCACCACTGGCGCGACTTGGCGCACCTCGCGATCCCCGGGATTGTCATGCTTGAGGCTGAATATGTGGCGTATGAGATCCTCACGCTCTTTTCCTCTTCGTTTGGCACATCTGCGCTCGCGGCGCAGTCCGCGATTTCAACGATTGCGTCGCTCACGTACATGGTACCGTTCGCGGTGTCGATCGCCGCTGCCACGCGCATTGCGAACTTTGTCGGCGCCACCAATGTGCCATGCGCGCTTATCGCCACGCGTGTCGGGCTCTATGCGTCCTTGATCGTCGCTTCCGCGAACTGTGTCGTCTTGCTTTCCTTCAAGGCCCCGATCGCGCGTCTCTTCACCCTGGATTCTGAGGTCATTTCCCTCATCGTCTCCTTGTTTCCCCTCGTCGCGGCTATCCAAGTTTTTGATGGCTTGGCCTCCGTCGCATCCGGTATCTTACGAGCGCAGGGCAACCAGAAAGTTGGCGGTGTCGTTAACTTGCTCGGTTACTACGCCCTTGCTATCCCCGTCAGTTTGCTTTTGGGCTTCTACTGCAAGATGGAGTTGTTTGGCTTGTGGATCGGAATCGGCGTGGGCATGATAGTGATTGGAGTCACCGAGAGCTGGTATGTCTTGACTGCTGATTGGACAGATATTGTCGCGCGTGCGCAAGAGCGCAATGAGGAACAAGATTGAGAGACTACATATCGAATGATTAATTCTTAGATGTAAACGAGATTTTTGTTCGTATATTTTAGCGTGAGAAATACTTGCATCATATTTATTGATGCTGATTAGAACTATATTTGGATTTTACTGTTACCGGGGTATATTCAATAGGTGTTATTGCGTACCGTTGTCTAGTGAGGATAATTTTCATAAATATAATTCATGCAAGTGGAGGAGGATACGATGTCAAAGAGGCGCAGAATCCATAGTATAGAATATCTTCCAATCGGAGGTGAGAGAATATCTGCCGATGACGTATGTGGGATTTAATACCGCTTTCAATACAATTGGAGAGGTATGGAGAGGTGCCGTTTTCAGGTGGCACTGCGCTCAAAAATGAGCTTCCGCTCCAGCAGTGCGTATAGAAACAGCCAAAATAGCATCATGTTAGATTGACTCGACATTTATTTTGTTACTCAGAGGAAATTAAACAAGATCTAATAAGTAATCTCCTGGATTGGTTGTATTGCTTGTTATCGTAACCACAAGTCCTCGACGCAGACAATCCCTCATAGGAATGATTAAGTAGTGTCTACGTCATATACTGGCAATTTCTCAGGGTCGCTACCCTGCATCTAACTGTGAAACCCTGAAAACTCCTCCTGTACAGTTTAGGTTCCCTTCTGTTACCCTGTTTTATTGCTAGACCGGATAGCTCCTGGAACCATTTCAAACCACATCTCTCATAAACTGAGCGATCTATCTTTTCCTGAAGCCCTTTCTCCCTGGTTTCCTCGAGTTCTTGTAGTTTTAGATCACTATAACTGATTTTCAGCATTGTCCTAAAACACAGTCAAAGCTCTTTCCTCAGATTTCCTTCCCTCCCAAACAATGAGTTGCTCTGGAATTTATGAAAAAAGCTCCTGATAGTGACTTTCAAGGTCATGAGTCGATACTGGCGGCTGCGGAAGGCTTTAAAGAAGAAAAACTCTCCGCCTTTCCTTCTCCCGAAAGCGGGCAGAGAAATAATGAAATTTAGAGGTCGAATAGGCCATTATTGCTTCCAGGTTTCTCATATTGGTAGTTTTGAGTCTATTAATACCTGTATCTGGGGGTAAAACAGAGATGTGGCGCTATGAGCTCAATTCCGGGGCCATTTCCAAGTTGAAAAGTGCCACGGTGAGTCTTGTTTTGTGCGCGATAATCTTTTAATGGTGGAGCCCTTCAGCCACCGTTACTGATAGTAGGAATATGTGTGGTGGCTTTCACTGAAGTATTTTTATGAGTTTCCGCGTTCTTAGACTAAAATTTCTACGTGCCCCTGGGGATGAAACATGCGAGGTATTTGGGTCTTGGGGAAGTACGAGCTGACTTAGGCTTGGTTTCTCGTACTGTTAGCTGAATATACATACTTATTATACCTTGGATACATAGTTTGGGCCCGACCGAAGTAATTTCCGGAAACTAGGCGCTAATAATCTGCACTAGAGTGGTATGACTTCACCTCCCGGGTTACATGGCACTTTTAAGACAGCAACTAGATGACTACCTAATGCCAAATGAGCATTTAGTGATTTTTTTTGAATAAAATGAGACGGAAAAGATTGCTCCCAATGAAATCATTTTATGGCATACACCAGTGCTCTTTTGGATCCCGACAAGAACTTAATTGAATTGTCATTCAAATCTACTATAGAAAAAGGACCGGTCCGTCTGACAGTTCTGAAAACTAGTTTGCGTATCTGGGAGAAGAAGGCGGAATACTTATATTATTTATCAATGATACCAAGACCCCAAAGTCTTTATTAGCTGATAATCATTGGATGCTAATTAGGTTGGCTTTAGGGGTGTCGCGCCATGGCTAGCATTTCTTCAATCCTAGCAAAGCTACCTGGTCTACGCCCAAATCTAGGTGACAGAAAGACAGCATCATTACACTGTTGGTTGAGACGAGTGGATCTTCCAGTTGAGAACAGGTCTTACGCGGGATTGTTGCCTTCAAGGACGAAATTTCGGGGCCGATTATCTCTAGACAACCCTCTGTTTTGAACCGGTTAGAGCGTTGGTAATATTTCACTGCCGTATGGAGCTGATGCTGAATGTCGCTTAGAAACGCTAGCATTGATTAAGGGCTCCAGATATCGTGAAACTGGGGTAGTTATATGAGAATTAGCATAGACTAACTTCAGCCCGAAATTCCCTATATCAAGCCACATCCGGGATGGAATGATGTCTAGTTTCTAATGCCCTGTTTGGATATGGATATAGTTTGTAGGTAGTAGCTCCGGTAGCCTTTGTTTTCCACAAACCCACTTTTCCCATGCTCATGAGAGTGACATTTCAAGTCCGATTGAACTTTTCATGGAATAATGTGTGATTTGGCACCACGGTTTCCTCAAGCAGTATGTGACTACCCTGTGTCATAGTAATTAGATAACCAAAACTTTCACTGGGTAACCTTTCACAGATTATGCCATTGTTATGACTTCTGCTGGACTTTCTATGATATCATGAAATAGCCCAGTCAGATTCCCCAGCTCACCTTTTTTGATTCTTGCCTGGAGGTCAGACTCTCAGGGCTGACCGACTCAAGATCAGAGTACCTGTTGTTTCTGAGCTGGAACCGGTTTTCCCGCTCAGCCCGGAGCATCTTGGCGTCATAATCTCGCATCTGCTGGACCCTATGGAGATGGTTCTCGTACTTTTCCCTGCGAGATTTCCGTCTGATAGGGATATGCTCCGATAGAAGTTCGAGGGAAGCTTGGAAATCAGCAGAAAATGGGAACGTTTCCGGCAATGGAGAATGGACAATAGGGGAATCAGCTAAAACATTTGGTGAATCTGCCTCAATAACGATAACTTCCCCTTCAAACGGAAGGTTCGTATCCTCTTCTCCAAGTCTAGAACCTTTATCTATGCCGTTTCCATCTCCGCCTGCCTCTGTTCCAGTAATATCTTCAAATCTGGCCTGAGGTTCTGTTACAGAAATACCAGACTTATCAACGGCCTCACTCATTTCCATGTCCTCAGTAGTCTCCCCCACTTCTCCACAGTAGCTTTCATCCACAGTATTCCAGATAACGCCTTTATTGTCGGTCTCCCAGATACCGCCTTCGTCGACAGTTTCCCAGATTCCGCCTTCATCTCCGGTGAAGCACCGTGAGATAGTCAACATGCTCATGACATCGCCGTATCTGTTTGTGTTCCTAGGCTTTCTGCGTGTTTTGGACACTTTGGGTGAAGCTCGCATAACATGGTTCTTTTCCGCTGAGTCTGCCATACTAGCATCGTCGCTTGTGGCGTAAATAAATCGGACGCGTGCGCGTAATTTTTCGAGCCAAAAAATAGTCTGTCAGGAAGACCGCGAAAGTGACGATCGATCCAGGATGGCGAAAAAGCTGGTCTTTGGGAATGGAATAATCTATTCCAAGAAATTTCCGTTGAGGAGAATCGCTAATTCACGATATGTATTTATTTGTACTTGAACAAACTTTGCGAGAGGTTATACACTGGGGACACAACCTTCAAAATGACTGTAGATTAACACTCGAAAATAAGGGGACTTCACCAACAAGTGAACCCACGAAATGTTCCAAGGTGTCTATTTAAAAAATCGGAATTTTCGGTCAGCCACTTAAGGGTTGATTTCATAATATGTTTAGTGACATCAAGAAAGTGAAAATCCGCGGGATTAATAATTTACCTATACACCTCATTAGAGTATTCAAGCTTTAGAATGTTAATATTAGAATTCAATTCTTGGAAAGCGGTATAGTATCTGAATGAATTCCACTAAATGTTAAAAGACCAATATCACGGATCTCCCCGAAAAGTTCCATCTAGATACCACTGAGCCACTTTATACGTAGCTATGATAACCCGTGGGACCTAGTGATTTATATCGAGGAAATAAAAATCTCACGCAGTGTAAAAATAACGTATACAATAGGGGCCATTTATATATCTCCGTGCCTTTAAACGATTAATGTTTATACCTAAGGTCACCGACGACATGACAGGTGAGGGAATTTCGAAAAAGCACATTAGTGTTACGCGAAAACCTTCAGACCGTTTCGCGATTCTGCTACTAATCGAGCTTTAGTGATCATTAACGCCGACTCTTAAATCGTGCATAATGAATGGTATCGCCTCCGCTGGAGAGCCAACTCAAGTCCAACCCCACTGACATAGACAAAGGTGTACTTTGCTTAGACACATCCATTGGTCTATACTGCAGAAGTATTCCTTGAACAAAGACTAATCGAGCTTACTACCCTGGTTTTTCCACATTCACATCCAAATCTACCGACGCCTGAGATACCCCAAAGATGTCTCACAAGTTGGCAAATGTGCCGCCTGTGCCCAGTAGAATCCAGATGATAGATAATGACGACGATATGGATGACTACACGCCCGTGGAAGGGGTTCCAAGGCCTCAACTGGGGCGACTAGTGATCAGAGATGTCCGGGTCGGAGCTTTCAACCAGGTTTCCTCGCTTTCTGGGGTACCATACGTGGTCTGGACGGTTCACATCCATCTCAGCACCGGAACGACACTCACAATTCATAAACGGTACTCGGAGTTTGTGAAGTTGCGTACGCGTATTCTCGAACTATTTCCACAGCTCGCTACGTATTCGATCAATTCGGGGGCAAAGACTGGTAAAGCGAAGCTGAAGTTTAGGAGCATTCCGAAGTTGACGAGCCTGGGGTCGAACGATCTTTTCTGGAAATTTGGCAAGAGCGAAAGAAGCAAGGCGAGCTTTTTGGATGGTGAGCGGCGTCACCAACTCGAGGTGTTTGTCAGTTTTGTGTTTCTCGATCCGACTTTGGGGTCGAGTGAGGTTATTAAGCGGTTTATCCTTGAATAAACACCGCGTCGTTATCGAAGCAATTTCGAGAAATTCTCCGATCTGTTTCTCTTTTGACAGGGGGGATGACGAATTTACAGATAATATAAAGTCTCTGGGGGTTGTCATACCGAGAGATAACAAGCGGTCCGACCGATTTCTTCAGGGCCTGCAAAGTTTATCATTTGACAGAATTTCAATATGACCATCTATAAGGGGTGTGACCTTACGGAACGAATATTTCCTTATTTGGGGGAATTTGAATAGCGGAAATGTCAGATTAGTCTATTGCCACAGAGGTACGAGTCAGTATCACTGCTTTCAGGGTGGTATGGTAGCTGTATCCACTTCCTGATAGCTCTAGATTTTATTTCAGTTTACCCTGAAATAAGAGCTTAGGTTTCTATCGTACCCACTCAGGTAATCCAGTTTCATCATGCGTTGCCTTAGTTCAGTCCATTTTTGATGTACTTCACGATTCACCCCAGAATGGTCTCACAGCGTAGGGGTATTCGACTAAGGTAAGATGCTATTTTGTCCTGAGACGTGTGAATGGCTAGTCCTAGATCTTACATGAACTTTATCCACAATTGATTGTGCTTTGTATGTTCTAATGGAGTGCCAAGGCTTAACTGCCCATTCTACCTTGTTAAAACAATCTATCTTCATGTACCATGAGTTATCGGCCGTAATTGAACCAAGGACTAGCATCGTTTCTGTACCGAGTCAGGTAACCCCATGCGTACGGATTGTTAAATACCCAAACCATCAAATCTAGCATGATTATGGTGAATTAAAACGCAACTCGTAACCGTTTTCAAGGATTAATGACTTATAAGCACCTCCATGACGTTTTTACGAATGTTACTCTTTACATAACTATGGTTCAAACTAGACCTGTATGAAACGAATCTCAAAAGCGTCATACTGTGTCCGCTGAGATCTTCGTAACACAAACATGTATTAAGCTTAATATACACTCAAGGCGGCGGTCTCATCCAAGCGTTTAGCATGCAACAGAAGCGTAAGCCAGACTGTCCAATTCTGAGAAAACACGGAAAAGCTCAAATTACACTCACCCGGTCAAAATTTAATATACAACCATGGCTCCAGGCCCAATTTAATAGGCATACAACCAATATCGAAGGCTCTAGAACCAGCTCGGAAACTCTTTCAAGTTTTCGGTTCAGGAAAGAGACTTAGTCATCGAGGCTGCTGATCAAACTGATGTTGTCCCCCTTCAACAAGATGCGGCCCAAGCTAACCTCCGTCCCGTTCCTCACCTCCACGGCCTCTTCCACTACCACGTTCATAAACTCGTCAAAGCCTCTGATCTTGCCCTTGATGGTCATCGAGGTCTGCTCGTAGAGGAAGATGTTCACCAACGACTGCTGCTGGAGAAACTTGAAGATGAGGTTGATCGGCGGGATCATCACTCGCTGCTGTGGCTTTCCGGACATGATATGGATATTGCTATTGTTGTAATGAGGGTGACAAGACTCGTGATTGTAGCGGAACAGACAGATGCAGAGAGCTTTTCAGATATACCACAATTTTAGTATCGCGCCTGCATATAACAACTCACCCGGGTAATATTCAACGTCCGCTGCATAACGGACAGTTGGACTTGGAGATTATGTTCACAGATTATTCATAGATTTATACACACATTTGTCATAACACCTATATTACCACACAATTTTAGCTAGAGCCTATTTCAAACCCTTCAGGCTTTATTTTTTTAAAAAATACATCAAAAATCAACGCTTAGGGTCTCTATTTTGGTATCTAATTATGACGATATTATAGACCATTTTTATGAGAATGCCCGAGGACCTTTGTTAATAGGATATCGCTAATATCTATTCAACGCAGTATTATAAATTTTCTTGTTAAACCTGAAATAGGGTGCCTTTGATAGCTAATTAATCTATGTTCTAATCTAATAATATCTCTCACACGGTAACGTATCGTGCGAGAGCTCAACCACTACAGATTATATTAGAATGTCAATCGTGAGAACCAAAAGACTTATGGAACAGTCAGATGAGCTGGATCTCAGCCGATATCGAAGCTGCAATTTCAGTATATTACACTATTATCCCAAACATCCACTTCGTTACATTCTTGCTTCTAGCTCTTTCAGATTCCTGCACATAGCCCTTCCGGGTAATTTTTCGCAGGTCAACTCAATCCGATTTGCTCCACCAATTTGCACCGATTTGCACCAATTTGTTCCGATTAAAACCTATTTACACCGATTGGTCCACCACCTTACATACAAGCACAACGGAACCCCATTGGACACCATCTAGCAAACGCCATGTCAACTATCCAACAGGTCCAGCAGGCGCTCGCGGTAATGTCTTCGACCGGCGCGGACAAGCCGACCGCCAACGCATACCTCGAGAACTTCCAGAAGTCGGCAGAGGCGTGGGATGTGACGCACACGATTCTCGCGGATGCCGAGTTTCCGCTTGAGCTCAAGTACTTTGCGGCGCAGACAATGCGTTCCAAGATCATCTACGACCTTAACCAGGTACCGGCCACCGCGCGTGACGACTTGAAAAACTCGGTTTTACAGTTGATGCTTGCGTACGATGCGGATAGTCACAAAATCATTCGGACACAGCTCTGCATCTCTTTGGCTAATCTCGCGATCCAGATGCTCGACTGGGCGAACCCGACCGCGGACATTGTTACGTTCTTTTGTGCGCGTGACGACGCACGCGCACGCGCTACGCTCCTTGAGTTCTTGCGTGTGCTCCCGGAGGAAATGTGCGATGTGAAAAAGACGCCGCTCACAGATGATGAGTTTGCTATGCGTGCGACGCAGCTCCTCACGGCCAACGCGGACGCGGTGATCGGTCTCCTCAGTGGCCTTGCAGCGGACCCCACGCCCGCGTTCGTCGCGCTCCTCCTCGACTGCTTAAACTCCTGGCTCAAAGAGGTGGAGGTACTCACAGTATTGAGTAACCAGCCGTTGACCGACGTGATTTTCCGCTCTCTCGCTGCACCTGCCACCTTCGATGCGTCCGTCGAGTGCCTCGTGACGGTGTTGCGTGAGACCCGCGACATGGAGATCGAGGACCACCACATTGTCCAATCGCTCTTGGACCAGCTTTTAGCCTTAAAGCCGTTTATGGATGCAAACCTCACAGACCAGGAGACCATGGCAGGCCTCACACGTCTCTTTGTGGAGGCGGGCGAGTCGTGGCATCCACTCATCGCCGCAAACCCCACGCACTTTGCGCCATTGGTCGCGCTCATCCTCGCGTGCTGCGCACCGGCACAGGATGTAGACACAGTCAAGGTTACGTTTTACTTCTGGTATACGTTGAAGCAGCTCCTCACCGTGCTGAAATTTGCGCCTGCGCGCACGGTGTTCACGCCGGTGTACACACAGCTTATCCACTACATCATCGCGCACTTGCGTTACCCTGAGAACGTGGACGATGCCGAAGCAAATGCGTGTGCGCTCGATTTGTTCGATGACAAGGAAGAGGAGGACAAGTTTAAGGATTTCCGTTACGAGATGGGCGATGTTTTAAAGGACTGCTGTGTGGTGGTTGGTGCCACCAACGCCTTGCAAATCCCGTATCAGCAAATTACCGAGATCCTTGCCTCTTCTTCCGCCTCCTGGCAAAGCATTGAAGCGCCGTTATTCTCGATGCGCGCGATGGCGAAGGAGATTCCATTAAAGGAGAACAAGATCCTTCCTGCGATTATGAACTTGTTAGTCCAGCTTCCAGAGCACTTCAAAATCCGCTATGCCACGACCCTTGTCTTGGGGAGATACACCCAATGGACGGCGAAACACCCAGAGTTTTTGGAACCCCAACTAAACTACATCATCGCGGGCTTCGGGGATGGCAACAAGGAGGTGATGACCGCCGCGTCACACGCGCTCATGTACTTCTGTCAGGACTGTTCGTCCTTGCTTGTCAGCTTTATCGAGCAGCTTTATACTTTTTACACCAATGTCCAGAGCCAGGATAATGGCTTGGATCTCGCGTCAGTATATGAGATTGTGGACGGTGTTGCGCACATCTTGAAGGTGCAGCCGCTCGCTTCCGTGTATGATTACACCCGAATGTTTGTCCAGCCGACGGTAGACAAGTTGGAAGCGTTATTGACGGATTCGCGTGGCGTGGATACCGTCAGCACCGAAATTGCCGACCAGTTGGAGAGCTTGGCGATTTTCTTCGACGTCTTGAGACCGTCTGCGAAGGATTACGACCTCCTCATGAGCAACAACGAAATTTATCCTGTGGCGAAACTCTTTGGGGAGCTCTGGCCGTTGATCACGCGGATATTAGCCAAGTACGGCCACGTGATGCGTGTGTCGGAGCGCTGCTTGAAGGTGGTGAAGAACGCGCTCGTCAACTACAACTTGATGCTCCAGGAGGTTCTTCCGGCGGTGCTTGGGGCGTTAGTGCTGGGCTTTGCGCAGACCAAGTTCGGGTGCTACCTCTGGGTGAGTGGTGTGGTAGTGCGCGAGTTTGCCGACGATGGTTATGATGATACGACTGCGCGCAGTGATGAGCGTATGAAGACCGCAATCTACGAGTTTGCTGCGACGCAGATCGCGCAGTTCTTTTCGTTCTTCACCTCCGATGTCGCCAGTCCCTTGGACATTCCCGACATTATTGACGACTTTTACCGCATGATGAACGATCTTTTAATGTTTTATCCGTTTAAATTAATCGCGAATCAGGAATTGGTCAAGTCGTCGATCGATGCTTCCGTTTATGCTTTGTCCCACTTGCAGTCGTATGATCCCATTACACACATCTTGCACTACTTGATCGACCTTGTGGCGTGGGGGTTCAAGCACCCGCCGGTGTCAATGCATGAAACGAACCCCGTCGAGATCCAGCAGGCGGTCCAGGAGATGGTTGCGCGTGAGGGTGCACAGATCGTGAGCGTATTGATCAATGGACTTGTGTACAAGTTCCCAAGAGACTCGCATCCTGACACATCAGAGTTGCTTGTCAAGATGTTTACATTGCCAAATATCCATGCTAATCCTGACACGGTGATTCAGTGGATTGACCAGGCATTGCTCCAGTTGGGGAACGTCAGCGAGGAGGAGCGGAACAAGCTTGTGAGCGTATTGGGCGTCGCGTTAACGAACAAGGATGCGCGCCGGATGAGAGGGAGCATTAAGGATTTTGTAGGATGGTATACGCGGAAGCATGTGATGGCGAGAAATGAGTTCAAATAGTCTGAGCTGAATCCTTCAATTTACTAGAACGCAACTGTACGGTTTAGAGTTTATCATATCTATGAATGTATAGTTTTTTTTTTGTTGTTATCTTCGACTGGATGGGCTCCTCTGAGATCTCAACGTCTAGGACTGATCTATCTTCCTCGTAGTTTCTAGATTTATGCGTATATATGAACATCGGCAGAATAGATGTAATACCTGACTAGGAGATGATTTCTCGATAATCCTACTTTACCTGGCAAGTAGCCTTTTATCGGATAATTAATCTTTTACCAGAACCGTAAGCAAATACACCCTTTTTGATTGGTGTTATTTATTTGATTGACGCACGTGGGCCCTGACCCCAGATTTTATAGACCTACACCATAGGTGTCCTAGGACAGTCAGTTTAAGCATGAAAGGAGGAAATCGCCCAATTTTTAACCGCTAAAATTTGCCAACGCCAAACGAATCGTATATGTGATGTCTAGATAGATCCCTTGTGCGTGGGGATGCCGTGAGAGTAAGACAAGGGCATGAAGGCTCCTAGATGTAAGCTGATAAATCACTGTGCGTTATCATGCATGGTCACGGCCCTCACCTGTCCATTATAAAAAACCCCCCTCTACGATAAGACAATAATCATGATAGGCCGCACACATAGAAATGTTTATACGACACGGAGCACGATTAAGCTTAAACGGTAAAGGCCAATATCAGTGATATTGTTGGTGCATACATGGGTGTGCGGAATGCCAGGGCCATTTCCTTATCCTGCGGCGTCTTGGGTATGACCTTGACACTAGCGCATGTCCCAGACCAATTCTGTGGCATGTCTCACGCCAAAGATGGTCGGAAAATAATTCTGGCGCACTTGTCTATCTAATTACAACGAGACCGATGTTTACTACTGGTGGTTTGGTTATGCAAATGAAGCCGAGCGACGTTCTATGACCGATATATAACCCACCCTACAACGTCGGCGTATGGCGAGCGTGACTGAATTTCCCACTGCTTGGCATTCAACCTTAAACGACCCCGATATAGCTACGTGGGGCGGTAAAACGCCGCTTATCTTCTACCAATCGTTCGCGAACCCATTCGAGTCACACGAGTCAACGGGGCTGGAATTTAACATGACGTTGATTTTAAATGCTAGCGCTCGTGGAACAAGTTATTATTCTGTTATGAAACTATCATTTAGTGGACTGGTGCTCGTTCGCGCCACAAACATCGCGCGTCTGTCACTCATTTTTTTCCGGCTTGGGCTCGGATAAAGTTGCGTTGGGCGAAAAAGAAACGATCAAGGGATATTCGGTGAACTTAAATTAACGAGCGCTAAGATCCGTGCATCTGTTCTGTTCCCCCAGACAAAATTTCACCAAGATCAGGGGTATAACTGTTGACCAGACCCATTTTTATCTAGAATTGCCCATTTTTCCAGCCAAACCATTATCGCTGGCACAACCCTACCGTTTCATCCTACCACATTCTATTTGCTCTTACTTCTGTCAACTCTTCCTTTCTTGCTTGATTTGACATTCCAGTTTATAGTCTACCCTCCCTCATACCATGGCTAACATAGTAGCCACCCGCCCGGAAAAGGCCGAAGGGTCCATCTTCAAGAAGATTTTCAGAAAGAGCAAGGAGAAGTCAACCGCTTCTTCCAACTCAACGTCTCCGCCCACGCCGTCATTCTCGCCCAAACCGTTGAAGAAAGCAAACACCTCGCTTGGCTTAGGGTCCAGCAGCCCCATCAGCCGTCAGCGCAGCACCAGTACCAGAGAGAGTGGTGTATTTGAGGTGAAAACCGCCGCCTCAAGCGTCTCTGTCACATCTCCTGAAGCGGTCACGCCCGAAACAGTCCCTTCGCCTGAAGTTCTTGTCCCGCCTACAGCCGTTACCCCATCTGCAGTAGCGCCGCGTACGCGCGCCCAGGGGAACAACAGTATTGAAACGCCTAATGGTACCCCGCCCCGCCAGTTACCTAAGGTCACTGACCTCCATCGCTCGTCATCCTCCGCTGCTTCCTTCAACCTCCTCCGTGCAAACTCCACCGGAATTGCGGGTCCGCGTGCGACCCTTACACTGAAACCCTCATCAGGTATCGCGTACAACCCCTACGGACTCCGGACGCCCAGTACTAGCTCCTCCACCTCCTCCTTCCATGGCCAGGCACCGCCCGCATCGTTTTATATAAGCGACTCGGCTAAGAACCTCCTCGCTTTACCTGTCGCTCACCCTAACGACATTCTCGGTGCAGAATTCACTCAGTCGAGTGACGATTTGCTTGACACATACGCCTTACCGGACAAAGGCTCGTCTAAGGACCGCAGCTTGGGTGGAGGTGCATCTTCGGATGTGCGCACGGTTCTCCGGCGAGACAGCCGGAAACTTTTCGCCTTGAAACGTTTCTGCAAGGTGCTCAACGAAACGGACGACGAGTTCTACGAGCGCGCGGCAAAGGAATACGTGATTGGGATGAAAATCGCCCAGGGTTCCCACGTGGTGGGGCTCCACGGGCTCTTCAAGTTCCCGACCATTGGCAACCTCCAGCGGTCCTGGGGCATGGTTCTTGATTTGTGCGATGGCGGCGATTTGTTTCTGATCATCTTGCGGCCCAGCTTCCGTGTGCAAACGCCACTCCCCGAGAAGTTTTGTCTCTTTAAGCAAATCGCCTATGGGGTGCGGTTCATGCATGACCAGGGGATTGTGCACCGGGACTTAAAGCCCGAGAATGTATTGCTCAGCAGCCAGGGGATCGTGAAGTTGACAGATTTTGGTGTTAGCGATTATGGAAATGAAATCCCGGGGGATGTTACAAGTCCAGTGAAGTACTACACCCAGTTTGTGGGCTCGCCACCATACCTGTCGCCCGAGGTGATGTGTCTTCAGGGCATCACCCAGGCTAGGCGAATTGCATATGACCCGTACCAGATGGATATGTGGGGCTTAGGGATGTTGCTCTTCTGTTTGATATATCAGGGGACCCCGTTTCAAGAGTCCTGGAAGGAGGACGCCCAGTACCGCGAGTATCTTCTTTCGTATACTTCGTATTGCCAGGCAAATCCCGGCTTCCAGAAGGGTGACAAGCACCACGGCCCAGGCCCGGAGTTCAAGTACGCGCGCGAATTCCACTCTAGCGGTGCTGCGCGTGTTGCCTGGCGCCTCTGTGACCCGAGCGCTGAAACGCGCATGGACATGACCACACTCTTTGACGACCCGTGGTTCCGCGGCTTGGAAATGTGTCTCGAAGAGGATGAAACTGAGCACGCTCACGCGCTCAAGCCGACCACATCGTCCGAGTCACTCCACTCTCCGGTAATGACACGTGCGAACCTGAACATGAGCGAGATCGATGTTCCTCATACCCCAGTGAGATCGATGCTTGATTTGTCGATACTTGATGGGGAGAGATCGCGGGCGAACAGTATTCATGCGCCAGTGAGCGGTCCTGCACAAGGCCTTTCGTCTAGCCCGACTAACGGCCAGGAGAATGTCCCGGCGAGTGTCCAGGCGAATGCCTCTGTCCCTGGGACCCCCACTCCCAAGGCGAGCACCACCTTGACCGTCTGCACTTGCACCTGTGATATTCATCCACTCAAAGAGCTGAAACGTGTCAAGTCCATGCTCGACTTTGACCTGCTGCCTGAAAAACTGACATCGGTTGCAACGCTCTCCACTCTCACAGAGAAAGACGACGCGCCCGCGCGTGCGAGCAGCTTACGCAAGTCGTCCGACGCGTTGAGCGCGTTGCCAGAGGAGGCGGCGTGTGTGACGCTCGCCGAGGGCGTCGTGCTCGAAAGTCCCGTCACGATGGTAGAAGTGCATACCAGCCATGAGTGCACGTGCGCGTGCCATGTGCGCCCTGCCGCCATACCGCACTCGCGCACCTCGTCCTTCACCTCGCTGGCCGGCAAAGGTGCCTACAAAATCAAGAAGCATCACCATTGCACCGGGTAGCGATTTAGTTCAATTGCACTAAATGTATATGCATGCTTTCTGCATGATGGTGATAAGTCATGTGTATCAAGCGCAAATTTGGCTTCTAATCACCTGTACGAGAGACCTCGTACGTTGCGAGTTCGTGCCCTCTTTAAATATATCTAACATGTACATCCTTTATGAAAATTAATGGTTTATGTTTCTGATTGTGGCTAAACCAATAGCTATTCATAGTGTTTAGGGTACATACCGGGGAATGCGCGATTCACCAGTTGGTTGTCGCCTATCAAAATGAGCTGAGAGAACTCGATAGTGCACATTTCTGCGTAGAATATCGATTGGTAGATCTAAGCACACCAGCAAGTGGCTTGGACAATCGAGAAAAATGCATGTAGTCATGAGTAAATACCAACATTAATGGAGTAGATGGGAACACATGGGATAAAGAGTCTGAACGCGGGCATAGAACTTTCCTTCACGAATCTTGATACCTCAGCATACGTCCGGGGAAAATACAATACCGTACTGGATACAACTATAAACAATATAAACTTTTAAACTGACTGCGCAGCTTTCTCATCAATCATGCGGATAATATCCTCAAGATAGTGGTTAGCCTTCTCAACATGGATCAAGGATGCCTTCATGTATGGCCACACGCGACTCCATGCCTTGAGGTAGCGTACGATCCGGTTGAACTTGTCTAACAAGCTCTGTGTATTAAACTCGTGCACGATCTGCATCGCATTGGCCTTCGGGAGGGTGATACGGATGGAGTTGGACTTTTCGCTCGTCTCTTCCGGGGTCATGATTTGCGACTTGACAAAAAAATCGTTGAATGTCACCCGCAACACGCATTCGGTGTCATCAAGCTCCTCCAGCATCTTGAACGAAATGAACTTGGAGATCACGATCAAGGATGCAAGGATGGCGATGGAGCACGCACTCGGCACCCACGCAAAGAGCGGGTACTGAAGCCAGGTATCCGGCTCACCAGGGCAGACCTGGGCCGTGGTGGACTTTGTTTCCATCGCCAACTGCCACCAGGTCTTGTTGGTGTAATCAATAGTATCGACGTCGATAGCAGGCTCGTAGGAGGTTGGGCCCAAGAGCACCGGCAAGCTGCGCATGGAGCTATCGGCTTCGCGACCCTTCGCTGAGGTCTTTGCTGAAAAGTACTCCGGCACAATTCCTTCACCGAGCTCAATAAGCTTCACAATGTCCAACACACCATTGATGAGGTTTGTCAACGAGTACCACTCCTTGCCCTCGGCCGCAATCAAGTGACTAGGAAGCTCAAAGATTGGCATTTCCGTGAGGTTCAAGTCTTTGACCAACATGGGAATGGCGTTGGATGAGCTGTGATAGAGCTTGAATAGAAGGAGGCTGTCGGCGGGGAGCGCGTGACACACAAGCCTCGTCAAAGACTGGATAAAGAGCGAGAACATGAATGTGAGGTTAAGTAAGATGATTTTCTTGGTGTGGTTGTGACGCGCAATCTCGTACAAATGGCCGGTGGTAATGGTCGAGAGGATCTGCAACTGCGAGTCGATGACCGCGAGGTTCGACGACAAAAGCCCGTTGCGTTCGATGGTGTCCATGGCGTTCTCCATCAACTTTGTGCTGAGGATAACCATGACGGAGTCATATATTTTTGGCAGGCCATCGGGATGGTTATCGGTGTCGGCCGACTGGATTACGCTGTTGATCACGTCCCACGACAACGGCTTGAGCTTTTCGAGTGACCAGTCGTTGCCCAATTCCAACAGCTTATGGTGGAGCAAATCGGGGCTGGGCAACTCCATGGCGCCCGGGAACGGCAAGCACGAACCGCTGGGAAGATTCTTGTAGGGATAGCCCGAGTTCATCCGTAAATACGCCGAGAGCTTCCACATGCCCCAGAGGTTACGCACGTTTGACTCGCGGTCACATAACTGTTTCTGCGACGAGACTTCCACAAAGTCCAGGAAGTCATCCGGGCTTTGACACTCATACAACTCCCCCAACTTGTGTAAGCGTACAAGCTTCAATGCGCGTTGGGAACCCTCTACTGACTGAGCAAAGTGGCCACCGGGACCCAAGGACCCAGCAAGCATCACCAACGCTTTCATGGATGCTTCCATCGGCAACAGGTCCCAGTGTTTCTCCGCAAGCTCGTACCAATGATTGGCCAGGCGGTGTATCTCTTCCGGGATGGATAACGGCAGCGAGTAACGGCACGAGTTCGCAAACATCGCGTGCACCATGGATGCGTCCGTCTTAAGACACAACTCTGCGAGGAAGCGGCGCTTGGGTGCCAACACCGGCCGAGCGAGATGGATATACCGGTAGTACAAGTCGAACAACACGGACGTGTAGCGCCACGGCGGGAGGTCGTACAATGCGAGCTCCTCGTCGGTGATAAAGTGCACAGACGTCTTAGGTGTCTCTGGCGACGTTGTGAGAACCTTGCCCTTCCTCGCATACTCGTCGTCGTTCTCTGACGTGCGGGATTCGCTTTTGCGAGAGTCGGGCGCGGATGTCATACTCACATCGGTTTTTTCCCGCTTATCGTCGCTAAGGTGGCTGCGGTGGCTGTACTTGGAGCTGGTCTCAGATTTAGCATCAAGCAACTCGTGGTCACGGTCCTGTCTTCCGGAGCGGTCACGCTCGTAGTAGTAGTCTCTGTCGCGGTAAGAACTGCCATTTCCGTTGTAGCTCAAAGGGGGCAACAAAGGAAGGGGCCCCGGCGGCGGGCCCCTGTGGCCCGGAGGCGGTGGTGGAGGTAATCCCTGGTAGTGGTTGTAGTAGTGCATCATGTGTGGAGGCGGCGGAGGCAAGTAGCCGTGGTGGGGCGGGCCGTGATGTGGTGGTGGGCCGTGGTGGTGAGGTGGGCCGTGGCGGGGTGGTCCACCGTGGCGGGGTGGCCCACGCGGTGGGGGTCCGTAGGAAGAATAGCGGGATTCGTACATCTCACGCTCGTCACGGTCACGATCGCGGTCACGCGGGTCAAGATCAGCACGCAACTCATAGTCACGGTAGGAGTACGATGCACGCCGCGGAAAGTCGAAGGTGGAGCTGGAGAGTGTCGGCGAAACCTTTGGTGGTGCGATGGACAAACGATCTCTGCTGAGAATCGAGGGGTAGGAGGAAGTGGAGGACGGGTAGTCCGAATGTACCGACGGCGATTTGATGGTGTCGCTGTCTAAGCGCGGACGCGACAAGCTTGTGAGCGATGGTAAGCGCGGCGGCTGGTGCATGCGGTCAGAGAATTGATTTAACGTCCGAAAGTCACCTGGGGGCGCCAAGTGGTCATCATCCTCGCCATCATCTAACATGGAGTCGTCGGCGGCATGATCCGCCTGGTGGCGCTTGCGTCTGCGACCGCCGCGCATCGATGGGATAAACACACACTCAATGCCGAGAAATTTGCAGTTCAGGCAGATGGTTGTGGCGCGTCCATGGTCTGAGCCCTCGCCTTTGCCATTTGTGATAACCTCGCCGTCGCACTTGATTTTCTTTTCGCGACACGTGAGACACGCACGGCGCGCTACCGGCCGTCTCTGTGAGTTGCCCGAGGAAGTGCTCATAAAGTTAAATGTATGGGAAGGTGGGTGTGTGTGGTTGGATTACACCACGGGTATTAAAAGAGAAAAGGATTTGGAGCAAAGGCTGGTTGAGGTCAAAATCGGAGTAAACTCAAGTGAATGGATTCAAAATTCGGCTAAACGGATAAAGTAACGCAAAATTGGTTAGCTGAAGGGAGAGTTTGGTATAAATCGGATGGCGCGGTTACCTGGAATCGATTATCAATGGATTGGCCCTTTTGTGATACAAGCGCAATCTATAGTTGCCGTTGATTGTGCCGGATCTTTCGTCTTGGATAACAAGATTGGTATCTAAACCACGAAAGGATTGTAAGCCAAAGGAGTTATAACCACAGAAGAGGCTTGAAGGCGGGTAGAGGGGGTCTCGAACAAAAAGGAGGATCTATTAGCTAGCTAAAAGAATGGCCCTGGGTGTGGAAGTGCTTCGTATTTATAACGCTGGGTGACGCTAGGTGCCAGGGGTGGGGAGCGAAAGCAGTAAACAGCTTTGTGGTAAAGTTGAAGATGATGTGGTAGTACGGCGTCTAAATGCTAAATAAGTCAGCGAGAAAAGTGTAAGCGCAATAAGAATTAGACACTCGGTGTGTAAAAAAAATTGTGCCGGGTGCAATAAGTAGCTCGTGTCAGACGCTTAGCACGGGTGTATTTTTTTAGCAGACTGCGGAATGTTACAATTTCCGGACACTTACGCCGCAGCAGCTGCTTGTCCGGTTAGCGCGGGGATGTATAGATATAGGAAAACCTGCCGGCAAATTAAGCAAGTACTCCCCGGAAGAAGCTTGAATGAACGGATAACTGCCTCTATTTTACGGACTCTAGCCTATGTTGTATCCATTTATCTTGTGCAAACTTCGCATAAGAGTGGAGCTTGAGCTCTGTTGTGAATATCGCCCCATTCACCGAAAGATGGCTGTTGCACGGGGAAGTTAGCTTCCGCTATCCCGCTTGGGGAAGCGAAATAGTGTTTTGTTGGTGAAGAAAGAAAAGAAATCACTCGAGAAGCAAACCCCGCCGTCGTCAAGGCTAGACCCCTGGGCTGGAAGCCGATCGTGAGTTGCAAAGATGCTTCGGACAAGCATATGCGAGCGCAGAGCCCGTGGGCACCCCGCAGGGATAGGGGCGTAATTTGAGGTATTTCTTTGCCACTTAGGAGCATGTGCTTATTTTACATGCCGTGCACCACGCCGTGCAACCTGGAACTATGTTTCGTGGTTGGTCCCCGGGCGCCAATTCGGGACTCGTACCGCCTCATGCAACCTAGTCATCCATGCTATATTTAGCTACACTGCAATGCTGCCAAGAGTTGGGATTATTGCGAAGATCCCCAAAGTGACGACAGAGGGCTGCAGCAGGTGCAGGAGGCTTCGAGCTGACTGAGTTTCCTGAAGCTAGAACATCAAGTATCGCCCTTTTCGGAGATATAGGAATAACGGAAATTAGTAGTAATTTCAGCCGACAATAATATAAAAAATAATCCTTCGAGTCTTTGACCATTCCTCGATAGACTAGTGTAGACCATCCAGTTCCACCCTGGACCTCGTAGCTGCGAACCCTCGGAGAATTGGGCAAAATACCGACTATCGAGGGTCCGCAGTTTAGCCGGAAGCCCGCTGAGACTTCAGGAAACCTCACAAAAAAAAATATCCACCACACGTTATACACGATTACCGAAAGCTACACCGGTATTTTGACACAAATACGAATGCTTAGAGAAGCGTGCCATACAATTGATGCCATTCCAAGGACCCATAAGGGACGAGCGATAGGCCGCCACCGGGATCGATCTTGGAAATGGTGCCATTCGCAGTTTGCTACGTTTATAGAAACCCTGTTAGTTTCTGAGTGCTTCAAACGCCATCACCTGACTAGTTCTCGACCTCGTATTGGAAAACTTCATTCCCCGGCGTGCAGCCAATGGTAGAGTCACGCAGTGCCACATGCAGAATAGGGGCTCATTTTGGACTATACCTTCTAGATTGGAGCAAATACTCTGAAATTCCTGGTTGAAGCTCGACACACTTTTGATGAGCTACTGCAGAACACAGAAGAGACCGCCCACCACGTGTCTTTGTATTAGCTTATCTGATCCTTGGAAATCTCCTGTTTTCCTTGTTTGCAATACGCCTCATTGCCGCTATACGCGGGCTGGAACTTGCATGCATGTGTCCTGCACGAGAAAAAGGATATTAAACTCGCTAACGTATTGATCAGAGTGTAAACTGAGAGATTTGGGAATTAGGCCAATTAGAGGATAATAGAGGGGAGAAAACGAAAGAGAATGGTGAGCGAGATAGATAGCCCAGCTTTACCGCATATAATCTCTATGAGGTTGGGCCTTGACCATATGAGAGAGTAAAACCTTTTCTGGATGTTGTAGATCGAACGGGCCACTAGTTTGAATGCACGACCGCAGTATGCAGACTCCTAGAACTCACCACAATACTTCTATCCAGATCAGAGCTTTTTTTTTCTTCAATATTCCGGGGCTTCAAATAGTTCCCGGCTACTGGACTAAAAAGTTGTGCAAGTTTAAGTCGTCCTGCTGTCGTTAAACCCTAATCGACGTAAGTACAGTCTCTTATTCTGACATGTGAATAGGTATTGCGAGGATATGGTGGGGGTATTAAGTGCATGCCGTATGCCTGCACCCAAGACTGTTCGGAAAACTGGGATTCTGTTGATAATTTCATCACCGTATGGAGACTCAGCCTCATTTGGAGACATAATTTATTCCTAAAGGTTAGTTAAATAGGATATTTTACTCTGAACTTGATTCTGTTTTAGGTATTAAATAAATTTAGCAGATTAATGTGTAGTCTAGACCGTACTGGAGTTACCTTACAGTACTCGTACACATAAACAAAGATTGAGGTATCTGTTGTACATCTAGTAGGTAATAGTGGATACTGTCAGCTAGCTAAAAGAGAATACTTTTGTACGTAAGATATAAACAAGAGAAGGGTGGTTGGCGACCTTATATACTGAGATGGATATGATTCCAGGGTGCCCGCTTATCGGAAGTAAGGGGAGAATGGGCTCCGACTTCCGTCTAGTTAAATGGCACCTTTACCACGGCACCAATAGGCATACATATCACCCTCACTGGTAAAAGTAAATTATATATCTATATTTATACTGATTGAGGGTTACCTACAGATTATTAGCGTTCGCGGACTATGTGACTATATTTAAAAGTAGAGTAAGTGGCCCTCCACACATTGGTTTAGAACCCCGATGAAATATCGAGACCGGTCAGACCAAAAATTTGTAACCACTCTCAACTTCCTAGTTTTTCTAAAGCTTTATAACCTTACAAGTACACTTTGATTACTCTCTGCAATGACAAAGGGGTTGTCGGTAATTCGATCTCCTAAACTGGTCTAGAGATACGTGCACCAACCGATGAGACATACATATCCTGCGTACACACTGAAAAAATTACTGGCCTATTGACGAAAAAAAATACGCGGTCTCGAAATAAACAGACACCAGGAACAACTGCTACCTTTTACATCATTTTTACGCATCAACCCAAAGAGGTACACGATGAAAGACTTGGCCCAATCACGAAAAGCAGTATACAACCCGAAATCCCTGCGCGGGGGCCTGAAGTCTAAGCAGGGAGGCGGTGCCAAGGCAAACGCCAACTCAGCCGCGTCGGCAAATCCGTCGAGCAAAGTCAACTTTTCCAAGATGAGCAATGCTAAACCAAAGGATAAGACAAAACAGGCTAAGGGCTACAAAACCCGGTTCCTGCACCGGACTCCCCAGCCCGACAAAGAAAACTTCTCCACCAATAACAATTACGTCGCCTTGGACAATCTCAACAGCGAGACGGAAAACGACTTGGACGAGTATGAACGATTCTTGTTAAATGAGAAACGGGGGGTTTCTAAGGGCGTACGCGTCCCCAAAAATGACGAACTCGTGCTTGTGGACTCAGAATCCGAGGTAGAGGAACCACAGAAGGTAACGGCAACTGGAAACTCGGGTAACGCCATGGCAGACCAGGAGGACTATATTGGGTTTGATTTCAGCTCCTCCGAGGATGAGACTGCCAACGACCGCTACAACGAAGGCGAAGACGAGTACAACTCTGAAGCATATCTCTCCAATGACGAAGGCTCGGCGCTACCAAATGCACAGAGACCGCGAGTCAACGACTTGTATCCGTGGGTGAAGAACCATGACCACAGCGCGGAGCAAGAAATCTCCGATTGGCTTACGATGGAGATTATGGACTTTATTGCGTACATCTCACCACTGGCTGCGGAGATCAAATCACGTAACGACGCCGTGAGACGTTTGCGCGACGCCATCACGGGGTTATGGCCCGACTGTGAGGTCCAGGTCTTTGGCTCCTACGCCACGGATTTGTATTTACCCGGTTCTGATATCGATATGGTGATTACCTCCGCCTCCGGGATGCAGTTTGACAACAGGCAGTGCTTGTTTCAGTTGTCATCCTTTCTCAGGAACCAGCGCTTGGGGGTGCAGGTAGAGCCCATTGCAAAGGCGAAGGTGCCAATCATCAAATTCGTGGAGCCGATCAGTAACATCCACATCGATGTTTCGTTTGAGAGAACCAACGGGCTCACCGCGGCCACACAAATTAGAAAGTGGTTGGACACAACACCTGGGCTTAGAGAGCTCGTGTTGGTTGTTAAGCAGTTTTTATCCTCGCGCAAGTTGAACAACGTGCATGTGGGAGGACTTGGCGGGTACTCCACCATCTGTCTTGTTTATGCGTACTTGAGATTGCATCCGCGACTCTCTACTCAGCATATTGACCCCTTGCAAAACTTGGGGTGTTTGCTCATCGAGTTCTTTGAGCTCTATGGTAACAACTTTGGCTACGATAACTTGATTGTGGCGGTGGACGACATGCAGGGCCCACGCTACTTGAATAGAAGATACCACCCGGATTTAGCTGCCGGCAGAAACCCCTTCTCCCTTGTAATTCAAGACCCGTCGGATCCGTCGAACAACATTTCACGTGGGTCCTTCAACTTGCGTGACTTGAAAAAGTCTTTCACCGGGGCATATGAGTTGTTATGCAGCCGCTGTTACGAGTTAAAGGGTGCATCGTACAAGGAGCGGTTGGGCCAGTCCATTCTAGGGAATGTCATCAAGTACAGGGGCACCCAGCGTGACTTCAACGACGATAGACACATCGTTGTGAATGAGGCCATAGACAACCAGGCCCCAGAGAAGAAGAGCATTGTCACCGGAAAGAAGTTTTCCCGGAAAATGACCCAGCAGGAGGAGATTTACTTTTCCGATATGACGATATCCAGCGACGAGGGGAAGTATGCTTCGGATCTGGACTAGCATGAATATGTATCGCATCACGGTCGTATCCCAAAAAGGGTGTACATAGGTAATGGAGCACTGATTATTGGTTATTTGCTGATAAATACACTGTCGGTAGGGAATAACTAGGCAGCGCGGACCTCGGTACAGTTTTAACGAGGTAAGTTTGGTATCCAGGACAGATCCATTTAGAAGGAGAAAGAAAGAATTACGGTTAAAAAGGGAGTTAAAATTAACTTATGTCGCAACTGGCCACAAACTTTGATGCATGAGCTTGTTGCTCGAAGATGCCAAGTATGTCTTATACCTACAGTCGTGAACTTTCTGGCGGAGGCACACTTTAGATGACCATATTTAATCCATGCCTCTATGTCTCAAGAGGTCTCTAGTGAAGAGAACGAATTATACTGGTCTGTTAATGCCGCATGTGTAAACCCCAAACTCGATATGTTCTTGAACTGCCCGGATGAAGATGCTTTGCACATATACTTGTAAAATCAAGCCAGACTATCTATTTTTATTCAATTTCTTACGGATGACGACTACAGCCTCCCTCTTGACGATCACCGCACTCTCATACCACACGGCTGTGAGCCTTTCACCTTGCCCAATCCTACAACGATTTTAACACGACTGCTCTTGTGAATCAGTCATTTAACTATGCAACCTTGAGATAAAACGCAAAGAGAAGACGCACAAACAACAACTTTGGTAGTGTCCTATGGTATTTCGTTTCCTATGCCTCTTGTGAGCCACCGGACCACAACAAAACTTGTCGGGCTCCGAAGGGAACAACAGAGCCTGCTTTTTGGGAGTCTCCTAACAATAGACCTACACTTTTGAAAAAAAAAAATTATCAATGTTTTTCATATGTATCATTGAGGTCATTTTGACGGTATAAGCTTGATCGCACAATTATACCCGGCTTTCTCCCTTCTCAATGATTCTAGTTTCAGCTCGAGCCACCAATAAGCAAAATCTTTCAGGGAGGGCTTTACAGCCAAAGAAAGCCCCCCGAATAGGTTTCAGCTAGAAGGTCCTCGTGAGAGGAAGTCACAACTTTCCGTTCTGTCTCTTGCTATGGACGACTAAAATAACTTCAATCATTCAAACTCTCACCCTTATCTATGCGTGAACGTATACTTCGGACATGAACCATCCTTTTTTTAGGGGTCTGAATAACCAGGGTAGGCGGTGTATAATTATTGACCTGCTAAGGTCGACCGAGAGCTCAATCCTAGAGGCGATTATAGCCGTTGGTAGCCGAGAATCCCCTTGTACGAGTTGTATCTAAGAAGATAAGCGCATCAGCCTGAAAGTGACGGGTATACGTAAACTCTTTGATTGTAATTATTGTTTGACGTTGACACCTCCTGGCCTATCAGATGGACGATTGCTATTCCTCTGGCGGGGAGTCGGCTAACATCAGCTCCACCGCTATTTTTGAGCCGGAAGCCAATGGCGGTCCATTACCGCAGGGAGTGATTGTCCACGCTTGCATTCTTCTAACCATGAGTTTGAGTCAAGGGCAACACATACAGTTTCTGCAAGACTTACACCGTCCCGCTTAATCTATCTTCCAATAGAAATAAGCATGGCGAAATCCATAGGGGTACTGCAGCTAGCTCTGCATAAGAACACGCACCGCGGCACCAGAGCGCTGCCAGCTTCCACAGTTCTCTCGCCTTCAGCTTATTATCGTTAAAGTTGACATATATGCGCCTGTGGCTCAACTTGAATTTCGGCATACAAGAATTTGTGTAGAACAACTGGCGATCTAACAACAAAAGACGGCTCAGATTCAAGACCCGGTATTTCCTACGGGCGTAAATTCGTGGTATGAGTTACCTTTTTTTGCACGTTACCCGTCCGAGACATGGCTCACGAATGCACTTATCTCCGCACTTCGGGATCTATCTCCGTTTCCCCCAGGGCCTGTCTCGTTGCCGCTAATGTGCTAGAGAGATAAGGCCTACAACTCCAAGTCCACGATCTGATTTTGCCACTTTATCAACGCTCCAGCTAAACCCTGATAGCGGCTCGTCGAAGACTTTACCGCGCCAAAATGTCGCCATGTCGGATATACATAGGGAATCTCGACAGCCTTCATCATGACTATAAATGTGCATGTGTCAATTACGCAGATCCGTACTAATAGCGAGTTAAGCTCACTACAGTGGAAACGGACCCCGAGCTAATGATATTGTATGCCGGATAATAAGTACATTTGGAATTCTTTTCCGCCCATGCGCCGAAATGCAACGTTGCAGGCCGATTTTCTGGGGGTGTACGGGTTTGCCGTTCGGTAAAGTGGCATGCATCACCCTCTAAGGTGACGTACATTTTGGTGCACAGTCGACATGACTCGTCAGGAGTATGCCTCACATAGGAATTACGACATTACACGCTTTTCTTCACACCGATCAGGTATCAGAAGAGCTCGTCAGGTTCCCCAGATAGCTGTCAGAAGTATGGTTTCGAGGTGTTTGGAATGGACGAAATATTGGCTTGAGCTTATAATTATATACGAATTTTGACGCAAATCAAATATGCTGTTGATCGAAACCCTGACAGGTGACGGAGTTTGAAGAGCGTTGCCATTTTGGGAAGCTAGCGTGCATTCCCTGCACATTTATCTAGCACTCCACAATCAGTTAGAGTTTTTACTAGTCAATTGTTCGATACTACGAAGTTTGCGGCGGTGAGGGTAAACGTTAAAAGATAACATGACCAGGACCAACTGTCCAACATGAAATCCGCAGCATTTCAGTAAATCTACAGCACGTATTTGCTCCCCATCTCGTGACCGTTTAGCTCCTGAGTCAAACAAATGGCTCTGTAATTCTTAAAGCTAAGACCATCTCACGCAACGTATTCCCGCTCACCCATAGTACTGCCTCTGTGTGACTTCCTGTGAGTCAAGCCACTCAGTTAATATCTCTAGTCCAGAAGATTCATTCAGCCTGGGATTTTATCTAACAATCGTGAAGCCACAATCTGGAGGCCCACAATCTATACACAGCGTTAGTTTGGATTCCCCTCTTTAATTGCTTTTTCCGTGACTGATACCCGATTGGCGATCGCGCGTACTCCCACAGATTTTTACGGGCTACGGGAAAATCTCACATCCGTATATATACACACCGTCAGCAGGAGAAAATTTCGGGCAAAACATAGATAGTGCAGGGCGATTAACGAGTCGAAAAAATCATCCACTGTATCATCGTTTCGATAACCACCTTTCTTGACCCCCTAGCTACCGTCCTCTTTCTAGTTGAACGCTGAATTTATAGCACCTTGGTATAACCTCTATGCTTGGCACCCCAAAGCACTAGTTTCAGCGAGACAAAGTATACTTGTTTTTTCGTCTTTTGCATCTACCATGTGGCCTTTTTCCCTCTCTCTCGTTGGCTTAAAGCAGCAGGAAGCTCCTCTGCTCAGATCCCATTTTCCCTTCCTCAACTTTGTACCAAGCTACTCCCCGCTCGGGTTCCTCTCCCCGATGAAGGCGTACTTTGCGCTGTTGAACTCACGGTTGATATACCGCTACAATGTGCTCATCTCGTCCTTGTTGATTAAAAACCGTCCTGCGCCCGGCAGACTTTTCCCTTACACCTTTGAGATCCTCGACTTGGACAACGACGCCCGCAGTCTGTTCCCGATTGCGTGTGCAGCTGACGATTTGGAGTTGGTATTCACCCATGACAACTCCAATGACTACTCCTACCTCATCCACAACCAGGTGGCTGGATACGAGCTGAACAACCGTGGCGTTAGCAGCAACTGCACCCAAACCGTCGACTATTCCTTCGGCGCAACCTCTAAACCTGAGTTCAACGGCGTGGACTACTACGGAATGGGCGCCATGAACGGCTACCTGTTGAGCCAGAGCTTGTATTATTCACAAAACGAACAGCCTGAGCGTGCGCAGTTCACAGAGTCAAATACCCCATACGCCTTTCTGACTCTTCCACCGGTGCCAGAGTTGCAGTCGCAGTTCGCAGCGAACGAGGTCCGTGGCTACAGTCGCTACCAACAGTCCTTTGAAACCCAGGAGCTTGAGCTCTCTATGAATGAGGAGTTCGGCGGGCTTGACGATGAGTTCATGCTCAGCCAGCGCAAGGTTTCCTTCCACGAACCTGCCGTGAATAGACACGGCCACATCACAGAGGCGTTGCTTAAAGATGAAGAGGATCTCTCACAGATCTTGCCTCCACCGTTGGTGTCGCACTACCATCACTTTCACGGGGAAAAGGAAAGAGCCGAAGGCTTGAACTCTGTGGAGTCTGTCATCGGGGGCTTCTTCGATAGTGATAGCTGTGGTGCTGCGAATACCGGCATGCGTTCGTTTGACCAGAGGCCGGCCCGGAAGTCGTACTCGGGCAACTCCATCGCCTCTCAGGGTTCACAGTCGCGCCACCACAGCTGCATCGAGGAAAGCGCTTCGTTCAGAAGCTCGCCTACTGCGTCTATCTCCTCTACCTCGGCGTCGTCTGTGTCTGAGCCGTGCTTTAAGAAGAGATCGTACTCGAACATTGAGGAGCAACCGTCATTTGACTCGTTGACCACCTCGTTCTCTGTAGCCGTGATCAAGCGGGCAAAACCGGCCAAAGCCCCTGAGGTGGGCCTTTTCAGTGTGAAGATGGAAGACTCTCCAGAGCCAATTTCGTTGTTGGAGTCCCAAAAACCACCGACCTTAATGTCTACCAGCTGCAAGCCAAGCTTCAGACTCACCCAGCCGCAGGCTGAGGTCATCCGGCCAAAACAGGAAGAGCCGGAGTACAGTACTATCCCAACCGGCACGGACATCTACAACTGTCTGATCTGCGAGGCCAGCTTCAAGGTCAAGGGCTACTTGACCCGCCACTTGAAGAAACACAGCTCTGCCAAGGCGTTTGTGTGTCCTTTCTTCAATGACCCCGAAGATACTAAGGAAACCCTCGAAGCTGATGTATCCAAGAGCGGTTCTGGCACCAAGTGCCACCCAACCGGTGGTTTCTCGCGTAAGGACACCTACAAGACCCACTTGAAGGCCCTCCACTTCATCTACCCACCAGGTACCAAGTCGAACAATCGTTCCGAGGTCGGCGGCAGATGTGCCGGCTGTTTCGAGTTCTTTGGCAACAACAATGTCTGGTTAGAGAAGCACATGGAGAAGCAGCAGTGTCCGGGGGTCGTCATAGGCTGTACCGATATGGATGAAGTTGACTGAGGTGAGCTTCTGTTATGATTTATGGTTTATGGTGGGTTTGTCCCGGTCGTCTGTTTTCTTTCTCCTATTTGTGTTTTACTATTTAATTGCATCACATCCGACTTTGTCATGTGAATATTACCCGTTCCTTCACTTCGTCGAAAAGCCGCCGGTTTCGGCTCCTTTCCAGGTCTTATCCAGACCTGTGTTCATATTTGTATTTCTTTATTAAACTTATTTATTGATTAACAGAGTGTAGAGCCGTGTGTACATCTTAGAGCCGGTTGAAACAGTACAAAGAGCGTGACTAAACCTTTAACACAGGAGTCAATATCAGGAATACCAACCCCCCCAGCCCAGCTACAACGAGCGCTTTCCTAGCAAGACTTCCCACGAAAAGTTTACTATTCTGTTAACACCCTGTTTACTAACCTGCTGTGTGTACTACACCACGTTGACAAACAATCACTGATAGCTCTCATTACCACATCAAGGATGGTTTTCCATTCTGGTCGTCTACCCCATGCTATATAAGCACTCACAAAAACCTCACATGTTACATATTTACTTTCATTAAGTGCCTTTTCTGGTTACATGTACTGATAAGGTGCCACATGGACCTTGTCTACGTGAATGGCTAAACCTCATTGCAGCTCGGCTTATACGTCACGTGAGAAACAAATATCAGATCGGATTGTTTGCATACAGGTATTGCGTGGCATAAGTAGAAATTCTCAAACATCCAATAGCCTCGAGACTGCCACCTCATTGGATTATGTTTGGGCTTGCTCCTGAATTACAGGGACAAGACTCCTTGCAGATAGGCGTATACTAGGAATATGATCAAATAACTTTGCCAAGCTGACATTTCCTGTCAAAAATCCTTGATCTCCCCATATTAACCTTCCACCACGTTAGATTAATGATTCCTGTACTACCTAACCTGTATTGTGTAAGCTCTGGTTTAGCGATGCCTCCTTACCATAGTGTCTGGCATGCATGAGCATTCACGTGAAACAAACTCGCATAAGTTTAAGACAAGCGCAAACAACATGTAACCACGAAGCCTCAGAATAATCGATAAAGTACAATCTATTACCTTTGTGTATCTTAGCATACCTACGTACTCTCTTGCCGTCTGCGACATCTGAGTCCATCGTTTTGCCTCGCGCGACTTATACCATGTTAGTCCGCTATAGCGCCATGTCTGATTTCCCAAACAAGCGTAACGTGCATACAACTTTCCGAGCGGATACATTTTGTTCGTACACGAACCGCCCCGCGTCGCGCATCCGTGTCCATATCAGAAAATCCACGAGGCTGGGTGATGGACCCATGACGAGGATGGTGAAGTAAGAAACTATAAAGCTGATAATATTAAATTAATCTCAAGGCTAGTCTCTATGGACAGTAAATAACGATACTTTTTAATTAAACAAATATATACTTAAACCCTAATACGGGATATAGAACTCTATGTAGGTGTGAGCTACAACTCACTGTTCCTGCAAGTGCGACTTTGTTTTTCTGCGGCGCTCCCACCAGACTTTTTCCCTAGCCGTTTTCTGTTGAGACAAAAATAGATTCGGGTATATCACACCTTCATCTTGCACACGTCTTCCACTCAGAAAGCTGTACCTGTACCATACGAATCTGGCCACAATCAGAAAGGACCTGAGGCTAACAAACAATCACGACGAATTAAGTTACAAAAGGATCGTGACGGCCTGAAATCATCAACAAGGCATCTGGAACAGACCAAGAACTTTGAATTGCTAAGCATCTGAAAACAAAGAACCTAGAAAAATACCAAAAACACAGAAAGACTATCTACCACATACTTTATATCCAAGAACCCGGAGGATTAAAGCCTTAGAATGGACAGATACACTCAGCGCCAATACACACACCCCAATTTCAACACTCCATCGCAGCTCGCGGTGGCAGTGGAAAAGGGGAATCCCATTGAGGAATACCACGAGCAGCTTCAAGATTATACGCGTGCGAATGCGCCAGCAGCCGTGGCTGCGGGTATGCCGCTCCAGCGGCTCCCCACGTTGCACGACGTGATCCAGCGCAAAACGCAGTCACCGCTCGATTTGTGGGCATTCTATGTGTACATGCGCGACCAGCATCATTCGATCGACTACTTGGACTTCTGGCTCGATGCGGCCAGCCACTTGAACCTCTGTAAACACTATGTGAAGGGCTTAGGTGACGGTGTGTTGAACAACAAGGCGAGCTTGCAGTTTCTCGAGCGCGAGCAACTCCACATCCAGCAGGCGCTCTGCGCAAACGATTCGGGTTCGTTTTCGTCTCGCGACACGCCGCGCGCGTCGCCCACCGACTATGATCTGAGTGGTACACGACGCAGCGCTCTTCAGCCGCTCAGCGAGGGCTCCGTCGACCTCGAGTATCTGGAAAAGAACGGCCTTGGAGAAAGCGGCTCCTTCCGTGCGCTAGATCCCGCAGGTGTCAGGCACAGTGCCACAACTGACGACAGCCCCTACCGCTCTGTGGACTCGTCCATTCTCTTGGAGTTGTTGAAGAAGGGGGACATCTTCGAGGAGGACAGCAACCATCGCTTATCACAGTTCTTGCGCGACGGCTTGTATATTGATTCTCCCCCAGAGCAGGAGCGCCCCCTTACGAATTACTACTACCGCGACTCAACTGCGTCGGAAGATGCGGAGGTGCTGCGCGATGGCACCGACCACCGCCACTCCTCTGTTCCGTTGCTAGGCGAGAATTTGTCCAACCGCTCCTTCAAGCGCAATTCGGTAGGTAACGACCGCACTCCTGTGGAGCACAAACGCCGCAGTAAGGCGTCCAGCCGTCGCATTTCATCTCTCAACCCCGAGATGCTCGAGCGTGCGCTCGCGAAAACGGACGACGCAACCACTCGTCTCGTCACGCGCGACCACCTTAAGGAATCCTCGCGCCACATTCTCCTCACGTACTTCGTTGACAATGCGCCGAAGAAACTCTTTCTTCCGGAATATATCACCACAGAGGTGGTGAAGGCGATCGAGATCGAAGGAAGGGACGACCCCGAGGTGTTCAGTTTAGCTAAGGACTGGGTCTTCAACGCGATGCAGGACGATGCCTTCCCTGGCTTCCTAGCCAGCTGCGGTATCTGCAATATAACCAATAAGTCGTACCTTGTGCGCATCGTACTCGGCATGTTCTTGTTGTTCTTGACCTTTTGGTTGGGCTACGCAATGATTTTTCTCGAAACCAAGAAGCACGATCGCGTGCCCATCTTCATCCCCTTCTTCGTCTCTTTTTACTTGATCCTCAGTGCCTTATACTACCTCTGTCCCGTGATGGTCTTCTGCGGCTTGGCCGAGAGCCCTGCGCTCAGGTGGGGTATCATCCGCTTGAAGGAACCGTTCATCAAGACTTTGTTGCGCAAGCGCTCTGTGTTTATCTTGTGTTGGATGGTATTTTTGACTGCCGCATTCAGTTTGGTCTTTATTCTTGTCCCTGGCGCCCGCTTGTGAACCCTGCATGGTATCCCAGACGAAACAAGGTATTGATCTAGGAAGTAATCAATGCTCATTTTTCGGGTAATCCATTGAGCTAGTCTAGCGGCAATTGAAATAGATGTTCATATCACTTAATATCTAAAGACTATTATTGAAAAGAAGGGTTTAATAAGGGACTAATAGTTTCATTTCTTAAACAAATATGCACCCCGTAAGGATATCTATATTAATTTTTATTCACATATGTATGTATAAATATTAATATATACATATTAACGTATATATACGCACGTACATAGCCATTTCCCCCATATCTACAGCATCCAATTACACTTAGAATAAAAGATATAAACTTCTATAGTCCGCATCTCACGTAAGCCGCAATGTGCATAGTTATATATAGAGAAAGGCTTCATCAGAAATAAAGACTGAGTAGAGAGGATTATCGCCTGAGTCATACCACGAGGCAATAGAGAGACTAAACCATGAGAATAGTTTCTAGTGATCATCAAACAGGTGGGCCAGTAAATATCGCGCTTCGCTGAATACTGGCTTACAACCCTTTGAGCAAACGGGTGATCTCGTTCATGCCGCCGACATTGGCCTGGGCCAACTTCGTCTTCACGGTTTCGACCACATCACTAATACTAACAATCACCTCACCATCTTCGGTATCGGTGAACTCTGGCCCCAAGAGCTTGACCTTGACCTGGCCGTTGGCCTGCTCGTCCTTCCCCAAGATGACGGCCACTGGACAGCCGGCCTTCTCAGCAGACTCGAACTGCTTTCTTGGATTCGCCTTGACCTTGTACAAGTACTCGGCCTCGATACCTGCAGCCCACAACTTCTTGGTGATGGACATTCTCTCCTTTAAGAAGCCGTCACCGAAGGCCATGACGTAGACCTGGGTGGCAGTTGGACGAATCTTATCCGCCTGCTGCTGTCTCATTTTGATCAAGGAGAAGATTCTCTCAACACCGAACGAAATACCAACACACGGAATCGACGCCTTTTTACCGTTGGCACCGGCAAACATACCGACCAAACCATCGTAGCGGCCACCGGCAGCGATGGAACCGACACCAACAAAGTCCGAGGCATCCTCAACCTCACCATCCTTGCTCTTCTTAGCCTTCTTCTTCAAATCATCGGCGTTGGTTGGTGCGGAGGAGGCCTCAGTTACGGCCTCGTAGATGAGACCGGTGTAGTAGTCTAACCCTCTGGCCAAGGAAAGGTCGAAAGAGACAAATGGCGAGATTTCAAAGGCCTCCAAGTACTCAGCTAAGATTTCCATCTCCTCCAAGCCGGCAGCGGCAGAGGCGTTGGCCAAAATGAGCTCGTCCTTCTTCAACTCTGCAATGGTTTCTCTCACAGTGCCCTTCAACTTGACATACTCACCGATCTTGTCGGCAACCTCCTCTGGCTGGTTCTTGTCGACAACCATCTCTTTTTTGACAGCGGCCCACGGCAACTTGTCCATCTTGTCGACCGCAGAGGAGACCTTTCTAACGTCTTCTTCTTTGACACCGCAGACCTCGAAGATCCCATCTAAGACCTTTCTGTGGTTTAACTTGATCTTGAAGTCCTGGATCCCCAAGTTGGTCAACCCTTCAACCAAAATGCACAAAATCTCTGCATCTGGTACCATCTTGTCGTAAGTCCCCGCGACGTCGAAATCGCACTGATAGAACTCTCTCATTCTGCCCTTGGTCATCGCCGGCTGGTCACGTCTGTATACCTTGGCGATGTGGTAGCGCTTGATGGCCTGGATGTTGTTCATGGCGACAAATCTGGCAAATGGCACTGTCAAGTCGTATCTCAACGAGGTCAACTCACCCCCCTGGTCCTCAAGGTTGTAGATTAACTTGGAGTCCTCACCGTACTTACCCGCCAAGATCTCTCTTAACTCGAAGACAGGAGTGTCGATAGTCACACCGCCGTGTCTTTTGAACATGGAAGAAAGCGACTGAAAGATGGCCTCTCTGATGACCATGTCCTTGTCGGCCCAGTCCTTGGACCCCTTAGGCGTCTTCAACTGGAACTGCTCCTTCTTTGCCTTTTTCTCCTTTGGCTTGCGCATTACCGGAGCTTCAGCAGCAACTGGGACAACTGGAATTTCACTAGGGGCAGACATGTTTCTTCTTAGCAATGGAATGATTCTCCTGAACATAAATATCTGGTAATACCGTTTGGTGCTAACAACTTTTTTTTTGCTTCGTCAATGCCCTGCACAAAAATTCGCCAACACGAAAAGTGTGTCACTACCAACGAAGCTGGAGATAAGCTGAGCGCACAAGGCACGTGACAGGGGACAGTGGTGACAGTTTGGAGGAGACAAAAAACATTTACATCCGTCAGTAAGCACTGAGGTAGCACAGAAATTGGAAGTGTACCACAGACGCCTGAAAGTTCGAACTTCATACCCCACTCGTACCTTTATGGTGACTGAGCTGTGAAAGTTGTTACAGAAGACCTATCGTCTTGGGGGTACTACAAGATACATCGTTCCAGAGTAACTTATTTTTCTTTTTAACGATACCCGTCTGAATATACAATTAATAATACATAGAATGTCAAGACAGAAAGTGCCTATGAGAAACGCCTGACTACCGGCTTGTCGGGCAGGCTTTAGGAAAATCTTTGGACAACAGAGTCTACCCCGAACTCCTCGTAATCCTGCTTACTCACAAATAAGCCCTCGCCGCTGTCAAAGCCGCTGACCAAGCCGTCATCACCGATGGATGACAAACAGCTGGCGCCGACCCAACTGCCAAACTTTCTCTCAACACTATTGATACCGGAGCTGGAGTAGTACGAGATATTGAAGTTGGGCAAAAAGCGGTTCAAATCATTCAAAAGGCGGGTCTCCAAGCCCTGCAACAACGACCCACCACCCGTTATGATTATGTTCGACAACAACTGCCCGTAGACGTCACCGTTGGCCTCAAGCGACTTCAAGGACGCCAACACGAGCTCCATCAACCCACCGGTCTGTTGCTGCGGGCCGCCCGCCGCCGATGGCGCAATTGTATACGGCGGAGGCAAAGCGTACGAGATTGGCTGGAACAATGGCTCCGCCAAGTGCAACTGCTCGGGGCCGCACGGCAAAACCTTACCGTCGGGTAACTGGTAGTGCTTTAAACCGGTTTGGTACTGCTGCAGGAGCGATAAGGGGAAGTTCGAGAGCGCGGTGATCGAGGACTTGAAATCGTCCAAGACGGATCCGATCTGGTACGTCTTAAACGACTGAGACACCGCCACGTTGGCAAAACGCGCGGGCAACAAGCTGTCCAACTTAAGTCCATGGGTGGTGGTGAGGTAGTTCATTACGTGCAAGTCCAAAAAGTCCCCGGCAAAGCGGGAGTGTTTGAGACCCTTGGCGAGGATAGCACCGTCCAAAATTGGGGTCACACTTGCAACGGAGCTGCCGATATCGATTACCAAGCCCGTGGCCTTGCCCATACCATATGTCACACAGAGTGGGCTCTTGACCAAGCTGAAGATTGGCACTTGGAGGTTTTCAAACGCCAACTCGCAGGTTTTGGCCTTATTGGCAGCCGTGTTCCATACGTTTTCCGTCATCACCAACGGCGACTCCTGAGGTACCAATTGGAGCGACGCGTAGACGTGCTCCCAGTTGTATATGATGTTGTCCCAGTTGTATATCATTCCGTGTTTCATAAGCGTGTACACGTCGTTCGCGGGATGTGCATGGATTTCGTCGCCCACCACCACCTCCTGGGTGTTGGCGTTCTGGGAGTAACTGGTAGGGAAGACAAGAGACGGAATCTCATCACTCGAGACACCGGCCTTGGTGGTCGCGGCACCGTTGTCAATAACCACAGAGGCGATCGTGCTATCCATGTTCGTTGGGGGTGATGGATTGAGTGGGGAGTAAACACAAAACGAGGTTCAGAAAAACGCGTTAGCGAGGTTCATTATTATGGTAATGGCACGACCAAACGAGTGCGAAGCGTAGGTCGGATTTGGGTAGCAAGGGGAGCCTAGGACGAGGCTTTGTCGATAGAGGGGTCGGGAGAAGCTAAGCTATGGTTTATGAGAATTTAACGGCGTTATTTCTTGCGAATAAATGGAAGCTGTTTGGCTCAAGTCAGTTTGGTTAGGTTTGTAGGGTGGGTGACTGAGGCATGTGACACTGGAGAGGCCCCAGAAACTAGTCAGCGGTGCAGGATATTATTGGATTAAGAGGATTCTGCGGCATTTCCTAATAGTGTTAAATTAATATTCATTTATTTTGCATAATAAATCAGTGATGCTTGGTCGATGCAAACGTGAAAGGTGACATTAGCCGTTGTGTCCACATGCATGCTTAGGGTCGAATGGTACTTTATGCTGTACTTTATGCTGTACTTTAACCGAAAAAACATCTTGAACTATTGCGTTTGACTTATCATAAACTTGGGTTATTTCACTTTTCTTTACAGTTGTATTTGGTTATCTGACAGCTGCCAATAAAAATGCTTGCATTGATTAACAGTAAGATATTCGCATAGTTGGTGATACCAGAAGTTAGAAAAAGGTCAAATACTCTTCCGCTTTCTTCAGAGATTCATTAATTTTGAAAAATTCTGTTTATACAGTATCATTCATCCATGATTTTCCCAGGTCTTTACACCAACATCTAGATTTTTATTCCGTGACCCGAGCTCATTTACAGGGTATTTGCAAGACAACTAGATACATCACGTCTAGGCTAGGCACTTACTGAATACAGACTCGATAGACGTGTTACCTACTTATGATAAGATACCACAGGAATACCCTAGGTACGGACTAGAACGCTTTATCGCTTTCAGACAATTGGATATATTACCCCATCTGGGGCTAGAAATTATCCAGAACGTGTGGTAGCAACTTATGAACAACTAATGCTCGAATATAAAATAAGCATAAGATTCCTAAATGGTCATCAAACCAAGCCTATTCTCGATACAGCATTCCATGCTACCTTCCCTCACGAAGGGGATATAAAATTTCAACCTCTCAGCTCTTTACGCACGGGAGAGGCAATCTACACCAATAGGGGCTTATATTTTCATATTTCTCCCCTAAGATACCTGTGTCCTTTCCGTGCACTCAAAATGTGACACTAGTCGTAGAGGAAAATGTATATTAACCAGCCGTATGTACCAACCTGTGGCTCGAGCCAAAACATAAACAAAGGAAAGCCACCTAAGCATCCTTATCTACTTCTCATCCAAACTCAATTTGCTCACTCCAAGAGACATCCGAACTGGCCCGTCGGATAAGATACGCTTGCCCCAGTTACCGGCAGCGGGATCTCCCGTCTCGTCACGACACTGCTTCAAGAATGGCAACAAACTTGTACCACCAGTGCCCTTAGCGTCCTTTACGTCCTTGCTCTTGGCCAACCCAGAACGCAACGTGCTGGAGGAGCCAGAGCGCGCGGCCAGTTGCGCCTGGATGATGATGTAACGCGTGACAATTTGAATGTGCTTATCACGGAACGCCTTGAGCATTGCGAGACACGAGTCGTAGCTAAGAATGAGCTCGGAGTTGGCAGCAGAGTGCTTCATCACAAATGCACGGATATTGGCGACCTGGTCTAAATGCTCGAGGAAACGCGTGTGTGGGCCTGGCATGTACTCACGCATCTCATGTATGAAGTTTGATTCGCCGTCGGCGGCCGCGACAGGAGCATTGGGGGTCGGTCTCTGACCTGTGGTGTAGTGCTTGACGTCGAGAAGGATGTCTAACGCCTGGATGAGAGAGGATTGGGCGTTGGAGCCCCCAGAATACATCCGCGGAGTCTCTTCATTCCCGTAATAAACCCCATTGGCCAAGCCAGCGTCTTTCATGCCCTTCCAGCCAGCCAAAAACGGCCGGATCCGAAAGTAGAACGCGTGCGGGTCGCACATCTCCTCCATGCGCATCAACACGGATCCAAGTTTGTCAATTGACTCAGCTAAGCTCTGCAAGTGCGCGATGACGCGCACGATATCGTCGTCGCGCGCAGCTTGAATCACCTTTAACCCCTCAGCCACACAGAATGCACCCATATACTCGAAGTATACACTCACAAGATAGAACCAGCTCTCGTCGATGGACCCGGTATATGTGTTGATGGTCATCAAGTTGTCCAAGTCCCAATTCTCCGGCTGGGCCATGCTAGTTCCGACTGGCACAATCGGCTTAAAGTTCCAGAGACAAACCGCGGCATAAGTGGCAACCGGTGGTAATTCCAAAAGCTCACTCACTGCAAGGTATGGCTCTGCCAACTGTTTTGGGAGACGGTCCGTCGGTTGGTCGACATTCCAGATGTATCCGTGCACCAAAAACGAGAGACAGACGTACGCGCGGCGGTGTTCGCGCGCCGTGGTTAAGCGATTGATGGACAATACTGGAATCTTGTCCACAAGACTGCGGAGGCGTTTAGTCAAGATGAGTGACGGCAAAACCGCCGCAAGATCCTCCCACGGGTTGTAATACGCCTGCGGTAATCTGTCTAACGGAAACTCAGAGGGCAAGAACCCTGTGTAAGGCGAAACATCGTAATCTTCCATGCGTGGAAGAGGAAGTGTGTCCAGCATCAAAACGGGATATTTATATACGAAAAGGGTCGGAATATCAGGTACGGTTATGTCAGGGTATAATGGTGAGGTGAATGAAATTTTCTGTGAAAAATTAGCGGTATAAAATTTTGTGCACAGAAGGCGCAAGACAGCTATATATATAATGGCATCATTCCCACATAGAGCAGGAAAAACTGTGTCGAATATTAGGTTAGACTCGGCACTCACGTGCCGGGAGGGGACAATCGGGGGTACCGGTCAGCCGTTGGGGGAGGGGTAAGCGGGACATCCAAGAACCGCTCAAGTGACCCTTTAAATTAAAGCTGCACCATAAACGAGATGTTACCGATGTGTTAGTGTTGGATGAATATTTTACACATCTTTACTATGGTCTTTGGCTTGTGCATTCGTAAAGACGGCATCACGTGTGACAACTATTTGTAAGCAGACGTTCCGACTAGCGCCGATAGCGGATAACCTAATTTAATTGGGATTTAGCACAACTGCTTAAATAAAAAATGACCAAACGCTGCACCGCTTTTAACCGTCACTACCCACTTGTAAGCGCTCTTTCGGTGTATATCATGCGATTTCATTTTATGGCGCTATCTCCGTCATGTTTCTTTCGAGTTAGGGAGTCGCATGCAAAAGGCGACTAGCCCATCCGCCTCTGTCTTGTCCGTACCGCCATCCGCTGTTCAGTTGGTAACCTCCATTCCGTCTAGATATTAATACCAGCGGCTTTTCTTCTCCATTTATGTCCAGTACATTGTTACCGATGATTCTTCTTCTGGGTCAATCCGTTTTACACTAATTATTCCTCGCATTATGCCTATGGAATCTTCGATTGAAGATACCCACCTTGGAGCCGTTTAAATGTAGTAGTACCTTTTGGCAGCTAGAGCCTAATCTTAAAGTTTAAGAATCTCCCAATTACCGAAAGTTATGCAATCTCAATCAATGACCAAAAGTTATTTAATCCCGACTACTTGACAAAAGTCAGATAATCCCAATTATTCCCGGCTTCATCCGCTTTTGCTTTCTTTTTCACGTGTTCCTTTTCGCGCATTTATTTTCGCGAACGCCATCACCAAAACAAAACACTACGAAAAAAAATGCAAACCTGAACCAGATCTGATACTCAAGCGCCTCTTGTCTTTCCACCGCTTATCCCTTCATTGCATACACACACCATGGATAGGAAAGGCAAGACGCGCACGCTTTTCATCCCCAACAATGTCATTGACGCCGCCACCCAACGGCTCTTTGTCGTATCCTTCTTTGTGCTTGTGCAGGCGTATAAGCTCTACGACTTGGTGGTGCTTAAGGCGGTCGTGCCCGTGGCTGGTGCATACACAAATCAGCAGTTGGGGTTTGTAATCAAGTATTTCCTCCTTGATGGGCTTTTCCTCTGGTCATTGCCGGTGTTGAATATCCCGTTGTTGACGTTTCTGCCGCTCACGGTGTTGTGCCAGACCATGGCGCTTCTGACGCTCACGTTATTTCTCGCCAGCAGTATGGCGCTTCCATTCAGCGGGATATTTCTATCTCTCTGGAAGCTCTTTTTCGACCGCGAGGTGACTATTGCGGGAGATTCGGTCAATCCCAGCGACGTCTACGACTACGCTGCGCACTTCAGGGGCCGCCATACAGTCAAGTTTCTTCCCGACTCATCTGCCCGACTCAACCCCTTCAACGACCGGTTCTGTTTTGCCGACGAGCCAGTGTATGTGCCGATCCAGTTCAACGCCAGTGAGGTTGCCTTTGTCCAGGTCCAACATACATCGTTCTCGAACCAGGTCACCTTGCTTAACTACACCAATGCGGAAATCCTGCGCTGGACACGTGATACAGCGCATCTTCAAGACCAGGCTGATGAGGATTCGGTCTTCTACCTCGAGTTGCCCATTTCCGAACCCGGCCACTACCGCTTGAAACAGGTGCTTGACCCCAAACAGTTTGGCGTGAAGTTATACAGACATGATTTGTTTGTGCCGGAGTGTCCGTCTGTACGCTTCTCTCTGGTCAGATGGGGCACTAAGTGCATCCACACCGACGATGATATGGCCGTGGCTGTCTCCGGTGTTCCACCATTCACCGTACAATATTCCGTCTCGATAAACGGCCAGACTGAGACGTTTCCGCCACAAATTATCCCCCCAGAGGATCTACCTCCATTAGATCGTTCCCAGATGAAGGACATTGCATGGGGAAAGCTGGTGCGCATGGAGGTTCCACTTGGCTACCATATCGTGAAGCCTGGAAAGCACGCAATTGTCATCAGCCGTCTTGTTGATGGTTTTGGAAATTCGTTTGACTTCAACGTGCGGTCAAGAGACCCTGAAATCTACTATGGCTTCACGGCGTACGACGTTCCGACGGTAAGCTTGGTCGACCCGCTGGGTCTACCGATTCTCGTGGGCGGCGAGAAGAAGCTCCTCGTAGATGTCGCAGGGGGTTTCAGAAAGGGTGACGCCCCGTACACCGCAGAAATGGCCTATATTCACGAAGACCCCGCATTGAGCTACAATTTTACCCAACAGTTTGTTAATACCAACTCCCTTGTGGTTTCCAAACCGGGTAAGTATATTTTGCGCAACGTGCACACCAAGTACTGTGGTGCATTCGTGGGTAAGGCAGAAGTTCTGGTGAAATTGGTGCCAAAGCCAACGGTGGCGATTGCTGCGGCGCCGATTATTGACCGCTGTGTGGGCACCACTGGCTACACATTTGATTTCAACTTCACGGGGTCTGCGCCGTATGAGGTGGACTACCTGGTGAATAAGCTTGTCCACGGGGAGGAGGTTCCGGTGTCGTTCCAAACGATTCGATCACCCGAACTGCACCACATCGTGGAGTACCAGCCTAAGAACGCGGGCGATTACATAATCTACTTCAGCGCGTTACGGGACAAGTTTTACCGAAAAATAACGCCGTTAGATAGAGAACTCCACACGTACAAGACCTACTTTACGAAAAAGTCGCGTGCCGTTTTCGGAAAAACCCACTACGATGTTTGCCACAACCGCACAGCTGTTGTTTTAGTTGCCTTGGAGGGCAGCGCACCGTTCGCACTTTCCTACCAGATCACCAACCCGAAAGGCCAAGTTAAATCCTACGCCGAAAAGGGCATCACCGCCAATACGTTTGAGATTCAGACCCCGTTGCTCGCACAGAGCGGGGATTACCAGGTGGAGATCACTAACGCCAAGGACAAGAGCGGATGCGATGTTGAATTCAGCGGAGCCGCTAGGATCCGGGTAAAGCCCGCGGTGCCTCATCTCACGTTTAAAAAACAGGAGAAGATTAAGATCGTTGAGGGCAGTGAGGTGGTGGTTCCGCTTAGTGCCAAGAGCATTCAGGACTTGAGCTATAGCCTCAATGGGAAGATCAATAAGCTCGTCGACGGCGCCAAAGGCTTTACTGTTCGTCAAAACGGGATGTACAAGCTCCTTGGGTACAAGCAGAGCGACTGCCCCGGTACGGCATCCGGTTCTATCACCGTGGAGTATTATCCAAAGCCAGACATGAGGGCCACAAATGTCACATCTATGGGGCCGAGCCAGTGGCTGGCTGACTCCTTCTGCCAGCATTGCGAGCGCACCTTTGATGTGGTGTTGTCTGGCACCGCCCCCTTTACGGTAGAATACGAACTCATCCATCCGTCGGGAAAGACTGAGCACTTGGTGGAAGTTGTGACTTCCAATGCATTTACTTTTGGAATGGCCTCTGCGGAGAGTGGTAGATACGAATACAGCTTCACCGGGGTGTACGACTTTTATTACACAAAATCTGCCATGCGGTCGGTGGCGCCCGCCTTTGATCCGTTCAGCGTCAGCTACACCGTCAATGCGTTGCCCGACGCGCACTTGGGCACCAAAACGTACCGTTTCCAGACGTGCCAGGGCAATATTGGCTCCCCGGAGTTGTTGAATCCGGTTCCGTTGACCGTGCAAGGAGCTGCGCCTTTTGACGTCACGTTGAAAATCACCCACAATACCGGGAATTCCGAGGAACGTGTCTTGCAGGTCAGTAGTCTCGAGCATAGCATGTACGATGTGTACAACGGCTTGGACATGGGTTCACACGTGGTAACTATCGTCCAAGTAGTTGACGGAAACGGGTGCGTCAGCACTGGTTTCTCTGAGTTCAATAACGTGGTCATTACCATCACCGAGGTGCCCAAGATTGAAAGAGTCACCTCCCGTGAGCACTACTGTGTGGGGGATCACGTGAGCTACGAGTTTTTTGGGGTCTCTCCATTTGCCATATACTATACCTTTGATAGTGTTCCACAGAGGGCTGAGGTCTCCAAATCATTTACCCGTTTGGCGTCCAAGCCAGGCGAGTTGGCCGTCATGGCAATCTCCGACTCCTCCTCTGCATGTCTTGTGAACTTTACCAAGCCCGAGCTCCGCGAGCAGTTTGAAAGTTTGAAGTTGTATGTGCATCCGTTACCGTCAGTCATTGTTTCCCAGGGTGAATACGTTGTAGAAGACATCTACGAAGGTGACCAGGCGGAAGTGTTATTTACCTTTGAAGGGACGCCTCCGTTTACCTTGACCTACACCCGGACCGTGGAGGCTGACAGAAAGCACCGCAAGCCTAGAATCTTCGAGACGGAAACGATCAACGATATCTGGGAGTATGAACACATCATTCTCACCAGCTTGCAGGGTACGTACGAGGCCATTGAGGTCGCGGACGCCTTCTGTGTGGCTAGAAACCACAAGTAACCAAGGGAGACAAACACTGCATCTTCTCCCTCTGTACATTATTTCTCCCTTCCTGGCCATCCTGGGAGTATACATGGTAATTCTGATACATTTAATGTAGGGGGATATATCCATAGGTCTAATCGTTTGGCATCATGGTATTGGTGACAAAGACCGACAGGCAATATGAGTTGCATAACTTTCCTTAGGGCAGCTGTAAACCCTCCCTCCCCTTTAATTTCTTAAAAATTAAATCCCAGTGCCATTACCCCAAACTGAATATCGTAGCCGATTTATGGATTTGGAATATTTACACCTAAGTTCTAAATTAGCTCCGATTGAATATTAACACTGTTTAAGCTTCACCGGAAGAGAAAAGAAAAAAATAGTAGTACATGAGGAATTAAATCTTTATAAACGACCTATCTCCTGGTGGTCTTTTTCGTTTTAGTGTATCTAGACTTGGACTGAATGGGGACAGGCGCCGGTAAAGTACCACAGTAATTTGTTTGTAAGACCGGAATGGTCTTGCTCACCTCGAGTCCCAACAGTTCTGGACCCGACAACTCACCAACCAAGGAGGCCAATAACCGCCTGACCTTGAAGTAAATGTCGCGTTCCTTCGCAGAGGGTGGCACCACACTGCCAGGAGTGGACCTCAAGGATCGCTTCTGTCTAAGCTTGTTGAGATCAATCAAAAGACGGCTGGCGAGCTCCTGTTCGGTGTGGTTTTCCGCCGCTTCAATCTCATCAGCGTCGATGGTGTTGGCTGGGTTCCACTCGAAGAGGTTCACCATGTTGATTTCTGGGCCTGGGCCGTCATCTATGTCCTCCGCAGGCTCGGAGCCTGAAGCCTCTGGGTTTTGGGAGGGGTCAGCGTCGTTCATCTCGACATCTTCTGCTGGCTCGGTAAACTTCCCGTTTGTGATAGGTTTTGGGGCATCAGAGATTTCTGCCGAGTCAGTAGCTTTGATATCTTCCTTAACCGCCGTTTCATTGATTTCCTCTCCTGTCTCATTAATTTCCTTCTCTGCTTCATTGATTTCCCCTCCCTCCTCTCCTTCATCAATGTCTTCCTTGGCCTTTATTTCAGTTTCTTCAATATCTTCCCCTGCGAGCTTTCTCGCTTCCTGTTCACGCATTTTCACGATATTTGCGTCATACGCAGCTCTAATCTCTCGCAACTCCTTCGTCCCCATTTGCTCCAACCACACGCTGGTCTTTGTTTCGTTGCAGATGACCGCGCCGGTCTCATCAACGGTGGGAGCAAAACTGGTATCGCTCTCGCGGTTTTCGAGCCAGGTGGCGATAGGCAATGAGAACCAATTTGGGTGGAAGAAGCGGGGCATTATCTCTGTTGGAGGGATAGTTGGGGCCAGGATTTTTGACGAGTGTGGCAGCACCACTCCTAAGGAGACCGGGGCGGCAGTGGAGGACTGGGCAATGATTTGTACCGGCTGGAAGGGATCTGGAAGGTCTATCGTGCGCTCGTCAAGCACAGATTTGCGGTTGAGCGACGAAAACAACGGGAGATTCAGACTGGATGTGACGACAAACGCCTCGCCATTTGCCGCTGTGAACGCGGTAGATATTCTGTAGAACTCCTTTGCGAGGAACGTCTCAAACTGCGACGGTTTTTCCGCAAGTGCCTGTGCGTTTCGGCGCGCGGAGAGCTCACGAACGGACACGCCTAAGCGGTGCGCTTCTCTCATCAACAACTCCACGGACACTTTGTAGAAAAAGTCCACGTCCTGATACGCGGGCGATCCGATGGTCTGCTGGGCAATAAGAATAATAGACGCCAACTTGAGGTCGTGGAAGATACTGTATATGCCGGTGTAGTGCTTGGCGCCGTAACGGTCTGCGATTGTGGTGTATTCGTCCTCTACCCTATCACTATTCTCGGCCTTTTCCGCCTCCTTTTGCGCAATGTGGGTAAAGTAGGCGTCGGAAATATTTGCAGGTTCGTCCTCGTGTATCGCAACCGGAATGGGACACTCCATCACCTTCGAGGTGCGATCCGCATCCGCGAGGACCGTAAACAAGTGGTTCACGAATTCGGTGAATAGCGGTTCTAGCGGTGTTAGTACTGTACTATCGGCTATGGGTGTTATACGTACCTGTTGCGTCGGAAGTCATAGCGGAGCTGTCTTTGTGGTCAGTGTATGTGGTTTTAGAGCGGGACTGCATAGACTGTCTGTTTTACTAGCGTGTTATGGAAAAACTGAACATCGTGGACGCGATTTTGGCGGTGGTTGGAAATGGAAAAAGAAAAGGAAAAGCTGCGAACGCGTTTTGCCGCGCACGACCTGGGAGGTTGGAATGAGACCACGGGCAGTCTCGGTTCCATGGAGATGGAGTTCTAAATATCGGTTGAATCTTACTGATTTGGAAGATGCCCCACCTCGTTATAAGACATGGGCGTGGATGTCTGGTTGTAAGATGCGTCTTAAAGAATGTGTATAGCTAAATGTAGTTCCAGTAGCAACACCCACATTGCGCGCTGTTGTATATGCGCACATTGTTTACATAACAAATGGGCAGACATCCCAACCGTGGAAATATGATCGCACCAATACATATCAGTGCTGTTATCAATTCATAGTTTCTGAAAAAAATACAAGATATGCCTCCGGAATCGAAAGCACAGATCGGCATTCTCCACGCTGTAGGACGGTATGATTATTTATTATGGTTTCGGATTCTATGCACACACTTTTAGAGGTATACTTTAAGGTCTTTTGCGTATTATTTTTTTTGGATTCAGTTTTCCTATATCTCCCGGACGAACTTTGGAAGAGGCATTATCTTTATTTTACGGAGAAAACCTAGAGTAAAGCGTGCCTGGGATCAGTGCGATTATTACGACAAGCTTTGTATGTATCTACTAGTCATATCGAATAAACTCGAAACCATACTATATCCAAGAATTTTATTTATACATTTACATGTCACTTTGGACGTCGTGCCTCTGCTTTACAGCCGTTCTTGCTAGAACACATCCTCCCCCCGGAACAAAAGCGAAGAGATAAAAAACAAGTTCAAAAACGTGATAAGACACCACGTAGAAACGGCCGCAAAGGTCAATAACCGACCGTTAGCGTAGTTCTTATACTTTTTCCCGCCTACAACCACCACCGATGCATCTCCAAGTAGGCTCGTCTGTTCGTGGCTCTGCTCTTCGCTCTCATCCAATTCTACCATCATGTACTTTGGTACGGAGGTAAAGTAGATGAGCGGTGCACTGACGAGGGGCAAGATCAAACTCAATACGACCTGACTGCCGTTGAGAATTTCCGCGACCCCAGACCTGCCGGTGCCCAAAACCACTGCGATGCACGGAACGATGGCTAGCATTCGCGTGATGAGGCGTCTCACCCAGGGGGAGAACCTCCACTGGACGAAACCCTCGCTGACGATCTGACCTGCCATCGTGCATACAATTCCGGCGGACTGCCCGGAACAGAGCATCGCAAGCGCAAAGATTAGCCCGGCCGCGGGGGAGATGTACGTGCTCAACATTTCGTAGATTGAGAGCAAATCGGCATCCTCCGCGCCAGGTTTCTGGTACAATGTGGCCCCGGAAACGATCAAAATGGCAGAGTTGATGAACATAGCAATAAGGAAGAGAGAGCTGATGAGCTCCGCGTACGAGTAGTTGAGACAGTAGTTTAGCGCAGACACGCTCGGTTTGTACTTGCGGTCCAAGTCCTGAGACATGGCGGCCAGATGGTTCTCCTCCTGGGTGTACCGGCCGTGTTTTATATCATATTCTTTCAAACGCGGCTGGGCCAAGGCCGAGCCTAGGTACAAAGAGTGTGGCATAACCGTTGCGCCCAAGAGCCCAAGCGAGATATACAACGCTTTGTGTTCTGTTAACTCCTTGGATGGCAAAAATCCGCGCCAGACCGCTGTCTTATCTGGAACATCGATTTTGAAAAGTTCGAGCACAAAGCAGACACACGTCGCGAGCACGAGCAAGCTCACAAAAACCTCAAAGCCGCGCACCTGTTTCATCAGTCCGGACTCGGGCTTATACGCCATTAGGATAATTAGCACGTCTAAAATGGTGAGCAAAACTCCGTAGAGGAGCGGGATATGGAATAAGATGTTAAGGGCAATGGCGGTCCCGACAACTTCCGCAAGATCTGTCGCGATGATCGCCAACTCGGCAAACGCGTATAACGCGTAGTTCCACCGCCGAGGGAAGTGTTTGCGGCACATTTCCGCCAAGTCAAGCCCCGTAACGGAACCAAGCTTGATACAGAGACATTGCAAGAGCACCGCAAATAGGTTTGAAGCGAAGATCGCGAATAGAAGCTTGTACTGGTAGTTTCCGCCGGCACTAACCGCCTCAGAGTAGTTTCCAGGGTCGAAATATGCGACAGACACCATAATTCCCGGGCCCAAAAACGTTGTAAACTTTTTAGCCCGTCTGACAAACGTGGTGAGATGTGACATAATGAAAGAGGTTATGGGTTATCTGGGGGTGATGCAAGTTGAGTATGACAGGTATGGATGGTTGCAATACCAAGGATTTAATAAAATATGACTGGCAGCCAGGATGAGAGTCTGACAACGGGAGGTATTCTTATTGGGGTGTTGGAGATGAGGCCTCTGGCATTAAAGTACGCGGTCCAAGGTAGACGTAAACTGTGTGAGCCCACCAATCTGCCAGGAACCCGGCGAAATATCGGAAGGCTTATTAGGTGCAGGATGACTCTGCGTCTGTGGTCGCCGGGGCGGAGAGGCACAAGTGAACCGCATGAAGAACAGACCTTACAAGTGTCGACTCGTCGATGAGAGGTTATAGATGCAAAGGGCTGGTAAGGTAATACATGGTCTATCGAGTGCATCGGCAATGAGGATTGAGATTTTATTAATAAATGATCGTTTAATAAGTTTATAATAGAGTCAAATGGGCCTTTTTCCATCTCTTGTAAGGAGTGTACGTAATAGCGTGTAAACATATGTGATCGGATGAGAGATGGAACGAGGAAGTACGACAGGCACCCCCTGCTACCATTCCTTCGTAATATATAACAAAATAGATCTCAATACCCTTGAGCGGATATATATTTGGCGGGAAACTGGGTAAGCTCCCAAAAGGATATTCTGGTGGTTGCTGATAAAAATAAGTAGGCATTGTCCCACATACGCTGTCAAAACTTTAGTGAAAAACAACCACGAAAACCCAAGAACGGAAAAAAGATTAATTATTGATGAGTGGACTGAAGTTCTCAGGGATAGCTGGTTTTTCTTGTCAGACTCCTCCGCCCATAACGGCTAATTCAAGATATATAGTTTCGGATTTCATGGTTCATCCTGATTGCCTTTAACAGTGCTAGGTCCCTCCTTCTATTCTACAGTTGACAGCCCTTTACAGGAATTACGATCAAATACAAGGAAGTCCAAGGATAATTAAATAATCGCTTCAAACTGCGATCTCACACAGCATATTGTGCAAAAGTCAATATAATTCCTATCTAAACCCAACTTCCACCTTTACAGCTCCAAACCCCAACATTGACTGCACAATCCTACTAAATCGCCCATGAATCGCTCAAAGTTTCGCATCTCTGAGTACACTCTGTGGTCTGAACACAACCCTTCCGCTAATCTCTCCCTTGGCCATCTTCTCTAACTGATTTGGTAACTCGTCAAGGTCATAGACAGCCCCAACGATAGGGGTAACCATTCCCTTGCTCACCCACTCCATGCACTCGAGCTGTTCGGCTGAGGATCCACCGAAAGTGCCGAGAATTCTCGCCTCCTTACTCGCAAAAGTCAAGGCACGGAAAAACAACTTTGAACGCCCCAACCCAATTGGCACAATGGTTCCCTTGTACTTTACGTAAGTTACACACGCTTCGAATGTCTCCTGGACACCGCAGACATCGAAACAAACGTCAAACGAATTTGGCTTGTACGCCGCATTGAATTCTGGAGACAGTGCACTAGTGAAAAAGCCGTCTGCCCCAAGCTTATTAGCGAGCGCGCGAGCGGACTCCTTCTGCTCAACCACCACAACCTGGCACCCATAGTTCTTCAAAATCTGCAAGGCACTGGAACCCAACCCTCCGAGCCCGAACATCAAAACCTTGTTCCCTGGACAGACACCTGCCTTTTTAACTGCGTGGAAGGGAGTCAACATGGCATCGGAAGTAATAGCGGCGATTTCGTAAGACACATTGTCTGGGATTGGGAGCAAACATCTCGGGTTGGTGATGAGGAGAAATGGCAGGTAGCCACCGTCACAGCTGAGACCAAACGCCTGGCCATCGTTACCTGTACAACAACTATCCAGGCCCTGACGACAGAACTCACAGTCCCCACAGGCATTGCAGATTTGCGCCGCAACGCGCAACCCAAGAGGGAACTTCTTGGTGTTGACATTTGGCCCCACGGCAGCGATTTCACCGGCAATTTCGTGACCCATGACGAAGGAATCAGGAATGTGGGTTTCCTGGGCGTGGAGAAGATGGAGGTCCGACTGGCACATCCCGGCAGCGTGCACGCGGAGAAGGATTTCAGAGCCCTGGGGTAACTTAACAGGGAGGTTGGTGAGCTTCTGAATGGTTTTTTGGCCACGAATAAAACCGTAGCCTGATTTGGTGGCTGGAATGGACATTACAACTAAAGTTTCTATGATTAAATGATTGAAAGGACGAAACAGCGTCAAACCGTGGAAAGAACCTGTATTTATACGGCAGAGGCTTGATCGTGGGGTCAATAGAAAGCGGCTTGGCATGCAGGTTGGATGAGGAATTTCTCGCCCAATACATGTGGGGAGAGACATCGAAGCCTATTTGACGTCGGCGCGGATTTCGGGAAACGTTACCGTTTTTCGTCCAACGCAAAGCAGGAAGGGGTCCCGTCGAATTACACCACAATTTATCACCGAATATTATCATATGTACCAATACTTATCAGGCACTTAGAAGTCAAAATGTGCTTGTAGGGGGAGAAGGCCGTGCTTGGAAGTGCTGTTGGCTGGTTTTGCGATTTGCTTCGATCCGTGAATCGCACGAGGCAGGGCGGTCGGGCCGGAGTTACGTTATCAAAACTTAAGGCTTCATCCGCGGAAGACTAATTCTGAAAGGATCAGACTAGGTATTCAAGAATGTACCTACTGATTCAGTCCTCCAATTGGTCTTCTATCGATGGTCTCTGTTTAATAGCATAGTGGTATTTAGTCATGCTTAAACGGTACATGGCCGGACCGCCTCCCCTCCCTGTTTACGGAGTCCTTCGTCCATTCCTTTAATGTAACAATTATAGCACTTACTTTTGGAGTAGGTGTAATGCCTGTGTATAGTATTGAACCGTCCTAGCTGATTATTTCGGGACTTCTTTTGATAATCCATGTACAAGGTGTAGTAGCTACACATGTATGTGGTGCGCATATCGTTATAAATTCTCGAGGATGAATACGGTTGATTCTTTGTGGTACCCTTGTTTATAGGTCTCGGTCTCAGGTCTTATCACTATCGATCACTATATATTCTCCGAGGTCCTGCCTTTTCCTATGGGGACTTCCGTTATTTCCGGTGTTCAACGTTCTGGTTCCATATTTTGCCATGCATCAGGAAGCCCAAAGATATACTTAATATATCGCGGACTCTCCCATTGTCCAGAGATACCCCGCTTTCGAACCATATAAGCCTCGGTAGATGGATCAATGGGATATTCTCATATCCGGCTTCTGTTAAGAGAATTAATCCAGACAGAATTGTGTAGGCACAAACCACCTGAAAATCATCCTGTTTACCGTTCTACGCCATAGGACTCACATTGCCAGTTTTTTTTTCCTTTCGATTTGCTATCAAAGCAGGTTATTCATATATCGTTATTATACACTTAGATGGCAGCAGACTTGCGGAAATCCTTACCAGCGTAGATGGCCTTGTCACCCAACTCTTCTTCGATTCTCAAGATCTGGTTCAACTTGGCCAATCTCTCGGATCTGGCTGGAGCACCAGTCTTGATTTGGCCAGCTCTCAAACCGACAGCCAAGTCAGCGATGGTGGTGTCTTCAGTTTCACCAGATCTGTGGGAGACCATGACACCCCAGTTGGCGGCGTAGGAGTCCTTGGCAGCCTTGATAGACTCAGTCAAAGAACCGATCTGGTTGACCTTCAACAACAAAGCGTTGGCAGCCTTCTTATCAATGGCAGTCTTGATTCTGATAGGGTTGGTGACAGTCAAATCGTCGGCGACAAGTTGGATCTTCTCACCAACCTGGTCGTAGAACTTGACCCAAGCATCCCAATCGTCTTCGGCGAACGGATCTTCGATAGAAACAATTGGGTACTCTTCAATCAACTTGATGTACAAGGCACCCAATTCTTCACCGGTCAACCACTTGGTTGGGTCGGATTCTGGGTTCTTGAAGTCCAAGTCGTATTTGCCGTCATGGTAGAACTCAGAGGAAGCAACGTCCAAGGCAATCTTAACCTGGCCGGTGTAACCAGCAGCGGCAATAGCGTCGACGATCAAGTCAAGGGCCTCTTTTGGAGTAGAAATATCTGGAGCAACACCACCTTCGTCACCGACATTACCGGCGGACTGGCCGTATCTCTTCTTGGCCAAAGACTTCAAGTTGTGGTAGACTTCGGAACCGATTCTCAAAGCTTCGGAGAAGCTTGGAGCATTGGCTGGGACAATCATGAACTCCTGGAAGGCCAAAGCACCACCGGCGTGGGAACCACCGTTAAGGACGTTCTGGAATGGAACTGGGAGAACAAATGGCTGTTTGGTACCAGACAAGTCAGCCAAGTGCTGGTACAATGGAACATTCTTTTCAGCGGCACCGGCCTTGGCGACAGCAAGGGAAACACCCAAGATAGCGTTGGCACCGAGCTTAGCCTTGTTTGGAGTGCCGTCCAACTTGTTCAAGAAAGCATCGACGGCTTCCTGGTCGGTGACATCAATGTTTTCAGCGATCAAGGCTGGGGCAATGACGTCGTTGACGTTGGCAAGGGCCTTCAAGACACCCTTACCCAACCACTTGGACTTGTCGTCGTCTCTCAATTCCAAAGCCTCGTGGATACCGGTAGAGGCACCAGATGGAACAATGGCACGGAAGAGACCCTTGGAGGTGGTGACGTCGACTTCGACGGTTGGGTTACCACGGGAATCGTAAACGTAACGAGCAAAAACTTTGGTGATGGCCATTTTGAATATATGTGTAGTAGAAATACTTGAAGGGGAAAAAAGGAAAACAGGAATGCAATTGAGCCGGAGCAACCCACCATTTATATAGTTTTTCAGGCATCCGGAGCCAAGGGGCAATGGGGAATCCAAGGTGGTGCGTCACCTGACACTGTGCGATCTCCTGCACTTTACAGGAATTGTGCCACAGATGTGCCGGAGTCTCTGGGTGAGGGGAGGAGATCATTAACTGCCTATACTTCCGTCTTAGACCCGTAATGCTTTATTTTTTATGAATGCTACTTTAATTGAGGCGTTTATCCGTGAATTGTCCTCACAATGCAGTTCAATGGCTGCTATTTGATTTGAAACTTCTAGATGTTCCGGAACCTTCTAACCGTGTGCCGGGCTGCTAACCATCCTGTCCTAGGCTCTCAGTGTGTCTCCTGGTGCCCTACAGCTTCTAAGACGGGATTTTTCGGAGTATCGTCGTCCAGCGGGGCCGCGGGAGCAATTTCCTGTTTGAGAATAGCGGGAGAGTGCACATTATGGCTTTCTGATTGACAAGCGTGCACCCAAGTGTGTAGACTGGATTTATAATTAAGAGTCAAGCTTAGCGAGTCAGAATAGTAAATACCGGGAAAGATCGGGAAGTCTGTGGATCCTTATCCCCCGCGTTTCCAGCGTTGCTCTGTGTAGGTTGTGGGAATGTATAGTATCACCCGAAATGGGTGGAGGGAAAACGAAAAAAAAGCCAGTTGGGGTTTGAGCGGGCATACGGAGTCGTGCCTGGCAAGAACGAGCGCCGGGATGCCAGATCCAGAGTACCACATGCGTCGTGGATTGCATCGTAAGTGTTAGACGTTTCCCCGGGTTCTTGACCCTTGTGGGGTGTGTTTCCGTCTCAAGGTTGATGTAACTGGAGCTGAGTGTTAGGCAGCTGGGGTTGTGGGGCGCTACTAACTGTATCATGTTCACCATTTTATGAAAGAGGGGATGCGAGACGACTCCCGGAGAGTAATCGTTGCATATGTATATTTTGGTCGAGATCACGATCTGGTTGTAAAGTTGCAATGTTAAACCAGAAATTGGGATAACCTGACAGTAAAAATACCCAATTCGAGTAAACAGGGGATCCTTCCTACACACTCAGAGCATCGGTTGTGTTCAAAGATTACAGCCCCCAGCAGCCCAGTCGGATAATGATTTTCAACTTCTGAATTGCGAAAACAGAACACTAGTAGTGCCACTACATTTAGTAACCGATATCCAACATTTCAAAGGGTACTGGTAACATTAAACGATCATTAAAAGTGTTTCAATGGATTAATGAGCGCAAGGGAAAAAGTGTGTCGGATTTTAATCTCGATTGTAATTAAGGACCTCTTTCAAGTCATGTGCGGTATCAACATCTACTGGTATTTTTCTATCTTATTGTGTATACGAAGTTGAACCAAAGTTAACGTTATAAATTATACGTACTAAATTGATTGTTGTAGGAACTAGTTCGTCAACAGAAAGGCTGAGGGCATAGTATTGCCAAATTTGGTTCCTAATTTTTATTTTTTTATTTTGTTAGAGCCTTATATTTATCTGTTCTCTAAATGCACTACTCATTAACGTTAATTGAACAGGAAGTTTTTGTCCCGGGAGAGGTCAAATCTGATAAAATCTCCCTGCCTACATAATATGGACTTTGGATCTGGAAGAGAGGCTGGTTAATCAGAAGTATTTCCTCTTCTCCGTCATAGATCTGTCTCTGAGAGTACTACTGGTAAATCTCCCCTACGGACAAGTTACGCAAACCGGATAAATTTATATCGTTATCTAGTTTAAATTCATATTTATAGCATTTGGCATTTAAATTAATGAGAGTTGGCAGACAAATATTCCAGTGTGGCTGCATTGATGTTTGATAACGTGTATAGAGTTGAAGCTTTTGTAGTTAAAGCATATACCGGAAATGCATTGAATGCACTCACTAATTCATTAGAGCCACGATAGGTTTATAGTTTTCTAAATCGAGTTTAAGGATACGTATGAGAGTCTATCTTTTCCTGATCTAAGACTAACAATAATCATTACCCTATATTTTATCCGAACATTCTGTTGACTTGGAGGCTTCAGTGACGTGGTATACAGTGAATATGACGTGCCCTTACCTCTTTCGCCATACACGACCCCTCTTCTCTGCCTCAGTCACCATCTTGTTCCAATCCGGTAGCCTATCCTTAGGAGTATGAAGAAATGAATAAACAACTAAGGAATATTTCTGGCAATTTCATTCCAATTGGACCATTGTCTTTTATCACAAACGATCTCCCGTTTCACCTCATCCCATCGTGCTCATCACTCTCAATGCAGGATTACTTTTTTTTTTGCTTTTTTTTCACGCTGAGAATTTTCTGCATCAAAAAGAATTGTACCTATGATTTATCTTCATTCCCGGTTACTTTACCACACACTATGATTTCCTCCAGTACCTGGGTCCCAAGAGGGTTTGCTTCCGAGTTTCCTGAAAAATATGAAATGAACGACGAAGAGATCGAGAGAATCTCGGAGTTGGCGAAGTTACAATTGGAAGACGCCAGAACCGACTTGCAGGAGGCACAAGAAGGCGAGCAAAAGGAGTTCAAGGACCAGATTGAGATTGATGACGACTTGAAGGAGTATAACTTGGAGCACTACGACGATGATGTAGACTCCGAGGGTGAGCAGGTGACTATGTTCCCCGGCCTTTCCAACACAGATGCCAAGTTTCACCAGGACGAGGCCGACGGCAACGACCCATTCATCTCCTTGCCTAACGAGCAGGACATGAACGAGGAAAAATCCGAGTTGCAAGTCTACCCTACCGACAATATGGTGTTGGCCACCAGAACCGAAGATGACATTTCCTACTTGGACGTCTACGTGTATGATGATGGTGCCGGTGCCCCAGAGGGCTCCAACGAAGAAGAGGAGGACAAGTTCGATGCTGACGTGGCCAAGGGGTTGGTGCGCGAGAGCAACTTGTATGTGCACCACGATTTGATGTTGCCAGCGTTCCCGCTCTGCGTGGAATGGGTCAACTTCAAGCCAATGGGCGATAACTCCGCCACTAACGTCGGCAACTTCGCGGCGATCGGCACTTTCGATCCCCAAATCGAGATCTGGAACTTGGATTGCATCGAAAAGGCGTTCCCAGACGTTATTTTGGGAGAGCCAGAGGCTAACAGCATGGCTGGCCTCAAGAAAAAGAAGAAGAAGTCTAAGAAGGCCCAGGAACACATCACCACCCACCACACCGACGCCATCTTGTCCTTGGCCCATAACAAGATCCACAGATCCATCTTGGCCTCCACCTCCGCTGATGCCACAGTCAAGCTCTGGGACTTGACCACCGCCACCGCGGCCAGATCCATGAATCAGATTCACCAGGGCAAGCATGTGTCGTCCTCCCAGTGGCACGCCAGCGAAGCCTCCATTTTGTTGACCGGTGGTTACGACGGCTGTGTCGCGTTGTCCGATGTCAGAATCTCTTCCGACGCCGAGATGACCAAGAGATGGAGCGTTCATGCCGGTGAGGAGGTTGAGAGCATCAAATGGGGCACTGATTCCTCCACCTTCTATGCCGGTACCGATGCCGGTAATGTCTACTGTTACGACGCTAGGAAAGCTGACAAGCCGGTCTGGACCCTCCAGGCGCACGACGCCGGAATTTCTGCCTTGGAAGTCAATCCATTCGTGCCGGGCTTAGTCGTCACCTCCGCCATGGGCGAGAAAGCTATTAAGTTGTGGAGAGTGCCTACCGCCGCCAACGAGGGTGCCATCAGGCCATCGATGGTGCTCGCGCGTGACTTCGGTGTCGGTAACGTCTTGACCACTTCCTTTGCTCCAGATATCGAGGTCGCTGGTAACATCACCATCGGTGGTGTTACTGGACAGTTGAAGATGTGGGACATGTTTTCCAACAGGGCTGTCAGAGGTGCCTTTAGCGCCCAGTTGAGAGACTTGCAAAAGCGTGCCAGAGACGAGGCTAAGGCCAGTGGCAGAGCCTCCAGATTGGCCAGAAAGTACACCGACTCCTACCAGGAAACTGTCATGACCGTCGAAGACGGTGGAGATGATGAGAGTGAGGACGAAGGTGAGTGGGACGACGAGGACGAGGAATAAGCCTCTAATATGCATTTCATTTCAGTGCCTTGTACATTATAATTAATAATCTTTCTTTGCGTGTGCGATAGTGTAGGTTGCGAAGAGTTGGAGTAACGGTATCAATATCAGTCTTTACGCGGATGGCTTGTTTTTGTAATCTAGATATTAGTCGATTCACTAAGCGCCTGTTTCCTGGATTGTAACGAAAAGCGTCCCCATGGTATATTTCTTAATACCTATACGTCATGCTTTATTCATTTCCTCAAATTGACTCTGTTCTACGTCCTATATGTATCCGGCACGGGCTTCGCGAAGACAGCGACTCTATTATTTATCGGCATATTTGCTGTTCTGGAAATCATCCACATTCTTTTTAACCTTTTTTTCTTTCCGATTTGACTCAGAAAAAAAACCGATGGCCAAATCTAGGATTGTACCTAACCGAATCGCCCTTTCATCTATTAAACAGACTTTCCCTCAGTACTCGGGCCGTTGTAGGACTCAATCTTTTGACGAATGCCATTTAAAAAGGCTAATTCTTCCTCAGTCAATCCAAGTTTTGCCGGTACTAGTATACTCTCGCCGGTGATCTCCACCCCTCTCGATATCTCGTCGTACGCCACCATCTCTTTCCAGCTTAAATCTTTCTCCACAACAGCGTTTGAACCCATCTCCTTCTTCATTGGGGTCCACCAGTACGCTGGATACGCCCTCAATACATTATTCACGATCAATGCCACGCAGATGACCAAGCAGGAGGAGATAAGGTGCACCGGTAAGTACCACCAGCTCATCTCCCGGATGCCGACGTCAATACTAGGAAGTAACGCGGAAGCACCGGCTGGAGGGTGAACACAGTTCAAAATGGACATAGCTACCGAACTGATACCTACACTCAACGCACCAGACGCCCAATAATTGTTTCTCCCTGCCTCAGAGAGACCAAAGAGCTTGGAGATGCAGGTCCCGATCAAAGAGGCCGTGAAGTGGCCCATGAGAATGTTACGAGGCTGGGCTAGCGGCGCCCCGATCGAATTGAAACTGAGAATCGCAGTTGCCCCGTAACTGGCAATGATCATAGGAGCGTGGTGTTCGGCGGTAAAAATAGGCGAGTGGCCCGGCATAAACACCGCTTCGAGAAGCGCAATCCCGCAGAAGGAGCCGATTAAGATATCGAGCCATACCAAAAGATCAGACCGTGGCTTCGGTTTGTGTGAGCCTAGAAACCTTGCAATGACGGGCGGAAAGGACGGTATCACCGAGTCAGGGATGTACTGGTTGACCACCTTGTCTATCGTGAATCTGAAAACCATTGTATCCCTATGGTTCGTGCTGAATGTATGCAGAGCTTCGAAACGATCGATTGTAAAAGTGATAATTGACAATCAACAAGCAATACCTAGAGAAATCTTTACACGCTCGAAGAGTTGTTGGTACAAGATGGGAACGACCGCATTCACATATGCGAGTCTGCCTGTAAGGGTTGGAAAATAAATTTTGAGCCATTATGCGGCGCGCACTAATTTGCTCATCCTCGTAAACACTTCCCAAGTCATGCTAGGCTTAATAAGCAATTTGAGTGGTGCGGCGCGCTTATTTGCTCATACTTGTGAGCTCTTCCTACCTCATACTACATTTAATAAGCAACTTCTCTTGAGATTCAATTTAGTACGTCCTTAAAATTTCAGTATTTCTGTTTTAATTCTTGAACTAGGTGAGAACTGTGGAGTTGCAATGGGCCAAAACTCCCTTCAGTCAAGGTATAAGGTTTAAGTTAATACCCCGCGTGCTTCACGAGTAAATCCCTCGGCTGGTCGGAAGATGGAGACAGTCAGCGCCTCTCGTCGTATCTCGATCTTTTAACACATTACACATCTAGGAGCAAGAAATATCTGCGGTATTTTCATGGTTGGAATCACTCCAGCGGGCCTAGGTGGACTATGCGGTTCTATCAGAGTGAGCCATCAATTTCTCGGGCAGAAGCTAATTTGATATGGACCCGAATCACGCTAACTACGAAACGTTTGGATCGTTTAGCTTGTCTTAACTGATACCGACATACATATATATTTGAAAGCCCACATATTATGCTTGGCCATATTCTCTCCACCTCATCGCCTCTGGCCGGTTGAGTGATGCTTTTACGGTTGAGCATCCTACACCCCAAGCATTAATATAAAATACATCGTGATCTTTTTTTTTTTATTTTTGGATTTTGTTAAAAATTCTAATTATACAATACGCAAGATAAGCTCACCCCCGGGGTGGCTGTCTAGGAGTTTTTGAGTTTTCACAGGAATAGCCACATTAAACACGCACCGACACACCCGAACTCTCAGTGTATAACCTTGGAGCAATGTTCATAGCCATCAACTCCTGGAACAACAACTTTGCGGCGTAAGGAATATGGATCTGATAAATGTTGGTCTTGTTCTTACAAGAACGGCACTCGAACTGGTTCTTCTTCAAGTTGGCGATAACACTCATCAACCCACAAACACCACACACGTGCACTCTGAAGGCATCCGAAGCCTCCATCAATCTCTCTTTCAAGAAACCGGCGGCACCATGTGCAATCATACAATCACGCTCCATTTCACCGAATCTCAACCCACCATCTCTGGATCTACCTTCGACCGGCTGTCTGGTCAAAATCTGCACTGGCCCACGGGCTCTCGCGTGAATCTTGTCGTCAACCATGTGTCTCAATCTCTGGTAGTATGTAGGGCCGAAAAAGACCTGCGCCATCATTTTTTTACCGGTGTGGCCGTTGTACATAACCTCAAACCCTCTGGACTGGTAGCCACTCTCTCTTAAAAGCTTGGATACAGCCTCGACGGTGACATCGGTGAACGGCGAAGCATCACCTTCGTAGCCTCTCAAGGCAGAGACCTTGGACAACAAACACTCGATCAAATGCGCAACAGTCATACGGGAAGGAATGGCGTGGGGGTTAATGATCAAATCAGGGACAATACCCTCCGACGAGAACGGCATGTCCTCGTGTCTGTAGGTCACACCGATGGTACCCTTCTGACCGTGACGAGAGGCGAACTTGTCACCAATCTGTGGGGTCTTGGTGGTTCTCATCCTCACCTTGACAAACTTGGCACCGTCACCGTTGGTGGTCAACACTACCTGGTCAACGATACCACTCTCGGTAGATCTCAACGGGGTGGAAGCATCACGCTTGGTGTGGTACTTGGTTCTCTGCCCCAATTCTTCGGCGTCTGGGGAAATAGGAGTGGTCTTACCGATGATGATATCCTCACCGGAAACTCTAACGCCCGGAGCAACTAAACCATCCTCCTCGTCCAACTTCTCGTACGTACCGTGCTTCAAGCGAAGGGTGTTTGACCGCAAAGGCTTCTCAAACTCTTCGACAACAGAAATACCGACCCTGGTTTCCTTGTCCATGTAGGTACGGAAGAACAAGGAACGGAACAACCCTCTGTCGATGGACGACTGGTTCATAATCATGGAATCTTCCTGGTTGTAACCAGAGTAACAGGCAATAGCAACCACGGCATTCTGCCCGGCCGGCAATTCTCTGAACTTCAAGAACTCCATAGATCTGGTGGTGGCAAGCGGTTTTTGCGGGTAGTACAAAATATTGGCCATCGTGTCCATTCTGACACTGTAGTTAGTGGCAAACACCCCCATGGCTTGCTTACCCATGGCGGACTGATACGTATTACGTGGCGACTGGTTGTGATCCGGGAACGGAATAATGGAGGCGGCCACACCCAAGATCATCGAAGGATGGATTTCACAGTGGGTGAAGGTGTGGGTGTTTGGGTTAAACGCAGGCTTGATTCTCTTGGCCGGGTCCAATTCCTCCGCTTCGGTAATCTCAGCCCTCGCGCTGTCCAAGTCTTCAGGCGTCATGGCAATCATGATAGTTTCCTCTTCCTCGGCGTCAACATACTCCACGACACCCGAGTTTAACAAGTCATCCCAGCCGTACTTCTGCTCTTCCATGTCAACATCATCAGACTCCTTGGCTGGTTCGAGCAATTGGTTAACCTGGCTCTTAGTGAGCTTAAGCTGGCCCTTATCTGGCATTTCATCGTCATCCTCAACCACAAATAACGGTCTGTAGATTCTACCCGCATCAGTGAAAATCTTAAACTCCTTCTCTCTGATGTCTCTGATGATCGACACTTCCGGGGAAATATCACCCTTTCTTCTCAAGCTTCTCATGGTGTTCACCAACATGGCTGGCTCTCTGTGGGTACCGACCCACACACCATTAACGAACACTCTGGTAGAGTCCGGCGAGTGGTGGGCAACGTAGTCTTCTAACGGTTCCATACCCCACTCTTCCAAGAAATAGATAATAGGCTCGGAGGTGGTACCAACCGAGATACACGTCATTAACGAAAGGTTCTTGACCAAACCACAGGCCTGCCCTTCCGGGGTTTCGGCCGGACACACGAGACCCCAATGGGTGTTGTGCAACTGTCTAGGCTTGGCGATCTTACCGTCTCTGCCGATCGGGGTGTTGGTTCTTCTCAAATGCGACAAGGTAGATGTGTATGTGTAACGGTTCAAAACCTGGGAAACACCGGCTCTGGAGGACATGGCCTTCTTCTGCTCACCCCAGTTACCGGTAGCCAAAGAGTACTTCAAACCGGAGGTGATGGTCGTGGACTTGACCGCCAAAGTAAGGTGGAACTCCTTGTTCGTCTCCACACACTTCTGCATGTGTCTGTAGATGTCACGCGACAACTTTCTGAACAAGATTCTAAACAAGTTGGCCAACAACGGACCGGCCAAATCCAATCTCTTCTTACCGAAATGGTCACGATCGTCAGCCTCCTTTCTCTCCAACGCACACAACAACAAACGGTTAACCATGTACCCCAAGAAGAACGCCTTTCTGTTTTCAAACCCCTCCTCCTGGGTGATGTGTGGCAACAACTCCTTGGTCAAGATGTCCTTCGCATACTGGATTCTCTTTTCTCTTCTGATACCCAACGCAGACCCACGGCGACCGATGAAATCGAGTGCAACTTCACGGTCTTGGATCACAAAGCCCTCTTCCACGCACGGTTTCAACATCTCCAACATCTGCCAATCGTTCTGGTCGTAACAAATATGCTCCAAGATGTCACCATCGGGCACAATCCCGAGGGCTCTGAAAACAATGACGATCGGAACGTCTTGTTTGACGTACGGAAGCGTAGCCTTGATGGATCTCCCGGTACCCTTGTCCTCCCTACCGTACAACTTGATCTGCATGGAAGAAATCAATCTCGACCCCTTTTCGATCGCCGAGCGGATCTCAGCAATGTGGGAAATCGGAGATGGCGCAGCCTTCTTGAAAACTTGCACGATATTGGCAGCGGAACGCTCCTGAGCGATCAAAACCTTCTCAGAACCGTTGATGATAAAGTACCCACCCATATCGTATGGACACTCCTTCAAGTCGTAGAACTCGTACTCGTTCAAGTCACGCAACATACAGAACTTGGATCTCAACATGATAGGAACCTTACCGATAAAGACACGCTTGATCGGGTCGTCGTTGTCTTCCTTGACATCCTCCTGCGTCCAGTCTTCTTCCTTAACCGGCTGGTTTTCGTGGTCTATGGAGGTCAACACTTTTTTGCTCATCTCAACGTACAACGCCGAGGCATAGGTAAGGTTACGGAGTCTAGCTTCCTGGGGGAAAATGGGGTTGGTGGAACCGTCCGCCTCGGTCTGCAACGGACGAGAAAGGAAAATCTTTCCAAAGTTGATCTCGAAACGTCTATTGATGTTGTCATTCACGTCGATGTGCTGCGCCGGCTGGTCCAAAATCAACTTGGAGTCTTCCCAGACCAATTCCTGGATGGTGCTCTCGATAAACTCATCAAACGAGTCTAATTGCTGCGATACCAACCCCTTTTCGTTGAAGAAGGCGGAAATGACCGTCCAACAATCTTCTGGCGTGATTTCTAATCCCTCATCGTATCCGTATGGGTCCGCCGCGTATTCGTCTGACATAGCGTGTTTAGCAAAGGTTCAGATGCAAATAAAACCAACGATGCTGGTTTCTGCTTGGTTCTGGGTATGACTAAGCGCTGTTGTTTGGCGTACTGTATTTTTGGTTCATTTTGCTGTTACTATGAAAAAGTGGCGCGAATTGTCTCGCTTCGCGCAGAATCCGTTACCCGGACAAACGTGCATGGATGCCGATTTTTTTCATTCAGTGGAGATACTATATAGGCATATCGTAGTGCACACCAGGAAATTGATAAAACGATTAACACTACCTACAGCATGTCTTTGATCAAATCTACATTTGCCTCTGTTGTGGCGAGCGCCAGGGTGGCTGTTAGAATGGCCTCCACCGCCACCACATCCCCAATCATCGAGCAAGTGCATAAATCCGAGGTCGCGACCCCAGAACACAGTTTCACTAGAAAGGATATGCCAGAGTTTATCTTGGAAAAGTCCAGGGAAGCGATGGAATATAATGAGGCACACTTCAGAGTCGGTGGGACCAAATTGTACTTCCCCACCGCCAGAGTGGTGCTTTTGAGACCTAATGCAAAGCTTACACCGTACCAGGCCAAATTCATTGTGCCAAAGTCTTTCAACAAGTTTGATTTGAGAGACTACTTGTGGCACTTGTACGGTATTAGAGCCTTGAAGATTACCACACAGTTGCAGCACGCCAAATGGACCAGAGGACCGTTGGATAGAGCCAGATTCAGAGACTCACAGATCAAGAAGATGACCATCGACTTGGAAGAGCCGTTTGTGTGGCCAGAACCGTACGCCGCATACGAGTTGAACTCCAAGCAGAACGAGTATGAGATGAAGAAGTTCTCCAGTTTGTTTCAGAGCGTTGGGTCTGACAAGGGTAGACCTACCGGTGCCTTTGATGGTTTGTTCGACAGAGAGGCTGACTCTGTTAACTTTTTAGCCAAGAAGACCAAGCGTGTCTTGGTCAAGGACCAGAAGAAGTTGAAGAAGTCCGAGGATAGGGAGAACCAAAAGGCGATTGCTGCTAAGTTGTTGGGCTTGAAGCACTAAGCACGTCTGACATGTAACATAATTGTCTTGTATATATAATAAAGATTTTCAACTAGAGCGTTTGAGGAGGGTCCTCTGGGCCAAGTAACGATGGACTTTAGATATAACGGGAAATATGTAAGATTTATAATTTGCCCTTTAACTCGGTGTTAAAGCAGAAGTATTTAAGATGGGTTCTGGAGTTTACCTGAGGCTCTGTAGGGAGTTGTGAAAGTATAAAAAATTGAATGCTAAAATCTTGATAGGCTTACGGTTGCAGGTTGGTTGCCAGTTTCGTACCACTGTAGGTAGTAAACTACCGGTGTCTTATCATAAGTGGGGGGGGGTCTCTGAACAAGTTTTGGGTGGTTAGATAGAGCTGGAAGACTAATGTGGAGAAAGTTTTCAATCGATTTCTTGAGCTCTGTCTAACGCGGAACAGCGTATGCATCATGGAACTGAAAAGAAAAAGGAATAGGCAGTTTATAATTTCACCGCTTTTTTCTCTGTGATTAGATTGATGAAGTTATATGTTAGACAAGATAATTTGAAAAATGCAAGTTGCATAAGGGTGTGGTTTAGGATCTCTTCCCCCAATAACCAGGAAATATATAAATCAAATAATTGAGGTATAAATTATTCGTCGCAATATGATTATTCTATAACATTCAAGGGTGTAACTGAATTATTAGAATCGTAAATTAAACAAAAGTTTATGAATCAATGAGTGAGACCGTTTTTCCAAGTAAATTCGTAGATCTGGAACCTTCCAAGATCTTTCCAGGATTATGTCCAAAGCCCAGAGGACTGCCCAACTGAAGAGCGCATCAAACAAGATAAACTAAGAAATGGTAGCTTACAAATAATAGCATAGGAGAAAAAAAGAAAGTGTAAGCCGTGAGATTTATTACAGCAGAGGTGAGAATTCCGCCATTTGCTGTTTATCCCGACAAACAGGACGTCAGAGATGGAGTGGTGACATAGCTTCTATTGTCCCAGCCATTCAGACTTAATTCAGGCCAAGCTCTGCTTTCTTGGTCCCACGGAACCACGATCCCCAGGTTTCCCTGACTTCGGCTCCGGTTGCCTGATTCTCATTTCCGATTTCGCTCCTTTCCACAATATCAAACAAAGAGGTCGAGGAGCTGGAGTGCATTGTTATTCCTTCAGAGTTCACTTGGGTTATTGGCAAAGGTACTGTTATGGTTGGAGCTCCCTTGGGTGTTGGAGTCAGTTCCACTCTAGCGTTTCCACTCACCACACGTTGGGAGGATGTCAGACCTGATGGCTCAGTTTCCCTTTTAGGCAAGAGTGATAAAAAGTTGACAAGCAAGTTCACTGGTTCCGCTTTTGGTGCAAGCGAGGACTTCAGCTCATCGGTTACACCGCGCCAGTTTTTATAGAGGCTGTAGAGCACGGCTTCTGTGAACGATGCTTCTGGGGTACTTGGTTTGTTAGAACTCCTTTCATCTGGCAGGGTCTTGGTAGCGGCGTTACTAAACAACAGCGAGATGTACTGGAGCAAGCTGAGCACTAGCGGAGAGTTCTTCAAGTCGGAAACGGTATTAACCAAAGCTGTGTACCCTTCCAGGTTGGTCAAGCTTGGTTGCTCATCAAAGAATGGCTTAAAGTAGCCATAATATATAGCTCCACACCCTGACTGTCTCACCTGACCGTCTTGAGACTGGGGGGCAACAGGCAAAATCAACCAGAGGAGCCCCACCAAGCGAAACAATTCGTAAAAAGGAAGGAGATTCAAGAGAGTGGCAAATTGAAACTCCACAGTCTTGAGGACGGAAAGAACAGTCCAGTATATTAACCAGGGCTTCATCTTTTCCGTGTCCTTCGACTCAAGAGACATGTAAGAAGCATAGGCTGGGAAAGCGATAGAAATGGCAATGCTAGAGGTGGTTAGTACTCAAAGTCAGGCCTGGTGAGCTGTTAACATACCCTAAGAAATTGAAGACGAAGCCAAGCATTGGGTGTTGATTATAAATTGGTAGTTTGTAATTTCTGCTTTTTTGCCACTGTGGGTGTGGGGTTATCGAGAAAACTTAGTCCAGCTGTGGAAATATTTAAGGGGTTCGGACGATCCAGGTTGTATGTAGCAAGTTGAGTAGCGTGGTGTATTTGAGGTTGTATGGTATGGGTGAGAGGTTTGTGTGAGAATGGGGAAGAGGTGGTGTGTTCTTGTAAGGGTTTAGACTCAAAAAATTAACTATAAATAAAAATGACTTCTATTTGTGTCAGACTTATCTTATCTTGGATGCGGCGCAATATGTGCACGATGGGCCGATCCCTGGTCGTACAAGATTAGACGGGAGACATGACGATGCAGGCTAAATGGTTTGTTAGACAATGGGTGGGCGGGAGGTATGGGCTGAAATACTGTACAGTATTTTAATTACGCGACACAAAGGATTCCGGGTGAGCCGCGGATAGTAATTTAGTATGACAGTAAATCATAGAAAGGGCGGTAGAGGCTGATTTGTAGCGTATACCATGACGTCTACCCCGGCGAACCGGGGGGAGAACAGGTCATTTTTTTCCTTCAATCGTGGTTTGTCGTTTCAAATATACGGGTACACTTATTATTCCAGGTAATAACTGGTTACGGGACAATATTAAGAAAAATAACATTTTATAAGCGTAAAGGTTGCAATGAAAAATCTCTGGGTGAATTTACGAAGCTATACGAGAAGCCGCTATAAGACCACATACTTTCAATCTGACATCCTGGAAGGAAAACGCAGTATTGCTATAGCTTTGCCGGTTTGTGTCTGTTAGTATTGTCATGCTGTTTCAAAATATGCCACAAGCTGGTGGTGTGGGGGCATGGAAGCCTTTCTAGATCTCAGCATATAACAGTTAAATTTTATGCTTCTGGTTTGCCAGTCCATTCACGGATTTACTCCACGGCTCATTGTGCTTATTTTAATTAAACGCCCTGTATTGTTTATGCTGGGGGTGCCACTATTTTTAGTGCCATACTTAAGCAATATGATTAGACCTACAAGCGCACAGACAGGACCCAGCTCCTAGACCGAGATAACTTAAGAGCTGCAAAGCCTCTCTGCCATTTACAAAATACCCTTGTGAAAAAAGAAAAGTTGGTGGTTATTCGTATAATATAAGGATTCATGGCTACAACATGAGATCACTGGATTAGTTTAGTATTTACAGTAACCGTGATGGAAAGCCTACACAAACCCCATTGCGGTTTCCTCATCCATGTACTGGATCAAATCGTCCAAGATATCCACTGTCTCTGTAGGATTAGCGATCCAGGCAGTGCAAGCACTCAATCTGGCCTTGTAATCATTGGCACCAATTGCGGCAAACTGGTCACCCACGTGCAAAGTCTGGCCCTTGCCAATTCCGTGGTTCAACCCCAAATCGGTAAATCCAATGTACTTTTGCAAAGACTCCACCCCAAGGGCTTTGTCACCAATATCTACCCAGACATCACTACCACCATTAAAGGCACAAAACTTGATCCCCTGAGCGGGAGCAAAGATGTCGAGCTTCTTCTGACAGGTCAAAACAATCTCTTCTAACTGTTCGCGGCACAATTTGTTACCTGGCTGTGCCACAATCCCTACGGCTCTCTCTTTGCGGATGATTACTGCAGGCAAACTCAACTGCTCCTTCACCCTCCCCAACACTTTCTCCGCAAAGTCAAGCGTCTTGGTGATGTTTACCACGTCCCAGTTCTTGACATTTTCAAGCTGCCATTCCTCGTCGGCAATATACTTCAACCTGGACGTCTCAGTGTCGTATCTAAATAAGAAGTTAGACTCACCACCCATAATAAGCAAGTTCCGCTTCTGTCTATCGGTTAGCTCCTGGTCATCCACCAACAGATCAAGCAACCCCTTCAATCGTTGATAGTACTTTTCACCACTGATTTCAGCGTATCCTGCGGCGGTAACCAATGCCACGTAGAGATCTCTCTTCAAGAGAATCTTCAAACGCAGCACGATTGGTGCGTCAGGAGTCAAAGAGAGTCCATCTTCATACAAGGTGATGTCCCCGTCGAAGGTGACTAACTTCAAGGGGTTCAGGCCAGAAGCAGATAAGGCCAAAACCTGGGCGGTATTGAGGATTAATCTGACGTCGTTGAAGGAAGGAGCTACTAAGCGTCTCACACTAATGGATCTGCGCGCATCCTCCACATAGAACGCGCGTTCCAAGGGCAACTTGGTATAGAATTCCCCCACAGTGGGCACCAACTGTTTCAAACGGGAATTTCCCGGCGTATTGCAATTATCTTGCGTAATCTTGTCTTCGATCAAGCGTTCCAAGTCGTAGAAGACCTCCGCATATCGTCTTCTGGCGTCGGCTGTAACCTTGGTGTTTTGGCCGGTTGACGAAGTAGACGCGGTAATTCCATTCCCCGAATGAAGAACAAAGGGAACAGCCAAAAGGCCCTTGATCCACTCGATGAACTCATCGCGACGGTGAACCTTTAATGCGTCTAAACGATGTTAGTATACGGCCGGTGACAGAACGTGGATGTGGGGTACGTACATTCAACTCTGTATCTGGATGTCATTTAAACGTAATTGTAGTGGATTAGATATGCTATTGATATTCGTCAATAGAAGTGGTGGTGACGTGGTAGAAACAGAAACAAGCCTTGCAGTAATGGACTATGAAAATGTCCAATCATCTTAACCATCTTTCTAACTTGGAGAAGCAAGCACAGACTGTCGGAGATTGGAGCAGCCTGCCTCGAACCCGCGGGACGGTACAATATCCGCGGTTTAGTCCTGCACATTGAGTTGTGTCGCTAATATCCTCAAAGGCTGAAACTTGTACAGATCTGCACCTATAGATAATCAAGAGCACCGGCTATTGCTAGAAATCACAGTATATTGTTGAATAGATAAATGTATGACTAGTGCCCACTTGGTGAGTTGAAATACATCAATATTCTTATTGTTACCTGCACCTTATAACTAGTGTTTATATACGTATGGAAATAGATGTACGATCGTAATTTTAAATATTCAAATGTAAATTTGGATATATATAATAACATACAATTCAAATAATTTTAGTTAAACACATAAAATAAGTATAATCGGAAGATTTACATATATTAGTACGTATATATCCGTACAATATTATATATTATGCGATAAGACCGGTCAGCAGTATTCCTATATACAAACTGATATGTGTGCGTAAAATCCAACATACACAGCTGTCCATAACTCTAAAAGGGTGGGTAGGCAGAGCTAACAGACCTTGACGCAAAGACCTACACCATTTTTAAATGAATTTATGTATCTTGACTTAAACAAACCAAAAGAAGGGTAACCTAGTTAGTATGCTTCGGTTAGGAAATTTACAAACCAGCTTGAGCTCTTCTTCTGTCACGTTCCTCAGAGATGGACAACTTAATACCCTTACCCTTTGGCAAAGAGACATATGGCTTACCGGCTTCACCAATGATGAAGACGTTAGTCAATCTGGTGACGAACAAGTTGTCCAAGGTGTCCTTGATGTGGACCAAGTCGAAGCCACCTTCGTGCTTCTCTCTGTGGGTGATGACACCAACTCTCCCCAAATTTCTACCACCGGTAACCATGACTAACTTACCAGTGTCAAACTTGATGAAATCGGTGATCTTACCAGTGGCGAGATCAATCTTAACGGTGTCGTTAACCTTGATAGCTGGGTCTGGGTATCTGATGGTTCTACCGTCGTGGGTAACGACGTATGGAATGGACTTCTTGCCCAATTGAACCTTCTTAACCTTGGCCAACTTGTAGGAAGCTTCCTCAGCAGTGATTCTGTGGACAGCGAATCTACCCTTGATGTCGTAGACCAATCTGAAGTTCTCATTGGTAGCTTCCAAGGAGATGACATCCATGAAGCCGGTTGGGTAGGTGGTGTCAGTTCTGACCTTACCGTCAACCTTGACGTGTCTTTGCATCAAGATGGCCTTGACTTCACGGCCGTTCAAGGCGTACTTAAGTCTGTTTCTCAAGAAAACAACCAAAGGCAAGGATTCTCTCAACTTGTGTGGACCTGGGGATGGACGTGGAGCGTACACACCGGACAACTTGTCGAGCATCCAGTGGGATGGAGCTGCGAGTCTCTTAAGGTGCTTCTTTCTAAACGGGGTTAGTACGGATTCGCATGAGAGCTTGGGTTAGAGATAGATATGGCTAGCGTTAGACGAGAACAACGCATGGCTTCATATGTAGAGCGAACATAATGCGTGAGAGCATACAGTCTTCAACGATGATTCGTACACGATAGAGCGAATTTGGTTCCCGGTGAATAATTGGTTGTTTTGTCGGAGTTATTGGTAGTGGGGTTTGAACGTGGCGATGAGATTGTAACTTGGTTTGTTTGATTGGGAAAACCCCATATTAATGGTTCACTCTGGATATATTTTGATGGTTCTGCATCTCGCAGTGGTTCCATCACGATTTTCGCTTCCTTTTCACTGCCATATCCATTTTAGTCCCTCTTAAGTATCAAGTACTTACGGGCCTCTTGCCATTTTGAATGATGTTTAGAGTGATTAGACCGAAAAAGGTTAAAATGTCCTCCGTAGGGTACCCTTTTTTTAACTGTACTTACTGAAAAACCACTATTTTGGACCGTTTGGGCCTGCTGTGCCATAGTAAAACGGCGTACACTAAGGGAATCAGGACTACTAAGCAGAGCCCGCCATAGTAGGACCATAGTAGGGGATGGCCTGGTCGCGCACACGACCTCTGCTGCCAGACAACAAGCTAACAGAGGATACTATTCCTGTGCAAGCCAAGCAGACTGGTAGAGAAGGCCCTCTCCCCCCCCGTAGAGTCCAAGGTATTGAAGGAATTTTTCAGCTTTATATGCAGGATGATTTTGAGACAAAGTTTCCTCAGCAGTTAGATATTTAAGGTGACTGTGTTTTTGCAAACCCTAACTTACATCACGTGCATATACGCGACTGCACACTACCATATCTGGCTTCGCTCAAAGGCTTACAAGTAATCCATGCAATATATACAGCTTTCATTAGATATTCATGTCAAGAGTGGTAAAAAAAAAAATACATAGGGAGAGTGAAATACTTAGCTTTGAATGCGGACCTTGCTCTCAATCTTTTCGGCGTTTTCCTCGGTAGAAGATGGTTGCTCAATACCCAAGCCGCTGCTTTCAGAACGAGGCCCCAGGAGTTCGCTGCTATTTCTGCCCTCAATGACGGTATTGTACAAAGGACCGGCGATAACAGCCTTAGCCCAGGCAATATCAAGTTTGTAAGGCCCGTCTCTTCTGTCCAACAAACCGATCCCAATGGTCTTGATACGTTTGGACTCTAACGGCTCCGAGGATTTAATCTCGTGATTACCAACCAAGGTGAAATTCCGAAGAGGGATCAAAACCGTCTCCCACTCGCCCGGAGTGTGCAAAAATAAGCGGTGCTGCCAGACGTCCTGGGTCTTTGGGGTATCTATGGACTTCATGTTCACGTAGTATCTGCGGTAATCGCCTCTCACACGCAACGCCAACTGCTCATAATAGTTCAAATTCCAATGCTCATCCAGCGAGAACCCAATTGGTCCTCTGGACGGCGCCTGGTTGCGCGTTCTGAAGAACGAGTAGCCCGATTTGACGTACTCGCCGGCTTCCGGGGGCAACTGGGTACTCAAATCCCCGTGAAATGTGACATACTGTGGACTATCTGGGTCATTAATAGTCATATTAACCGTTGAATACCCTCTTCTCTCACGATCGCAGCTCCACACCATGTTGTCCACCTCCTCTGGCCTGGAGAAGTCCATCATGGTGAAATGGGCAGGCTGATCGGTGTGGTCCCAAGCTCGCTTGGCCCTCGTTAAAAAATTCTTCGAAAGGTTGTGTATCGAGAACATGATGACGAGGTATGCTACTGTGAAGTGGTTGTGAAATGTGGGGTACCGGACGTTTTTAATGAAGTGTGAGGCATTTGCACAATCGGAAAGTTTCTAAAACGTATGGAGCGAATTGCGTGCGAACTGGCAAAGATATTATGCGTGCGGCCGTTGCGGCGTATTATGTCACTCTGTTGCTTGGGCCACTTGCACGGACCAGGCACGAACCACATGATAGAGGTGTAATTAAATATAGATAGAAAATATATTTTCCATCTACTTACCACAAATTTGGTATCTACGAGATTGTCATTTCCCATCAGTTTACTGCTTCCACATAATTATGGCAGATACATACGCTATTTTCACATTCATTAACATAGTTTAAGGTTAAACAAATAAGGATAATATATACAGGGGCTGATCTTAGTGATCTTCAGTTTTTTCTCTTGGATCGACTTGGAAGATCTTGTCAGGATTCAATATACGATAGTAGTCCATGCCCATCTTGATCTTTCTCATCAAGTCGACAGTATCCTGGCCGACCTCCCATAACAAATAATCTCTCTTCCCGTAGCCAATGCCATGCTCACCAGTACACGTCCCCTCAGCCGCAAGGGCACGCTTAACCATTCTTTCAACAACTTGCTTCGCTACCTCTCTTTGCTCCGGGGTGTACACGATAAAGTGGTGGACGTTGGCATCACCCGCGTGGGCCACCGTTGTGCATCGCAACCCGGTGTCTTCGATGTCCTTTACGGTTTCAGAGATGACTGATGGGAGCTTAGAGATGGGCACTGCATAGTCCGTAGTCCAGAGCTGGGCCGCTGGCTCGTCCAACACCTTTCTACCGTAGTTGATACTGGACCACAAGGCAACCTTTCTGGCACTCCACAACTCCGTCTTTTCATCGTCAGACTTGGCAAACTCAAACTTCAAGCTTTCGTGCTTACCTGTGATTTCCTTCACGGATTTTACCAACTCTTTGACAATGGTATCAGAGGCACCACCGATCTTGAAGAACAACGTAGGTTTCTCAGTCCAGACTTTTTCGGTCTCGCCAGAAGCGTTGACACACTCCATCATCTTTCCATCCATGAGCTCCATGGCATCCAACTGAATCCCGTGCTCCAAAATATCCTTCACAGCGCTGGTGGCGTCGTAGATAGAGTTGAACGGAACTACCGCAATTGTTTGCTTCAACGGTTTTACATGGAGCTTTAAGGTGGCTTCGGTGATAACTCCCAAGGTACCTTCGCTGCCGATGAACAAACCTGTCAAGTTATACCCCGCTGAGGACTTTCTCGCTCTCTGCTTGGTCTTGATGACGGTACCGTCTGCCAAAACCACCGTCAAGTTCACAACGTTTTCTTTCATCGTACCATACCTGAACGCATTGGTACCGGAGCACGAAGTGGCCACCATCCCGCCAATCTGCGCCCCCGGACCGGGGTCAGGGCCAAACATCAAGTTGTGGGGTTCCAAAAACTCCTGCAAATCCTCCCAGGCGACACCGGCCTGAACCACCACATCCAAATCGTCTCTGTTGAGCTGTTTGATTTTGTTCATACGCGATAGGTCGATTACAAGACCCTGTCTTGTCTGGATGAAGTGCCCTTCCAACGAGGAGGCGCCGTTCATCGGCACCACCGGCACCTTGTGCTCCCTACAGAGCACCATGATTTTAGAGACATCCTCGGTGGTGGAGGGGTACACCACGTATTTTGCCCTTTGCTCGGAAGTAGGGTGATGGGAGTTCCAGTAGGTGTCCGCATGGCTTGCCAATTCATCGTCAGAGTTGGAAACAGCATCCTCGGGGAGGATCTTCTTGATCTCATTCATTACCTTGTAGAACTTAGCACCACTCATAGTGTAGTCCCGGCCCGGGCTGTGCACAGAATCTAACGGGGAGGTGGACTTGCCCAACACCGACTTGCGCTGATACAAGACGGTGGCTCCGAAGCCAGCTGCACAACCACCCACAAAGATGGCCGTGATGAACATTAAGAGCGCCTTACGGTCCTTAATGGGGTACCCCGCGATATAGATATAATGATTTCTGACTTTCTGTCGCGGCATTTCAGCAGATACAGAGGTAGGGACCGGCTTGGAAAGCGTCTTGGAAGTGTCCACCTTCTTGAGCTTAGGTGCCTTCAAGTCATCGCCAAACGCAGACGCGAATCTGAGAAGCAACGGGGACTGCGCTCCACGGGGCTGGAAGGGGCCCCCTAAGATCCTAGTTCTGAATGTTCTCAGTAACATGGGAATGATGTATATGTGGGAAGGAATAATAGAGTGGAAGGGTGGGGAAAGAGAGGAGCGACTTCTGTTCAGGAGTCTTAGAGAGAGGTTGAATTTTCGTGATATGCAGGATAAACCTTACAGTCTAATCATGGAGATGATGGCTTAACATATGGTGTATTCGACGGACAGTTGGCTGTTATGTAATTTTTAGTATCTTCTATCGGAGAGAAGTGAAGAAATTGAGTTAGATTTATAAAGGAAACCAGCGGTATACCTAAGGGGTGCTCCTTCTTAATCCGAATCTCACACGGGTTGCCATTTCGGGATTTTATTAGTCCGATAAAAATCCATAGAGGATCATCAAGGAAAGGGTGTGTGACGGAGGGGTAAATACACCAGACAAGTAATTCGCATGGCTAACCCTTGCCATAACACAACAAAGTTGAATATGAGTCTATACGGCATATACGTCGTAGATCTGATAATATTGGCTTACAACGGAGCTCATAAAAGACCCCTTTTAGTCAATTGGGTTGCGAGAAATTGATCTTGTGTGGTATATCTAGTAGGTGATAGCGGATACCGCTAGCTAAAAGAGAATATTTTTTCATCTATAAGACATACACTAGAGAAGGGTAGTCGATGGTTTTATATACTGAGGCGGGTACGATGCTAGGGTGTCGGCCTATCGGAGGTAAGGAGATAATGAACGCCGACTTCCGTCTAGTTAAATGGCACCTTTACTACACCTTGGTATTTCTTGATTAAACGCACAAGCTCAAATTCTAAGCTTTCATTAAATAATTTAACTGTATCTGCATTGATGTATATGCTTACAGAAACCGGGACTGAAATACAAAACTTAAACTTTTCAAGATGGGGTATTGTGTGGCTATTCCAGCCCTGACATTGACTTAAGCCTTGAAACTCGGAACTGCGGAGACATTCCTCGCGTCCCCACTTCAATATACCGTTAGAAATCAGATATTCAGCCAAACTAACGGCACTGTTTACTGCTAAAAGTGGGCTACAGATAGGAAGTAGACTAGGAGAGAAGCCCAAACATTAAACACCTATGACCGGGAATACCCACAAGAACCACTCTACAGCTTACTATTCTTTTCGTTTATCCAATCCTATAACTTTACATAAAGTCATCATCACCAAAATCTTCATCGTAGTTGGTGGTGTCGAAGTCATCACCCTTGGCGAACTGTCCCACGTTTGGCTTGACGGTCTTGACCTTCTTCTTACCAGCACCACCAGTGGCAGTACCACCAGCCTTGGATAATCTGGCCTGTCTCTCGGCTCTGGTCTTGTCGTTGGAAATGACGGTCAAGGTCGAGGTGACCTTTCTGATAGACTCCACAGACAAAGGCTGGCACAAGTCTCTGATCAAGTCGATTGCCAAGGACGAAGTATAATTCAACAAAGACTCTTCTGACAACTCGGTCAAGGCAGCAGATAAAACCTTTCTCAACTTCTCGAACTCCTGCTTGGTGGTGGGTTTGAAAAGCGGATGCACTTCGAGCGGAGTATCAGCGGTCAACTGCGCTGGCTGCGCCGGGGAATTAGCAGCGGCCAATCTGGCAGCTCTGGCTCTTGGATGCTCGGCAACTCCCAAACCGTCGAACAAGTCTGTGGCGTTATTCAAATCGGCTTCCAATTCGGCGGCTTTCAACATCTCCTTTCTGGTTTTTTCGTCCACCAAGTCAATGTCCAACATCTTTTGTTCACCGCTCTTCTTGCTCTTCTTGGCAGCCAATGCAGCCGCTTGTCTGTCCTTCAAGGCTTTCTTTTCGGCTTCCTTGGCGGCGGCTTCGGCCGCCTTCTTGGCCTTGAGCTCGTCCTCATCGACGTCCCAGGATTCTTCCAATAATGGCTCGTCATCTTCTTCGTCTTCCCAAGAGGCAGAGGCCGCTGGGGCTTTGGTTGGAATTTCAAAGTCTTCGTCGTCCCAGGACATATTGTAGCTGTGTATAGGCGTGCGGAGTAGGTGGTGTGTGAAGAGTGGCGCGTAATCCTTTTTTTTTGACCAAAGTCCGATACGTTGGTAAAAATTCTATGACGTGTGCGGACTGAAATTCACGTGATGAAATGTATGGACGAGAGACGATATGTATTTTCAAGTATTGAAGACCGGCTATAACTGAGATACAGGCAGCTGTTTATATTACACTTAGAGAAGAGATAGTATTTTGTTAGTTCAATGAGGGGTTAAGCTTTTACTCTCCTTTTACTTCGAATATCGTAACGTAAGGGGCTCTGATAGAGGTTATCGCGAACGGCACAGCGCCTGTGTATCGACTACACCAGACTCTGTAAGTATATTGATTCCCAAGGAAAATATCACGGTAACTTGAAATCTCGGATGCCCGAAAACGTTTTCTGGTAGTATTAGGCTTTTGGTTTATTTAATTATGAGTTTGAGTCGGTAGGTGTATGTGAACCTTGGGCTGTATATTTGAAATCACGTGTTAGTTCGAGCCGCATACTAATCTCTGCAGGTCCAACCCATAAGTCAATGCATGTCCATGTTGCCAGAAAGCGCTACTATTCACGGGGGGTACCAATATCTATGCCGTTAATCACACTGGAAACCATTATACCTGGTATTGCTGATTCTCTAGCATTTTGCAATTGGATATCCAGCTCGGGAGTCACCCACCATGAACAATTGTCTATCCACCAATCCGTGCTAGGAGGAACCGGCCTCTTCCTTACTATGAATTCCTTATCAACTAACAAAGACATCGAGCTATTGAGAATTCCAGCTTCCACAACTTACAACTTAGCCAGCTGTATGTCCATACTAAAGGATGTAACCCGGCTAGAAGACTCGTGCGCTGCGTTCGCGTACAGAGAGAGCTCCGTTATCAAGTTCTTTTTGAAAAATTTAGCCCCAACGTCGGAGTTAGCAATTCTTCAGGCGTACTTCCAGGCATTTGTAATGCTCAACCAGCTCCATCGGTGGATCAAGACCTCCAAGACCGCTCCTAAGGAATTTGTGGACCTCCTTAACCTGTCTCCCGTACGTAAAGTGGATCTATACACTGAGGTGCTAGCCGGCGTCGAGGTTCCGACAATTGATTCCGACAAACCTGAGGTGCTACAGCTGGCATTGCAGGTGTTTGGTAACAAAAGCGTGATTGCCAATATCACCCACGTGTTGTACCAATCCCATATGCATGCTTCTCTCATCGAGGCGCTAGCCAAAGACGAAACATTCAATGGCATTGGAGTAGACATTTTCGACATTCTTCCTCTCGAGAGATTTCACCAAATAAACGCAGCAGTTAAGTCCCGGATATTGGAGATCCCTGAAGAAATTGAGTCAAAGAGCGATGACTTTCTGACGAATGTGACTCTCGTTCCATTGCTTGACTTTGCGAACCATAGCAATGGCGACAAGTTGAATGCATACTTTGACATCGATAGAGTCTCAGGGGACGTACTCTTAAAGTTTGATGCAGAAAAGTTGAGCGATGGGGAAGTGGAGGTGTGCATAACATACACCAAAAATGAAGATGTCGCAAAGGTATTTATGAACTACGGGTTTGTTCCACAGCTCAGTCAGGCTCCCTCGGTGTACGAGCTCTATTTTGACGAAGAAATCTTGTTGGGGATGAATATGGAGTACCCGACTGGGCTTCTCAAGTGGTTGAAGGTGATGCCGTGCGCGCAGGTGATAGAGACGGAGAGTGGAACTTTGGTGGACCTCCAAGGCGATTTTTTTCCAGTATTGTTCTCGGGTTTGAAGTACAATATTGACTGGTGCGTTGAGACGTTTGGCGACTTAGAAGCAGTGCAGTACTACGAATCGGAATGCGGGGATGTTGTGCCAAACCTTGTTCATAAGGCAGTTACAAGAGGCGATACGTTTATCAGTTCTGGCGCTGAGCTCTGGGAAACTCTCACGGAAACGGAAAGGGCAGAATGCGAGAGCAAGTACTCGGAGTTCTTGAAGGTATACGCGGAGTTGAGAATAGATCAGTTGGACATCTTCCAGAGGAAGCATCGGATTTCCACGTTAGTTGAGCACGAACAACGCATCTTGGGAACTTTTAGAGAAGGGGTGGTATTCCATAAAGGTTCGGAAGCTCTTCAGGAAATGCGTTCCAAACCGGAAGTTGACTTTGAATTTATCAGAGAGAATATTGAGGTTTACGAGATAATCACCGGGGCCGCCATGTCTGAGGTTGAGACGGAGAGGCAGATCAGCCATGATTATGAGGTGTTATGTGAGATGTTTGGAGAGTTGTAGGGAAAACAAGGCATAAAAGACAAATATATTCAAATCCTGTGGACTAAAACCATATATGGAATTCTGCTTGTAAATGATGGGAAGGTTGCATAAGAATATAATTACGGACATCATATGCAGAGTAAAATATAAATATGGGTAGCTTGATCTGAAACGGAGTACGTCAGCCTTCGCCCTTGGCGTCTCCCATCTGTGGGCTGGAGTAAAACCCATTTCTATAGCTATATTCAAATACCATAGTCTGTAAAATCTACTTCTCCCAAAATTACTTCGCTCCCAAAGGTAGAACTGTAACTCAACGTTACAAGTGCCTATGCATCTAATATACCTCAGCCTGGACACCTATAGCCCAGTTTCATTCATGTGAGCGAAAGCTGAGTCCTTATCAGTATCTAACCGCCATCCTCGACTAAAAAAACTTTAAAGTCAAGCCGGTTTAAGCATAATACCGGGTGAACCCTTGGATAACGTAATTTCAAAAGTCTCTTCTTATCTCTGCCCGCTTATCAATGGAACGCACTAGTCACAGATGCTAGAGATAGATGCACCCTTCGATACAGGAGGTACATCCTATGCCCAGATATAACCAATAGCATCCATATCGTCATACCGCCGTTTAATAGCATTTCTCTGGTTAATCACAATTCGCTTTATTAAACCGCACTTTGCACCAATCACGGTGGGCCAAACTTAGCTGTTGGCAACTGTCTCATCCGCACCTGCTATGACACCGTGCGGCGAAAATTTTCATACAGACACCAGTGTGGCTGCAGGTGTCACGTTTTCGGTAGTCATGCCCGCACCGGGAAGGCGCCAAGCATTGTCTCATACCTGCTCCGCTATTCAGAGTGCGCGAATATTGGTGCATGCCAAAGCGGTAGAGACGGTAGGAAGCGCGGATGTGTCACTCGTTCGTGGGGACAGAGAGCCAGGTGCCGGCACGATCTTCCCCAAAATACGGGGGATCTATAGAAAAGGGTCAAACACCCACAATCCTCTTCTTTACTTGATCACTTTTCAAAACTAGATTCTGTGAACTTTTATTAGTTTGGCTTCCTGACATACCCTTCACTCTGTTTTTCCTCCTTACATCCTTGCCGTTTATTCGCCAAACGAGTTTCAAGATTCTTCTACCCAAGATATTTGCATAGCACACAACATACACAACACATAATGTCAGATAATAGTCTCGCTACCCAGGAAGACACGTTCCCTATAGATATCACGTACACAACGAGTCGCAACGGCAAGTCACCCGACTTGGCGCCGATGGTGTCAAATGCCTCGTCGCTTGGGCTCAGGGAGACCCTCTCGCGCACGTTCTCGCGCCCGCGTGAGGGTGAGGTGTACTACGCCACGGGCCGTGGGGGTGCAGGCAACTTACAGAAGGCGCTGCAGCTCCCATCACCACAGCTTGTACCCGTGGGCTCAAATACGCCGAATATCCAGCACCCAGTGTACTCTACCGGCCGTGGTGGTCGCGGTAACATGTTCTCCAACGATGACCCTAAGGTGACTCGCAAGGCCCAGGACGTGGGGGAGGACTCGGTGAGCCCGGTTGTCTCTAACATTGCGACGAAGGAACGCAACTTTGCTGTCGGCAGAGGCGGGTTTGGCAATGTCATCACTCCGAGCAAGAGCAACGCACTCTCTCCGCGCCCGTCCGACCCAAGAACCCCAGAATTCCAGGCCCAGAACCACTACACAATCCAGGGAAAGAAGAAGGGCGGGTTCTTGGGCAAAGTAAAGGAGTTGTTCAGCAATTAAGATTGCTAGAGTTTGTGTATGACTATGAGTTGCACAAGTCCTTCTTTTACCCTTACCTAGGTTACATTCCTTCTCCATTGTCAATATCTATCCACGGGATCCATGCCTATTGCTCCCCGCTACTTTTTCTTCTTCTCAATGATTTACTTCCACTCTCTTTTGGGGTCATCCTCACGTCCTTATGTTTTAATCCCCATTTTTCTTTTATGTATAATGTCGCTTTTTTCTTCTTTCCCTCTGGTTTTATGCCCTTTTCTGCTTTGATTCATGCCTCCTCCCCAGATTTAATTCCTCTTTGTTTTTAATTCCACTTTACCTACATTTTATTTACCGTAATGCATAATGTAGCGTTTGGGCTAGCAGACGGGCTGTAGAATTATGCTTCAACGTGTCGGCTATTGATATGAAATAATGGCTATTAGCGAGTGTAAAATGGATATCTAAGCGTCTGCCCACATATCTCCAAGAGATTTATAACCCAACGTGAGTATGATATGTCCTAGAGTCAGTGGAATTCAACTAAGCTAAAAATAGGATACTCTTTATAGATCTAAGGTGAGAGGGTATCACTAATGACGTCTGCAGTATTAAATATCACATTTAATACAAATGACCCTTAAAGTTCAATTGGTACATGACTAGGTCCTTACACACGATTATAAAGTAAATATCTTAGAATAAAGGTTGAGAGTACCAGAAACTAATGTTGAAACTTGTTTTCTTAACCAAAATAATAGAGGAATGAAACCCTGGGCTAGTATTTTTCCTATTAACTGCCATGGGGAGTTATTCCACGTGCCCATACCACGTGCATATCGCTTGCCTTTACAAGGTAAACACGCAAATGCATATTAGGAATCACTCAAACACTTTGGCCCCGAACCCCTACACCATTATCTTACAGCATATTTACCCCCTTGACATGTCTACCGAACCTACTTCAAATATCAACCAGGAAGCCCTTGCGAACCTCTTTAAGATCTTGTCGTTTACCAACCCCAGCACTAAGATCACCAGTAAGACAGTGGCCTTGTCGTCGGAATACTTGACTATGTTCACCCGAGAAGCCGTGCTCAGAGCTAACCAGGCGCGGTTAGCAGAGGAGTTCGAAAGGCAGGAACAAGGATTGCAAGAAGATGATGCGGAAGATGAGGGTGGTGTGTTGGATACTCAGCACTTGGAGAATATCTCGGGTGTGTTGGTATTGGATTTTTAGCAAGTTACCTTGAACGGCAGGGATTCCTTACTACAGAATAGCAGTCCTCCATGATCGTCTTAACCCGAGAGATGGGCATGATAGCTCTACTGGTGGTTTGTACAGAATCAAGACATTGGTGTTTAGCCGTGAGGTAAAGAAGCCGATGCCATGGGTAATTCCCTGAGGGTCATATGAGACCAGTGGATGACCATTAACCCGCAACCTCCTTTTGGAGTATTGAAAAAATTAACAGAGATTGACTATATATTCGTGATATTGCATTTAAGCTGCAAGTGACAAGAATTTATAGATAAGGGATAGATACCCAGAAATACATACGGTCCATCAGGATTTTAGAACCTTAAATAACCTGAAGCAACAAGCCTAATTACCTAATCTACTCAAGTATATTCCTAAGGGTAAATCGTAGATCCATTTAGAAGCAAATTTTATCTCAACCCTTGGGTACGCTGCTAGGATATTGTACTACCTTTCAGTATATTTTCGAGTAGAGATTCCTCAGAGATGGTAACCAAACGGTGAGAGGGGAAAGCATATTCATTCCACTTCTGATTCCCAGTTAGATTTTGTTGAACCGATGCTGGTTATAGTAATCATTTTCCTGAGTTCATGATCGTCGTATTTAGTGCTTCATTAGGGGTACCAACCAGCCCTCTACTACATCCATGATCCGGACGCTATAATCTTTTAGTACGACATTTAATGGCATATAATCAATATTAGAATTTACGTATACAAACCTTGCAATCTTTATCCCAAGCTTACCATTACTCCTGGCTCGCCAACTCCTCCAACAACTTGTAGTCACGTTGCACAATTGACCCGTTGCCTGGCAACTTCGTGCCACCCATCAAGTAATCATCAACTTCTCTGGCACATTGCCTCCCTTCCTGGATCCCCCAGACAACCAACGACTGGCCTCTGCGACAATCACCTGCGGCAAACACGTTACCCTCGTCTACCCTGTATCCGTTAGGGTCCAGGGTGGCCAAAGTCCCTCTTTTGCTACTTGGAGTGTCCAACTTCTGAGAGTCTGGACCAACAAAACCCATGGAGAGAAGCACTACATCAGCTGGGAACACACTCTCAGACCCTGGGACCTCGGCCATCTGCCAGGCCCCGGCATCAGTACGCTTCCATTCCACCCTGACCGTCTTGATTCCAGTAACATTGCCATTGTCATCACCAATGAATTCCTTGGACAATATGCAGTACTCTCTAGGGTCCTTACCGTAGTGCTCGGCAACCTCAGCGTGCCCATAGTCCACGCGGAACACTCTAGGCCACTGTGGCCATGGGTTGTCCTTGGCTCTTCTGGCCGACGGGTGAGGCAATAACTCAAAGTTGGTTACCGACTTGGCTCCGTGGCGAGTGGAGGTCCCTAAGCAATCGTTACCGGTATCACCACCACCGATAACCACCACATGCTTACCCTCCAAGCTTTTTCTCACCTCCTCAAGCTCGTTGTCAAGCAAGGCCTTGGTGTTCTTGTGGAGGAGTTCCATCGCGAACTTGATGTTGTTGAGCCCTCTACCAGGAATCTTCAAGTCTCTTGGGATGGTGGAACCCACTGCCATAACAACAGCGTCGTTTTGGGATTTCAACTCCGCAGTGGTGATATCCTCGCCAATAGTGGTGCCACAGACAAAATTGATACCCTCAGCAGCCAACAAGTCCACCCTTCTCTGGACAATCTTCTTGTCAAGCTTCATGTTAGGGATACCATACATCAACAACCCACCGGCCCTATCGGATCTCTCGTATACGGTCACCAGGTGACCAGCTCTGTTTAATTGGTCAGCACAGGCCAACCCGGCAGGACCAGAGCCAACAATCGCAACAGTCATACCCGATCTGGTTGTCGGTGGCCGCGGAACAATCCAGCCCTGGTCAAACCCGTGGTCGATGATGGCAGCTTCCACCGACTTGATTCCCACCGGGTCTTCGTTGATGCCCAAAACACAAGCCCCTTCACAAGGGGCAGGGCAAATACGCCCTGTGAATTCGGGGAAGTTGTTCGTCATGAGCAACCGGTTCAAGGCGTCCTGCCATCTGTCCTGGAACACGAGCTCGTTCCATTGAGGAATGACATTGGAGATTGGGCAACCGGTGTCGGAAGTACAGAATGGAACTCCGCAGTCCATACACCGGGCGGTCTGGTGGGTCAACTCTTCCTTGGTGAGGCGTGACGACAATTCCGCCCAATCCTTGGTACGAGAAGTCACCGGTCTGTACTTTTCAGCCCGTCTCTTATACTTCATGAATCCCTTGACCTTGTCAAGCTTTTTGACTTTGGTGGAGTTTCTGGTGGCGGAGGAAGTGTCAAGAATGGTGTCTTCCAAATCAACCAACTTTGGCTCCGCCTTGTGCGTGTGGGCAGTAACAGGCTTCTTGGAGTTTTTCCACTCGCCATTAGTGATATCGGTCTCTGGGTCTTCTTTGATCCCGCGGAGGAAGCTTGTGACCTCACTCTGCTTGTGGATCTCCATCTTGGCCGCCTCCTCTTCCAACACCTTTTTGTAGTCCCATGGTAACACTTTGACAAAGCGAGGCAAGAACCTGTTGTAATCACTCAACACACGCGTGGCGATCTCAGACTGGGTGTAGTGACGATGGTCTTCAATCAAACCTCTCAAAAAGGCCACCTCCACTGGGTCTGTAACCTGCGAAAGCTCAACCATTTCGGGATTCACGCACTTGGCAAAGGTCTGGCCCATGTCCAACACGTAGGCAATACCCCCAGACATCCCAGCGGCAAAATTGCGCCCGGTGGTTCCCAATACAACAACCCTTCCTCCGGTCATGTACTCGCACCCATGGTCACCACAGCCCTCCACCACCGCCGTGGCACCCGAGTTACGGACAGCAAACCGTTCCGCAGCGATACCGTTAAAGAACGCGGAGCCAGAAGTTGCACCGTACAAACAGGTGTTACCGACAAGAATGTTCTCCTCGGCCTTGAACTGGGAGGACTTTGGAGGGTACACCACGATCCGCCCACCAGACAAACCCTTCCCAACGTAATCGTTAGCGTCACCCTCTAATTCAAGGGTGATCCCCGGGGCCAAAAAGGCCCCAAAGGACTGCCCGGCGTTCCCGGTGAGGTTCACGTGAATGGTATCCTTTGGCAAGCCGTCTTCTCCAAACTTCTTCGACACACGGTAGGATAAGGTGGCACCCACGGCTCTGTCAGTATTGATAATGTCAGCTTCAATCTTCACCGGCAAACCCTTCTCGAGGGTCACTTCCAGTTCGTCGATGAGCTTGTTGTCCAAACGGACGTGGAGACGGTGGTCCTGCTTCCGCACACAACGAGTGGCCACACCGGGCCTGATGGTGTGGGCAGGTGTCAAGATTGGGGACAAATCAAGATTGGCATTCTTGGTGGTGCGCAAATCGTCTCTGACAGTCAAAAGCTCGGCTCTACCCACCATCTCATCGATAGTCCTGAACCCGAGCTTGGCCATGATCCCGCGGAGCTCGTTCGCAATGTAGTAGAAGAAGTTGATGACATGCTCTGGGGTCCCCACAAACTTCTTGCGGAGCTCCGGATCCTGCGTGGCAATCCCAACGGGACAGGTGTTCAAGTGGCACTTTCTCATCATGATACAGCCCATGGCGATCAATGGAGTGGTGGCAAAACCCCACTCTTCGGCCCCCAACAAACACGCAAGCGCCACATCCCTCCCGGTTCTTAACTGCCCATCCGTCTGAACCACCACACGGCCTCTCAAGTCGTTCAAGACAAGGGTCTGGTGGGTTTCAGCGAGACCAAGCTCCCAGGGTAAACCGGCGTACTTGATCCCCGTCCATCTGGATGCTCCGGTTCCACCGTCGTGGCCAGAGACGAGGATGTGGTCAGCCTTGGCTTTGGCAACACCCGAAGCCACCACACCGACTCCAACCTCGGACACAAGCTTGACCGAGACTCTTGCGCGGGGGTTGGCGCACTTGAGGTCGTAGATCAACTGCTTCAAGTCTTCGATGGAGTAGATGTCGTGGTGCGGAGGAGGCGAAATAAGGCCCACACCCGGGGTGGAGTGACGGGTCTTACCGATGGCAGCGGTGACCTTGTGGCCTGGAAGCTCACCACCTTCACCTGGTTTCGCTCCCTGAGCCATCTTAATCTGGAGCTCTTCCGCGTCCGAAAGATAGTAGGACGTGACACCAAACCGCCCAGAGGCAATCTGCTTGATGGCCGAGCGCATGGTGTCACCGTTGGCATTAACAGACGACCTCTGAGGGTCTTCACCCCCTTCCCCAGTATTGGACTTGCCTCCCAAACGGTTCATCGCCACCGCAATGGTGGAATGGGATTCCATAGAAATGGAGCCATACGACATAGCACCCGTGACAAAACGGCGAACAATCTCCGTCCATGGCTCCACCTGGTCGATTGGAACAGGGGTGCAACTGTCGTAGTCAAAGTCAAGCAACCCGCGGAGGGTGCATCCCTTGATGGCTTCGTACTCACGCTTGGAATACGCCTCGTACGCCCGGTGGTTGTTGTTGCGGACAGCGTCCTGGATGTTGGCGATTGCGGTAGGATCGTTAACATGGGGATCACCACCATCGCGCCAGTGGTACTCGCCGGTTTCGGGCAAGGACATTGGGACAGATGACGGAGCGGAGGGGAAGCCCATTTCGTGAAGCGAGAACGCGTCTTGGGCAATGTACTCAAAGGTGATACCCTTGATACGGGAGGCAGTGCCCGCGAAACACCGATCAATCACCGAGTTGTCTACGCCGAGCGCCTCGAAGATCTGGGCACCCTTGTAAGATGCGAGAGTGGAAATCCCCATCTTCGACATCACCTTGAGGATGCCCCCGTCGATCGCGTGCATGTAATTGGCAATGATCTCATCGTTTGGGAGGCTGGCACGGAGAAGCCCACTCCCGTTCATGCTGAGAAGCGTCTCCATCGCGAGGAAGGGGTTGATGGCGTCCGCACCGTAACCAAGAAGCACACAAATGTGGTGGACTTCGCGCGCTTCCGCGGTTTCCACAACGATAGCAACCTTGGAGCGTTGCTTGTGGCGCACCAAATGGTGGTGGACGGTCCCAGTAGCGAGTAAGGCGGATACAGGGACGCGGTCGCGGCTCGTGTTGCGGTCAGAGAGAATGATGATTTGATGGTTGTCCATAATCGCCTGCGAAGCTTCCTCACAAATTCGGTCCACGGCGTCCATGTACCCGTTCAAGCCCTCATTCTTGGCGAAGGTGATGTCGATCTTGGCCACCAGCCACTTAGGGTAGACTCGGTTGATATTTTCGAGCGCCGCAAACTCAGCGATGGTCAAAACGGGGGACTTGAGAAGAAGACGGTTGCACTGCTCGGCCTTCATTTCCAAGAGATTTCCCTGTGGACCCACATAGCATTCTAAGGACATGACAATGGCCTCGCGGATCGGGTCAATTGGCGGGTTGGTAACCTGGGCAAAGAGTTGGCGGAAATAGTCGTAGAGTAAACGGGGTTGTTCTGCGAGACAGGCGAGGGGGCCGTCATTACCCATAGACCCGAGCGCCTCTTTGCCTTCAGCCATCGGGGCAAGGAGGAGTGAGAGTTGCTCGAGAGAGTAGGCGAAAGCGAGGAGGTTGGGGTTGACGGTGAAACCGGAGGCCTCAGATCCAGTGGAGCTGTATGGGACAAGCACAGAGGTCGAAACGAGTTCCTTGCGGGGTTTGGCGACTTCGTCGGATCCCACAGGAGTTGAAGCAGCCGTACCGGAGAGGGAGGTCTCATCGGTAAGACCCTCGGAAGCGGAAGTATCTGAAGTGCCAGCATCAGAGGCTTCACCATCGGAACTTGCAGAGGGCTTAGAGATGGACTTCTGGGAGACTTTGGCAGCATCTAACTTGCGTTGCAACTCAGGCATGGTGATTAAGTTCGCCAAGACCCACGACCTAAAGTCGAACTTCCGGGCCACCATTTGCTTCAACTCACGGTCATCGACAATCTTCCCCTCCTTGGTGTCCACGAGTAACATTCTTCCCGGCTGTAATCTTCCCTTTTGGACAATCCGTGCCGCATCCAAGGGAATGACCCCCACCTCCGATGCGCAGACCATCATGTCATCGTCTGTGACGTAGAAGCGGCACGGTCTTAAGCCGTTACGGTCCAAGTTTGCTCCGCAGTAGCGCCCGTCTGCAAAGGTGAACAAAGCCGGTCCGTCCCACGGTTCCATTAAGCACGCAGCCCACTCGTAGAACGCCTTCTTCTGCGGGTCAATGTCGGGGTTGTTCTGCCAGGCCTCGGGAATCAACACCATCACTGCTTCTGGAAGCGTCAACACGCCGTTGAGCATCAAGAGCTCCAAGACGTTGTCAAAGGCCGCGGAGTCGGAACCACCGTCCTCGATGATGGGGTAGAGCTTGTCCAAGTCGGTGCCAAAGAGTTTGGACGCCATGACTCCCTCACGTGCGCGCATCCAGTTCTTGTTGCCTCGCAAGGTGTTGATTTCACCGTTATGGGCGGCCCAGCGCAACGGCTGCGCTCTGTCCCACGACGGAAACGTGTTGGTAGAGAAGCGCGAGTGGACCAAGGCAAAGTGGGCTTCGTACGACGAGTTGGTCAAATCGTGGTAGTATGCGTAGACTTGCGACGGCAGCAACTGGCCTTTGTAGACGATGTTGCGCGGCGAGAGCGAGCAGATGTAGAACCAATTGTGCAACCCGATGGTGGTGGTGGCCTGCTTGCGCAAGAGGAAGAGCTGTTTGTCGAACAAAAGGGCATCGAAGGAGGAGGTTAAGACAACCGCAGGTTGGAGAACTACTGGCTCACGGGACAAGGCGGCTGGGCCCAAAATGGTGGAATCGCGAGGGACCTCTCTCCAGCCGATGACCTTCAACCCCAAGCCAGCGGCGATCAGCTCGAACGTCCGCTTCGACTGGGCCAATACTGCTGTGTCGTTCTTAAAGAAGACATTACCCACGGCATACTCCCCCATTGGCGGCAAGTCCACCTGACAGAAGTACGCAAACTCGCGGGCCAAAAGCTTGTGTGGGATGGATGACATCACCCCAGCCCCATCACCATCACGGGTGTCGGAGCCGACGGCCCCACGGTGGGTCATGTTGCACAAAAGGTGCTTGGCGTCAGAAACAATCTTGTGCGAGGCTGCACCTTTGATGTGGCAGGTGAAACCGACCCCGCAGGCGTCCTTCTCGTACTCTGGGTCGTACAAACCCTGTGCCACCGGCAAGGCAGAGGCCCAGGACTTGTTTGCCGGGGATTCGTCGTAGTCGTAGATAGAGATGGAGGAGGCAGAAGTGGAGGAGTCAGAAGTGGAGGAGTCAGAGAGTTCCCCGCTCCATCCAGTGGAGCCTTCAGGAATCGCAGAGTAAGGCATGAAAATTGATTGGTAATAAGCGGGTTTGGCGAGGTAGATGAGTATAAATAAGCAGTCCGAAGGAAAAGGATAGGTCTAGCAATTCAATGATCTGATGGTAGAGAAGGAAGACAGTACTTGATAGCAAAGAAACCGGACTTGAAAGAAAAGAAGGAAGTGACTTTCAAGAGAGGGAAGTTAATTCACAATGGAGGAAAACGGAAGGACGACATGTGAATGATCTGATTCGCAGTCCCTTCTGCATCAGTTTTCACTATCGGATAGCGGGCATACAGAGGCAGTAGCGGCCCCTCCCATTTGGCCCTCGGGGAGAACTAAAGTTACCAGGTACTGCAGGTACTCGTAGATTACGATACTAAAATAGCAGGTTCTAATTAAGAGACCACGGCGATCATGGCATCTTTCCTGCGTGACCCCCCAAGGCCATTTATTAATATTGAACACTAGCTATTACAATTGTTGTCCAAAATCAGAGGGGAAGGATCTGTTACGAATGATACGTAGGGAAATTTATACAGACGAAGGTGGTACCACTTGTTCCACGTGCCGAGGATAGTCTTGCCGCGTTAGTATAACGCCCCGAAGTTGCAGCTGATATGGCTGACGCATGCAAAACGCACGTCTCTGAGTGCCCCCCGACGCCGTGTGCGCGCGCCTAGAGTTAAACTCAGATAAGAATCCAACCAATCAGGGTACTGCAGTAGGTAATTATGCATGTGTTCATATTTTCCTTCCATCTCCTGTACATGAGCACGGATGGAAGATATCTACTCTTAGAGAGTGCCGGAAGACTATCAGGTGGTAAATAGCGGGGTTTTCGGTGGGGAATTTTTTTCCCTTGTAAACGTAAATAACCCAAAACCAGGGCAACCTTCTCCCATCCACCAATTGGTGGGGGCAACGTAGACGTCGAAATAAGTTATCGGAACGTACTGGACCGAGGACAGCACAAGACACGGAAGTTAGAAGACTATGAGCGGTGGACAGCTAATAAATTCTCGTGAGGACTCGTAACCGCATGCGTGATGGGGTTACTTGGCGGAGTATATGTGGGGTGGTCTATGGCAGTGTTTTCGGCGGGGAGCCAAACTCTATCCAGGGCGTTTTGACAGTTTACCATCTATAAGTCTGCTTAAAATAGCCATGACAAAACAGATCGGGATGATAAATAACCAGAGGTTTAGATGGAATATTAAAGGGGGGAGATAAATTATTATTGGTTTAAGTGAAATACTAAAGAGGGGATAGAAGCCATCTCAGACAGAGATGAGCGAATGTTTGTATACCAAGTTATGAGGAGCCTTTCTCGGTAGCTCGTATCCTTTGTAAGTTTCAAATGCCGGGCTCTTCAATCCAAGCGCCTGTTTAACCTAGGAAGGCGCGGAAAATAGCTCCCAAAGTAACTTATCGTTGTGACTCAGGATTCCCGTAAAACTATCTAATGACGGATGAAGGGGTTCCGCAGAATATAAGTCACTATACTTGCTCAAAGGTTTAACTACGAAATTTATAGCGAGCTCGTGTTATTTTATGGACAAAACTATGGAGCTGATATGAAAAATTCAGTAACCCGTGCTGGATAGATACCAGACTCAAGAGAAGGGGATGAGAAATCGATCCTTCATGACTTATATCAAAGGGTAGAGTGGCATTCCCGTATACTCAAAAATCCTTTATCGGTGGTATTAAGTGTAGAGATAGAATAGTTTTTGAATCTTGGTTCTGGTTTCGGAGTTCTCACCGAATACTTAATATTTTCATCAATGTCTATAGTAGCAGACAAGTCTAACTAATTTTGAGTATCGTCACAATCAGTTTATTCTAAACTTTGGCGAGTAATTTTCCATGTATCGTTGACGACTCTATTCGTTGTCAAATACCACCCGGTGATCGTAAACACGGCCAGACTCTAATAGCAAAATAATGTTCCGAGGACCTGTTCAAAGAGTTTGAGTTTAGCAATCCACCAAGTTCAAGGAGGCATAAACACTGGTTACCAGCGCCACGAGTATTTCTACACCATCATTTTTGGATAAGACCAGTAGAGCAACAACCAAGAGCAAACCTTGTATAATTCTCTTATACTCTAAGGTTTCCGCTTTGATCTAGCAACGTATACTAACCCGCATGAGACGCAGGGAAATATAGGAGGGGTACAAATAACCCATTCGCGAGCACACAACTTGACCCGCTACTTCTTCTTCTTCCACGGCCCATCGTATACAATCTGCCCTGCATGCCGCTCGATATCATCCTGGACTTCTACCGAGTGTTGGCGCCTCACGACTGCTAAATCCACCACAGACTCTGTATAGTTGTCGTCGATTAGCTCGAACCACTTGTTCATGCAGGAACTCAGAGAATCCTCAATCTCGCGGTGGTTCGTAGGACAGCGGCAGCGGCACCCGACTCCGTACAGCCTCGCGGGGTCAGGTCTTTCAAAGAGGTATTCCCTCAAACTCTTGGGAGCAGTATACGACTCTGCCGCCTCATACGGAAGCTGCTTGCCCCTGGCATTGGCGGGACAGTGTCCGAGTGTCGAATGCTTATAGCCTATATCACGGAAGTAGTGGACATCGTCCAACTCCAAGAACATACCTACGGCAAGAGAGTGAATCGGCGCATCTCCCCAGCGTTCGGCGTAAAACCCTCCAGAGTTTTCCAAAAAGTTGAAGTACGCCTGGTATTCGGTCGAGTTGAACAAACTGGTGCGTGCAATCTCAAAATTCAGCCAGAAATGGCACATGTTATACTCCTGAGCATTGAAGCGTTCGCGCCTAAGCTTTGACGGGGACGCATTGGCCTTCACGAGCCGCTCAAGAAGGTTCTTGTCAATCATTCCGTCCTTCATGGAATGCCTTTTGTCAAGTAACTTTTGGAGACGCGTCTCAAAGTCGATCTCATCGCGTAATTCTTCTTCTGTTTCTACAGTAAATGCGTGATCTCCGTGGATGTGTAGGTGGTTGCGGAGAAATAGTCCCCACGTTTCCCCCACAGTGACGTTGTGGCTACGGATAAACAGCTGCGTGTAACGAAACAAGTTAGGGATGGTGTCGACAAGCTCCTTGATCATTACTGTAAATCCGTACTTCTTGCCACGTTTTTCCATTTCCACAAAGGGATCATAGGTGATATCGCAGTAGAATTCCACTTTCGGCTCTACCCGCCAGTACCAGTCGCGCTTCGCCACTAACGGGTGCTTAAAGAACCATCCTGAATAGAAGCGACACATTTTATGGTACGACTCGAGTTTACCGTATTTGATGCCTCTGTCGCCCTGATACTCAATGGACTCTTTGATGAGCTGGCGGTCCACGCCCGCGGGGAAGTCCCAGTGCTGGGGTTCTATCACGCCGAACTCAACATCTGATGCCGTGTATGCCTTGACTTTTTCCTTAAACTCTTCGGTAAAGGGCTCATCATTGAGAAAGACCCACGGGTAGTTGAACCACTGGTTGAAATGGCGCTCTAGCGATTTCATAGAGGCAATCACGTCCGGAAGCTCCGAGTTGCGCGCTAGCACCACAAGTGCTGCATTTGCACGAGGTTCATCCACAGCCGGGACGCTACAGCCAACCTTAAACGGAAAGTCGCGATGCGACTTCGACACCCGCCGACTCACGGGATAGTATTTGAGCTCACTGGAAGGTAGGCCAAGTAAATCACTCTGGTTTACGCCAGCAACGTCAGGATAGAGATTGAAGCGGTGTAAATAGACATACAAGATGGTGAAGACACAAATACAGGACCAGAACCGTCTGGACTTGTAAAGTGGGGGTCTGGTGCGTTTGGGAGTGAGGCTCGGCGCGGTCTCACGCTGGTCGTAATATAGGTGTTCCTTTCCGGCACGTAAACTCATAGCGGAAGGGGGTGAGGTATTTGTAAACACTCTAAGATGATCCCGCAGGAGTTAGACTGTAAAAAGCCCCAGAAAAGTTTTAAGTTGAGGATGGACTGTGTTCGTGTTCGTCTTGTGGTCTGATTTCGAGCCCAAATCGAGTCGAGATTTGAGAAGCTGTGCGGCGCAGGGCTTTGGTGTTAGCAGGAACGGCTGGATGTGCATCTTAAGCCTTATACCAGCCAAGAAATTACGTGGGGCTGTGAATCGGAAGTACCAGGATGTAACAAACATAACAGTGTAATTTATCATACGGATAGAACTGTAAAAAAAAAGCCATAAATTTATCACCGATTTCAAAAATCCTCTCGTTAGAGTCCCTCGTACGAGACCTCAATTTAAGTTTAAACTTACACTCGGATGGCCAATCTCAATCGGTCCCATGAGACTCCTGTGTAATCTAGAATTTATGTTACAATTCTAAAAGCCTGAAGTTTCAATATACTCCGTGCTGCTACAGCAATGATAATGCTCTTTCATACCGTAGATAACATTTGAGGTTAAACAGCCAGGCAGCCCAATTCGCAAAATCTCCCAAAACATAAGCCACCATCTACCATTATATTTGCCTATATAACTATATCTTTTTTGATCACTTTTTTCACACCATTCGCCACGGCGCGCAACACCTCCATATCTTCGTCCACATCCTCTGGCCGCAAACTGGTGATCTTATCTCCCGGTTTGGCGTTGTGGCGCGTGTTTGGCTTCTCGCGTTGCTTCTCGCCAAAGATCAAGTTGTTCAACGATTCATACCCATCGATATCGGTTCCGTTGCCATTGTTGACTCCAGATTCGTCGTTCGACGAGTACGCATTGCTAGTGGCATGGCCGTTCTCTGCCTCCATGAAGCCGCGCCCGAGGATGTTGTGGTTGGGGCGGCTGTCTCTACCACTGTCTCTACCGCTGCCGTAGCCCCCTCTGCGTCTCTTCAGCGAGGATGTATACCCCGAGTCAGACACCTCTTCGGTGTCGAGATGGTGGCTCGGATGGATGTCCCTTTTGCGTAAGGATCGTCTATCAAACGCGAGATTCGTCATGGAGTTCGCCATAAACTGCGATGAGGAGCTGGAAGTGTTGCTATTGATCATGTCCAAGAGGATTTTGTCTTCTTTGAGCGCCTTGATCTTCTTGGCCAAGTTCTCTTGGAGCTTCTCCTTAACGAGCCTCACCATCTGGTTGTGCTCTGTCTTGGCTTCTACCAAGTCCGAGTGGAACTCACGCTCCACGCATTGCACCTGGTACTCCTCCCAGAGTCGGAGCCGCGTCATCTCATAGTCGCGTGTCTCCTCGAAGTCGCGCAAGCTCTCAAGAAATACCTCGTTCGTGCCGCTGTGCATCGTTGATAGCGTGTTCTGCAAGTCGTGGAGCATCGACCGGTAGTAGTTGTCGCGTTCGGTCGAAAATGCAAGCGTCATCTTTGAGAGGCGCGACTGGATCTGGTACCGTCTCTTGTCTTTTTTGTTGAGCGCTGGGGAGTTAGTATGTGTGGATAGATAGAAAGGGGGGCACCTTGTGGGATCCAAATCAGAGCCTTTTCATTGCGTTCGATAAAATATGATGACCAATAAACCATTGTGAATAGTCTATTATGACAATAGGTTGTATGACAATCCATTAAGCACTGTTCTCTTTTCCATCAACTCGTTCTTTCACATCCGAGGAGGCGGAAAATACATACCGTCATTGGCGTTGTGTTTGGAATCTTCCATAATTGTAGAGGTGTAGTGCGCGTAGAAGTGGTGAGAAGTATGTTAAACTTATAATAATTCAAAATATAGGGAGCCTAGCGGTTGATTCGTGTTTGATAGGACAAGACTTGTGTTCCTTTTGTCCCTTTGCTTGTGTTATCCAGGACTCATTTGTAAAAGTTCTGGATTGCATGCAGGTTAGATTATGTAAGCACTACCAGGAATACCGGTCATAACACCATGGTTGCACGACCTATACCGCCATGCAATGACTGATACAGAGAAATGGTTGGATTCAAATACCGGTGACCTTAATACGGTTATGGAATTATGAGCGATGTAGTCTAGCTTTTGACATGGGCCGCAGTGTGATAACCCAGAAGGCTTAAGCTGCTAAGACCTGCATATAAACACCTCTCGGCCTTGTGCCGAACATATTTTAGTAAGGATAGCACATATTCCAATACTTCTTAAAGAATCTACATAGAGACATTAACAATGACGTCTATAGATTCAAGCACTACATTAATCTCAATATCCGCCTGACCAAACCGTTAGTACCTACTGCCTGTTCCAAGAAGACAGCTCCTCATATCCGCCTCGGTCGTCACGTGCCCGGTTGTAGCGGCTTTGTGTGCGGCTCCAAACGGTACGGCTCGTCCTTCTGGGGCACCCCGTGACCTTCCCGCGTTACGCAGCTAAACTGTGATATGGAATCTCCAGAAGAGAGCAGGTTGGAACAAAAGGCCGCTACTTTTACCTCTACTTATTCCCTTATTGCGGATTTACCGTTATAGAACAAGCAATTTGCTTAGTATTTGCTGATATATCAGGAAACATTCAACACGTGGACTCATACCGGAGAATACCATACACACATCCTTCTGCCAAGCCCTAGAAGATGGTATCACCCACTATAAAGACCGAACTCACGGAAAGTTTCCGACTGGATATTCACGGATTCAAGCCCAAGGACTTGAAATCCGCCCCACAATACCAGCGCACCCATGAGCCAAAGAAGCGCATTATTCCCGACGAAAACCGAAAGCGCGGGCTCTACAGCTGTGACCGATGCAAGCTCCGTAAAACCAAGTGCAAACGTGTGGAAGCAAGGGCGTCCAGTACTGAGATTCTCAAGTACGATGACACTACGCCGTGCGTGCAGTGCTCCAAAGCGGGCGTGCCGTGTTCGACCACCATTCCGCGGAAGAAGCGCGTCCCCGAGCACCACCATCTCTCCAACCAGGAAAACCTCGGCTACCATTATAAAACGCTTCACGCCATCATGTCGCACCTCTACCCCTACAAAGACATTGACGACATCAACACGATCGTTGAGCTCGGCGAGCTGCTCGGCGTGAACATGCCGCGGCTAGAGGACGAAACGCCTGGCGCAAGACGTACAGGAGAGCTGCTGAGCGTGGAAAGAGACGACTTGGGGTCACAGAAGCTGAAGCTAGAAAAGGGACCCCCAGGGCAGGAAAAATATCAGAGCTTGATGTATGATATGGACGGAAACCAGCACTACATTGGCCCTGGAGGCACCGGATCGGTCCTCAGAGGACTCATCGACATCATCCAAACACGTTCGCCCCACAAGCGGCCGGCATCATCTGCAATCAACTTCTACAACAGCTCCCAAACGCCGCTCTCTACAGCCCTGACGCCCAGAGACCCCCAGCTGGTATTCCATCAGGGGTACACTCCCTCTCCCCCAGGATTGGATGTACTTCTTCTTGAACGCTTTCCGCTTGTGAACTTACTTAGTCGATCAGAGTACGAGCACTACTTCCAGGTGTTTGTGGACAAAGTCTTGCCCTTTTACTACATCTTCCGCCTTCAGCATATCCAGGACTTATTCACGCGTTTAATGAACGAGCTCTTCGACCATAATTCCGGACCCGTGCCTCTCACCAACCTTCAGATCTGCGTTATCTATATTATTTTTCTCTTTGCCAGAAAATTTGAGGAACAGCCGTTTCCAAATAGTAAGTTTACGATGGAAGTGGCTGAGAAGTACATGCAAATCATCCGGCTCTTTCTCTCAGACTATATCATGACCCCATCCATCGGTGGCATCAAGCTTCTCTTCATGGTGGCAGCGTACCTAAACACCGATCCCACCCGGGAATCCGCCTATATTTTGACAAACATCACTTACGTGCAGGCCCGTTCTCTCGGACTCCACCGCGAGTCTATCATTCTGCGGTTCGACACAGAGGAAAAGAAAGACGACTGCCGCATGTTGTTCTGGACAATTTTCAAATCGTGCGAGACTATGGCGGTGGCATTTGGTCGCAGCTCGTTCATTCACTGTGAAGACAACGAGATTGATGTGTCGCAACCTCTGTTCGAGTATTCTGCGTTGTGCAAGGACGAAAGCTACAAGGCTTTTTTGAAGGAGGAGCTCGCCTTAGGACCGCTCCTCAACGGCATCCTACACAACCGAAAGCTTCTTGTGGATAATAGCATTCTCTCGCTTGTGAATATAGAGCGGAATTTAGCTATGACCCAGAAACTCTTGCGGTTCAGAGAGTCCTGGCCACCAACGCTACTCGCATACGACCAGGACTTCCCTATCAAGCGGTACAAGCTCAAGTTGCACAACGTGTTGCAGCATCATATGTCCATGGTAACCCTCCCGTTCATCTTGGAGACGGTCAACACGAACGTCAGGCTCTCGGCCGAGGATCCATTGTTCCAGATTCTTAACAGCGGGATTAGCTGTGCCATCCGCACGTCAAAGGTGTTCTGGTTTGCCCACAGAAACGAGTTGTTGAACGCCAGCGTGTACCATGACCGACTCTATGGTTACACAGCGACCCTTGTCTTGGTGCTCACGTTTATTTTAATGACGTCTTACTTCAAACACCATCATAATTACGACGATGTAGTTGATGCAATTGAATTCACACCGTTTGAGCTATTCCAGGCGATCAAACGGTTGAAGGAGGGGTTAGAGTCCATGCACTGGTCGCCTACATTGGCCCGAATCTCTGTCGTGACCGCGAACTTGTTTGGTGACTTGAATATCATGGAGGAGTTGCAGCGCTTGGTGGATGCGGGGGATCCTCGTGGATGGAAAGCGTTGCCGGAATTGCAAAAAAACAGACAGCCAGTGTCTCCGTTTACGTGTGCGACCCAGGAACAAACTCCTAATGGTATTGCGTTGCCTGCACCGCCCCTTGAGGCCCCAGGGAGTTCCCAAATCAATGTACCGGAGCATATAAACTTTTTCGGACCTTCTGCAGAGTATCCAGCCTTGGTGCCGACGCCGGTGATCGATGATGAGTTGATTGATTTGTTGTTTGGGGATAACATCTTGACCGGGACGAACAGCACGTCGTTTAACTTAGGCGGGTTGTTTAACGACTATAATTATGAGTAGAGAGTGCTGATAATGGTGTTTCAGGAGCACTATTGATTCCTAGATACCCCTTCTCAGGGTAGAATAGCTGAGTGCGCAGTTACTCCATTTCACTGCAAGGGTATGGCGTCAGCTTTCTGTGGGATGTATAGCAAGTGACGGACGGAGTCATCTTGGAGACAGCAGCCAGCTCTTTGTTTCCATCTACTCTATGCCATTTTTAGCAAATATGACAGGAAAAAAAAACGTGTAAGTGATAAGACCACAAGCTGTTTCTATATTTAGCCTAATAAGCTCTGTTTGCTTAGTGTAAGACTCCCCACAGAGCCCGGATGAGACTCAGCTCTGGAAATAACTCAAAGAGAAATTTCATCTGGCACGTTCCAGATCACCCATGTTTAATCTCAGACGCCGCTGCAAATTTGGTGGACTAAAGTCATCCCTGGATGCTTTCCATATACACAAGCTTGCTAAAGCTACGCGTTTATAGCAAGCAACCGTAGACAGGTTACATCCTGTCAAAGTGGCATACTCCAGCCCTAACGTGCGATGATCGACACACGGGGAAGATTATCGCTTAATCTCGTGGGCCGTTCATAGATTGTAATATAGAATCTGTTTTCAGTAATGTGTCAATAAGCACGCTTTTTCGTACTGCAGCTTATCCCTGTGGGACCGGCGAGTAATCCCCATACGCACCTGAATTTGCCGTATCCGGCATACTCGGCTATAGACAGGAGTTTTTGCGCAGGCTTCCTTGCATATAGGAGGTGCACGGAATATAACAGAGATGCGGCCTAACCTCTCGGAGTATTGCCTTGTATGGACCCATAAAGTGTGTACGGGGGGCACATAGAAGAGAAAAACCACAAGGAATTAGCTAGATGGAGAGTTGACCAGGTAAGAACTTGTATTATTGTCGAAGCCTTCGCGTATCGGACAAAGATCTTGGACTGGGCTAATGTGCATGCAGCTGTAGCATAGTTCGCGTCAATTGACTTGTGATCTTTTTGAGTGCCGTCCTTCAGATATATACAAGGATGGGGTGGGAAGTTATACGGGCTTTTTTTAGGTTAGACCCAGCAAACGCGATGGTGCGGATGAATGCAGTGGTACCCCGGACCGACTGCACCGATTCTTGAATCCTTTAAGCTTTTAAATTGTTGGCGGATATATGGCCCGGATCCAGGCCTTCGGTAGATCGAAATACTTCCCTCCCTAACCCTGCACCATGCGCTTCTGACTTAACGCTTTAGAACGCCTTAGCTCTATTGTTTCGGGAGATCTGCATTGTGCTGGCCTGGTTCTCACTTCAAACTTTCATGAGCCAAAATTCATAGTTAGCCGTCATTTAGTCTCTGTAATTTCCCCAAATCTAACCCGAAGAGTGCCAGTTTCAGTAGTGGTGGAACGCCTATGTTGCACCTACATAGCGGAGTTCCTGCACGACGCGCCAAGAGATGTGCCCCAAAAGGCGATCCGCGCTTTACTAGTCTCAGCTGCGTGTCGGAGAAAAAAAGTTTCGAGCGCACGCGCTAATAAACTTTGTCTACAAATCTCACCGGCAGCCCTGGGCTTCTCTCATGGCAGATGTCAACACGTTTTGCACGCCGCCACATTCATTTGACAATCGCATCCTAACCACCATCTTAGCTGTATCCGTTCCAGAACAAGAATTTAGTCAGACTACCTATATATCTTCTGACTCCCCATATCTCCAAGCTGCTCGAATTAATATCTCAAAAGCCCATATGTCTGAAACAGCATCCGTTTACTCCCACGGGTCAGGCACAAAATCCACACGCGAGTTCCTCTCGATTCCACTTGCCGATGACACATCCTCCATCACCCAGGCGGGCCTCAGACAGACGTCATTAATGTCTAACCTCGACCTGTATAGCAAACTGAAAAAGAAGACGCCAAATCATTTCGCCTTCACCGCAGCGCCAATGCCAATGCCACAGACGCGTAGTGTACCCAGCGGAATACCCAATAGACCGCTCGATCGCTTCCAGCAGCCACGAGCGCCGGCGCTCGCGGGACCCAAGCGCGTGCAGAGACAAGACCACCCCCAAAACCATTACTTTCAAATCAGCCCCCAACGCAGCATGTCACTGCTCCCATCGCCGCGATCCTCCAATACCTCTCAATTGTCACTCAACCGCACATCCGTGTCGACTCAGTCATCGCAGTCCGAGGTGTTGCACGCAAAGATCGAGCAGCTCGAGAAGACCTTAGGCGACGTGAGGCTCGAGAATGACGAGTTACGTCGCGAGCATAGTGCCGGTAGAAATATAAGGACCTCCCTGGAATTACAAGAGCTTCAGGAACTTCAGTCAATGAATGATAATATTATCAATGAAAACTCTATGCTCATCCAGGAGCGGTCAAAGCTCAAATCCGAAATCGCAGACCTCTCCCACGAGCTCAGCCGGTGCATGAAAATCATCCATGACCAGGAGCGGACGATTGTGAAACAAAGAGAGGTGAAGAAATCTCACCGGTCGTCGCTCCACAAAAGCGCCACCTACAAGATCAACTTGCAGTATGAGGTACTCCGTGAGGAGGATGAGGAAGAGGAGAAGGAAACACCTAGTCATTACGACGGGGACCTCACCGTCAGTAGAACACCACGTGTGCCGCCGCGGCCGCTGTCGCTCGTTCTTTCGCTCAGCCTGTCACGATCCGATGAGTCGCACTGGGAGGAGCTCTTAGCGTCGCAGGCCGACCAGGTGGACGTCCAGCCGTTCACCACAATGGGCGACAAGATCACCTCGTGGCAGGAGTTCATTCAGCACTACCGAACTCTCCGTGCCAGATATAGCGCTTTGAAGCTGGAGCAAGGAAGCACTGAAACCCCGATGCTTGTGACCAAGATGGAGCAGGAGCTTGTGGCTGTGCGTGAGGCACTTCTTCAACTGGAGATCCTCAACGAGAAGTATGTGGTGAACGAGCTCGGGATGAATGCCACCATGGAGGAGATGAAAGAACAACATTCCCAGGAGATGGCTACCGCGGAGAAGAAACTCATTGAGAAGCAATCAGAGGAACTTGCTAGAAGAGAGACTGAGCTCAGAGTGAAGCACATCCAGGAGCTCTCTCTCAGAGATGCTGAACTCAGCAAGACCAGAATTTCGCTTCCAGTGCCTGAATCGCCCCGGGCTAAACATGTTGATGCGTTATTCCGGAGTTTGGATCCCTTTACCCAATCCGGTTCCAAGACCCAGCCACTTCCTCAGGTAGAGGCGTTTGCCAAGACTGCCCAAGCGGACGCGATCTACCACGACTCGTTTGTGCAGTTGGTACAGAGCCACACGGAAGGGATAGAAAACCGTGACCAGAAAATTAACAATCTTGTTCAGTTGCTCGCCCAGGAGAGGCGTTTGCTTGCGAGTTTGTGTGTGGGTAGTAGAGGCATGTCTTTGTATGACATGGAGGATATGGACTACACGGACTTGTCGTCGTCCGTGTCAATGAACGGGGACGAATCGTACACCCCGAGCTCCGAGGTAAGCGCCGATGAGGTATTTGAGACGAAGGAAAAGTTGTTGCCAGGAAAGCGCGTGAAGAAAAGACGCGTCGGGATCAGGTTTATCGATGTCGTATAAGCAGTAATGGCCTAGACGAAGGATCAGTGTTAACTGCCAATCCCAAGTTCGCAGTCGCGGATCGGTCTTACGCTGGGAATATGCGTAAGGAGTCCCAATGGATATTTGGCGTAAAAACTATATGTCGGTGAATCTAATATTAAGCGAAAAAGAGCACCGAATAGCCGCTTTTCGAAACGTAACAATACTTGTATTGGGGGTGAAGTTGGCTTTTAAATTATGAAGATTCTATAATATCAGACTACTCTCGCATTTTGCAAGAATCCACATATGTTTCTATCTTCCACCGCCGACTGTCTAATAATTAACCTAGTTTAGTATGTAAGCAATACCGTATGTTACGACCTCCATACGCTTATACATCCCTCAAGCTGGAAATTAAAGGGTGTGGAGTCTGATAATTCTTGCAGACATTTTTGCGCCTTAAAAGGCTTAAAGCAGACACCGCTACGGGCTTAGACTTAATATGTTCACGAGACATATCCCTCTTGTTCGCTCAGCATCTGTTCTAGATACGAGTAGCGAGCCAAGATACTGTTATAAGTTATCGACAGAGTAAAACCATATATGAAGTAATCTGAGGTGAAAGACCCAAACATCCCTTCGAATTACTAGTCAATGTTGGATTATGACTGTATCATACTTACAGTTAAAGTAGGAAAAATAAGCCTATTATTCGCTATACACCACCCAAGTCAAACCAGTTTGTTATGATTTCAATCAGAAAATTTGCAATTCTCATCTAGAACGTATGCAACCCAACCATCTTTCCAGGCGGTGAAGCTGTCTCAGAGCTTGACTCTATGTTGCTTGGATATCTCATCACACGAAATAGTAACAAACCGGGCTTGCTGTCGGGTTAGTAAGCAAGAGAACACGATTCACCTGAAACAGGTATTCCCTTTGCAAAAATGTATAAGAAAACCCGGCATATTTGACTATGCAACTTAACTAAATAAGCAGGCTTGGAAAGGGACATCCATAGATCAAGAATAAGCTCCATTGGGTTTACCGATACAAGTATCGGTACAACTGAAATAACTATGGTCTAGGATTCAAACACCCATTGTCGAACGATCACTACTGCAGAGCAGTAGGAAAAACATATACAGTCCATCCAAGAGGTAGGTGCCGTGCCGATCCAGTACGAGCCAGCCCTGAGTATCGATAGTTGCGATACACTATGTCATCTCAGCCGAAGCCAATAAACACTCAAGAGGAGCGAATGAGAATAGTGCACCGGCCACCGGGTCAAGCCCCAAAGTTGGCACATCAAGCCCGGATCCGCAGATAGGCAGCCACGACGTGGATAGAACAGTATATAGCAGTTGGATGAAACCGCTGCGTTTCCGCGTATAGACAGGAGACTTTCCCCAAAGCAAAAGTAGATATAAGAATATCCTTAAGAAGGCTTCGTTGACAGTTCTTTGACCATGGATGTAAAGAGCAAAAGGGGACTATCAGAAGAAGACGGAGACAGCGCATCTTATATAGGGGAAAAATTTTCGCCCACTCGGCAAGCTTCTGAGCCAAGCCCTAACAAAAAAGACGTCTGTGTGTTTTTTTTGGTAGGGCACGACTTTTTGATACATGAGGTGAAGATAGAGCTTAAACTGAGTATGATAAAGCTGGTATCATATACCCATACCCATACCGCCATAATCCATTCAAGTCAGAATAGTACCGCTTAATGTCTGCTGATTTCTGGAACTCCACGCAACGATCCCAATGGCAGTTCACCAGGGAGTCGCTTGCCCAAGCCCGCAAGAACGTTTTGGCCATCGAGAAGAAGATGGGGGAAAGGGGCGAGATTTCACAAGTTAACATCCCTTACCACACCTACATGCGGATATTCTTGCATCAGTGTATGTATTTTTACAAAATTCTCGAGGGATACTAACAATCATAGTGATTTTGAAGCTTGGCAGGAGAATTGCAGTGAGGCAAATCGCCATCGCCACAGCGGAGGTGTACACCACGCGCTTCCTCACACAGGCATCTATAAAGGAGACTAATCCTTACTTGCTCGTCACCACCTGTCTATATCTAGCATGTAAGATTGAGGAATGCTCGCAGCATATCCGGACTATTGTCAACGAAGCGCGGAACCTCTGGCCCGAGTATGTGCCGCACGATGCCACCAAAGTGGCTGAATTTGAGTTCTACTTGATACAGGAACTAAACTCATATATGGTTCTTCACCATCCGTACCGCTCGCTATTGCAGATCAATGACGTCTTCAAGGAACTTGCCGGCATACGCAACTCTGACCCACACCCCGAGGATGCCAGTCTCGTGTTGTCCCCCAACGAACTCCAGAATTGCTGGTCAATTATCAACGACTCATACATCACAGATCTCCACATTCTCTACCCACCGCATATCATCTCTGTCGCCTCTGTCTTTATGACCATCGTGCTCCAGCAGTCTAGCCCTAACCAGAACTCCTCTGACCCAGCCAACTTTTCGCTTGGGCTTGACTCCACCGATGGCTCCCTGTATTTTTCATCGCATTCGCGGACACTCCACTCCGCCATTCCCGAGGTAAACCCGTTTACCGGTCGTGTAGAGGCTTCAACGGTGCTTTCTGAGCCTTCAGCGCGGATCACCATGTTCACTAGGTGGCTTGGGGCTACCAATGTGGATTTGGAGGAGGTGATTGATGCGATTCAGGAGATGATTGTGTTGTATTCCATGTGGGAACACTATGATGAGTCGCAAATCAAACGTTCATTGAGTGTGATGCTTCTAGGGAGATGAATGCAAGAGGGATCCAGGGGCTGGATGAGACTTTCCATTTCTTGGGTACCTTAGGTCATTCTTGAAGCGAGACTTAAAAACGATGTCTGAGCGGTATATTTTGGTTGGAAATGGCTTTTGTTGAAGATGTTCCGGATTAGCCACTGGATATTCCAGAAGGTAGCTCTTTTATTGCTCTCCTTTGTATGGTTTATTTTGTTTAATATTTCGTGGAAACTATGGTGGCCCCCAAAGTGAACTCATGTTATTGATCGCACGTAATGTGTCATTGATAGCCGATTATGCATACACATAGCTATATTTTCGGATTGTACAGAATTAGCTGTCTATATCAAAAAATGGCATCAATTACATCTACAGATTTATTTATTTTCATAATGATATATACTCATAGAATTAATTTCGTATTTGTATATCCTGCCAATTCTTAATATTAAGTGATGCATACAGACTCCGATATATAATTGCTATTATACGAAAAAGTTACATCTCAAATAGATATCACTATTACTGTGAAATTACTGGTGAACCAACTAAAATGAGACTATCACAATACTTAACCTTGCATGACTATTTCAAATCAGTTTATTCCATATTACATAGAATTGATCAGAATGGAGATCATAAATCTTCAATGCATCTCAGCAATTTGTGCATGCAGGACGTGAAAATCTCCAGGCCAAGATGACCCACCTATGAATTTTACGGCCCATAGTTGAACCTCCTTAGTTTCTAAACTAGACGCCCCTTCAACCATAATGCGTGACATTGCAGCGGACCCACGCTTGGAAAAAGAAAGAAAGAGGGCGAACAACCCTATCTACCAGTTATCCCAAACCCCATATCCCTCCGCGGTCTTCACCACTTCGCTCTTTCTCAGTGGAATATACAAACAGAAGCCGTGGGATGTCATCAAACCACGTCATAACCACGGGGTGGCATCCAAACTCCAGCGTAGTTTCCTTTTCAGAAACTACACATCCAAGGCTTTAGTCCATCCTACCGCTTCCCAGTGCTATACTTACGGGTTCGGGTACGCGGTAAGTTGGTGGTTGAACTTCATGGGCGCCATCGACCAGTCCTGCGGAAATAGTTTCATGTGGTCGTGTATATACCTCTTTGGCCAGCGTAAGAACTTGTTCCAGAGACGCTTTCAGCCGTTACCGTGGGCCTTGGGCAGCATGGCTATCGGTAATTTCGTGGTCAACTACACTGGTTATTGGTGGGGCGATGGTAAGGTCTGGGGGCAATGGTACACCTACTTCTGAGTATTTGGACACTTCTTGTATATATATATATATATATATCCCTGGAGACTGTCCTAGGACGTTTTCCAGCGTCTGCTTGTCTCCGTGGGGATATGAGCTGCGGATCATTCCCGTACCCAGTGGCTGGGTGCCTCCAGCGTAATCACGAGGGGCTGCCTCCCAGGTGGCCACTAGAGCAAGGTTATTTCACGTCAAATACCATTAAATTTGTTCAAGCATTTAAATGAGTACTTTGCCAAATTATTATAGATAGTTCTCCGAAGAACAACAAAATATACCAAATACCCAGGTATGTTTCAAAGTCAGGTATTTACCAATGAAAGAAATCTGAGTAGATGAATCATTTGTGCGACAATCATGCATAAGCACATGTCCTTCCTTGTGTGTGTATCTTCAACTACCTACTTGGAGTGTTTACAGCCTAGTTGGGTCTACCTTTGGGATATGACGATACGCTCATACTGGATAGATGATGTTTGACCTGCCCTCGGTGGTTGTCACCGGGATTACTGCTGTAGCCCACAAGCTTATTCCTCAGCTATCAGCCCCTTGATACCTACATGATTTATGAACATACAAATGCAGGGGTAATATTATAATAAATAGGGTAAAAAATATGGGACATGAAAGAAGGTGTGAGGAAATCTAGATGGGTAGGCGGTAAGTGAATATCTAGAGGCGCGACTTCAGCAAAATGATATGAGGTTAAGCACTGTGCTTCGAGTCACTACAGACTCCATGACTACCTTAGTGGTGTTCTTCGTGGCCGTGAGAGTCGTGGTGGTGGGCTGGGAAAAGGAAGTGTTCAGCAACACAGTAAACAGCAAAGGCACCGACACCCCAGCCGAAACCTGGGACAAGGCCCTTGAATCTGTTGGCTCTGGTGAACGGGCCCTGGTATCTCCAGGCATGTCTCTTGACCCATGGGTCATTAGCTGGATGTTGGTGTTCCATTATGTGTATTGCAGTATCGGAGGATTAGGTCCTATCTAGAGCAGTACGGTTAAATGTGTGCGATTTTTTAGAAATCTTTCATTGGCGAGCAGAAGTTGAGGTGCACGTGAAAATTGGGTATGCACGACTCGCTATGCAGATTTTTCATACGGTGGCAAAGATAAAGTGACAATATTTGGGTGGCAAATTTCAGGATTCTGGCAATATAAATATCAGAAAGATCCCAAAATACCGGTATTTGACCATAATTTCGGTTAGATCATTGTATTTTTTTATCACAAACTATGCTCGAAGAAGTTTTGTATACTGAGGGCCGTGAGGTCCGTATTGACACCCCAGATGCGCCCCACGAATCATACACATCTGAGAGCGACACCGACACCGGCTTCTCTGATTCCGACTCTGATGATGACTCACAGAACAATCTCTCAAACCATATCCTACAGGAAATCCAGCAGGGAGTCTATACCTGCTTGGTGTGTACGTCTGAGATCGACGCCTACTCCAAGATCTGGCCATGTGGAAGCTGCTACCGCGTATACGACTTGGACTGCATCAAGGATTGGGCCAAGCGAGACTCACAGCGAGAATCGGCTGACAATAACAACCGTAACTGGAGATGCCCCGCGTGCAAGTCTCAGAATACCAAGCTCCCCACCACGTTCACGTGTTGGTGCGGAAAGAACGTGAACCCCGATGCAAACCCGATGATGCCTTTCAGCTGTGGGAATTCCTGCGACGCCAAGTACGACACGTGCATCCACAAGTGCTCCACGGTGTGCCATCCTGGGCTGCATCCTATTTGCTCCGCCATGGGACCAGTGCTTCCGTGCAACTGCGGGGCTGAAACGAAGCAGTTACCATGCATAATCACGCCGTACGAAGGCAACTGGTCGTGTGGGAGACCGTGTACCGATGAAGTCTGTGAACTCCACGGAAGCTGTCCGAACTTTGGGGTGTGTCACCGTGGATTCTGCGGACAGTGCGAAGAGCCGGTGGAAGCCCGGTGCTACTGTGGAAAAGCCTCGAAGAACCTTGCCTGCCACAAAAGGGTTCCTGCTAAAAGCATAGGACACGAGTCTTGGATCGGAAACTTCCAGTGCGAGGAGGAGTTGGAGGTGAGGTTCAACTGCGGCGTGCACACTAAGCGCATCCCCTGCCAGCCGTTAACTCCGGAGATTCTCAACCCGCAGTGCCACTTGGCACCAGAAATTATCAAGACGTGTCCCTGCGGCAAAAACAACATCGAACTGCTTCTCAACGGCCCAAGAGCTAGCTGTACCGACCCCATCCCGGAATGTGAGTCGGTGTGTGGCAAGCCACTTCTGTGCGGCTGTACTTGTTTGTTGAAGTGCCATCAGGGCGAGTGCCATTGCTATAACAAGATGAAGGTCAAGTGCTCGTGCGAGCAACACGAGTTCTTGGTGCCGTGCCAGTTCCTTCAGGATGGCGGTAAGCCATCATGCACACGCAAGTGCACAGCTTTGCTCAACTGTCGCCGTCACGTACACAATCTGGCAGTGTGCTGCAGCGGGGAGCCGCTGTTCCTCAACCGCGAGCGCGAGAGAAAGCGCCTCATGCGTCGCGGCGAGTACAATGCGCTGTCGCTGTCGCAACAAGACATCAATATGATCATCGAGCCGGAACACATCTGCTTGAGGCCGTGTAACCGCCTCTTGCTGTGCGGCCGTCATTTCGACACACACGCCACCTGCCACTACGGCCCGTGCAAACCTTGCATGGAGTCCAGCTCCGATGACTTGGTGTGCCACTGTCGCCAGACAGTCGTGGCCGCCCCGGTTCGCTGTGGTACGACCCTCAAGTGTCCGCACCAGTGTGTGCGCGAGAAGGCGTGCGGCCACCGACAAGAGTTCCACCAGTGCCACGGTGACGACAAGGAGTGTCCCAAGTGCACGTTCATGGTTCAGGCCGACTGTGACTGTGGTAAGCGCGTGTTGAACAACATTCCATGCTTCAAGGCCAATGATCGAAACTCGTGTGGCTTGAAATGCGGCGAAACAATGGCCTGCGGCCATCCCTGCGACAAGGTGTGCCAGAAGTCGTGTGTGGCCGAAGGCCTTCATTCAGTCACGTGCGCCAAGACGTGTCACAAGATCCGCACTGTGTGCCCACACTTCTGCAAGCAAAAATGCCACCACTTGGGTTCCCAGCGCCCGGAAAATACTGGTCGCAACTTGTGTGATACGTACATCTGCCAGGACCAGATCACTGTTTTCTGCGAATGTAAAAATCGAATGAAACAGCTTCCGTGTGGGGCCTCCATCGGCACGTCCTCTGCCATCGGCACTTTATTGGCTTGTGACGATGACTGTGCACGAGTGGCCCGCGAGAAGATGCTCAGAGACGCGCTCAACGTCCCCAGCGAGGCAACCTTCGATAATCCTTATCCGGAATCCGTTTTGCGTACTTACGCCAAGCAGTGGAAGTGGTGTTCGAATATTGAAACCGTTTTTCAGAAGTTAGTTGATGATAATACTCCGATGTCTGACGATGTCTACGAGCGTTCTGTCATCATGTCTACGGTTAAAAAAACCCATCACTTCCCCGTCATGGCGCGACCGCAGCGCACGTTTGTGCACCAGCTTGCGGATGTGTTCAATTTCTACGCGGAGTCTCAAGATACAGAGCCTAACCGCTCAATCTTTGTGCAGTTCCAGCCCGACAGATCTGTCAAGCCAAGGTATACTCTTGCGGCCGCGTTGCGTTTGTACGAAGAGGCCCGCAGTAAGGCCCAGGCCGAGAGAGCGGCGTTGCTTTCGGCTCAAGCCGAGGAAACGCCGTCGCACGAGCAGCCTTGCAACGCTATTCTTATCCAGGACTGTTTCTTTGGTGTCACCCAGACGGATTTGGAGGACACGCTCGAGCCGATTGTTCTCCGCTCGCATGTGCCAGCTCCGGAGTTCAAAAGCATCAACGAGTCCACCTTTGTGTTCTACTCACTTGAGGCGCCAGCGTCTGCCAAGGCGATGGAGAACGAGTTGTACTTGATGAGTAAGTCGTTCGTGAAGATTTTGCGTGCCAAAAGTTTAGCGTTTGCATGCAAGATTACCATTTACGATGCCGCAACGAACACTTGTGCGGACGAGACCGAAGGAGGGTTCATCGTGGTTGGCTCTAGGGGCAACACCAGAGAGAGTTCAGCCGTGCCTATTACCGCTTCCTCGCCATTTGACGTATTGAGAGAGGAGGATGCGAGTATTGAGGACGGAATGGAGTCTGAAATACATGAAGGATCTGATTTTATCCAGGAAGAGTCTGAGAGCGCGGAGGAAGCATCCCGGGAGGTAGATGCTGAAATAGCCGAGGACCTGTCTGAGACTGCAGAGGGCTGTCAAGTCGATCAGACAGGTGAGTTTCAAACCAAACTTGATGAGGTTTCCACAAAGCTTGAGGAAACTTCTATTGCATTAGAATGCTAGATGTCTTGGTGCATCCAGTGATCAATATTTATTATTTAATTCTAATATCGAGAATACGGGTAGGCGAATGTATATCAGGGGGCAACAGCCAAACGATTCTCTTAGGCAATCAACACTGGGACGTTAACCGCTACTCTATTAAGATTGGAGAAACATGCCCTTTCTTTCATGCTTATTTGACAATTACAAATAATTCCACTGCCAATAGTGAATATATTACTGATAAGCCACAAATGAGCAAATTCCTCCATAGACTGGCATACATAGATATACCAAGTTGCCATTAATTCAACTGTTTTTGCAGACTTTAGGGATACTTAAGGAATTAAAAGTGAGGTTCAAAATCAAGTGATATCCTTTTCGCGTTTAGAAAGGGATGAGAATGTACTGTTGTGTGGAATGAAAGCCAGCCTGGTAAAACTCTAGTTTATAATTTCGTTTAGAATAAAGGGTAGTGATCGGGTTGAAGTTATAGGAAGATATTTGTTAAACCTTAAGCTTTAGCACAAACGCGTGTCGTATATCTAGTGGATATCATTAACTGGAACACTTTTCATAGACGATATAGACAAACAGGGGACGAGCTGAGAGGTCTTTGCTACCAAAAACCAGTATCAGTAAGGTTAAGTGACGGCATTTCAGAAAATTGGTTTGAGGGAGATTGGATACCGAAATTTCGCGCGATTACTAGTCATATAATAACATCGCCCATTCAGAGGTAAGGTAATCCACCGGCGGCGCCTGCAGTATTAAACGGCGCTATTAATACAATGCAGATAGAAATGCATATATGTAGTTGAACGCGGCTATAGCGGAGAAAATGAAGAGATAGGCTAGGAGAAGGTTATTCGACTAGAGTATCTGAGTAATTATCCCATATTCTTAGAATGTGAATAATAGAGAGAGGTAGCTATATAGCCCATAGTCTACAAGCATCTGTTCAAGGGGGCGTTTCAGTCATACGCCTAATTATTTCCGGAGCGGAAACTAAAATCTCCTCCCAGGCTTAGCGCCGGTATCAGTGCCTCTTGATTCTCAGGGGCTGTAGGAGCGTTCACACAGCCCCTTAAGAATTCTCTTGCAAGGGGTACGGCTGTTGCTGTATAACACGGAATCCACGTCAACACAAGGAAAAGTTGATAGTGTTTAGTATAAATAATTTCAATCACCAGGGTTCTGGTATAAGGTCTGACCAGTAAACACTTGTCGGGGGATATCCCGCCATCACCAAAAGCTAAGTAGGTGAAATCATTCCCTAATACGATTCCCGCTAATGACGGTTCAGCAATGACCACCTTTGCTAAAAAACTCAAAATTTGGGTTTTAAGAAATGCGCCGTGCCTTATCACTGACCTATCCCTGTTAGGATGGGTTTAATACGTATCAGCTATTTGAGGTCCCGTCCCGTTTCGCCGCCAACAAGGCGTTCTGGAGCCACTGGGCGAGGGCCTGCAAGCAGCTGCCATTTTGACCAGAAGCAGCAAAATCTGGGCACGTGTCGTGTCCCGCCCGGCGGGTAAACGACACGCACGACACTTTTTTTTTCTGAAATATTTGAATCCTCGCTGTTTCATCTTAGAGTAATCATCCCGACGCTCGTTACCCAGATATTGGTTTCGCTTTTGTCCAAAGACCCCTCCCACAGACACAGAAAATCCGCAGGCCCACCATGATAGGAGTCGCTACGGGCAGTAACCAACACTCCCCCTCGAGCTCGATTTCCGAGTTGAAATCGATGAACAGCTCCTCATACTACACAGAAAAGGCGCTCAAGGCCCCTAAATACACAGAGAAGGAGCAGGAAGTGATTGAGGCCGGCATAGAGCGCTCGCAGTTAAAGTACTCGGCCGCCATTCTCCTCACCCTTTTATCCTTGCATCGGGTTCCTAGATTGGAGCCATACACCTCTAAATTTCTCTACCTACAGAACCAAACAGGCACCAACCCGGCAACGTACGACACACATATTGACGATGTCTACTTCGTGATGACCTGGATTGTGCTTTTGGTGTTTATCCGCTCGATCTTGATGGACTACCTCTTCAAACCGATTGCGCGCGCCTACAACATCAACTCTGCCAAGGCGTTGACCAGATTTGCCGAACAGGGCTGGTCTTTTACCTACTACTCCATCTCCTGGGGGGTGGGTATGTGGTTGTATGTGAGATCCAACTACTGGCTCGACTGTGACAACATCTTCCGTGGGTGGCCGCACCAGACCTTTTCTGTGGCGTTCAAGAGCTACTACTTAATCCAGATTGCGTGCTGGTTGCAACAGATATTTGTGTTGAACGTGGAGGAAAAGAGAAAGGACTATGTCCAGATGTTTTCCCACCACATAATCACGTGCATTCTCTGTATCGGCTCCTATTACAAGCACTTTACCAATATCGGCCATGTCATCCTTGTGATTATGGACCTGGTAGATATCTTTTTGGCGGCTGCCAAGATGCTAAAGTATTTGGGCTACTCCACCGCGTGTGATGTGATGTTTATTCTCTTTATGGTCAGCTGGATCATCTTGAGGCATGGGGTGTACAACTATATTCTCTGGCACGCGTCCACAAGGCTGTTCATGTTGATGGCCCCGCGCCACTGTTCGCTTGCCACTGATCCGGACATGTTTTGCTTTGTGGACTGGGACGTCAAGATCTTCCTCTGGTTGTTGGCGGGTCTCCAGGTCATCACCCTTATCTGGATGTACATGATTGCCCGTGTCGCATACAAAGTCATTACCGGCAGCGGCGCCGAGGATGTCAGAAGTGACGAAGATGACACTGACAATGAAGCGGGGTCGACTGATATCAGTGATGACGATGAGGAAACCGCCATTGATTCCGAAAACGAGTCCAAGCTTAAGAATTAATTGTGCTCGTACACTGTGATATTGCTTAGAAAACCCATATATGTTATCAATGAAACACTTAACCATTGTAGACGGAATTGGCGCCAGAAGCAAGATTTGGATTAGGGGTCACCTGGAACGCAGCTTTCAGGACTAGTACTAACTTTTGCGTAAGGTGGTTTGACACGAGTATCACCAGGCTCGCCTGATGACGTAAGCACCCTCCAGTTAACTCCACAGGATACAGGTAGTAGAACCAGTCACTACGGGTAGCTTTATGAAGCAACAGCCACTACAAGTAAAGCTTAAAATCGTGATTGTATTTAAAGACTAATGTACACTAGGGAGAACTAAAGAGAATATGGTAACAAATGAGAAGAATGCTTTTTTTCGCATCCATCTGCAATGGAGAATAGGGACGGTTAACGAAACAACGTTAACAAGTTTAACCACCGAAACCGTACAAGGTACGACCTTGTCTCTTCAAAGCGTAAACGACATCCAAAGAAGTAACAGTCTTTCTCTTGGCGTGCTCAGTGTAGGTAACAGCATCTCTAATGACGTTTTCCAAGAAGGACTTCAAGACGGATCTGACTTCTTCGTAGATCAAAGCGGAAATACGCTTGACACCACCTCTTCTCGCCAATCTTCTGATAGCTGGCTTGGTGATCCCTTGAATGTTGTCTCTCAAGATCTTTCTGTGACGCTTGGCACCACCCTTACCGAGACCCTTACCACCTTTACCTCTGCCGGACATTGTATATTATTGTTTGAGTATTAGGAAAAAAACTTGAAAGTTAAATCAAATATTTGACTAATGGTAAGAAAAGAAGAAAGTGACTGGAAGAGAAAAGGTGGGAAGGCAGGCGCTTTTATATCGAAGCAGGTGGAAAGAAACGCCTCCTGGGGTCAAAGGGAAAAGCGGGCGTGGGGCATAGGCAAAGCCTTAGCAGCCATCGAAACAATAACATGCTTCACCGAGACTTTCTCTTTTCCGGTGGGCGCGACATACAGGATAAGCAGTACCGAGTATTTCATCAAAACAAAAACAAACAACGAGACTCAGGTTTTGCCGGCGTAGAGATCTCCACCAGGGATACGTACGTAAGTTCCTCGGGACTACCTCCTCCTGTTTGTGGTGAATCGCTTGTGTCGTTCAGATGCAAGCACGCGTATGCGTGCACTTACCAAGTCGCGCCAACTTCTTAGCTATTTACCTTTACCCCTTTCCGGCTTGTTTATTTACATTTGGCTCGTCTTTCGTGTAGTTACCAAGTCACGCCAACTCTAGTTCACAATTCGTACTCCAATGGCCCATACAATCTTTGTTTATGTTTATCGCGTTTTCGTGTGGTTACCAAACCGCGCCTAAAGTCCCCGCTCTTTAGTTTGTTTATGTTTGCGCCCTTGTCCCTTTTGCTAGTGTTTACCACTGTTTATGTTCCGGTTCACGGGCCCTGCCGAAGCTGCAACTTGTACCCACCGCGTTTTGCTCCTCGTGTGTACCTAATCTTTGGTTGTCATATATAAGGTGGCCCACTCCCCGACAAGTTTTCGTTATGTTTCCTCTTTCTCATTATCTAATCATCTTACTCAAAAATGGCTAGAACCAAGCAAACAGCTAGAAAGTCTACCGGTGGTAAGGCTCCAAGAAAGCAATTGGCCTCCAAGGCTGCCAGAAAGTCTGCGCCATCGACCGGTGGTGTCAAGAAGCCACACAGATATAAGCCAGGTACTGTTGCTTTGAGAGAAATCAGGAGATTCCAGAAGTCCACTGAGTTGCTCATCAGAAAGTTGCCTTTCCAGAGATTGGTCAGAGAAATCGCCCAGGACTTCAAGACCGACTTGAGATTCCAGTCTTCCGCCATCGGTGCCTTGCAGGAATCCGTTGAAGCCTACTTGGTCTCCTTGTTCGAAGACACTAACTTGTGTGCCATTCACGCCAAGAGAGTTACCATCCAGAAGAAGGACATCCAATTGGCCAGAAGATTGAGAGGTGAAAGATCTTAAATGGTTTCCTAGATTTGAAACTATTTTGCTTGCTACATCAGGCAATCTTTATTTCTTGCATTCATGTACCTAGTTATATGAATTGTGTATATTAGTTATAATATTATATTATCTTTGGGTTAAATTAAGTGTAATGCTGAAGTGTTTAAGCCATATCATTGTACTGGCGATTCAGAATTGCCCTTGTGCGATCGGTGGGTGCACGACTACAGCGGTCGTGCTGTACACTGAGTAGAACGATTAATACTCGAGTGGAGATTTAGGCGTATCGAGGGGAAGTCACGGCTGAAAGAAAAGGCGTTGGCTACCAACTTACAATTACCCTAAATAACCGCATATATGCCCCATATATGCTCCTACGTTCAATAAAGCTAGGTGGGTCTATTTACAGGGAAATGCTAGAAGCTTATTTCGACGCATTGTAATTCCGGCATACGAAATTATTGACGCTCTGAAACAGTAGTTATCTCCTTGGTGCGTGAGTGTTTCGTAGATTGCTGCCTGATTGGTGACAAATGTGATTTACGGTGGATAGTTTAGACACGGAAAACCTACGGCTGCACCTTATCATTCAAACTGCGAGGCGGCATGACTGATAACCTGCATGCTCCGGAATGCCCGAAAAGTGTTATTGAAAAACAAGCTAACTTATGTGCCGACCATATAGCATCCCACCATTCCGAACTAGGATGGTGAAATGTATAGCAGAGCATATAGGGAACCTTTCGTCGTTACTGGCCCATGGCCCCCTTATTTCACATTGGCTACCAGTACTATATGAAAGCCAGGTTTAGGCCATCGAGACTACCGAAATCTCCAATTGTTTTTTTTTACCCCAGTTATACAAATAGGGAGCCGCATTGGAGGAATGAGGGGCTGGCCCTGTGTGAATTTCAAGTCCCAGAGCCTTTCGAACAAACGGTGGCGGAATTCGATTAGCACTAGCACACATAGGGCAATAGCCCCTCTTTTATATCAGATGTCTAAGGCGGTCATTGCACGTTAAACTGGTAGTTATAAAAGGGTTTTCGAGTAGCTAGCTACATTATCTGGTTCATCTTCCCTGGAGGCACGAATCTTGACTATACACGGATAAAATACCGAACGAGTTTAAATACACATACAACTTTCCTCGATAATTGCGTCCTGGGGAGCCTCGTTAAATCGTTTAGGCTGGTTCTCCTAGATTGCGCTACCGAGCTACATGTAAGAGAAACACTAAATTCCGACATGGGCACGTTTGCTCTGAAAACCTTAATCTTCTAAATATAAGAGACCAGACCCTACGGCGATAATTCCGTATTAAGCGGTCCGGTCAGCATCTAAGCAGTTGTATCCCATGTATATATACCGGTTAGCCTCCAAAAGTACGTCTTACCCCCTCGTTTTACATCTAATATATACATTCTCCTTCTGAACGTAGCCCTTTTTCGTCCACTAATATATACGATTGACACAATGACCCAGGATACTAGATGCCCCCCTATCACCTCTGATGCGAACCATCACAGTTTGGACGAATTGCCTCATGGGTTCAAAGCCTTCTGGGACGATCCTATGGACCAGTTGGTTTATGTCAACCTTTTCACGGGTCAGAAACAATACGAGTGGCCGGTGGGTAACGCTACAACCTCCTCCGACAGGCACGCGAGAACTCAATCACAGGCGAATTTCCAAGGTTCCAGTCACTTGTCTAGTGGCTCTATCTACTCGTCGAATCCGAGTGAGTTTCTTCCTGCGTACAAGGACGCGTTGGCCGAACTGTCTCCGCCACCTGACATGAGGTTGAAGGGTAAAAAGTATGTCCGAATCTTCTCTCAGCAGTTTGACAAGAAATTGTACGGATGTAAGAATCATCGCATAGGGCATTGCTCTTGCAGATATGTCAGATAAAATGCTTCCCTGTGACCCTATTTAAACCTTCATTTCTATACTTTTGAAATTCCAGCTATAAATTCATCTCCATGTAGCTTGCGCTTGCATCGTTTATCGCGATGGTCAGTCAGTGCCGTTTCTACAGCTAAAGTCAAGTCTTAATCGTGTAAACCGTGAAAACATATGTACAAAGGAACAAACGTCCGATAAATAAGCAGACCAGGCTAGATGGCCTCAAACTTGAAATCAATCTTCAACGCGGATGCAATCTCTGCGGCCATCAAGTTGGTCAACAAGCTGTTGTCTCTCAAGCTAGTCCACTGGCCTTTCACCAAGTCATATCTCTTTGGCCCAGAGATTGGGCTGGACAACCAGATTTGCTTGTTCGGAGGCTGTTTGTTAATTACATAGACACCGTTTGGGGGCAATGCAAAGGTCATCACACCCTGGGTCAATTCAATGTCAATCTCCGGGTATTGTTCACCGAGAGCCTCCACTTCGTCGACAAAGCTCTCCAAGTACACGTCCGCAAGCTTGTGGTACTGGTTGATGGTGATTTCGTCGATATTTGTGGTGATGTCATGGCCGTCTGTTGTCACTTGTTTAGGAGCAGCGTAGCTTCTGGTGAATCGGGCAGAAAGCGAGACTGTGGGCCCAGTTGGCAAGGTGCTGCGCGCGGCTAGTGGGGCGATAGCTCTGCTGGTTTGCAAGCCTAATCTTATAGTGGATCTCAACATACTAAATAAGAAGTGACTAGGCTAACTTGGAAATTCCAACGAGAAACCGAACCTTTGAATCATCTCAAGTCATATCTGAGGCAATATGCAGCCCCGGTGGTGTGATACACAGCCGTGAAGGCACCGTTATAACGGTAAGTACACGCCCTGTCATTCATTAAACTTTTTGATGGTCTGCCAATGGGGTAAGCAAAAGTGTTGCATATTTTTCGCTATATGTATTCCTCCCTATCAAGCCAACCGTTCTACAGCCATGTCGTCTACCCTTTTAGTGCTCTATGTTCTCATGTGTCTTATTGTCTGCATCTCCTTTGCGTTGCCAAACCTCAACAAGATCATCAGCTACAAATATAACCCTAAAACCAAAGACACTGAGTACTTCAAGAAGCAAAAGGAGCAGGAGGATTTTAAAAAGAACAACAACCAGGTGAAGTACGAAGGGTACATGCCTGTGGACCAGGTCATGGACAAGAAGAAGGAAACAGAAGAAGCCATCGCGTCTGGTTCGCTCAAGAGCAAAATCAGAGACGCTGCTCACGCTACCGTGAAGGACATCCCGGTCCTGGTCAGCGTTAACGGCTTGAAACAAAGAACGTCTAACAAGAAGGTTCACGGACTTGTTGCCACTGACAGAGACCCAAACGCCTTTGACTTTGATATCTCCGAGTTGTCTGACTAAGATGGATTCGATGAGCATGTATATTATGAATATAATCAGATTAACTAGTTATTAGGCATGATCGAAAGCAGTGAGTTTCACCAATTGTTCACGTATCAACGTTAATATTATCTATTCTGGGGTCTGAAGTTTCATTTATGTTTTGATTGCAAGAGTTATTCCTTTTACTTGGATGTCGGGTTTTCCGAGATCGACTACCCACTGCGTAGTGCTATTATTCGGCATTGTAGATTAGTTATCGCACTAGGATCCTGGTAAGTAACAGGCATGATAGATCGAGGAAGATTTTTTCTCTTGAATTCAATATCATTTATTGAGTAGATTATTGTCCATATCTATTTAATGTTCCTAGAATTTAGAATAGCCAATCGCAGAAGCCCAACCATGAGCCTGTAAACCAGCTGAGACGTCTCTGAGCCGTAAAAGTCCACTTCGAACCGTTTCCACGTTATGAAAAATGAGTTATTACCAGTTCAATTCCATTCATTAAACAATTTCAACCCCTCCAATTTATTGTTTAAAAAATCATTGTAAGACTTTTCATTGGATTGTAACGTTCATAACTTCAACCTGCAAATAACATTTTTTTTTCTTTTTCACGTATCGGTCGAAACGCAAAGCCATGTGAACACGAAGCTGAACTAAGTGTTTGCCACCCACTTCAAGTAACGTACCAACGGTATCTCTTCAGACTAGATCTGGCTGAACACTTGCTTTAGGCACTGACAGTTCCCGCGACATCTTGAGACACATTCTCGAGACACACTCTTGAGATCTCCAGACGACCCTATGAAATCGCTCGAAAAGATCAGGCTTCCCTCATTTTCCCTCATTTTCTTCATTTTTTGCACGCCTGTCGCTGCCTCGCTCCTTGATACTCTTTCACTCGACCCTGAAACCTCCTATAAGAGCTACCTTGTCGCATTATCTGCTAGCTCGCTCCTCTACATCGCCTACAAACTCGCCCAGCCTCTCTACACCAATAAGCTCCATTCCGGTTTCCGCCTCAGAGAAAGACTTATGAGCTACCTTGATAGAAACACCGGCCGGGCGCGCTTTCAGAGAAGGTCGCGCGGCTTGGCCTACGACGGTAGAGCCGAGACCATCGCCGCCAGCAGCGCCGCCATGGCCACGGGCGGTGCCATTGGCGGCTTGCACAACAGCAGCAACCAATGCTTTATGAACTCTGTTTTGCAGAGCATGGCATCATCTGTTGAATTGAACAAGTTCCTCGACTCCTACATCGAAGCTGACGACAAGTACGCCACGCTATTCTCCTTCAAGTTGAAGAACTTGTTGGGAGCATTGAACGGCAACTACGAACAGCGTTCGCGCACCTTCACGACCGATGGCTTACTTGAAGTCATGAAGGACGCTCCCAGAACAAACTATATGGGCCATCAAGACCAGGAGGACGCCCAGGAGTTCTACCAGAATGTGATGAAAAACGTGGAAAAAGAATTCAAAAAGACCGGTAAAAGTGAAAAGAAGAGCGATGAAAAATATGTCGCTGCATCTCCAGACCATCTCACAAGCATTGAGAACCTCTCTGCCTTGGGCTGTGTGGCGATTCCAGCGCGCCAGGTGGATCCCAACTTGCCGACAGACGACTCCCGCGTGTTTGAGTTGGAGCTTGTAACCCCCGTAGACGGTGTTTCTGCCGAGCGAATCGGGTGTTTATCCTGCGGGGAAATGGGTGGGGTAAGATACCGCGTGATCAGCGGAGTTTCCCTCAACCTCCCTCAGCCAAAGGCTTCTAATACATACTACGGACGCGTGGCGATCGGTGAGAAGTACGACTTGGAGCCGTTGTTGAAGGAGTGGACGAAGCCTGAAATAATGGAAGGCGTCACGTGCAACCGCTGTGCCATGAACCAGTGCAAGGACGGGGCCTTAGCATTCTTGGAATCGGGAAACCGCCCCGAGGTGCTCCAAGCCAAGTTCCGTGAGAGAGTGGCGCAGATTGACGCCGAATTGGCCAAGAGTGTGGTGGATGATGAGGTGTACGAGAAGTTCAAGAACTCTAGCACTGTGGATAAGGTCAAGAAGTCGAAGCAGATCTTCTTCAGCAGGCCGCCGCCGGTTTTGAACATCCACATTAACCGCTCATACTACGACCCGAGAACCTACTCGTTGAGAAAGAACGACGCCACGGTGACAGTTCCGTTGAGGCTCAGCTTGGATCCATTTGTGGCGGTTCCGGAAGACATCAACATGGACGCCAGATTGCCGTTCAGAAAGCAGGATGTGGGCAGGGTTCCATCGCCGGAGGAACAGGCCGCACAGTCTATTGAGCCGGAGGTTGTGGAGGAGCCTGAGAGCGCGGAAGAAAGCGAGGAAGAATCTGAGATTGAGGTTGAATCTGAGGTTGAATTCGATACTGAGGCCGAGGTTAAATCTGACATTGAGGCCGAGGCATCTGAGGCTGAAACTCCAGCTGAGCAACCCCCAATTGACTCTGATTCAGAATCCCCTGCTGTTGAGTCTGAGGATACCGAGTCAGTTAAGGCGGTGTCACAGGTTCCGGACGGTCCGTTGACCTACCACCTCAAGTCGATTGTTATCCACTCCGGTTTGCACAACTACGGCCATTACGTCTGTTACAGACACTACAGAGGCACCTGGTGGTACATCTCCGATGACGACGTGTTCGTGGTCACGGAGGACCATTTGCGCAATATTAAAGGGGTCTTCATGGTGTTCTACGAAATTACCCCAAACCCGGAGCCGGAAATTGTTGCTGTCCCGACAGAGGAGTCAGAGTCCGATGGGGAGAAGGAAGGACTGAGTGACGAAGCCGCCGCATCCAACGCCGAAGATGTGGTGGTTGCCACGGCGACCGCTAATTTGTAGATCAATAAACGCATATATTTATCAAGACCAGAGTAGGTAGAGCTGTGTTTGGTATCATTTCAGGAATACGGTTTTCGTCAAACATACCAGATCCCTACTGCGACTGTGACAAGGGGAACGCTTTTAAACCTGGTGGGATGCGAGGGGGTAACCATATTACCTGTCCAAGACCCCTACAAGCATTAATCAACCATTTTCTTTCGTAGGCCCTTAATTTCTTAGCGTAAAAATACGATCAGGTAGATTGGGAAATTCAAGATGTATCAATTGACGCCACAGCTATTCACTTTCAATGGTATGGATGGGGTTTGGTGTCTCCCCTATAATTAATGGTCATTCCAAGGGTGCTGAATTTGTGGAACATGCGCAAATATAAGATCATAAACATTAGCCATATCCCACTAAAGATCTCCTGATTACGGTCATATCGCCGGCAGGAACAACTACGGGAAACCCCTCAGCGGAGATCAATAGGCCATTTGGGAGTGCGAGTTTTTATGTACATCTAAAATATTCATACCACACATCTATTAAACATATAACAGAAAAAAACTCCGTTCAAACTCCAATTTTACCCATTCCCATATGAAACAAATACGCTGGAGTCCTCAGGAAATTCTCTACAACACAGATCAGAAACAATTTTGGATAAAAAGCTACATGCGGCCCTGGGCAGCGTATGGAGCACGGTAGTTGTTGTACTGCATGTTAGGTGGTCTGTCCTTGCCCCAGCCGCACTTCAAGGGTCTACCGTTCACGTTGAAGCCAGCCAATTGGACGATAGCCAAGGCGGCGCGCTCGTGGGAATCGTACTTGACGAAGGCGCAGCCGCGCTCCGGGTGGAACTTGAAGTCGACGATGAAGCCGAAATTCTGCAACAACGGGATCAACTCGTTTTGGGTGGTGAAGTGCGCAAGGTTACCCAAGTACACAGTGGTCTGCCATGACGGCGTCTGTCTCAAAACCAAGTCGTACGACTGCGGCGACATGACCGGCACGCCCATTGGCGCGGTGAGCGGCGCCCCGCCCTGGAGCGGCGAGCCCTGCGCTGGTGCCGCACCGTGCGGTACCGCGTGGTGCGCGTGGTGCGCGCGGAAGTCGCGGTTGTTCTGCTTGTGTGACGCCCAGTTCAATCTGATGGCGCGCCCGGAGATCCATTCGCCTTGCATCGTCTGCAACGCCGCTTCGGCGTCACCAGACTCGGAGAAGGAGACAAATCCGTAGCCGCGTGAGCGGCCGGTCTGCATATCCCACATCACGTGCGCCTGGATCAAATTGCCAAACTTGGAGAACGTTTTGTTTAATAAGTCGTCATCCACCTCCGGTGACAAGTCACCCACAAAAAGGTTAAACGCCTCGCTGCTCTTAACCTGCTGCGACTGGAACGCCCAGTTGATCTTGATTTCGGAGTTGTTGATAACACGTCCGTTCAATGTCTGGAACGCCATCTCGGCCGCCTGGGTGTTGTCATACTCGATGAACGCGTAGTTGAAGCCGGGGCGGTTCTTGTCAAAGAGGATCTTGATGCTCTGGACGGCGCCCGCGACGGAGAAAAGGTCTCTCAACATATCTTCGGTGACCGACTTGTGCAAACCGCCGACGTAGAGGATCTTGTTGGAGACCTCACGCCCGCCCTCGATGGCGTTGGCTGGGCTGACTTCCGGCTGTTCGGTAGCTGGCTCTTCTGAGGCTGGAGCGACGACGGCTGGGGCCGCGACTGGGGCGGCTTCTGGCGCTGGTTCTTGGGACATGACCGGAAACAAAAGGAAAAAAGTAAGGTGTTGGCGGGCCAAACACTAGAGAAAAAGGAAAAAAACCGGTATTAAAAACAAAAGGAAAGCGACGCAGGAGCTAGGGTCGGCTTTTGGCGATAATACGAATCAATTGCGGAGGGTGACTGGGGAGGGCGAGAAGTGAGGTGTGGAGGTGGGCCGAGGTTTGTTTATAACACGCAGCAGGGAAAGTTTTTCGAGGAATGGACGAATGCGGAAGGTTGTGGATTGCCGGATTTGGCGCAGGTGTCGAAACAAGGACGAGGGCCGAAACAATGATGAAAAGAAAGTACAAGCCGCAATATAATACTTTTATGATTGTATTTCAACTTAAGCTAGCTACTCGTTCAATTTCGGCGAACAATATGGATCTGTGTGAAGTCGGCAGGACCATGAATAGGGTGAACGTTAAAGTGCGGTCGCGACGGAATACTTAAATAGTTGGCAACATATAAATTGCCAAACCACGTCAACAGCACCGTGAAAAGGTTTCATTATACAGTTCTGCAAGCCACTAATAAGAGAATATTGCCTATAGGAACAACCTTGGACCGGATGCATTACACTACGAGCCACATCTCGTACACAGTCAGTAAATAAACGAAAACGGTCAGCCATTTGGTCATTGGTGTCTAAGCCGAATTGAGGATGATAAGGGCACAAGAACCTATGTGTCAGTGAGTCACATTACTTGTGTTTATCATACTTCTATTGTGTATGATTTATTATAATATGCGAATGGCGATGCAGCTGACACGTCATAAGCGTTGGTATTTCCGTATCGGCCTGAACGCGTGTGATAGCGAATTCTTATCTAGCAAACAGTATGATCCGGTCAACTGCAACAATTTTTGAGCTCTACCACATATTTAAAAGGTTAATTGTTTAAGGTGCTGGCGGTTACCGACAGTATGGGATTCACGAGGAACCTTGTACACCAATAAGATCGGACGATTCCTTTCAATCCAGCAGGTGAAGATCAAGATCCAGTTATAATTCACTGTACAAGTTATTCCGAACGAAATTATACCTTTTCTAGTGGTTACAGGAATGCTATTTCACCGTATAAAGCCGCACACATCACATTCCAAGCCATCTTAACTCAAATATAATTTACTGTTGAAGTGTACAACTTAACGGAAATCGGCAATGAAACTGGCAATAAAACCAGCACACTATTCATCTAGGAAACCTTCGGGCCCATCTTGGCAACCACCAGGCTATTGCCTTTCCGTCCAATCGGTATGTGCGGCAATCACCTCCGGAATGATAAGACTCTCGATATCCACTACCCCCTTCTGCTCCTCCGTCAACCGGATCCAGCGCTCGTCCGTGCTTGTCACAAACACTACCTCGTCCTTTCTGGTCTGCAACAAATTGCCAATGACCAACTGGTGCTGGTAACGCTCTAAAGCACCCTTGGCCTTCAGAATGAGGATGTTGGCATCAGTCTCCAACTTGAACGACACGATCATGGCGCTCGGAGCCCAGCTATCTACCAAACGTCTCAAGAATTTTGGCACCTGCTCCAAGTTCACCACCAATGTACCGGTAGCCTGCGACTGTATCTTATGCTCGGGAATTTTCGACGATGGCAAAAAAAAGTCCGATACCGCAGCGGCAAGGTAGAAAAGTGCTTTCTTCCCCGCCACTTGCAAACACTTGGAGATCAGCTGAAGCGTGTACAAGTACTGGTTGACGGTGGTGTACGGAATAAGCAACAACAGGTTGCTGTCCTTTGCGTGACGGTACTTGCGCAATACAAGCAACATCTCGTCCGCAAACTTCTTGTTAATCTCGATTTTGCCGTCCGCCTCATCCATGTAGTCGAGGAAGCAGTTGGTGGTGTGCGAGTAGTGTCTGGAGTAGGGCAAGAGTGAGAACTCCCGGTGGAGGAAGATCACCGCGTAGCCATTTTCCAAAAAGTACTCCGCCGACGTGGCGCCTCTGGTCCCCGCACTGAAGTTGTCAATAAAGCGCACGGTGTTGTTCTCAAGTGGAACTGTGGTGCCCCCAGACGTGACCAAAACAACATTCTTTCCTGTGGTCTGGTGGTGTGCAATAAACTCCCGCACCTGTGCCTCGATCTCCGGGAGATACGCCGGCGGCGTATGGTCTTTGAAGAAGTTGTCCTCATCCACCAGCTCCGCCACTGGGAATTCCGGGTGCGAGCGGTCAATGGCCGAAGTTGTGTCTGGAACGGAGGTGCGAATTGGCATGGTAGTTATGGATCTAGATTTGGGTAATAGGACAAAAGTAAGCTTGACCTTGAAATAGAGGCGTAGCGTTGACTCCTCGTTACTGCCGTATAGAACCCCGCCATTGAGGGCGTGTGACTACCATCGGAGCCGAAGGCCGAGCTGCTCGCTTTTTGTGCACATGGTGCAGGAAGGCCCACTTCGTGTCTTGACCCATTCTCAGCTCATAAACCACTTTTTTTTGTTATTTCGAAACTGGATTAATTTCAGATAGCCAGGATGAATGTTTTTGTTTCATTTGGGGTTTTGTACTGTTTATCGAATGTCTGTACTAGTTGGCCCATAATGTGCGAGAACCGGAATTAAATATCTGGTAGAATTTGTGATAACGGATATATGATACTTACAGAACCTGGAAAAATCTTCAAGAATTTCGGGTTCAAGATGTATATGTCAATCTTATTATTACTTCATCCAATTAACAAGGTGAGTTGTCTGTCAAAAATTTCAGATTTCATACTCTGTTGCGGCGTTTCACACAAGTATCGGAGAGTGTCACGTCTGTACGCCGTAGCACCACACAACTTTCAACACCTTCAAACACTGCAGATTTCTGTCTCTATAAACAAATATTACCGGTCCCCCAGTTATTCTGCATCAATTATAAATAAATTAGTTATTTACTAACCCGGCTTCAACTTCTATCCAACCTTGGTCGGGGCCCTAATTCTCTCTCTGCAGTTCCAGAAAATTATCCGGCACCCAGTACTATGGGGTAAAAATTAACGAGTCTCCCATGGACTTGGTGTCTTCCACGGAGAAAGAAAATACTTACAATATGGTGAATCCTGTTGTTTTCCTCGATGTATGTAGTGCAGTGAAGTGTTTTTTTTAAAAAACTCATGGAGAGTACTGACATACCAGGTTACCCTTGGTCGTATGTATGAGGACAAGACCACCAGCGTGGGATGAATACTAACATGTTGCAGCCAAGGACTTGGGCAGAATAAAAATAGAGCTATTCAAGGATTCTTTACCGAGGTACGTATCCGTAGATACTTTGAAAAAGGGGGATGGATGTGGATGACAAATGTGATAGTGTATATGGAGCAGCCGCTCGGAGCTACTCTTGATGAATAGGTTCGTATTGATGATTGCCAACTTGTACTATGTGGCTCCCAGCTATCAATACGATGGTTTTAATCTTCAGTTCCATGCATCATTGACATATAGAATGGATTTTAGTCAAGCTGAACGCTTGTGTTTCTATTTTGGTGGTAATTTCAACCGAGCTGGAAGTTTCATGTGCCAACCTGGAGGACAGAACCCTCAATAGGAGAGGGGGAGATTTGGTAAAAAAAACAGAATACTTCAGCTGGGAATTGAAAGCAAGCTACTGAATGTGTGACGGGCTGTGTCCTCCAACTGTCCATTTTATGGCCGGTGCCTTCTACCCTGGCGGTCGATATACTGGTTGTTGAGAGTTTCTGAATTTGCCCACTGCCTCTGACATAAACTCCCTAGTCAATCTTTTTCCTCTATCTCACTTTGTTCACCTATCAAAACATACTAACACTTCAGAACCGCTGAGAACTTCCGTCAGTTTTGTACAGGTGAGTACAGGCCATCCGGTGTGCCTGTTGGCTACAAATCTGCGCCCTTCCACCGCGTTATCCCCCGGTTTATGATCCAAGGTGGTGACTTTATTTCCCACAACGGGTTGGGGAGCGAAACAATTTTCGGATCGCAGGTGTTTGCCGACGAAGGGTTTCCATACAGCCATGAGTACTTGAGTATCAGTATGGCCAACAGCGGGCCCGACACCAATGGTTGCCAGTTCTTTATTGTTACAAATCCCGAAGGTACCCCTCACTTGGACGGCAAGCACGTCGTGTTTGGACGGGTAGTGGAAGGCGAGGATATTGTTCAGGTGATTGACAGAGTGCGCACCGATGGCAATGACCGACCGCAGTTAGAAGTTAGTATTAAGAACTGCGGTGAAATGTGATCTGCGAAATAAAAGTTATATATAATACAAAAGAATAAACTATTTGATAACTGATCGCTATATATCCACTAAATTTCTGTCTGAGGGTAATATCGAATAATTTGATGGAAAATGGCTAGTATGTTATGAACAGCCCTTGCAACAGATTCTGTATCTGAGAATCAGGCAATCGCTTCATTCAGTGACGTTTCGCCTATAATATTTTTTGCTGATTATGTCTGCTTCTATTTTATACCGTTTTCTGTCCGTTTATGTTCCAAACAAGGAAGTTCTGCTACCAGGAATTTTGAACTGATATTTCCAATGCTGTTAGCATTTGCCTCCCTTTTCATCTATCCGATGGTTTCGTGGTCTAGTTGGTTATGGCACCTGCTTAACACGCAGTACGTCCCCAGTTCGATCCTGGGCGAAATCATTTGACATCTTTTTGGCGGTTGGGGTTCTATATATCCATTGTAGCCACTTATACGAGCTCTGGATTTTCCATATGCTTACAACCCTTCACTAACCACGTCTTCGAATTAGGCTAGTTAGTTCTCACAATGTACCGCCTTCCTGCTATCATTTTCTTACTTGTGTCCATCGGTCTTTAACTTGCGACCGAAGCCGGGTCTGTCGCCTAGAAGACACTTTCGCGTGTGCTTCCACACCACCTCGAGCTGTGGGAGCCGTGGGAGCATCGAGGGAAACACTACTTCAAGCTTAGCCGACTTTCCATCGTCCACAAGCACACACAATGTGTAGATAACGCCAAAGCCCTGGAAACTCTCCATAAGCAAGACATCGAGAATGGTTCTGGAGGGGATAAACTTGGTTCCCGAGTGACTGAAGAGCTGTACACCGATGTCCCGCATCACCAAGATAGATTCTACCGATTGGACAGGAATTCTGACTAACGATACCAATGTGTAAAGCGATGCACCGATAAGAAGAAGGAATGTGACATCGGGTCTAGCGGTTTGCTCCACTTGCAGCGATAGCCATGTCAAGGTATAGGGTAAGGGGCTCACTTCCACACCTTTGTAGAGGGCATAGCTTCCGGTCAGAGTAATACAGGCGACGAGTGAGGTGATTCGAAAGAACCAAAGGAGAATGCATCGAGTGGCGGATTTGGCTGATTGAACCGTGAACTTGATCACTTCAGTGGCCTGAGATTCGGCCGGAGTGAGACCCTCAATGGGGGGAATTACAAAGAGGTCATAGTTTTTGTAGGAGGATTTTACCGGGATCTGAACTTTCACCTGGGTCGCTTTTGAAGATATCATTATTTAGCAGGTGGGATAAGTACTCCCGGGTGTAGGTAACGGTGATATAATACAGTTTTGATGTTAATCACGTGACATATTCAAGAGCTCTGAGGCTCACACGACGCCACCAGGAGTAGGAAGATTGGAATCACCCGCTTGAAATATTTCTAGTGACGATGTAAGGACGGTGAAAAATGGAGATTCTGGAGCCAAATTTTGAAGTCTGTTGTGATTAAATCCAGGCATATATGCCTTAGTCGTTCCTCCTTACTAGATTTCCCTGTCATATATACAATCTTCTCTCATCTGGTTATATATTTGACCTAATTCAGTTAGACTAACCATTGATTCCAAGGAGAAAGGCGGAGAGATAATTATTCGCCTTAATTATAGGCCTATTATGAAATTACAGTGGGTTTGAAAATAAACGCTGATGAAAAAGCATTGTCTGCCAAACCTAGGTTCAATAAACAACATCTCCCTGAATACGCAAGCCCTTTCAATCAGAAGCTACGGCTAGTAGTCTTGCTGTTTCAGACAAGTTTCCAGATATTTACCACTATACCCTTAGCTCTCCTATTGCGAATGACTTTTCGCTGCCAGTGATAAATAATGCTAATTTCTCGAACCGAACCCTTTCCAGCAAGTAACATATGATCATACCATACGTGGTAAGCCCTTAATCGGCATATTTGGCCGTCAGCGCGTTTGGCAGCGACGAAACCACAACATTCATGATGACGCATACATACACGTCCCCGTTACACATTCTGCACCACCAGCCAGATTTAAGTAACAGTGTTAAAAACTACTAAACAAATAATATCTTCAGACATAAGTTTTATTCACGCCTTAACCAACAGATTGAATCCTTCTCCCCACTACATCCAGGTATTGTCACGTGATAGAGAAACTGACGCGTTGAAAAGTTTGTCCTGTGGGACAAGATCAAATCATTCCCATTCTCATTCTTATCATCCCATACTCACCATCCCCATTCCACCATCCTTATGACATCCAAACACGCGCTGCTCCGACGGAAGCGGCGAATGATGGACGGTGAGTTGATTGCAACGCCTCCACCCACACTGGACACAAAGCTCCGCGAGGAGCGCCACTTCCGCGATTTCTACCCAGACCTCGACGAAACTGCAAATCTCAAAGTACTTGTAGTGGACGAACCCGAGGCGGACTTCCAGTGCAATCTCGAAACAATCCACATCCCCGACCACGCCGCGCTTAAAAAGCCGCGCTTCCGGAAGATTCCTGTGCGCGTGAACGACGACGTCATTCGCACGTACAGCAAACGTATGGCACGCTTCGGGTACCATGCACCCAAGGAAGACAGTGCATGCGTACCGTTTGTCAATGCAAGCCTTCGAGCTGAGTACGATATGGACGAGCAGGACTTGTTCTTCCTTGCTCATGTGAACGCGCTGCGGAGCACGGCGGGTGTAGCAACAAGTCCCCACGACGTGGTCGCGGACCCTAAGCTCTCACGTGAAGTGTTCGAGATCGCCATGACCTTTCTCGAGAACGAGTGGTACAACCTTGAACGGCGCGTGCCGCCGCCGCCGCAGGGCGTCGCCACGGTGGACCCCGCATTGCACGGCTCCGACGACGGTACGCACGAGGAGGACCAGTGTTGTGCTGTGTGCTTCGAGCGCGACTGTGACAATGCCAACGCGATCGTTTTCTGCGACGGCTGCAACATCGCGGTGCACCAGGAGTGCTACGGTGTGGCCTTCATTCCTGAGGGCCAGTGGCTTTGCCGCAAGTGCATGATCTACAGCCACCAGTCACTGGGCGTTGCCTGCGCATTCTGCCCCAGCCGCACAGGTGCATTCAAGCAGACCGACACAGGACTCTGGGGCCACGTGCTCTGCGCGGTGTGGATCCCTGAGCTCTATTTTGCGAACCCGGTGTACGTAGAGCCGATTGAGGGAATCGATGCGATTCCCCGCAGCCGCTGGAAGTTAAACTGCTACGTGTGCAAACAGCCAGGCGGTGCATGTATCCAGTGCCTGAAGCCATCATGTTTCCTCGCGTATCACGCGACGTGCGCGCGGCGTGCAGAGCTCTATCTCCACGGCTTTCACGGCAACGCGCACAAAGCGCAGTTAGAGACATACTGTGATCGCCACGCACCAGACCGCTGGGCGCACGAACACGACGCGCGTGCTGGAATTGCACGCACACGTGCGTACTTTGCGGCCATCTCGCGCGTACGTCGCGTCACCGCTGCGCGCCGCTCTGACACCGACCTCTTCCGTTGGAAAACCGCCACCGGCAGCCCCATCGCGCCACAGGTGTTTGCGGACCGCTTAGCACATTTCTTGCACACGCACTTTCAGCTTGATATCGCGCGCCATCGCGCGTTGTGCGAGCAGCTCTGCCGCTACTGGACGTTAAAACGTGACGACAAGCGCGGTGCGCCGTTAATCAAGCGCCACGACGCACGCCAGCACTACGGAACAGTGGACCCACACGCCATCTATAGCCGTGTGGAAACCACTACAGCGTTGCTTGCGGATGTGGGACGCTTGGAGGCCCTCGCAGACGTTATGGTTGCGCGCCAGGAAAAGCAGGCCCAGCAGCTTGACGCGACCTGGCAGGAAATCGAGATGGTGTACTTCCCGGTGACGTACCTCATCCGTGCTTGTTTGCACGAGGTGCTAGTGCACGACCCAAAGAAGACGTTGGTGAGTCATGTGATAACTACACCGACAGAGTCGGGGATCACGAGCCTTGAAGACGTGGTTGCGCGGTGTGAGATGTACCACTACCGAAGTGTAGCGCTGTTTGTCAGCGATTTTGAGGCATTCACTAGCGCACTCTCCCAGGCGACGCCCCCGCACTATGTGGCGAAGCTCATGAAGAAGGTGATGCATGCCTCGAAGAAGCTGTTTCCTGTATTGGTTCAGCAGGAGGCGGAGTTGCAGGCTGGCCTCCTACAGGCTGGACGGGCTGGTCTTGCTAGTCCAAGCTTTGCCACTGCTTTTCCCGGCGTGGTTGTAAAAGGAAGCAAGATCGATTATAGACAGTGGGATGGCAATGTCAACGGTGTTAAGTGAAATTCAAATGGGGGTATGATAATTGAACCAAGCGGCTTAATGGCATGTAGCTATATCTTCAAGTTACAAAATATCTTTGCCAACAAAGCAGCTCTTTAGCTTTCCGAGCCGTGGTTACACTGCTACCCCTTCTGCAGTGCCCAAATGAGTAGCATCTCTATTGAATCTGATTGGTTGCTTGTCTGTGACTGGAGATCTAGGAATGTGCAAAAATCATTTATTCCCCGGCTATCATGATGTCTCAAACGGGTATTGCTCCTGTTGAAATGACTATTGAGCTTACACGAAATACCGTTGGGCAGGGATGCCACCACTTGTATATCAATTCCTGGGTCTGATAATGCGTGCTTTGCAATACGATTTAGTGTACCCTTACATGATAAGTATGGAGGGAATAGCATGAAAAATCATTGCTATAATAAAACGCACCGTAATGCTCTAGCTCGAGATAACGGATGCCATTCTCCTGATAACTAATTATGCGAGTTTAAATTGGCGAATTGCCAGGACAAACAATTTCTGCTTAGATGTTCGAATATGTGCTGATTTTAGCCGCAGTTATGAATTGTCTTTTAACCCCCCCCCCCCCCCCGAAGGCTTGTTTTAATATTTATCTGTTGGTTTCGCCTGGCAAGTCTAGCTTTCATTGTAACCTAGACCAGATCCTCTAGAGAAAAAGTCCCAGGTATGGCGCAATATCGTGCAATGCCCGTTATATCAGATCAAATATCCTATCTCATTCGTGCTAAATTTACCAAGAAATGATGATTATGTGTGTAACTCCTGAACGTAGATTGTTTGATTAACCTCCTTTATATGTCCGCAGAATTTACTTGTACTTTCAGCAGCAAGTTTTGTAAGGCCATGTTATTACAAAACGGGGAGTAGGGCTGACTTAGCGATTCCGAATCTGGGGCATCTCCTTCTGGGACATCTCTCTCTGGTTTTCCGCCTTTCCAAGGGGCCAAGTGCAATTATGTCTCATTGTATTACCTATTCCGGATTACTGGTCGGCCGGAACGGAGCGGAAAGGCCGATCGTTTCTAATGCAGGTGTCACCGCGCATTCCGGCACGTGAGACGTTTTGGCATATGCAGGAAACCTTAACGCCTGCTCGACCAATTCACTAATCTGGCTGGTAGTAGGAACTAGGGTAATGGCTTTAGTCAGGTAAAAGCGAAATAACCTCAAAAAAAGTTGCTTTTCTCCCATTTACCAGGATGACGGGTTGTGGATGCACTTCCACCGATCTGTACCGCAGGGCGGGAAAAGAAACTACGTAGCAAATATGCAGGTCATCTCGGAAGCACCGCTTCACATGCGATAGATTCTGACTAATTGAAGGGTGTGCGTTTTTTGCTCCCACCTCTCATGGCCGGGGACGACAAAGCTTAGTTTTGGATAAAAGTACCTCTTTCTCCTTAGCAACTATAGGGCTATAAAAGCTATATTTAAACGGTCTCTTCTGAACATTAAAGACGAAAGACCTATATTCCGCCTCTTGCGCTCACCCTTTGGGATCACCTTTTGTTTATCAATTTAACTTCTCCAGAATCCCCTCATACCATAAACCTTAGGCGAAGCCTTAATCCCCTCTTCCACGTTTGCTGTTAAAATCATGATTTCAAACAGCACGTTGGATCTCTCGCAGGTGTACCTGAACTCCGTCCGGCGGTTGGTCAACAGTAACGTCGCATTGAACATCCTCACCTGGTTGGTTCTTGTCTATAACTTGGCAAACGTGGCTTCCTTACTGTATCGGTACCACAAACAATCCAAAGGTGGATTTGTGACCCAGCGGATTGGCACCTATGCCGACTTGAGGACCCATATTGCATCGACGGTTCTTTCGCTTTCGCTTTTGGTCAACTACCATTTTGAAACCCACTCAACCTCGCATTTCCTCGTTAATTTTGCCACCTTCCCTCTACAAATGACCCTTGTGATCTACCTCGTGTTCCGCACCGTTTACCATACCATTTCTCCGCTTCCAGTATTCAGCCAGGAGCATGTTTCCAGCAAGATCCGGTTCTGGATCCAGGCATCACTTCCCTTGGCTTTCATCGCGGTTTCAAGTGTCATGATCATTATCTACAAAGTAGCCTGTGATTATTCCCCTATTAGAATGGTGTCTCCGGGCGAATGTTCCACCTTGGCAGACGGAGATGAGATCTGCACTCCTGGGAAGACGCTTGAGCTTTCCAGCATTCAAGTGTTGCTATTCCTTCTCTTAGTGCAGCTCGTAAGCGATGTGTGGTTGTTTGTGCGTTTGATCACAATCAAGGTTCCGCTTGAGGATGAAGTGGTTACAAGTAAGTCCAAAAGTTTTGCCATGGTGATTTTGACCTTTCTCACAATCAACATTATGTTAAGTTGTCAAATCTGTTTGGTGTTCTTTGATCTCAACCTCGTGACATACTCCCAACTTCTCCATGTCACATCTGTAATGGAGTACTGGGATGATATGGTGAATATGAAGGTCTTGTATGTGTTTGTGATCAATGTCTTCCAGTTCTCATTAATGAGCTTATTGCCCTTGGTGATGGATTTATTCATCAACAAGCGCATGAAGTATGGTTTCAACGAGACTTCCAAATATACCGGACCCAAGAAAGTTCGGTTCGCCGACGTTTAAGTATTTACTTTAGTTTTATCCAGCACCTTTGGGTGACGAAGATAATCACTTAGTGCACTCTTGATGTCCTAACCGTGCCTGCTTTGCTTTTCCTCCAGCCTATGTTTCTTGTCATGATTTACGATTCCGTGCTAATATACCATTATCACACTTATTATTATTTTTGTTTCCCACTGTATCTGCAAAATAACGCTATATCACTTATGTCTATTCTCTGGTATTTCTTCATGATCGGCCACGTTTGAGCCAAACTGTTCTTACACCGGGCACTTTTTTTTTTGCAGCTGTCTGAGGTAGCCATAAGTTTGTAGCACATATATGGAGAAATCAACGCATACTATAAAGTCCAGGAGATATGGTGGAATAAAACGACCCCTTGACACTGATGATCGTGTAGAATGGGGTGGCTATCCTCATCCATGTCAAGTTTGCAAGCCTCATAAACTGTGTGAGTCTCAGTGGAACCTACCACACCAGATTCAAGCCCGTACGATGATCCAATAGATCTAGGAACTGTACGAGCATTCCTCTGATAACGCCTCGCTGTACCCGCAGATATCTCCCGTGCAGAATCCTAAGCCGAAGGATGATTGGTAATCGGGTACTTCCTTGAATTGGCCTGGTTTATTTTATCCAATATGGTAGACTGGATCCAAGGTTGGCAGTCCTCTGCTCAATTTTAGTCTGGACATCTTCGCTTTAGCTTTTCCGAGTCTGTAGCGGTCATGAACTTAAAATATGCTCTTATAAAAGGGTCCTTTGGCACGGGAGCTATACCGGATCGGGAATCTCTACCGCATGCAGGTTGATGTATCCGTCTTATTTAGACAAAGTGGAAGGGCAGTTTCGTCGTTTGTTCACCCACCCTTCTCAATTGAATCATTAACTCATAAAAAGCTGTCTGTATTGATCTATATCCCATTGTTACTGGTTCTCACTATATCCTGAAGACCCTTAACCCATATACAGCAAACATGGAACCGGACCAGGGACTGCACGACACCCAAGACCTGTTGCTTCGCAACCTGAACTCGTCCTTTGAAATCGACTCCTTTGACCACGATCTCACCACAGACCCCTCCCTTCATGATCCCCACACTATTAACTACAAAGGGGCTTCTATCTTCCTCGACACCCTCAACTGGCGCCAGAGCCGCACTCTCAAGCTCCAGCTCGCCACGTGCTTTGTGATGTTTCTCGTATTCGGGCTCAATGACCAGGTTCTAGGTACCCTCATTCCCAAGCTCAAAGAGCACTATAATTTGAGCGATGCCAAAGTGGGGGTAATCTTCCTCTTTCAGTCTCTAGGCTACGGTATGTCAGCGTTTTGCACTGAAATATGTCACAACTACGTGGGACTTCGCGGGGTAATTATCGGCTGCATATGCTGCACGTTGGCGGGGTTCACCATTGCATCTCTGTCGCCTCCATTTCCGCTCTTGGTCCTCGGATACTGCATTATTGGCTTGGGTTTGGGGGCGGAAGATGCTTCCTTGAATGCCTGGGTTGGAAAGCTTGATAATTCCAATGAACTTTTGGGAATATTACACAGCACCTACGGACTTGGGTGCTTCATTGCGCCCCCTATGACCGCCTGGTTTTTGACTAACGGTGCCACGTGGTATCACTGCTACTGGATGGTTATTACCGCTGCCTTAGTCTCATTGGGGCTCAGCCTTATCTCGTTCAAGCACGAAACAGCAGAGAAATATTGCTACTTGGTGGGCCCCGACTCGCACCAGAACCTAGAAGGTGTGTCGACAGAGCCGGTCAGTATGAAGGAAACGTTAAAAAATCAGACCGTATGGATGCTTGGACTCTGTCTCTTCATCTACTTGGGGGCAGAATCCGGTCTAGGCTCGTGGTTGGTCTCTTACCTCATGAGATCTAAGGGTAGGTCACACAGCTCTGCCGCCTATGTCACCTCCTCCTATTGGTTTGGGCTCACGCTTGGACGGCTCGTATTGGGGTTCTGCACCGCCTGGCTTCCCTCTGAATTCGTAGCCAATATCATATATCTCTGTGTGAGTAACGTGGGGGTAGCCCTTATTGCTATCGTTGGTGGAGCCCATACCGCGGCACTTGTATTTGCGTGCTTCTTTACTGGGTTCTTCATCGGCCCAGTGTTCCAGACGGTTGTGGCGGCAGCGGCGAAGACGTTGCCTGTGCGACTTCACGTTTCGGGGATAAGCTTCTCCATCGGGTTTGCAGCTGGTGGCGCTGCCTTTTTCCCATGGTTTATTGGCTTCCTCAACTCACACATTGGTAATATGAACATGCTTCCAGTGTTTGTGGGGGTCCTTGTGTTTGCCTCCTTGGGTTTCTGGCTACGTGTGGTGAAATCCGCAAAGCAGGCGGCATAAAAAGTGAAGGGTAAAATAATACATTTATGGTGACATATACATACGATAATATTTTGTGATAACCATGATAGGATTGTAATTCCATTTTAAAATTGTTTTTTATCATACATATATGTTTATATGTACCAGGTCCCAGTTTTATAATTTTAGCGACATAAGTATTATTCATGGTAATGAGTTTTTTCGGCCCACCAGATTAATTGACTTTATCCGAAGGGATTGACAATAGTGGTTTTCTAATCGACACATATACCTGTACAACTCTCTAAATATACGTATATACGTATATACGTATATACGTATATACGTAATATAGATATATGTATAGGCAAACGGTCTAGTACGTTATATATATGGCAGTCAGTAAATCCTGCACACAGTGAGCCTATGCCGCAAGCCAAAACGGATACAGAGCCATGTCCTTCAAACTCTCTCCAATCATCAATTCCAATCCATCAGATATATCCCTTTCCCATTATGAGCGGATCGATTGTGCGCGCTCTCGGCTGGGGCGTCGGCATTGAACAACAATACATAGCGGTGAACCCCGCGGGGGACGAGATTGCAGTCTACCAGACGAACCACAGTGGCCAGGCGGTGCCTGCGACGCCCTCGGACGACGACGACGACGACGGAATCGTCAAGGTCTATGCGCGCGGCGGCTTTGAGCACATCCAGTGTGCCACCTTCTCGCACAAACCTGGGATACTCGCGGCAGGACAGTCCGACGGGACCATCAGCGTGTTCGACATCCGTGTGGCGGACGCGTCGCTCGCGCACCTCAGACCGAAGCAGCAACGTCCGGTAAACTCGCTCTCCTTCAACCAGGCCGGGTTGCTTGCGGTGGGCTTTGACAAGAGTCGCCATGACTACGGCTTGCAGGTCTGGGATGTGGAACACTACTCCAGTAGCAGTAACAACTCGCACATCAACAAGCCAGCATACACGTACATCTCAAACGAAGCAGTCCTCTCCACGTGTTTCATTACGGGAGAGCCAACGAACTTGCTCTGTGGGAGCTACAAGTTTTTGCGCGAGATGGATCTCCGCAGCGACGTGCCCGTGTTCCAACTTGCGACACGCAACACACTCGGCATCACCATGGATCCGTTTGTGCCGTATCACTTTGCGTCGTATGCTGAAGATGGTACTTTATGCATCTGGGATCGGCGCAACATGGGCAGCGTGGTGAAACGGGTCCAGAGTGTTTCCGGGCCACTCGGGCCGATTACTAGCGACGTCCCGGCGTTGACCTTTAGCAAGCTTCTCGCAGACACCCGCACCAATCACCGGTCTTGCTTTCGCTACTCGTCTGTGCGGAAGGGTGAGTTCTCCACTTGTTTCAACGGGGAGATAGTTCGGAGGTGGCAGACCGGCGTGGTACCAGAGAGGGAAGAGTCAAAGGGCATGGAAACCCACGGCGAGAATGGTATAAAGGGCCCAAAAGAGGAGAGGCCAAACATTGAAAGAGACACCAAGGAGATTGAAACCGCTCTTTCTGACTTGGATCTCTCGGATTCCCTCTTTGTCACCTTTGTCCTCGATGTCAAAACCGTGTACGAGCGTGTCATATCCTTCGACTACATCCCTGATCTCGTAAGTGCGACCAAGTGCCATTTAGTGTGCATGCGGCAGTCTGGCTCGGTGTACAAGATGTCAGTGTTGGAGTCACCCGAGTCGATCCGGTTCAACTCGTTCAATGAGTTCACAGTCTCGGGACCTGACGGCGTGTTTACTCACTTTGCAATGGAAGCGCCAAAGCCCGAGCCGGAGGAATATGATCTGGATGAGGAATCTGATGATGACAAGTCTAGTTTCAAACCGTCAGCGCTCACAAACTTCCTTCGCTACGAAGAGGTGCTCCTGCAGGATATCTGTGCAGTGATGCGCGCGCGCGCGATGGTGGGGTATAGCACGGTGCCCGTGACAAACGTGCTGCTCATGGAGCTGGGTGTGCTTGCGGCCGGCAACTGGGCGATGCGTAACAGCTGGAAGTGGCTCATGCTTGCGCAACGCGCGGCCGACAAGGGCAAGATGCAGGCGGAAGGATTGGACCTCGGGTATGAAGGCGTGCTTGGGATCTGGAGCGGTGTTGCAGGCATGGGTAACCAGCAGCGCTACCAGCGTGGGTCCGTGGGCGAGAACATCTTTGTTAAGGCGACACAGTCGCTCGTGGCGTCGCGCAGCGGCAAGCGCTTGCCGACGATACCCAGCTATGGAAATCGTGAGGCCCAGCGCAAATTGTGCTTGTACGTGGCTGGCTGGGACATTGATCGTGCCGAATTGGATGAAAAACTCACCAAGTTGATTGGTCTCGGGATGTACGAGAAGGCCGCGGGGTTGGCGGTGTTCCACGGAGATGTGGCTGAAGCGGTGCATATTCTTCTGTCATCGAAGAAGGAACGCTTGCGGATCATTTCAACGGCTGTCGCAGGCTATCATGCATACAAGGGAACGCCAGAGAACAGCCCCTGGAAGGACCAGTGCCGGCGGATGGCGTCGGAGTTGGACGACCCGTATCTCCGTGCGATCTTTGCGTTTATTGCGGATAACGACTGGTGGGACGTGTTGGACGAGAGTTCGCTTCCTCTCCGCGAGCGACTTGGCGTTGCGCTCCGCTTTTTGAGCGATAAGGATCTCACCATTTACTTGAACCGACTCGCAGACAAAGTAATTTCACATGGGAACATCGAGGGTCTTGTACTCACGGGGATCACCCCCAAGGGAATCGACTTGCTCCAGTCATATGTCGACCGCACGAGTGATGTGCAGACGGCCAGTTTAATCGCGGCTTTCGGGTGTCCGAAATACTTCCAAGATGTGCGCGTGGACCACTGGATAGATTCGTACTGCACATTGTTGAATAGTTGGAGCTTATTCCACGTGCGTGCAAAGTTTAACGTTGCACGCGCCAAACTAGCGCGCGATGAGGGTGGCCGTACGCGCGCAAAGGTTGTACCACGCCAGCTCCACTTGCAGTGCATTCGCTGTAACAAAAACATCTCGAAGCCCGCTTTGGTACGCGCAGGTACGGGTCTCAAGCCCAAGGCACGCGATCCTAACAAGGGCTGTCCGCACTGTGGTGCGCCTTTGCCGCGCTGTGCCATCTGCTTGTTGTCTTTGGGTATGCCAATCCCACTAGATGTGACCTTGCGGGTGAACCCTCGCCAGGAGCCGGCTGAACGCGCGTTTAAGGAATGGTTTAGTTTCTGTTTGGCGTGTAACCATGGCATGCATGCGGGACATGCGGAGGAGTGGTTTGCGAAGCATTATGTGTGCCCAGTAGCGGATTGCAGTTGCAAGTGTAATAGCAAGTAACGTGGCAGAACGGGGTTTTTGCAGTGGGTTTAAAGCCTGTAAAACGTTCCGAGTCTGCGAAGCCTTTAGGGGCTTGTGAAACACGTTTCTGATATTGACGCAACTTTTGACGACCTGGGGCACTGAGGTCCCAAACTTTCTGGCAAACCCATCCAGTGTGTCCAGGGGAAAGATATACCTCAGATAACAAGCACGAAAAGTGGCCAAACTGCGTGGTGAGAACGTGAAGGCGCCTCGCTAGAAGTGACTGAGAAGCAACCTAATGGAAATAAAATGGAAAGAGTCCGAAAAAGGAGTAGAAGAGGAATTTATTTGAAAATAAAAGTGGAAGAGATGATGCCTTAATGCAGGAATATGGATGATACTTGTAAAATTTATGCAGATAACCGGATGAGTGTTGGATATGCGTAATATAAAAAGAATTGGAACTCTTAGAGATTACTGATGCTCAAAAAAGCAAGGGAGGATGAATAACCCATAGATAATGGTTCTGTAACAAAACTTCATACTCGTGAAGCACGAGAGGACCAAAATTAGTTATTATTGAACGTAGAAAGCTTCAGAAATCTTCTTGGATGATGACTTAGAATTGAGACAAACCACCACCGATTATTTATCAAGTATCATCTTCCGATAATGCTGCAGTTGTGGTATTACCGACACTCAAATATAGTCAAAAATCAGTATGGGGTATCACAATAAGGGGCTGGTTTCCGGTGTGATAATATCCTCTTCTATGCAAAGATTCCCTCAATCAGATGCAATCTCTGGCGCAGAGAGTCTGACACCGAACCAATTCTGTTAAAATGTTTATCCTCGGCCTGGTCGTTACGCGGCAGTCTCCGCGGCATAACCTCCCCACATTTATTGTCTGCGCGCCGCACGCATTTATCATATATAAGTACTGCGAACACCCATGTACGATTGGAATCCTAGTACGGGTATAGACAACTCTTCGTACGTTATGATTTTTCAAGGTACAAAGCTCTTGCGGCGTGAATTTATACATCCTCTGAGTGCAACGTGCTCTCGTTCGCTTGTTCGTCTTCAGACTGTTGCACACTCTTTGTTTATTTGCCATCCAAGTTCAGCGCACTCTCTATCCATTCGCCTCCATTCGAGTGCTGCGCACGTTCGTCGGAGCCTTCCCCCGCTCCTCCCCTTCTCTCACTTTCTCACCGACACATTCAACCGCCAGCACGATTACCTCCGCATCTCGCTCACCGAGCGATGCAATCTTCGGTGCCAGTATTGCATGCCGGCAGAGGGTGTCGAGCTCTCCCCTGAAGGCAACCTCCTTACCACGCCTGAGATCCTCCGACTTGCCCGTCTATTCGTGTCACAAGGCGTACGAAAGGTGCGGCTTACCGGTGGTGAGCCCACTATTCGCAGTGACATACTTGAACTCGTGAACGAACTCCACGCGATTCCCGGGCTCGAGGAGATTTGCATCACGTCGAATGGCCTCGCGCTCCACCGCAAGCTCCCGCAGCTCTGTGAGTCAGGTCTTACAGCGCTCAACTTGCTGCTCGACACGCTTGTGGCGGGTAAGTTTGCGCTCATCACACGGCGTAATGGACTTTCGGCGGTGCTCAGGGCACTCCACGTGGCGCTCGCACTCGGGGTCCGCGTGAAGGTCAATGTGGTGGTGATGCGCGGAGTCAACGAAGACGAAATTCTTGACTTTGTAGCTATGGCCCGAGACCACCCGCTCGAGGTGCGGTTTATCGAATACATGCCGTTTGGGGGCAATAAGTGGCTGCAAGGCAAGATGTTTGACTATGCGGACACCATGCGAATCATAGCTCGCAAGTATGCGTTGACAAAGGTCCCGCACCGCGCGGGTGACACCGCTAAGGTGTACTCGCATCCTTCATTCCGCGGTCGCGTCGGGTTTATCACGTCAATGACGGAAAATTTCTGCGGTACGTGCACACGCTTGCGGCTCACTACAGATGGGAACTTGAAGGTGTGTTTGTTTGGGAACGAGGAGGTGAGTCTTAGGGATATGATGCGGAGTGGTAAGACGGATGGGGAGATACTCGAGGTGATTGGTGTGGCGGTGAAGGGGAAGCGGGAGAAGCACGATGATATGGGGGTGTTGGAAAACATGCCGAACCGGCCGATGATCCTAATTGGGGGATGATCCGTGATAATCCCAAGGGGTTTTCCTGGGTTTCACACGGAATGATAAACAAGTTTATTCTTCTGTATGGTTTTGCACGAATATCCAGGGTACTCGCGGTTTGCAGCCCGGTATGTGAATATTTACGCCTGAACTCACACATCGGGATATGCTCCTAAGTCGGAGTAGCAAAGAAGCCCCTCGGAAGTTTCCACTGTGGTGCCCTAGAAATTAGCTTGCTTACCGATATTGGAGCCACTCTTATCATCTCAGCAATTTATTGGCAATTCTTTGTGGATCATTTCCTCAAAGGATTTGATGCATAACTTGCCAGAATATATGTAAACCAGAAAGTTTTCAAGGTATTAGCACCGCTGGTGGGCAACATCGGAAGAGGAGAAAGAAACGGTGCTAAAACCTTTATATGAATCAAACGGCTTATTTTACCTATTAGGATGCCTTTGACGAATTGACCATTACTTTTGGGTTTCCCGGTCCCACAAACGAGCAAGTCCCTACCGCCATCCCGCTGGTGTTTGTCTCCTTCAAACGTTTACTAACACCCCAGAATGCTTCGAGCTATTTCCAAAGCACCACTTTTAATCCGTCTTAATTCTTCCGCCCGCTTAACCCACGTCAACTCGTCTGGCGAGGCCTATATGGTGGACGTATTCGCAAAGCCCGTAACCGCGCGCCGTGCAATCGCGCATGGCACCATCACCTTCCTGAACTCAGTTGCCGTGTCCCTTATCAGAGACAACACAAATAAAAAGGGTGATGTCTTGGGCACCGCACGAATTGCCGGCATTATGGCTGCCAAGCGCACAAGTGATCTCATTCCGTTGTGCCACCCACTTCCAGTTACCAAGGTCGAAGTGACTGTAGCGGTGGACGTGCAAAAGGTTACAGTAACGTGCGCTGTGGAGTGCGACGGTAAAACTGGCGTCGAAATGGAGGCTTTGACAGGCGCAACAGTTGCTTTGTTGACAGCCTATGACATGTGCAAGGCTGTGGACAAGCATATGGTCCTTGGGGAAATCATGGTGGTGGAAAAGACGGGGGGTAAGACCGACTGGGGGCCAGGAAAGAATATCTAGTTTCACTTTACCCATGTATAGGTCATAAAAATTTTCACACTTGCGGTAAAGTACAAAGAATTTGTTGACTCAAAGTTATTTGTCAATGGCGACAACCACACGGATGGGTGCTTACTATTTAGAAAAGACTTCCCAGAAGCCAACGTTAATTCCTCGCTCTGATCTTAATGCGAGTTTCCTAAAACCTACGAGCAATCAATGTTTCCCTAAAAAAAAAAAGTTATTCGTATACAAGGGATATAAAGACTATAGCAATTCTACGTCATCATCACCTTGTGTGTTCTAGTTAATTGAAATTGCTCTGTCTATGAGTATTAGCCCAGTCGATGCAGTTCTCAATCAGCGTAGTAATAGCCTATCATGATCAACATGCACTTGAACTAAACCCGAATGAAAGATTTTCTATTCGGGAAATGCAGTCCTTTCATAAATATCTCCCATGGTTCGAGAAAGTGTGATCTTTTCATATTTTGTTGCGCAGGTTTATAACCTGAGCGCCTCGAACAAACCCTTCCATTAAATGGCCAATCTGTACTCTCATTGCCACTGGTTGAAGCGAGAATTCATGGTTCGAAAAATTAGAAGCTCTAGATCTTTTCGACAGTTGTGTCTTAGTAGATACCATTTACTGATAGCTCTATGATTTCTGACCAAAAAAAATATCAAAAGGCTTAGAAAACTCATGCTGCAAGTACATTACATATGCATCAACTAGCGATGCCTCGTGTCTCTCTGCCAAGATCATAACCAGAATCTTAGGACGTGCACGTACCGCTTTACACGCGTTGTAAAAGATTAGAAACATGCCTCTTGGTCCATATCTTCTCACCTTCCACTTCCAACACAAAATGGTATTGGCGCTAAAGTCGAAACAATCCCAGCGATTGGTATCGATATTAAAGTCGAAGAAAATCCAGAGATTGGTGCTTGCTGTTGGTTTGGCTGCGCTTTTAACCACGGTCTTTCTCCAAAGTGGGTCGCGTGTGTCTCATAACAACCTTCTTGACCGCGACTTCATTCGCAAAACACTCCACAAACCGGATGGCGCCAGCCGTTATGACCGTTTGTTTGCGGCGATTTTGGACCTTAAGCCTAACTTTGAGCCACTTGAACAGTATCACAATGACCAGAAGGTTAAGCAAAAATTTGCCTCGGACATGGATTTCGCCTTCTCAAAGGAGTATCTCTCTGGCGTGTTACAGGTGACGCAGGAACAAATTGACGATTTGCACATGAAGCACGAAAACTTTAAGTACTTGGTGGAGCACCACGCGGACCAGCTTCTTCTGCCTGGCAAGTCTGCGGGACGCGGTATTGTCTATGTTGGTGGTGGTAAGTTCTCCTGGCTAGATGTAATTTCGATTCAGCAGCTTAGACGTCTGGGCTCGACCCTTCCGGTGGAAGTGTTCATTCCGACCGAGGAGGAGTACGAGGCGGAGTTGTGTGAGTTTATTTTGCCTAAGCTTGGCGGTCGGTGCATGCAGTTGGCGGAGCTCATTCCGCAGCAGACGTTGCAAGGCTTCCAGATCACGGGGTTCCAATACAAATCGCTTGCTTTGCTTGTGTCTCATTTTGACGAGATTCTTTTCTTGGACTCGGATAACGTGCCGACGTCCAACGTGGACCATCTCTTCAAGGCAGAGCCATTCACGTCCACCCAGGCTGTGTTCTGGCCGGACTCCTGGGCCCGAACCACTCATCCGCAGCTCTATGAGATCATGGGTTTGGAGGTGAACGAACGGCGCAAGGTCAGAGGCAACGACTTAACGAACCTCGACCCAGCCACCTCCCACTTTCACGACTTCCAGGGCACCCTAGGCAACCCCTCCACCGAGACAGGAGTTTTTATGCTCAACAAACGTACCCACCGCAAGACCTTGCTTTTGTCCTTGTACTACAACATCTACGGTCCCGGGTATTATTACCCCTTGATGTGCCAGGGGGGCGCCGGGGAGGGGGACAAAGAAACATTTATCTTTGCCGGATTTGTGCTTAAAGAGCCAACCTATCTGGTGCAGAAGCTCGCCTGGTGGATTGGTTTTCATGACGACGATGAGTTCCACGCTAAGGCCTTGGGCCAGCACGATCCAGTGTCGGACTTTAAGCGCTCTAAACTCGTCAAAGTTCCAGAAGATAAGAAGCCAGATGTCGACCTCGGCTTCATGCACATGGGGTATCCGAAGTTGTTCCCGGAAATGCTTATGGGTGAAGTACTCTATGGCGAAGGTAACCAACAGCATAGACGGTTGTATCAGGACCTTACCCGGAAGTTGGGCTATGATTTCGAGTTCACAATGTGGAAAATCATGGCGCAGAGCTTGTGCGATGTGAGTGACATGGGAGCCAAGTTTCCCCTCACCCATGTGCCGGGCATTGAAAACATTCCCATGGTGGCCAGGGACTTGGAGTATTTCAAAGGCAAGGACATGGCCAAGACGTGTAGGTTCCTTGTGGAACACACCAACTGGTTGATGGAGAACAGCAATTAGCATGTATATTCTCTGTTCAAGGAGTCCCGTGTTAGGAATAAAGTATGCGGGTTTATTGCCTGACTATCTCTATGATGCTAGGCCTCATAAGGATTAGGATTTAGAGCGGTGAGGTAGATTTATAACAAGTGGGGTGAAAGGGTTAGTGTATTTGAGATACGATAGTGGCCTCTAAACTGGTTGGTGATGGTGTCTGAATTATGAAAATTGGCTAAAGCGAGTCGTTGTGTTAGATATGAATAAAACCTGAACACGAGCCATGAAAGGGAAGGATATCTGGGAGTGTAGAATTGCAAGGGTTGTAATGCATAACGGCAGGGGTTGAGGGACCACATTTAACTCCAAGAATAGGTGAATAACTATGGGATAATAGACGATATCCATTGACCGTGGGTGTACGGTAAAGAGCCCTTCACATCGCTATTGAATCCACGGACTTTTTTTCCCTTTTACCTAGGCGCGATAATGGAGCTGTCTGTAGTTATCATGTGGATCTTGACAAAATTTTTAAGATTATGGAAGCGTTCGGTTAAAATGTTGCTGTGAGATATAAGCTGGATGAATAGGTACCTGAAATAGCTGGAACAGAGTCGAAGAGTCAGAAGCAGACCACAATCACTGAGAGGGGTGGAAAATTAGGATTGTGCTTGGGTAAAAGCTTCAAATTGTGATGAACATCAAATAATGAACTTTAAATCGTTTTTTAAACTGGTAATCTTTAAATTCTATACAAAGGACCGAATGAGGATTTAACGGAATAGCGATAGAATAAGGAACTTCGAACTTGGGTATGATCTTGTATCAAGAAAGAATGAAGTAATGAGTATAGTAGTCTTATGAATACGTAATTCATGGAATTTTATTCAAACCAGAAGCTCATGATCCTTAAGGTCTCGAACCACCGTCTCCCTACCATAGTTAACTATAGAGAACGGTCATATGAACCGCTATTCAAGAGAAAAGGGCATCTAGATCCTAGTGTGCTGGAAGTTCAATATTTGACAGGGTATTTTTGGAGAGCATGGACTTAGAAACCCAAGGTCTATTGAAAATGAAAACAGTGGAGACTGAGCATGTGAATTTGTCGAGGATATGAGTCGTGAAAAGGGAAAAGTAATCCGAAATGATCAAGCGATGAGTCGGGGGCTTCATGCGAAATATCTCAGTAACACCGAGAAAGGGAGGAGAAAAGGAGGAACTAGATGAAATAACACGGCTCTTCAATGGATAAAGGCACTGAAAAGCTCGTACGAGAATCTTTCGGGGAGAAGGATACCATGGGAAATGGTTTGAATCGAGTTCTTGGAAACTTCGGACGAGTTAAAAGAGTAGCATTAGATTTAGTTAACTAAGTGACTAATACGAATAATAAACCCAAATAGATAATCGCCGGGGGCTTCATGTTTCCTCAATAAAAAGAGTAAAAATAAGTTTTAATGAAGCGCATTTCACTAATCGGTGTTCTGAAGACTCACACTAGTAGTTCACATAGAATAAATATACATCTCGAGGGAGGTTCTCCGGGATACTTTAATAGAGTTAGAATATTGTGAACAAGTTGTTTGTTGTTATCAGTCCTAAACCATAATACTAGGTCTAAAAGTGGAAATGAATCCCGGGCCAAGATACGAAGTGCAAGGGGAAATTAGTATTCAAAGTTAGTAAGCTACAGGCATTGTCGGACCCAACATACGTATTTTGAAAGATTTATGTCTATTATTAATGGTATTCACTCATACCTAGAGAACTTGCGTGCGTTACTTCAGGAAACCATAACACGAAGATGCGTGAGTGCTAGTATACGTATGTATAGAAGCTATTTATAGAAACACGCGAAAACCCGGTGTGGAAAACAGCTTAAAAGGATTTTAGCGGGCAACAGTGGCTCTTTTCCGAAAACAAGGTAATAACGGGTTGCTCAAATAAATAATTAGTGGTCACAGAGACATTTACAACCATGCTACTAAGGCGGTATTCTAAGAAATGCTCGTACAAACAAAATAAAAGCCACAGTCCTCTTATCAGTCTAAGGTTTTCCTCAAAATTCATTATATCTTCTCATATAATGCAGTTTGATCATTCCCGTAGATCATCTGACGTTTGTTGCACTGAAAAGTGGCCAAATTTACTCCAACAGGCTCAATCTTGTTGGCTGTAACAAAACCAAGCAATTACCTCATGAAGTCCACACGTTCAAGCAGTTCATACACCTACCATCAAGGGTTTATTGATTCTTCAATTGATCAGTTCGCTTCAGTAGTATACAAAATGGTTTTTAGGCTGACTCCCTTCGTGGAAAATATGCTTAGTGGACTGGCACACAAACTTCTACCGTACCATTTCTACATCATGGGAAATCTCCCAGGTGTACCGAGAATCTTTGGGTCACGGCATGGACAAGTTAGTTTCTTTATTACATCTAGGTATGTGATAAAATGTAAATTTAGTTAATACGTCATTATGTTACGGTCATCAATTCTCATCATACGTTTCCTGGCTGTTGATTAGGTTGTTTCTTCTGCGACAATTAATTGTAGAGTATCTTGGGTTATGGATTCAATTAAATCTATACGCATCATTGGTTAAATATATAGACCAAAACAAAAGTGTATGGGAGGAAAACATGAGGATTATTAAGGATAACGGAGAGGAAAGAAGTGAAGGGGTCAAGCACGTTCGACTAGAGTTAGCGCTAACCAAGAATAGTTAAAACAGACATGCCAAAGGAGCTGAAACAGAAAATTTTTCAAACTGACAGTAAGGTTTATCAGTAGGAGGCATATTTTGAAAGACATTGATTTTGATTAAGATATCAGGCAGCAGGCAGGATCTGATTTGGCCACAGAAGATATCAAACTAGCCCTGGTGGCATACTCAAAGACGTCGTCGACACCCTCACCAGTCAAAGCGGAGCTTTCGATATACATTCTGGCTCCTATCTCGGCTGCGACTCGCTTACCTTGTTCTAGTTGCACAAATTTGCTCCTATTGTTTGCCTCTTCACTACCATCTCTCAAGTCCCGCTTGAGCCCTACCAAGATAATCGGCACCCCAGGGCAATTCTTAGATACTTCCTGGTTCCACTTTACCATGGCATTGGCAAAAGAATCTGGGTCGTTAATGGAGAATCCGATCAAGATAACGTGGGCCTTGGAGTACGACAATGGCCGTAACCGCTCGTACTCTTCCTGGCCTGCAGTGTCCCAGAGCGTCAACTGTACCGCCTTACCATCTACCCGGCAATCTGTCACATAGTTCTCAAACACCGTGGGGTGGTACTCCGTGGGGAACTCGCCGAGCGTGAAGACGTGTAAGAGCGAGGTCTTCCCACAGGCCCCGTCACCCACGATCACTAGCTTTCGCCTTATGTTTGAATCCGTCATATAGGTAACTTCAGCAAAGAAAAAAACTTCACGGCGAGTGGGATTCAAACTTCAAAAGGAGTTCCGTAACCTTCAATCCTCGTGTATCCAGGGGATTTCAAGTATAGGCCCGGTTATATTTAGCACAAAGCTGTTTACATAACCAGGCTCTCCTGCATGGCAGAATTGTGCATGGCACGAATTGCCGTACATTGCTGCGCAACGCCGTATTGGTCCGAGCTCGGAACCAGCCCCGGAAACAGCGGCGAGGTGGACCAAGCTACGGCCATATCTATTGTAGATGTTTCCCAACCTTAGAATAATCATGTAAAATGCATTAACCAGGACCCCAACAAACTGTTTTTCTAGATAACCGTATAGACTATCCGGGTTTTATCTCTCAGGTGAAGTGATCTAAAAGTGACACTATAACACGGCCTGACAGAAAATTCAGGCTGACTGGCCCGACCTAGTTTGCATTCAACAGTTCTTCGACCAAGCGAACAATATTCTGCAATTGTCCCGTCTACTTAATATATTGAAGTGCAATAGATATTTTTTTGCGGTAAAGGCTTTACCTAAATAATGCCAGCTCCCGTGACTAGAAATCAGCCTTAATGGTTTTCGTGCTGAAACCCCCCTCCATCCAACCCGTGTTATGGATACGCAGATGTAGGTTTATAAGTCGCAAAAAAGTTCATGGGTCATCTCAGAACCCTGGATAACTTTTTGACCAGTTCAAGATCAAGGCTACGTATCTCTTACCGATTATGGCAAATAATTTCGCAGTACTGGGTAAGCGAAACATGGATCGAGTGTGGCTTAGTCGTTGGGAGCATGAAACTCAAATTGAACGCGCCTATACATAGAGACCCAAGTCTGGTAAACCACTGCATAGCCCTAATCGCAAGGTTTATGCATTGCAATGTATGACGACTAAAAAAAAGTTTCTCTCGTCGAAGGTTTGTGTAGATTTGAGATTCAGATATCCAATTTCCTATCAGAGTTTCAAAAACGTTATTCTATTGTCAAAACATTTCACTGATGAAAGTTATATATGACGCACAAAAATAGCACCATAAACCGAAAAATTAAATAAGTAAATCATGAAAGGGTGGTAAGGGCTTCTTAAGAGAGAAAAAGAATCCGTACAGGATAACATTCAGAGAGGTTACTCAGCAGAAGCATGCAAGGTATCAGTGCTATCCTCATACCCATTGATCTTGAAACAATATTTCACAAAATGGTCACTAACAGCAGCCCTCAAATCAACTGACAAGGCATCCTTTTCAAGTAAACCGTGGGAAATATCGCCAATCCAGATTCTAGAACAAACAACCATCTTTTCCAAAATAGAATTAGTAGACATGCTGGAGTACCATAAAGCAGGGACCTGAGAGAGTAGACTGTGAAGAGCCACAAAGGACAGTAATGTCAACTTTGACGCGACATCCTCTGCCTTCTCGCTAAAGTCCATGAATTTCAACAACTTGTGAGCTTCGGTATTTTTGCCAGTCTTCAAATAGTGGGCAATTAACGAAGAGGTGAAGAGGACATATGACTCAAAGGATAAATTAACATCAGGCATGGGAACAGCCAAATTGAGGGTCCGGTTTTTACCAGTGGTGAAGGCCAACGAAGCATCATCGTCAGTTCCATCGTCTTCGTCCGATGAAAGGCCGGCGATGGACAGCGGCAAAGTTACCAGCGCCTCAACCTCTTGCTCCAACAAAACAAACGCAGATCGCAAGGATTTCACAGACAAATCGTAATTAGCCCGTAATAGCTGATACTTCCTGGCCACATTAGACCCAGAAACCATCAAGGGTTCAATATCCTGAAGCATTTGGCTGATAACCGCATTAGTGACAATGATACTAGCCTCGGTAGTAGCCGCCTCTTCTCCGTCCTCCTCATATTGCTCATCCTTCTTAACGGCGATTTCCAAAAGTAAAATGTCGATATCCTGTAGGACCTGGTCCGCCCTCAAGCTAGGAACTAACGTGAAGAGAGACGAGTTAACTGTCGCATCTGTTTCAGAAGCTTCACCTGTAGTGATATCCAACAACCGAGTAAACAATTCGTTATTATCTAAGAACGGATTCCGTTCGTTATGTAAGAACTCGGCGAATCCGGCATATTCCGATGGAATCTCCATGGTAGATAACAACGAGTGATCCAAATTCAAAAAGTATCGAAGGCCATACTTTATCCAAGGGTATTGAAGGGTTAATAATTTTCCGAAAATCACAGACACAAATACGTTCTCAAACGACTTGGTCTTGGTAGAAATCGAGAGATAGTCCCAGAATATCTGGAATCCGGTGTAGCCTCCCGAGAGCAATCTTGATTGCAGATGGCTTCTCAACTCCGTATGGGCGGTTTTGTCGACTAAAGCGCTGAATGGTCTGAGAATAGAGCGCAAAAGCGAAAAGAGGTTGAGCTTTTCACTCTTCCCTTGGCCGAACAAATAAGGTTGCAAGATAGCAAGCACAGTGCCCAAGACCAATATCACCTTGATGAAATAAGAAAACTGGACAACCATCGGATGGTTGAAGACAGGGAAGGCAGAGAGGCCTCTGAAATCCATATCTTCGTGGAAGAGTGTAGTACCAATGATACCAGCCATCCCACCCATCACCACCTTGCCTGGAAGATTACCTGACATGAACCCGTTTTGCTGAATAGGTGCGGGTATTGTATTATCGTTTGTGTCCATGACCATGTTTACGTTTATGTTATTCATTTGAAGGTTCGTCCGCTGAAACTGTGGCTGTTGCTGTATGTGCTCCATCATAATCATTTGTTGGGGGTGCTGCAATCGCTGAGACTGCTGGGCTAACAACATACGCAAGTCGGATACCTCCTGAGCAAGCGAGTCGTTTTTTCTCTCCAAATGCTTGATGTATTCAGTGGCCTTCGTCAATACACTGGCTTTGTTGAGCTTTGAAGCAGGGGCTAAGCCGTCCAATTCCTCCATAGACACGTCGACCGAACCAGCGGCGACTCGCAACGATGGCACTGCATCTCTAAGCATCAAGATCTTGGAGTTGATATTAGTCCTATACTTCTTTTCGATCATATTGTGCGCGGAGCGATCTTTTTTCTCTGGTTTAGTGATCTTCCCCAGGCTGCCTGTGGATTTTTTCGTCTTGCTGTCGTCAGAAAGAGCGGCATCATCGGAGTTAGGAGGAGAAACTTGCTGCAGTGTAGAGTTGCTGCCAGATGGGCGGTCCACAGACTCAGGGGTGATGTAGGTCTGTTGTCCGAGAATTTTGTTGTCTGAAGGAAATGGTTCGACCCTCATATCCATGGGGATATAGTTTTGGTAGCTTCGAGGGTCGATAAACAGCTGCTGGCTGAGTGACCCATTGGCGTACTGACCCATCTTGGAAGGGCTCAGTGAGTTCTTGTACGACTCATCCTCAACCGAAGACGGTGACAGGGCGTTGAGATGCACTGTGTTGGCCTGGGACAACAAGCCAAGGAACTGGTTTGCATCGTCAAATGTGTAGTTTAAGGGAACTTCCATGTGTAGGGATTTCTGGGAAATACAAAGGGGTAATGGCAGGGGGATACGCACACAATAAGAAAATAAACGTGGGATTGTGGTCTAAATGGCTATATTCAGGGACTACGCGGCAAAAGCAAAGGTGGGCACTTGAGTTTCTCGGCTAGGGGGGTTATATGTGCAGCTATGTAGAAAAACGGTAGATTTAGGAACACAGAGACAATTGAAATAGGAAGCCGTGCACAGTTGAGAGAAGAATGGATGGCAACAAAATTCCTTTCAGGCCGGAGGGTTGAACGAATATTGTTAAAAAGTAGCCATTTCTTGTGTCAGCAGGGAACCGCGCCTTATAGCAAAAGTAGCATGGCTAAGCGTAAAAAGAAACAAAGTATCTGCATGCGAAACCCACTCACATGCACCTAAGTACATCAAAGGGAGGTCGTTTTGGTAGTGAGCTCGGCACGCGCCCAGTATTTCCTGCACAGTGGTTGACTTCTCTGTGGGAGTATCTGGGTATAAGATTCAAAATCGTACCACTTTTTGTTGGATGCAGGTTGTACATTACACGCGCATGAGCTTGGACTATTGAGATAAGGCTGTCTTGTCGTACCTGTACTCCAAGTGGGCTAGGGCACCACCGCCACGCTCGTCACCAATGTGCTAGTCCCAGTTTACCATTTAGTTTGTAGTGGTTAATAAAAGAGGGGGGGGGGGGGGTTCCGAAGGGTACAAAGCCCATGGGATGAAGGAGGTGTGGCGTACCAAAGCATCGATCAGTTGAAGGTGGCACGCTGTGCAGATATCCGATAACATACCATAAAGAAGTTTCAAAGCATTGACGTTATAGGAGCTAACAAAACCAGAATGACGGGAAATAGTTGCAAAACGGTAGCTCCCGACCTCTTCCTTGTCCTGCCTCTGTCTGAGACATGTATGACGCTGGTGAGTTTCAGTCGGAATGTTTCGCATATGGGTGTAGTCGTAAATTGTTGCCATGTAAATGTGAAGTCAGGGCTGGACGGTACGCTTTGTATATGTTAGCCCTAAATTTTCAAAAGATGAGTGTTGGTTATACGACTTTCTAAGAAAGACAGCTATCTGGGTTCCACTAGTATATCGCAAGTACAAAATTTCTTGAGACATTTGCTATACGGTCCCGCGCCCAGCTGAGATGCACGGTTCGGTTATAAGCAATTTCTGAGTCCTCATCACTGTAAAAGCATTTTGCCCCTAAAATGACTCCCGTTGAATCTGATTCCAGCTCCTAGTTAAAGCATCACGAGTTTGGGCCCTTTGGGCATGTATGTCTGTATATCCCTGGTACAGACTGGGCATATAGTTTTACCAACCTTGAAAGAGTTATACGATTTGTTTGAGGGTCGGCAGTTTATGAATTGGTGGGCCCTACCGACCTTGTGGCCCCCAGATCTAAGAGAGAAGAGGCTGTCTATCCGTTTATTTGACTTAGAGCTTACTGTCGCACGAAGTGATTAGCGAAGCGCCGTTTACTCAAAATAGGTCCTGATCTGCCCATCTAGAACTTTCGAGAACGGTCTAAAGTTTTATATATTGCTGATTCTTCAATCATTGATTGGTGTCGTTCATGGAGGTATGACGCTTATTTACTAGCCCGGTTTTCATGCCTGCATCCGAATCACAGAGAACTAACTCGTATAAAAAGTGGCTAAATAGACCGGGCTCAGTGGAACGAAGGAAGTGGGGCCTCGGTGATACGCCTTAAATCATAGACTTACCTAGTAAGTAGTTACTCGTGTTGGAAAGTCCTTACTTGTCGACTTTGGATTTATCATTACTTAGATAAAAAAAACCCTTAGTACGCTTAAAGGTTCTATTCCATAGCCCCCCCTGGCTAGTCCGTTCCCCGGAACACATGCTTCCCTGCCGGATTCTCAAGTGGCCCAGGGCGCTAGGCGCTAAAATTTTCATCCACCTGTGCCACGTGACCCATCTGTAAGAACTATGGCACAAGACTTTAAAGGTACAACAAAAGCTAAGTCATCAGGAAGAAAGTATAAAACAGATTCATATAAACAGTCTCGGTAAATTTTGCATAGGGGTAGGTGACGATGATCGAGCAACCATAATAGATGTCGTCATTGGCATTCCTTGTGCTGTACTTATTTTTACCCGTGTACCACCCCTTGTCTTCCTTCACAGTGTAACCCTCAGTCCGGCAGAACCAGATGGAAGTTTCGCCGCGATGGCGGAGGTGGCCAACTAACGATCTTGAGCAAATGTTACCGTCACGCTATCTTATCAAAAAAAAACGTCGTGCCGCAAAGTATAGGAGTGTCCTCTGATTCTTGGATCATTATCAAATATCACACATATATATCACCATGTCTTTAAAACGTATTAACAAGGAATTATCTGACTTGGGCAGGTATGTGGAGTTTACGATTTGCGAGGTTGATTTTGCTACCGCCGAAGGTCATTTCCAGGTCCTCAAGACATAGTTATGATCAAGGAAATACTCTCGGGGCAAAATCGACCCTGAAATGCACTCTTTCGCTTTATGGTACTAACACTCCTCTAGAGACCCCCCATCTTCCTGCTCTGCCGGCCCGGTCGGTGACGACTTATACCACTGGCAAGCGTCCATCATGGGCCCTCCAGACTCTCCATACGCTGGTGGTGTCTTCTTCTTGTCGATCCACTTTCCAACCGACTACCCATTCAAGCCACCTAAGATTGCATTCACTACCAAGATCTACCACCCAAATATCAACTCCAACGGTAACATCTGTTTGGACATCTTAAAAGACCAGTGGTCTCCAGCCTTGACCATCTCTAAGGTGTTATTGTCCATCTGCTCCTTGTTGACCGACGCTAATCCAGACGATCCTTTGGTTCCTGAAATCGCACACATCTACAAGCAAGATAGATCCAAGTACGAAGCTACCGCCAAGGAATGGACCAAGAAGTACGCTGTCTAAGTCTAGGCTAGGTGTTTAGAAAAATGTATGTCTGCCGTATGAATAATCGTAGGAACGAGGATGAGGCCCGTAGCACCTTATCAGAGACTCTCTGACTAAGCTCTAACATGTGATTGGAAACTAGTGATTTGTACAATCGGTTTCGAGTCTATCAAAAACGCGTAGCCGGTAACGTCGGATTACTAGCTTGTTGTGTAACGAAATACCATAACCACCCCGCGAGTCTTATCGCTGTAGGGCGTGAATCGAATCGTGCCACAATTCTCTGAGACCACCAGATCAAGAAAACTATTTGTTTTAGCCGTAATGGGTATATCGCGACCTTTATGGCGGATATCGTCATGTCTTTGGTGTGGCGGTGAATATATTTTCTGTCCTATATCCGGTGACATTTACTTTTAAGTTTCTCTCAAGCAGCTAAAGGCTAGCAATGACTATAAAAAAATCATACTGTTAAATTTCTTACATTACCCTCCCAATCTCAAAACTTCCTCTAGCACAACTTATGGCTTTATTCCAGCTTCCTCGTGGTCAATAGCCAGCTAGTCCTGTATACGGCCCATAAACGACGATGGTGTGGGGACTACCAATTTCCCTCGCACGACCTTCTCACCTACCTCGAGCTTTTCATACAATCAAACGCAAACAGAGACCAACGCGCCAAACACCCTTCGAACTCCCCCGTTCATCTTCGCTACACGCACATCCAAAGGTTGAAGGCTGGTGCTTTTGGGATAAAAGAAGGGTCAGCGATATATTTCTTTGCGTTTTTTAGACATTATACCCGCTGCTACCGATTGATTAGGTCCAAACGCCCATCCGTCCCTGCACCCAAGACGATCCAAAACCCGAGCCCAAGAAGATCCAAAAGCATACCCAATTGAATCATCGGAGCATTTTTCTTGCTTAATTACACACCTAACATCCTTTTTTTTTTACTTCTCTTCCTTCACGATGAGCAGATTGGACTCCTTCCAAGGGAATAACACACGATACTTGTACCACCTCTCGGTAAAGCTCAACAAAGTTGGCTTTTTCCAGACTTACATCACCAATTCACAGTACCAGCTCTTTAACCATATTCTAGAAGCTGTCCAAAGCTCTGGAACGAACTTTGAGCTATGGGAACACTTTATAAACGCAAACCTCTCTCTCAAAATCGAAGACGACGTGAACGAGCCGGAGACTGGCGCTGAGCGCGAGACGGTGGAGTATCCCTTCGCTGAGGGCACCTCTACCCCCAGCAAGATCGCCTTGCGGATCAGACACTTACTCTGGGAGAAGGCAGTGGACTGCTACTACCAGGAAGAAGCCCAGAGCGACGACGACGACTGCTACGCGATTCTTGACACGGTAGAGGAAATCGACGTTCAAGACGCCGTGAACGGAACTGCGGAGCCCAAAGTCAGAGATGAGGAAGATGACTATGACGATGACGAGGAAGAGCCAAACGATATTATTATCGCAGACACCGCGCCCGAATATGAGTACAACTATAGCCAACAGTTGGTTTTCGCGGTGCCTTTATCGACCCTAATCCAGGATGAAGAAAAAAAGGAAAAGCCCAAGGAAGGTGTATCTGGCCAGGAAGAGTTAGTCAAAAAGTTCCGCAACATCTACCACCTCTTTGACACCGACAAAGAGAACTTGGCCAAGCGCCGCAAGTTGGAAGAGTACGATAAACAACTCGAGACGTATGACAAACAGAGTGGACCCCAGACCAATGGCCACAGTCATACAGCCCCAAAGGCTAGCATCAATATGAACTTGGGGGCGGCAAACCTTTCCTTAAAGCATTTGCTCAGCTCCATCGAAAACAACCGAGACAAGTTATCGTTATCGGACGCTGAGTTGCGAAGCTTGATCTTTGACGTGCGCAAAAACCGATCGAAATGGGCTTCCGACGACAAAATCGGCCAAGAGGAGTTGTACGAGGCGGCGGAAAAAGTAGTAATGGAACTTCGAGGGTACACCGAACACTCCACCGCGTTCTTGAACAAAGTATCTAAGCGTGAGGCGCCAAACTACTTCCAGGTGATCAAGAAACCGATGGACCTCAACACTGTGCTCAAGAAGCTCAAGACGTTTCAGTACAAATCCAAGGCTGAGTTTGTAGACGACGTGATGTTGATATGGCGGAATTGTTTGACATACAACTCGGATCCCACACACTTCTTGCGGATCCACGCGCTCGCGATGCAGAAAAAAGCGTTGGTATTGACTCCTCTAATCCCCGATATTGTCATTCGAGACCGGGCAGAGGTGGAAGCAGAAGAGCAAAACGATGACCACAGTACTCCTGTGACCACCAGGGTTCTGGGAGGCCAGAAGGGACACACCACCAAGGGCCGCAAGCGAACCAGCGAAGAGGAAAAGCCAATTATTGTTGCTGCCTCTGAGTCCGCTACGCCGTTGCCGATTCCAGGCACCCCGGTCTCTCTCTCTGTGGTTGCCGAGACCCCGGCGCAACTAGAAGATGAGGAAGAAAACGATTTACAAGAGGAGGAACAAGGAAGCTCGCTGGACCAGAAGGGGGAGGACGATTTAGAGCTCCAGACATGGAAAAATATCACCTCCAAGGCGCGAGCCGAGTACTGCTCGCAGCGCGCCGAGTTGTTCAAAGACAACAGGATCCAGATGGACAGCACGGCCCTCTTACGATACCCGGACCAAATGAAATGCTTTAACGAATACCTCCACGGGCACGAGGTGGTGTCTAAAAGCCACTCGCTTTTGGAGAACGAAGAGCCGTACTTGATCGAATATGATGTCACGGCAGGCATTCCTTCGTTCAAATACCTGGGGGTCAGCGAGAGCCAGGCCGTCCTGCTTGAGAGCAGGCTCGTTGACCAGGCTTTAGACGCAGAAGACACCCGGTCGGACTTTCTTCCGCCACCCGGAGGGTTAAATGAAAAGGTCAACGCAAACATCACCGAGATGCAGGAAATCAAGAAGGTGTGTTTCCGGATCTCGCTCATCCGCCAGATGCAAAGCCAGCAGTTTGTGCATCACACGCAGTTGCGGCCGCCAAAAACCGAGGCCATCGAGGACTCTGACATCGACCGGATTTCTAAGTTACCCAACCACGATCGGTTTAGTCATCCGGTCCAATACCTGGCGTTGAAGCGCAGCTGTGCAAAGATCGCGATGCAAAATGGGTTTGAAACGACCGAGCCGTTTGCGATGGACACACTCACCCAAATTGCAGAGGATTACATGGGAAACCTTGCACGGACACTCAAGATGCACTGTGAAACGCCGTCCATCGCGGCGCTTGGTAACTCTGAGGTGTTGCTCATGGCGCTCATGGAGAGCGGTATTGAAAAGCCGGATAACTTGTACACGTACGTGCGTGAAAAGATCTTCAAGCAGCAGACACAGTTAAAAGAGCTCAAAGAGAAATTGTCGCTGTTCTTGAAAGAGCTCTTGCGGCCGGGCATTCAGGACTTGTCCGAGACGAACTTCCAGGACAACAGCGACCAGTTCCTCACGGGCGACTTCACGGCGGAGCTCGGCGAAGACTTTTTCGGCTTCAAGGAGTTGGGTTTGACGGCCGAATACAATATGTCTGGGCTGTCGCTTCCGTTGCACCTACTCCATGCGCGTATCCACAACTCGTACCTCAGTCAGGACGGCAGTAACGTAAAGAAGAAGTACGACGACTTGGTTGATCTCAGCTACCCCGAAGTGATGGCGTCCCAGGTGTCTGAGCAAATCGGTTTATTAGGACCATTCTTCGAAGGTGCGGCCGCCCGATCGAAGCAATTTATGGTGAAACAGCAAAAGAAGACGGGTGAAGGTGAAGCTCTTGTTGATGGCCAAGACTACAAGATTATGGAAGACGAGGACTTGCCGCAGAAGCAGAGAAATAGCCGGCCGCGCTTGCCTCCAACCGGGAAGATTGCAGGAATTAAGAAGCGCCCCGTAGCGAACAGTTTCTTCTTGGTGGGGTAGTGGTACGATTAGAAAAAATAAATGGCGAGTTGGGTGTTATGTGAACTAGAAAATTGATGCTTCAACAAGCTTTATGGGGTGTGACTTGAGCATAATCTTTGGTTAAAATTACAGGGTAGTTAAACCTTAACGTTGTGTGGACCTGAATTTATGAATAATAATCGTCAGTGCATTAGTCTTATACCTTTCGTGTGAGAGTTTAAGGATAGCTTTTGATCAATGCCTGTATAGCCGTTTCTGGTTGTTTTGTTAAGCTGATTCAATTAGATACCGATATATTGATCAGTCCAATTTGTGTCAGCGTTCCTACACTAATACGCATATATACCATATTAGAACTCGAAGCTATTGTGTAGACTGCTATAGAGCATTACTACTGCAAACGTTTTTGGTGTTTCAATATGGTATGGATAGGTTAACTGTATGACTCGGTTTACATGGCTAAATTTCCCCCAGGTATGCAACTGTGGGATGGCGAACCATGCAGCTCCGTGTGTGCAGGCCAAGTCCACAATATGATGTCCCTTGATATTTCTGGGGCAAACAGGTGATTCACAATCCGCCCTTTGACTCTAAACAGCATTACAAGTTCTTTAATCTGTTAAATTGCCAATTTCCACATCTTTTGTATCCTACTATTGCAATGACTGGTGCAACTACGACATCTTCAACTATCAACTTGACCAAGACTATCATTGGTATGTATGCCCTATCTTACTAGAAACGGAAACTAATGTCGCAGGTTCTGGTATGTTGGCAATGCCCTTTGCTTTTAGATCCGATGGTTACATTCTTGGAGGCCTCATTACACTCATCGCGGGGACCACTTCGGGGTTCGGTCTCTATCTCCAAGCCCGTGCCGCGAAGTACGTGCCAGCGGGCCACGCGACATTCTTTGCGATCTGCCAGCAGACCTACCCCTCGCTCTCGGTCTTATTTGATTTTGCCATTGCGGTGCAGTGTTTCGGAGTCGGATTAAGCTACTTGGTGTTGATCGGAGACTTGTTACCAACCGTGGTAGGGTACGGATCCAGAGTCGACTGGATCGTGCTCAGTTTGCTTGTGAGTGTTCCGTTGTGTTCCTTCAAAAACTTGGACTCGTTAAAATACACCAGTATCCTTGCGTTGGGGGCCATTGCATACATGTTTTTGTTGGTCATTGGCCATTTTATCTTGGACGACGTGAGACCGGCCTTGCGCGGGGAAACTAGCTTGCTCCCTGTGAGCGCTAGTGGCATCTTCAGCACGTTCCCCATCATTGTGTTGGCGTTTACTGGCCACCAGAACATGTTCACAGTCATCAACGAGATCCAGAACAAGTCCATCCGCAACCTCTCCCGAGTCATTGCCATTGCCATCACCACCTCCGTGCTTCTCTTCCTCGCCATTGGCCTTGCGGGCTACTACTCCTTCGGCAACAAGGTTGTAGGGAACATCATTGTGATGTACGATGAGTCTTTGGTCACCAAGATCGGTCAAGGTTCCATTGCGTTAATGGTGTTGCTTTCGTTCCCGTTGATGTTCCACCCGTGTCGGGTTTCTGTTAACAACATCTATTTCTGGCTTAAAAGCAAGCCAAAGACCCCTGAGGCTGCCGGTTTATTGGGGGAGACAGACCTGATAGTCCCATTGTCTGGCACCACGTTTGCGGTGTTGACTGCCGTTCTTCTCGCTGCCTCGTACGCGTTGGCTCTTTCCATCACCTCGTTTGCGTTGGTTTTGGCCATTGTCGGTGCCACGGGCTCCACGTCAATCTCCTTCATCCTTCCTGGCTTGTTTGGATACAAGTTGGTTGGCAGAGATATCCTGCCGGTTACCGAAGTCCTGGAATTTGTTGAAGATTCAGTAGTGAAGAAGCTCAGCTTGGCGTTGGCCGTCTGGGGGGTGGTGGTCATGGTTGTCTGCCTCTACTCGACGTTGGTGTTGGGGCAATAATAGATTCTCTTCAAGGCGTCTGGACTAACTATATTGAACCTGTAATTCACTTATATGATTGACTCGATTTCTACGTTATTTTATATCCTTTTAATCATGCTCTGGGTTAATAGGGTATTAGTGTTAATATCCGGATCTACCCCCATTCAATCAATCTATCGGATTGTCTGAAAATTTGGGTTCGTAGGTTTTCCATAAACCTCCTAAGCATGGTAGATAAGTGTTAAATACCTTTACATTTGGCCATGTATTTTTTCAAATATTGGATTTTTTTGTTTATTCTCCGGTGTGAGAAATTTCCATGTCTGGTTTATAACGGCGCCGCAGTTTCCACGGCTCATCGATTGCCCAATCTGACTCTCAAGTATTTTCATCCGGCACAGACCATTCAGGCGTCACACAGGTGTTTTGGTTTAACTGATCAAGCTATTGGCGGCTACCCTCTTTCATTAAGCTCGCTTCTGGAGTTGAACCGTGTCAGTCGGATCTGCTTCCCTCAGGCTCTCCCCCCTTTAGAATGACAACCCAATATGGCGCCACTAACGCATCTTCCATCACCAACTTGATCAAAACCCTCGTGGGTAAGTCATCTTTCTGACTTTTACCAGAATTTGCTACTAATAACGTTAGGCAGCGGGTTGATGGCTATGCCACTAGTACTCAAAGCAGACGGAATCGTTTTCGGTCTTGCAGCCATTTTTGTTGCCGGTCTGACCTGCGGTTTTGGCTTTTACCTCCAAGCGCTCACCTCCAAATATGTACCCTCGGGAAAGGCCACGTTCTTTAGCATCTGTAAGATCCCGTACCCCAAGCTTGCCCCGATGTTTGATCTTCTTATTGCGTTCAACTGTTTCGGCTCTGGTCTCTCGTACTTGGTGCTCTTTGCGGACCTCATGCCTGAGGTGACGGGCTTCGGCTCCAGAGTCTCGTGGATCGTGGCCAACATGTTTATCGTGGTCCCACTCTGTTTCATGAGACGTCTCGACTCGTTAAAGTATACCAGTTTTCTCGCTCTAGGGGCTATTGGCTATATGATGGTGTTGATATGTGTAAACTACTTTGTGGGAGTGAGCCCTGAGTTGAAAGGCGACATTACGTTCACTCCCTCGGGCTGGACCGACGTTATCGGCACCTTCTCCATCCCCATCTTTGCTTTTGCCGGACACCAAAACATGTTCACCATAATCAACGAAGCAAACGACAAGTCTGTCTCGAATCTCTTTAGAATCATCAACATCAGTACCTTCTCTTCGTACACCCTATACTCTGTCGTCGGTATGTTGGGGTACCTCACGTTTGGGAATAAGGTCCAGGGGAACATTATGGTAATGTACACCCCGTCGGCTTTGATAAGCTTCGGTCAGGGAGCCATCGCCTTCATGGTGTTGCTCTCGTATCCGTTGATGTTCCATCCTACCCGCACCTGTATCAACAATGTGTACCAGCATATGAGGGAGTGGACTCTGGAGCCAGCGTTCCAGGAGATCCAACCGTTATTAGAAACTGAGGCTTTACCGAAGCAAACGTTGGATATGAACAATACTGAGTTTACTGTGATTACTTCTGTGCTTTTGGTGATTGCATACTTTTTTGCCTTCACCGTGTCGTCGTTCGGGTTGGTGGTGGCCTTTATCGGAGCCACCGGCTGCACCAGTGTGGCCATGATTGTTCCGGGTATTTTCGGGTATGGGTTAATAGGTAGGGGAATTCCTCGCGTATCCGGTGAAGGAAGCACCAAGTATGACGTGGTTATCAGAAGAGCCGCGTTGGGTTTGGCTATTTACGGGGTGTTGGTCATGGTCTGCTGTCTCTACGCAATCTTTGTGCTTGAAGGAATTTAGCGGAGATGTGTAAAGCTTACCGGGATTGAAGGTATTCTTGGGGTGTGTTTGGACTATCTCGACTTTGAGAAATACCTTTTTCTTTGTAAGGATGTTGCTTTGTATTTGGCATATAGGTGTAACAGAATACTATCAAGGCAAATGGAACGTTTTCTTTAGATGACACAAGCACTAGATGGTCTGGCCAAGCCTCTAAATCTTCAATACACCGGTCTAGTAACATTCGTTGCCAGTTTCATATGACCTTTGGCTAAGCAGATAATTAGTGCTTTACTCTCTATCCACCTTCAAAGGCACGGGAACTTCTTCCCAAGTCCTTGACGCGCGATTACACCGTGACAGCACAGACGCATGCATCTCTCCCCACAATGTTTTGGGGTGAAGCTTTCAAATGTCACGTGAAGTGGCACTAAGAACATGATGCGGCTCAGAATTTAAGGTCTGAGTCAGTGATCAGCTACGAGGGCAGTTCTCTTATCGATCCGTCTTCCGCTCCACGGTCTAGCTTTCTTCATTAATATTCCCTGTATCTCCTCTTATCCATATTCCTATAAAATCATTATACAATGAACCATGAAGGGGCTACCACCACTTCATCTGTCATCAACTTGATGAAGACGCTTATAGGTAAGTCAACCATTCGCCTATGTTTTTGATTTCAGTCCTAACATACACGGTATAGGCTCTGGGCTCCTTGCAATGCCCCTAGCGTTCAAAACTGACGGATACCTCTTGGGAACCTTTATAATAGCTGCAGCTGCCGTTGTGTGCGGATTCGGCTTCTACCTACAGGGTAGAGTCTCCAAGTACGTTCCCTCTGGCAAGTCCAACTTCTTTTTGCTCTGTGAATTGACGTTTCCCTCACTTGCGGTCATATTTGATGCCATTATTGCATTCAACTGTTTTGGTGGGTGTCTCAGCTACTGGGTGCTCATTGGCGACTTGATGCCGAACATCACCGGGCTTGGGACCCGGAACCTCTGGATCGGGCTCTCGCTGATTGTCATCGTCCCATTATGCCTACTCAAGCGCTTGGATGCATTAAAGTTCACTAGTCTACTTGCGCTTGGGGCTGTGACATATATCGTGATTATTATAATCGCGCACTTCATCGTGGGAGTGCCACCGTCACAGAGGGGCAGTATCGACCTCTTCCCCCCGGACTTCAGTGGCACCGTGGGTACATTCCCCATCCTTCTCTTTGCATTTTCCGGCCATCAAAATATGTTTACTCTCATCAATGAGTTGCAAGACAAATCTATGAGAAACATCACCAGGGTGATCACGTATAGCGTGGGGATTTCATGCGCGGTGTACATCGCCGTTGGTTTAGCTGGTTACTTTACTTTCGGGGATAAGGTACAAGGTAACATTATGGTGATGTACGGCAAATCCGTATACATTACCGTAGCCCAGATTTCTCTTTCGTTAATGTGTCACCTCTCCATCCCGTTGATGTTTCACCCGAGCCGTGAGTCCGTCCACAGCATCTATCGCTACTTTGAGGCAAAGTGCGAGTCTAAAAAGCTCTTTGAACCACTGTCAGAAACGGAACCCTTGAGAAATACCCTTACCGTGACCCACGGAAGCGTGGAGGAAGAGGATTTTTTACACGAATTTGATAGCAACCTTGCCAACGAGTTGGTTGTTAAGCACGTGATGAATCCTGTTCCTGCAAGAGTTTACTACACCCTGAGTGTGATTTTATTGGCATTGGGCTACACCTTGGCTCTTTGCATTTCCTCGTTTGCGTTAGTGTTGGAGATTATTGGATCGACTGGCTGCACCAGTGTGGCCCTTATCTTTCCAGGCTTGTTTGGGTACAAATTGCTAGAAAGCAGTGTACCTGTTATTGTGCACGAAAATGATGTCTCATCGAAGAATGATACCATATTGAAGTACGCGAGTTTAGCGATGGTTATTTTTGGCTTTCTCGTAATGTTTTCTTGTCTCTACGCACTTGTAGTTCGAGGGGAATATACCGATAGCATCTTCGAATGGTTGGTTGCCACTCTCAAGCAGATCTCCAGGACTTAAGTATATGTGTGCGAGTGCATATAATACTGTACATACATCGGTGGCCAAGACCTAGTCGTACTCTAATTATAATATGATAATATTATATAATACCAATAATATATATTGACACTTATGTTTCAATCAACTAATCAGTTTTTAACTGTCTATACTTAACTCGAGGTACAAGAGTCCAATACGGGAAAACGGTTTGGCCTGTTAAAAAATCGTCTTTGTGAATTGGATCATGGTCTCAAAGTGAAACGCCGATACCTTCTACAAGCACGATAACTTAGATCATAAGAAATACTTCAGATTGAAAAGTACGGACGAGAGGTGGCATTAGCGGCTACTTTCATGGATCTGCGCATCCACCGAATCTTTATATATCAGTTCTGTCTCAAGATAAGCCCTGTGCAATATACAGGGCATATCATGCACCTCATGATAAAGCTGAGTATTTTGCAAATGCAGGACAAATAAATTTTCGGGTACTGAGGATAAGACATATTCCAACCACTTTAACCACGTTATGAGTACTGTATGGGTTAGAGGACCCGCTTGTGGCGTAGATAACTGCCGGTCCAGACTCTGGCGGTCTTCAGATGGTCACAAAATCTGCCAGTATGGACACGTGCGGGATGGTGCGGTCGAGTACAATGATGATGACGACGAGTTCGTGCAAACGCGCCGATTGAACATCCATAACGCAAAACATGCCGCCAGGTTAACGCAGATCTCACAGCTCAACGCATTGAAGGAGGCTAAAAAGAAAAAGTTCTTCGGTATGCGTGGCAAAGAATTGTTCCTTCGATGCTTCCAGATCGTCCTCAAGCGGCAAGTGCAGTGGTTGGTACGCGAGAAGGCCCTTCCTCAGGCATTGGAACCCACAGTGAAGCAGATATGGTGTGAATATTTGGGCTCATTTATGGTCTCTCAACCTGGTACCGAGACTGATGAGACGGAAAGTCTGTCAACAGAGGAGCCTGAAGCCGACCTCAAGTCGCTCCCAAAGTTCCTGCATACCCTTGTGATCTGCTACTTGGCGTGTGTCCGACTCAAGGTTCCGGTCTATCTCAACGATTTTATCATGTGGGCATCCAGTAACAAGATCCCGTACATGAAGATCATCGACGATGGAACCATCATCCCACGGTCTCTCATGCAAAACCTTCCCCAGTACTACATGAAGCTCTTTTCTCCCGCAAAACCGCCCTTAAAAGGCGAATTGTACTTTCACACCCACAAAATCCTCGCATGTCTAAAGGATAAGTCGGCGCACCCGATCCAGCCCTTGCTCTTCAAGTTGGTATACACGCTAGTGCTCCCTCCACAGATCTATCTTATGACCGAAACGTACCTACAAAAGTCGGTGTGCGTAGAGTCAGAGTACAAACTAGCGCACTCCCCGGAGCTTAAGGTAGCAAGTGCCTTGATCACATGTACCAAGTTGTATTTTCTCAACCTTAACGAAGGGAGTCGAGGCCGAAAGGTGTCGTTCCATACCTGGGAGCGGGTGTACAGTGCATTGATGCGGAGCATCAATAACAACCTTTCCAACAACGACTTGTACTTTGACACGCTCCTCAACACCTTGCTCGTAAAGAACAACCGGTGTAACCATGACATTCTAGAAATGAGTGACCGCAACACTGAGCAGTACTTGGAGTGGTTTACAAACAATATCATTGATACGGATGAGACCAGGCCCGAAAAGGAAATGCGCGAGATCTCCATCGTGCAGAAACGACTTCTTGACATCTTCAAACTTACGCCCCTCTCTGAAGCGAAGGCGCGTGGTAACACCGATAAGCCAGAGGCCCAAGACATTGCAGACATTTACACTGCATACAATACCATGTTTGCCGAAATCAAGGCAGTCCTGCCCGGTGCAGCAAAGAGGCCCAGGCTAGCGATGACAATAGAAACCACAAAGAAGTTGGAGGAGCTCTTGGTGGATATCTTGTCCATCCGAATGGGGGTCACCAGACCGCAGCTCCAGGCGTGTGTGAAATGGAGCGACGGGTTCCTCCAGTAGATTACCGAAAAATCACCACATGAGGTGTTCTCGCGAAGTAAGCGAGGCACATGGAAACATATATTCTGGTAATTAATTAAACTTCAAAACGAAATAAAATATACCTAGACTCTTTTTTAACGTCGATGTATTGCGGCTATCTGACCACTTCATATGGTTTGTTTTGATATAGTTTTTGTCTTTGTTTTGATTATGTTTTGGTACGACTTTGTTTTCGTATGATTCAAACTTTCGTGGGGTATCGTGTAATCACGTCACTTATGCTGCGCGCCCAGCCACCAAACTCTTGTCCCCGATATATACCCCGCCAAGCTAGTTCAGCAAGCGCCCAGTGCCATTCACGTGCCATTCACGTGCGCTCACGTGCCTGGGCATCGGCTCGGACATATCGCTCACATGCAGTTTAACCTTTGAAGGTGCGTTTTCTTGGATATTTAGGGGCCTCGCCGTTATCCGCGTTTTGTTTCGCGTTTCTATTTAAACCCCCCGTTTCCCTATCTGTTTTGTGCTGCTTATCAACCCATCACATATACCATTTCTAATAGCCACACAACCATGTCCAAGTTATCACAACAAGAAATCATCCCCTTGCCGACCGATCTCGGCGCCTTGGGCAACCGAATCAACCATGGTACCAGAGAAGCACACAACAAGATCGACAAGATGATGATGATTATGTTTGGGTTGGCAATCAGAGACGCCAAGATCTACAGACAGGGCTTGCAGAGCTTTTACCACGTGTTTGACACAGTCGAAAAGTGTTTGGACAGACAGATTAAGGACGGCAAGCCGGAACACACCGAGTACACTACCATGTTGAGCAAAATCTACAAGCCGGAAATCAGAAGAACCGAAAAGTTGAGACAGGACTTGTTGTTCTACTACAATGGACATGAGGAGAAGTTTGCAGACCCGGTGATGCCTGAACAGATCAAGTTCGCCCAGCACATTCAGCAGGTTTCTGCCGAAAAGCCATACCTCTTGTTGGCCTATTTGCACGTTATGTACTTGGCGTTGTTTGCCGGTGGCAGAATCATGAGATCCAAGTTGACCCAGGCGTCTGGCTTGTTTCCACAGGTTGATGGGAAGACCACCGCGGAGGTCAGCAAGTTGGGAACCAACTTCTTCACCTTTGACGTTGAGGACGAGAATGTGTTCCGCGTGCTCTATAAGCGTGACTACGAGCTCTTGACCAGAAACAGTTTGACCGAGGAGCAGAAGTTAGAGATCATTGCTGAGTCCCAGTACATCTTTGAGCAGAACGGTAAGTGTGTCAAGGAAATCGAGGCTCGCAATCTCCTGAAACTCAAGTCCAAGATGGCCTACAAAGCAGCTTTCTACGGCTATTATGTGTTGATTCTTCTTGCGGTAGCTTTTGTCGCCTACTTCAGTAGAAGACTCTTGAACAACTTTCTTGCTTAGACTCTGAATAAAAGCATCATGTTTATAGAATATAATACAAGCCTTATGTAGTAAAAGTGTTGTAAGTGCCTTATTTCTAAATGAGGCTACATGTTCCCCATTCTAAATGAGGATATAAGTGCCCCATCCTACGTGAGGCCACAGGTACTCTATCTTAAGTGTGACAGTGCTTTGTCAGCCGGTCTATACGAACTACTGACCGTCTCGTATATCTAGTTCAGATCTAGTAACCAATCAATTCTATCCGGTTATATCATCACCTACGTAGATATACTACACCTTCTATATACTGGCATGTTAGAATCTGATTAAGTTTTAGTGGAATGCATTAGTAGAAATTTTTACAGCAGCGAAATAGAGTTGAATAACAGCGAAATTCAACAGTAAACGGCCAATCTCATATTGACAGAACCTGTGTGGGAGAGCTGATACTGTAACCCTGGTGCTGTTTACCACTTCTCCGATTTAACCCTACAAATTACCTGCGAACCTCTTTCGCGTGGGAGTGGAGCAGGACTTTAATATCCGAGAAGCTTTAGCTATAAATGATACGTATTCCTGGTTAGCATGGTTCCTCTATACATACTAGATTAATATATTGGTGCCATCTTTCATATCCTCCACAGATAATAAACCGTTTTACCGAAGGTTATCCTTAAGTTTAGTTTCTTTTTTTCCCAATTTATCACTGAATCAGGCTCTTCTAAGCTGGTTCTACATGCCTAAACCAAACCACATCCAAATTCGATAGCAATTCCTATAAAACAAAGACAGTTAACTTACGACCAGGGGCTCGTTATATTAGTATAATTTTGCTCAGTCTTGGAGGTTTTCAGGGCTCGCGATAGGAACCCCGATATACCATACTGACTCAGACATTCCGTCAAAGACTTCCGTGTTCCATGTTCCGACCCTATGCACATTCATTGTCTAATCACTAACATTCTTATATTAATATATAATTCCTGATGCTTATAAATATCTACGCAATAACACACTTTTCGTCCTTATACTGCTCCCTCTTGGACCGCTTTTTCTTAAGCTCTCCTGGAAGACGATGGTGTCTGTGGGTCTCGTTATGAGTATGGTCGGTTGGCGCCATCTCCACTTGAGCCTCATCCGCAATAGCAGGAGGAACCTCCTCGGTCAGCTTCATCCTCACGGTATACCCGGTCTTTGGCTTCCGTAACACACTCTTAGATTTCTTCCAAAACGTCTTGTGCGGGTTGGTGACGGGCTCGTCCACCACGTCGCTGTCATAAGACGGTTCTTCAGGCTTTGCTTCATCGTCTGTATCCACCGTTTTTCCGCCTAGGATCCACGATTTAATGGAGTTTCCCGAGCTCTGGACCTTCATAGCCGCCCTTTCATCGTCAGAAGAGTCACCAAAGGAGGCAGGATTAGAGATGCGCGCGATATTGATTGGCGGCACCAAAAACGGCTCCTCTTTGTAGTAATCAAAAGAGGTTTCATCCGTTATCTGGGATGTTGGATTTATGGTTTCTGAGTTTTCGTTCAAATACCAGTAGTAACGATTGCGGATATCGAGGATCTCGTTCGCGGACCGTCTGGAGCGGCTTTTCGATAGCTCCTCGCCTTCAAGCGTTGCAACCGAGTTTGATGACTTGGTGTTGCGCGAGAGGTACAAATGGGGTACCGACTTCTTTTGCAAAGCATCGGAGACGGGTTCGGGGACTAAAAGCATTTGGGAATGAGGCTCCGTGCCCACGTGACTTTTCTGGTTCACCTCAGAAGCCTCTAGGAGGGTCTCTGGAGCTTCTGAGACAGGGGGAACTTTTGGAGCCTTCAGAGTGGCCTCAAAACTCATTGAATCCTTGGAAACTCTCTGAGGAGCTTTGGGACCCTGGAAAGGCTGAAACCCCCTCTCCGGTAATTCTGTTGCCTCGGCAACTTCGCTTGTCACATTTGCTTCATTCGCTTTGTCTGAGTCTCCCCAATACCTTGTCTTAGCATTTACCGGCGGAATTACCTCCCGCCCATCCTCCAGACCCACCATCCGGTAAAACAACATATACGGCCATTCGGTATCAAATATTTCACGGAAAGTCATCTCGGTCACACGCTCCTTCTTGTTCAAGTCATCAAACAAATGCCACGTGGATTGCTCAGTCGCGGCGTCACGCGTGCGCGCGTCTATGACCTTTTTACGCGCAGCGCACACAAAATGGCCCGAGTTCATCGACGTGCCGCGATGACACACGGCGCTCTCGAGTACAAGCTTGTACCGCGTCTCAGCTGTGTCTGCAATAAAGTTTGGCAAGTCGATCACCGGTGGGATCACCACCTTACTTTTCAACCGCTCAAATTTGCCCGTGGCCTTGCGGTACGCAAAGCGCTTCAAACAGATTGGGAGTATCGGCCGCCGCGACACAAAGTGCACGGACGATGGGGAGATATGGTTCGTACTGTCGGACGTGTAGAACGGGAGGAGCTGGAGAAACATCCACGCTGGGAGGAGTACCTCGCGTGTCTTTCCACTGGTAGACCATATCGAGAGTGAGCGTTCACGTACTACATACGGTTGCTTGAAGGAGAGTCTCGACTCCAGGGGCAATACAATAGACCGAAGGTCCAGTGTCGCGGAACGGGACTGGTAAGAGGTGACAGATGCGGTACGAGAAGGTGCCAGTCTGTTGCGTGGGGAGTCCGAAACCGATGCGTCGCGCGCGGATCCAGACATGGAATCGCGAGTGGAGGGACTATCCGGGGTGGTTCTCCCATCCTTGCCTCTAGGCTCCCTTGATGGAGTTACATTGGCAAACCCCAGCTCCCCAACCCTAGCGGTGTTTCCGCCTCGGGGCAGATCTACGACTTCTGCGTCCGGAAACGGTTCCTTCAACGAATCGCTGATGGTGATTGCGCACGACGCGACGTCACTGTCAATGTGGTGCGGACTAGTAGAATCCTCAGGGAGCCCTTCCGGGTAGGAAAACACCGCGGTGGAGCCTTCACTGAGGTTCTCGTAGTGGGTGTAGCTGGGTTTCTCATCGACCTTGGTGCTGGAGCGTGAGAGTTCCAACGTCATTCGCCGCTCAAGCTCCCGCTTCACCTCGATGGAGTTGCTAAAGTAGGCTTCAAGGCATTCCTCAAGAAGCACCTCCTCCTCTTGGTCGTCCTCTGGAACGCTCACAAATAGCATACGCTCTTTGGTGATCTTCTGGTCGTCTTCCTTGTTGAACTTGCCCCCATGCTGGATTTCCATAGTCAAGGAAAGAAGGGGCATATCGAGCACCTCCGTAAGAAACTGAAATAACGGTGCGCAGTCCTGCTGGCGCCCAGACATGGCTTCTTCAAAGCCCAATTTTGCAAGGGTCTCGCAGAGGCGTTTGGTGATGTCGCTCGTCACTAACTGGCCCCCACGGAGCATACTTACGTAAAGGCGAAGCAACGTTGCGAGTCGCTTGGTGAGATAGCGCTTGTCTTCCGCTTCGCTGCCCGCGTCGCCGCCCACGTCACCATCCACGCGGCCGTGGAATAACATGGGCTCGAAGCTCTCGATATTGGCAAACATCGCAAAGAGCAACAGGTCGAGGTAGCACATGACATTTCCCCAGTTCTCAGCACCTCGAAACACAATCTTCTCGTCGAGCTTGGTGCGTGCGCATGTGGTAACAAAATGGCCACGAGTAGCCATTTCGAAGAAGCGAAGCAAATCGTACGCGCGCGCCGTGTCCTTCTTCGCATACGGCGAGCCAAGCGCGACTGCCATCTGAATTCCACTAGGCAGGGCTTGCAGTATGCCGTCGCCAAAAGTCTGCCTGAGCGTCGCCACAAGGGCGGAGCCCGGACGGATGTCCTTGTCGCGTACGTTGTCCTCGTTCGCCCTCACCTCCTCATAGTACGCGCGCCAGAACTCTTCGTCGAGAGGTGGTTTTCCTTCTCGTTTTCTTCGAAACATATATGGGGCAACTATGTGGTGTGACTGGTTGTGTGGATGTGGATGTATAACAGGTACCGGTGCGCGGAGCCCCTGATTTTGATGTTTCGATGCGGGTCCAGGGCAGTGCGCGCGCGAAGATCTGACACGGAGGTCAAGCGCGAAGATCGGCAACGCTAGTGAGATCTGCAACTCCCATTCCTCGATCATTCGCCGTTTATCGTAGTAATTATGTGGATGACTTCATCGCAATGATAGTTGATGGTTAGCGATTCTATTGATAATTAACTATGATTTCTGTATATTCACCATTGTATATTTTTGAGGCGCGGGTGGCACAGGCTCGGCTTCAATAAATATAAGTGAAGTTGTGGTTTAGTCTGTAGTGGAGTATATATAGCCTAATGAGCGAATACTACCCAGATAGCATTGAGTGGATAGGTTACAATGCGCTTTAGCTCCATATATCAAGGTAGAAATCGGGGATGGCTTATGTGGTTATTTAAAGAATCTACGTCAATCTAGGAGTACCCTACTCGGCATATGTCATTTCTGAAAGCAACTGTTGTTGAAGGTCTTGAAAAGAGACCAGAACGAGAACAATCCCTTTGGACTAATCCCCAGCGCTCAGGAGTACCAATTGTCTAATCCCTGTCTGGTGCATTCAGATATTTGGAATTTCCTGTTACGGCAATCAACGTGGAGAAAGTACTGATCTGCCTCCTGTGACCTGTCAGACTCGCATCTGTTGGCTACTTCCATGACGCCACATAAGCAGTGTTTCATAGCTAGCAATACCAGCATTAAACCCACAAAATATATAACGTCTATAATGAGACTTGGCAAACCTTGTGTTGAGATATTATTAAATGAAATTGCTACTGCAAAGTACGTTTTAACGTACAAAGCGCGCCAACTTCACTGAACTTAGCGGAAGATCCATATGGGCACACGACCTACCAGAGCAGCCCTACCGATTCCTGAAGTTGATATATGCTGTTACCCGCATCAATCTAGCCAAGTATCAGCAACTCTCTACGCTCAAATTGGTTTAAACCCCTCTACGACGCTTTATTTTCACAAATCAGATCCTAATCCAAGTGCAGTTTTTCTGCCGTAGGAGCCCCGCCTGGAACCCTTGAAGAGCACGTGCGCGCCCCTGAGTTCGTGCGTGCCACCATTTCATTCACTCGCAAGCGCGACAGCTACCCGTTATTAAATTTTTGGTTATATTAAATGCGTATAATTACAGAGAAGGTAAAGGGGCCAGTCAAAGGGAACTCTTGTCAGTGCTCCATGGTAAGTAGTGTTGCTGGAGGCGCGGCTTAGGAGGAGATTCTCAACACAAAGTTGATGATGATGGCAGCCAACATGAAGAGACACAACATGGTTGGGCCGAATCTGTCGTCATAAGGGCCGGAACCTCTCTTTCTGATGGCGTTTGCTCTCCAATGGTAGGTGACGAGCGCGTAGACCATGGTCATCATGGCAACCAATGTGAAGAAACCAGCGGAGATTCTGCCCACCTTGTCACCAAAGTTCAACAAACCGACACCCAAGGATCCCAAGATGACGGTGAAGTTCAACCACGACAAGAAGGTACGCTCATTGGCAAAGAAGACCTTTGGCTCGACCCTAGTTGGGAGTGAGATTCTCTTGCCTGGGGCGGATTGCAACAATGGGGCGGAAGACATTTTGTATGGAGAGTGGAGTAAAAACCGTAAACTGTAACGGGGAAAGACGATTTTATAAAGAAGAGATGATGAGTTAGCGAGGGTGAAATGCTTAATCTCAGTGCGTCCGCACCCTACATGAATTAATTTGCCTATTTTGCGCTTTCTATCTCCACGTGGGCAGCGTGCGCAGCTCCGTGCAGGTCGTACGTGAAGAAGCGTCATGTGTTTCTGCGTGTGTCGAAACGTGTTGAGGTACTATCAGATCGATCGACCAAAGTACGCTGACAACGTATCTAAACTATTTCAATAGCGAATTCTGGTATTGAATTGTTAATTGGTAAGGCATGAATAGCTTATGTCGATAAATTTTCCGTTCCATTCGGCACCCAGGTGTGTGCAATACCATGGTAAGATCTCCAGAAAGATTGAAGTGTACAAGTATAGCTTCGAGACGTAGAGTGCGCACTCAAAAATCTAGGGCATCTTTAGTTATAGACGTAGCTGCATGGTTATCTTCACCTGAGTTGTGGACCCGGATGTAACAAAGGTGCGGGAAAATTTGATGTTTGGTTTATAGGAAACATTATTGTATGAAGTCAATTATTATCTCTACCAACAGGTTAAGTTTTTTTGAATTTACTCAAGTCGTTGTCGTTATTTTTTCGCTTATATTTATTGAATAATTAAGGCCAAGAATCTTATCTCCATTGATTTCTGTTAGGCATAAGTGTGCCGTATCGAGTAAAAGCTCTCAATACTGTTAACTGGTCTATCTGTAGCCTCGTTCTCGAGACAAGTAGTATTCCCAGAAACTGATTTGAGACTATGTTAGTTCCTCAATACAGCATATAATAGAGAGTAGATGGCCGTTATAATCCTGCTTTCTTCCATATTTGTTGAAATTTAACATGAAATTATATACAGTCAGTTATAATATAAAACAATTACACTAACAGCTGGGCACAACAGCCAAGCACAACAGCCAAAGATTAAATAATCTAGCGAGTCTCACAACCCTCGTGTGTTTCATTTTATATGGCAGGTCATGTAACTGAATAAAATCAAAAGGTCAGGTATTTATACCCATGTTCACTACCCAACTTCACGTTGGTTCCTCATCACTTCGCCTTTCATCTCTTGGCCAGTATTTGTCTCATACTCACGTCACACACATCCTCTCACTTCAAAGCACTACTTCATTCCTCGCGCTCGGTTTCGTGAACAACCTACCCGCGACAAAACGTACCTCGTTAACCAACGTTGGCGCATCCTCATCACTTGCACGCTCCACTACCACTGCGCGTAACCGCGCATCAAGCTCTGTTTTCACCACAACAAACCGCTGATGCAACTCAGGATACTTCTCTTCAAAATACGTACCAACTGCCTGATTTGGAAGCCCGGGAAACGACATGCATTCCAAGTGTGCGTACAACAAGATCTCGCACGTGGATATCTTATCGCCAAAGGCATACTTCTCCGCGCCCAATATCAGCACAATGTCGTCCATGTACTCCTTGAAGAAGCGTAGGCAGCGGAGCATCTGGGCCGTGTTCGCAAGCACGCTCTTCTCCTCCTTACGCTTCAACATCTGTGTCGCATGCAACTGGCTCAACGCGACGTCGTCCGCACCCACATCCGCCTCGCGCATATCCTCTTCGCGCGCGTCGCCCACAAACCCGATGTGACTGAGAAATCCGGCATTGGGCACCTTGAGGCCGATGCTCTCGCACGCCTCCTCAGCGGCGTCATAGAACTTGAGCGGCTGGTTGTACATCATGGGAAACGGCAAGTATCTCTGGAACAACGGACGCGTGAAGTTTGTGTAGTTATTGCTGTCGATGTAGAGCACAAACTGAGTGATGTATTGCAATTTGTCGCGGATGTACGCGATGACGCCGTCGTTAAGTAAAGTCGCTTCGCCCGTGAGCTCCGCGATACGTGCGTCCGCGGAGTAGTGCTGCGTCACATACGCAACAATGTCAGTGTACCCGTCCACGATGCGCTTGTCATCACGCAACACCGGCAACTGGCCCGTCGGCGAGAGATTCGTGTTTGACGATGTGACGATGGAGAACTGTGCGGGCGCCAAGTGCGACGCTAGAAAATATGCGGAGGCGAGCGATTCTGGTGAGATTGGCGAGATAGAGTCGTCGCCCCATACGTGAAGTTCTAACATGGTAGGAGGGGGTGGGTGAAACAAATACGCTAATACGTGTAAACCTATTTTGTAAAGTCTTATATCCTGTGCTAGAACCTTTGCGCACGTGGTGGTTCGTGCACGCGCGAATGCCCACAATACCCGCGGGTCACACGACGCTTCGTTTATGCACATGCAGGGGTGATCAGTGAGTAGGATGGAGTCAACGTGGGGGGGTTAATTGACGCATGCTCAGAACCTCGTCAGAGTCAACGAAAAAGTCCAAAGCAGGTTTTAGCACCAGACTCGGCTATTCAAAGCGTGACTTCCTCCCTGTTGAACAATAATGGCCCTTAAAGAGTATGGTGAATCTTATGGTGGCTTTGGAGGTTGAGAAGAGTAGAAAGCTGAAAATAAAATTAATTTGCGCACTAACCGGGATTTATGAAAACTGATCGTGATGCATTGGTGCAGTTGGGTGAATAGATTGTGATATTTATTGTTTTAACTTAACCAAATTTATAGCACCAGCAGAATACATATTCAGTCTCTGTTAGACGTCGTTGGCACGGCATTCGAGGCTCACTTCGATACTGTGGTTCAACTGGCACCAAAGATTAATATTTTCCAACTTTTCGGACCTCTGACTTTAAAAGCTCAGTACTGAATAAAAATTTGTTGAAAAAATTCTCAGAACTCATACTTCGCTGGGACCTTATTTCCTCTGTTTTTGCGCTTTAGCCATAAGCAGATCCACAACTAGTCCTGTAATGGCCTCGTGCAAGCAAATACCTGTTCTTACAAGCATAACTGAGTTGCACAGCTTGAGGCATCAAGAGTATAGCTCATAGATATGTAACTATCACGCATACTTGAATATCTGCATGTACTGCTTATGACTATGGACTCGTCTCACCATCTCTGCACTTTCTCCTATGTTTCCACCGTTTTATCTTCTCAGATATCGTGCATTGCTGAAAGAGCTTTGTTTTGCTGATCTCATTTCTTGGGACCACAGTCTTCCTTTCTAGTTCTTTACATACCTTAGTATTGTTAGGAGTAATTCATTAATACTATATACATGGCGTTTACTCTCCAACTAGTCGCTAAGTATCTCTACCCGGCGTTCCTTTGGGGTTCAGTCGATACCTTCAGTCATAAAATGGATTCCAAGATACCTCCTTAGTGATTCGCATATACTCAGGCTCTTTCGGGTCTTCTCCATCGTTTGTACTTCGCGCATGCTCAGTCGACTTCGGGCATCTCCCACTCCCCTTCCTCCTCCTCAACACTAACCCCACCTCCCAAAAAATCCAACATCATATGCAACCCCCCACCCCCCGCATATTCTTCTACATTTACCGGCAACACGTTCGACAAGCCCTCCAAAAACCACACGCGGTCCTTCATCTCGGCCGTAAAGTTACGCAACAATTTATAATACGACCGCATAATCCGCATGGCCTTCAAGTCCCCCGTCATGAGCATCGCAAGAAACGACTTATCCAACAACGCGGGAAACGCGAAAACCCGAAGGATAAAGTCAGATTTGTACCGCTCCAAGTGTAACTTATTCATATATGCGAGCGTGATCAAGTATGGTGAGGAGGTCGCGACCGGATACATGTCCGCAATCTCCTCGTCGAAACACTCTAGCCCGGTGAGGGAGCCCTCTTGTGGTCCCTGGTTCATGATGTCGCCCAAGTCGCCCAAGTCCACTGAGATAAACTTGTGGAAGCGCGAAGACTCGCTGAGCGGCCAGACCGCCGTGAGAATGGTCGCTGCTCCTTTCACGTGGAAGATCCATGCAGACGCTGGCATCAGCTTCTGCGAAGTGGACGTGGGGAGCGACGCGTTTGCAAGCGAGTCCATGATGAGAATGAGCGCGCTCGCGACGAGCGCATCGGTGTTTTCCACCGACATCTCTAATACAGCCTCGCGAAGAAGTCGGAGGGCGTCACCACGGTGGCACGTAACGGCCTGTTCGAGCCCTTTTTCCGTGCGTGACAAGTGCGTTGCGCTAAATGCGAGGATCAGATGCATGAGAAACGGGTAGTGGAATGCGAGCTCAGGAATGTCTGTGCTCCAGATTTTTTCCTCAGAGATGCCTGCGGCGGTGATGGTTGGCCAGACCTGTGTCGTGTAGTGGTACATTAAGCGGAGGTCTGTCATGTTCAAAGCACAGTAGCCAAGCGACCCAGGCGGTCCGTTTAGGGTTACCGTGGGCAAAGGCGAGTGTTGGGGGGAGGTTACTGATGGCTGGCGCGAGTGGATATTCGGGCCAACAACCGTGGGGTTGATCGTGGGGCTGAGCCCGGCATCAGGGAAAGTCACACCGGGGGAATTCCCCGGAACAGCTGGGTAACCTGGGATGACTGTATTTCCCGGAATAACCGAGGGGCTGATCGCGGTGTTCACAGAAAATGTGGGGATTGTCACTGGAGCCGGTACCATTGCCGAACCGGCCAGCCCTGGAGAGCTCGTTTCTTCATCATCCTCATCAGCATAACCACAGGTAATGCCCATGTGTTGGCACTTGTTGCACATCGGGCGGTGCTCATCGCACTTGACGCGGCGCTTTTTGCACGTGGAACAACCTTTGCGGGATTTGTTGTGGTACTTGCGCTTGCCCATGGCGGATTTCGTGATTTTTGCGTTAGAAACCTGGCCCGGGAGTGTCTTTTCCACGGAGACTCCAGAAAGGTCAGAGAGTAAACCATTGGCAGTCACTTTTGCGGCTTCCTTATCTGCGGGGTTGGCACTCGCAGCGCTCTTTTCAGCAGCTTCGCTCAGCGCGTTTGACGTTGGCGTCGGGAGAAAATACTGCTGAAGGTGGCGCTGAATCTCCGGTGGCGCGAACGCGGCCAACCCTGCGAGATCCTGGATGTTGAAGTTCTTGTCCTGGCTGAGCTCTGTGTACAACGCCTCGATCTGCCCCGGAAGCTTCTCCTGATCGACGGTGCCGAACATCATGCTGCGGACCAACTCGTTTTCAAAGAGATTGAACGCCATTGTGGATGTAGCGTTGAGCTATATGTATTGATCCGGATACACTACTAGAGTTGAGCTATGTAGGTCTCTTTATATGGTTGGAGTCGAGGGATGGGGTTCACAATTCCAAATATAAATGGAAGAAGTGTTGAGATATATGTTGTTGACATCTGTCGTACCTTGTCGTTTGTCGTTTAGTCGTTTACCCGTTATACCGGCCCGGCAATATGTCACTGCCGGTCAGAATGACCATTGAGTGGAAAAAATCGCACGGAATAATGTCCTCCGCAGAGGAACCACAAACTGAGGTCTGACTAATTCGCGCATTCTTTCTTGGTTACGTCACGAAAGCAGGTCGAGGAGTATTAGGCCAGAGCTCAAGGTGACACCTTCATGAAATCAAGTGAGTCTAATAGTTGGAATTGCCGCGGTTTGGTCAGGTATAATCATGGGTTGTGGTTGCTCCATATAGTTTGTAGATGATGTGATCGTCAGCTCCGCCTTAGACGCACGATTACATTGAATTTACTTAAACTGGGCTGTGCAAAAGTCTCTGAACGGTGGCAATCAATGTGGAGAGGCTATCAAGCCCCCTTTCAGCCTTATGGAGGCTAGGAAAAATTGGAATTAGTGGAAATATGTTGATAATTATTTTAAATTAAGTATTTAGCTAGTAATGGGATTACTGGAATGTTAGACATTTCTATCTTAAACCCGGTTCCCTGATACCTAGGACATCACTCCACCGTATGGCCCTATTCTGCTCTAATACCAACGTCCTTACTTTAACAACTTCGGTTCGTACGTACCCGATCAAAATTATTAAAACAAATCCAAGTACTGTGAGTTAAGGAAATCCTAAATCCCAGTAACTGTAGCAGATGGCGCGACGTATTGTCATAAAACCGAAAAGACTTCGAAGCTCAGCCATCTCGGATTACTGGTTCAACAACTTGGTAATCATCTTTCGCAGTAACAGTACTCGGCCCGGAAGGAAATAACGTCCTGTAAACCCCTGATCCACTTGTCTGGCTCTACTCGCCCTACATATCATCCTAGCTATGGTTCACGCACTGCCCTCGCTCGTTTAGGTCGTGCGCAACCCGCCACTTCATCTGACACGCGTTATAAAAATTTGGCGTCCGTTTCAATCCATCAACCATCCTCATTACACCACTTAATCAAACAGTTCATGTCTTCTTCTGACCTCACCCCACAACCGGCGGAAATCGCTCCAGCCCGCAAGCGAAAGAGAGCTCTCGACGCGATTGGGCAGCTCCAGGAGGACTTGACCACAGACCCGTTGGACTACGGTAAGTGGTTGGAGTTGCTCACGCTTGTGGAGAAGAAGGACAAACCCGATCAGGTGAAGGAGACGTATGAACTGTTTCTTGAGAAGTTCCCCACGGCCGTAAGTACCTTTCGATTCAATCATCATGTGCGGAGCAATGCGAGCCACGACGTTTTCTACTATATAGTATTTTTTTTATCTAATAAACAAATTAGAAGACTTTCTTTTTTGCAATTTGCGCTGAGCGCCTAAAGGATAGCCAAGTGATATGAAGGGGGAAGAGAAGCCACAGGAATCCAAAAACATGGGAGATACAAGAAGCATACGGGGAGGAACTCACAGAGAGGGGCTTACAGGGAGGAACTTGCAGGAAGAAACATACGAGAAGAAGAAGGATCCAGCAAAAGGAGAAACGATGAATAGATAAGAAAGGTGACGGGATTGATGGAGCAGAAGGAAAGAACCGAATATTGGATAAAAACCGGAAAGCAAAGGGATGGAAAACGAATGAAGGCGAGTGACAGGGGAAATGTATCTGGGGGTATCGGACCAGTGGATGAAAACCTGAATAAAAGATACTGAGATGGAAAGGTTAGAGAAATTAAGCCGGTTGAAAATGAAGGAAAAAGTGGCTGGGCTGTTCACGGTTTAGATGACCCTGTTGGTTCTTTAGACAACGGCTCCACTCAATTACCATGCTGCTCCGATTTGAGTGTGCTGCAAAATACCGCCGGCTTGATGCTTTATCATTTTCAGAGAACAACCAGAAAAGCAACTCAGCTTTTCACTAAGAATTTTGGTACCGATTGAAAAGCCATGCCAATCCAAATCTGGAGATAGTATTTTTTTCACCTATCAGATGCCAAAATATCTTTCCCCTCTCCTCCTAACTTCACACTTGATCGTATGAAAACTTTGCCCTATCGATCAATTATAGGCACCTTATTGTTGCCAATGGAAGCGGCCCGATACATACCCAGCAACTTTGTGACTTTGTGCCGCCACACTAGTTGCTTCCCCTGCACCACCTTTATTTCGCCTATGCTGGGTCACTTTGCCAGCTTACTTTTTCGCATGTCTTGGTTCTCCATCTGGTCCTTGCCTCAGCTCTCAGAGTATTGCCTTTTACTCGCTATTGTCAGACCATGCTTTATCACCCTTTTTGGTCGCTACACTGGCCTCACTTCGCCGCCATTCCTTGCCACTTTACTTTCAACCGCTTCCCTCGCCCCTTGTTGTCACGGGTTCTTCTTATAGCTCATTTCACACCTCGCTTCTTGTCAATTCGTTCAGTTCACTTCCCTTCCCAGTCGTGAAATTTCACTTTCAACCCTCTTTCCTCGCTTCGCTCCCCATTTGCTGACCAGTTCGCTGTCAACTTGCTTTGCTCTCGTATTCAACTCGCTGCTCTCACCTAGATTTTACTAACATTTAGTCCCCCCAATGGATCGCATACATCTCTAACTGTCTCTCCCACTCTGACAACGTCCACGCGGAAACCCTCTTTGGCCGCTGTCTTACTGCTTGTCGCTCTGTCCCCCTCTGGCTCGCATACATCGCGTACATCCGCCGCACCCACGACGTAGTTTCTGGCGGTGAGCAGAACCGCCAGGTGGTGTTCCTGGCATTTCAAGTCGCAGTCGACGCCGTCGGGATTGATGTAGACAGCAGCGACCTCTGGGAACAGTATATCGAGTTTATCGACAACTGGAAGCCTACCACCCAATGGGAACAACAGCAGAAGACGGACCTCAAGCGCAAGGTGTACATAAAGGCAGTGGTGTTGCCGCTCCGCAATGTGGAAAAATTGTGGAACGACTACACCGCATTTGAAACCGAGATCGACCCCACCAGCGCGCGCCGCCTCGTCGCGGAGTCCTCTGCGGCATACATGGCCGCGCGCTCATGGCTCAAGGAATTTACTAACGCGACTGCAGGCTTACGCCGTGACGCGGTCCCCACGCGCGGCGCATTTCTCCTGCCACGCAAGAGCAATCAAACCAAGCTCTGGCGCCGCTGGATCGCGTGGGAACGCGCCAACAAGCTCGAATTGGCGCCTGATGTGTTGGCACAGCGCTTGGAACACGTTTATGCGCAGGTCACAGAAGTATTGCGTTTCCAACCTCAGTTCTGGTATGAATTTTCGCAGTACTGGTGCGATAAGGGTGTCAATGCTAAGTTTGTGGAGGTAACCATTCAAGGCTTGGCGTGCAACCCAGGATCTCACTTATTAAACTACCAGCTTGCAGAGTGGTACGAGCAGGAAGGGAGACGGGAAGATATGGAAGGGGTTTACGATAAGTTTGTTGATTTCTTGACATCAGAGTGTATGAAGTTGAAGCCGGAGGAGGATCCGAAGGAGCCTCCGAAGGAACCTTTGAAGGAACCTTTGAAGGACGAGCTGAAGGAGGATATTAAGGAAGATTCAATGGAAGATTCCAAAGAAGATTCTAAGGCTGAAAACTCAATGGAAGATTCAACTGCTAAGGCGGATTCACTTGGAAACTCAAAGAATTTGAAGCTTCCAGCTGCATCGCTGCCAAAGTATGATCCCAAACTCGCCCTTGTCCAACGTGCCATCACCTCTGTCTACGCCAGGTATATGCTTGCAACCAAACGTCTAACCAACTTGCAAGCCGCGCGTGGCATCTTCAAGCTCGCGCGCCAGAACGCTGAAGTCCAGGTGACCCACCACTTGTTCGTAGAGTATGCGGAGATGGAGATGACCGCTATCAGCGATCTGTCCTCTTCAGCCGAACGCCTCAAAATCATCGAGCGCGCCGGAAAGGTGTACGCCATTGCTGTTAAGCGTTTCAGCAATGACCCAGAGTTCTGGTTGAAGTACTTGCGCTGGTGGCTCGCCAGAGATAACACCGGTGAGGCTCGGGTCATGTTAAAGCAGGCGTTGGATAGCTTGAAGCAAGACATACTGACGGATGCCATGAATGAGGGTGATGTCGAGCAATCGCTCATCGCGACGTACAGCACGGACGCCACCAAGATCCTCTCCCAAATGTTTATTGAGTTTGTCCAGTACGAAGCCAAGCGGGGCGACCTTACCGCGATGAAGAACTTGGAGGTCCAGTATTTGGCAGTCTTCCCGAAGGTGACAAAGTTGGCCTGGAAGACGCAGCTCTACCGCGAAAACATAACCGAGGACTTTGATTCGTTCGACCCGGTCAGCTTGTTTGATATGGACGCAAAGACCAAGGAGAAGAAGCGTGCCAGTGACGAAGACGAACCGCCACGTAAGAAGGCAAAGAAAGTGGAAGAAGATCCGCTTGATGTGTTTGACGCATTCATCGCCGAGCCCCAGTTCCAGGAGTTGGTGATTACCGATGAGATCTACAACTTGTTGCGGGTGTTGCCTCGAAATATCTATTATGATGGGAACAATATGTTTGACTCGACGAAGTTAACAGCGTTATTAGGGTCATTGGATGTATAATCCAAAGAATCGAGAGATCAAATTTTTCCGGGATTTAAAGATTCGTCCGATTTGTAGATCCGAGGGATCGAAAAGCAGATGTTATTGTAATTTATTAATAAAAGTCTTAAATGTACCCAAAGTGTAGGTGAGTCCAAAAGATCGAAGAATTTCACGAGCAGGTGCTACTTCACTGCTTCATTTTAAGTGGAAAATTGTACGGATTATATTTCAACATAGATGAAGTCGCGGTTGGTTTCTAAATCTAGTGTAATTGCTATAAATCTTGTCACAGGTTGACAACGCATTGTCAGCTGAGTGTTCCACCAGGTTATTTCCCGTAGCGATCCTCATCCGCTCAGTTGATGCTAGATTAGGCAACTGATACAGCCCAAACGTCGCATTGAGTAGCATGGTGTTCAACATCACTCCTAAAGGTGAGGTTCTGGGTCATGGAAGCCTCATGGAATACACATGCGTCTCGCATATCGCTAGCCAGGAACCGTACATTAATTCTCGTCACACGACGCCAGACGCACCTACGGACAGCTCCTCGGGCGATCTCTATTGGCCGCTACTTAAGCGAGGGGCCACTTGCTTCACGAGGCCGGGATAATAAGGAATCTTGCTTTAGTCTATATAGCACCTTTTAGCAGATTGCTGGGGTACTTTTTAGAAACTACTAAGATGTGCGACAGACATATTTTGCGTACGACCCATGAGCGCGGACCACGCTTACCAATCTCTAGTCTCGTATATTCCCGTCCTGAGATTGACCCTATCCTCGCTGGACTGAAGCTGAACTATGAAAAAAACTTGACATCTCAGCTAAAAGGACACATCGCCGAGCTACCGCATAGCTAATTCCATACGATGATTCTAAGGTGGTTTTCAATCAGTGATTGTTTTGGATCATCCCTTCGGCCTACAAGTAGGACTGTCCCTGTCTGGGTACGGCCATACCTTCTATAGCGGGCTTTAGCGCTGTGTGTTGAACAGAGCCAAACATAGCTCCTAAAATAATCATTCACCCTCGAACCCAGACGTAAGTGCGAATTAGATAATCACAAAGTGTATGCAGCTACGTGCGTCCAGACACTAATAACGATCCCCGTACAGTAAAACCCCGTACTGACCGGATTGGCTTTCCAATCTGTGCGTTTTAGATCCCACGGGGATACAGCGATTCTAGCCGCCGTGGTCTAACAGGGGGGCAGTGGCCTTCATTATCAGTTTATTGTTTAAACGACACCCTGCGGGATGACCGCGAAATGGCGATGGCTGGGATGGCTCATCCCTGGACATCTGAAACGTGGCTGACTGCATGGACGTTAATGCGCTAGTGCCATGGGTCTTTGCCTCACTTGCATAACGCCACGTATCCACAGATATTGGCCGGCTATTAAATTCAGGACAGAACTGATATGGACGGGAGTGAATCACCATCGTCTCACTTAGTGTCATCGCGGTTGTGCGTATAACAATCAGGGCTTAGCTCCGTTTCTGCGTTACTCGCTCTCGGTTTTATATTCTGCGAATCCGTGCATCGTCTGCTTTAGGAAGGTGCATTGCTGGTTGTACGCTTGGTTCCGCATGTGTACGTAATTACAACCCAGTGTCTGCAGCCAGGCGTGCGCCCTGCCCAAGCAGGATTCACACTCTATTTTCGCGCCTTATTCTGCACGCATAGACAAAAACACCAACCGTCAACTTTGACCAAACCTCATTCTTACAAAGACAATCTACGCTACTGTCTCGTACCTGTCGCTGAAATCACAAAGAGAATTCATAGTGGAACCATTTCCTGAACCAACAAGAGCCATTACAAGTGAGCAGGCTAAATATTTGCCCCCATCAGCTCTCTCTTACAGTGATAATCTCACTTGGCTATTTGAATCCAGCCACACCCTTAAAACACCCCGAGACCATCACTTAACGCCACGAAGATTCTTCTTAGCCGTGCGAGTCACTGACCGCTCAATCATCATCACCTGAGTTAGCCGTCATTTCCCTCGCAGCGTTCTCATCAACTCCAAGAGGACGAACCTCCATTGACATCGGGAACCAAGAGCCGACACTCGGACTCTATTCGCAAATCTCCACCCGAGTCACCGCACACAATCTCCACTTGGGGGCTTTACTCGCAGACTGCGTCTGGACTTTTTGAACTTCCTCTACATGCCATGGTCGCCCCCACTCCGCCTGCAAACGCCCTCAATGTCGACTACATCCTCACCTCGACCTTCGACATCGACACGGGCCCTATCATCCTCCACCAGTACCCCCCGCAGAATGCACCGTACCAACCAGTGTCTCTAGATGACTCACTCATATACCTCCCCGAACTCCTCCTCCCCGACCAGATCCACACGCGCGCCGAGGACTCGTCCGTGTTCATGCTCTACCGCAACGCTGCGAACGAGTTCAGTTACGTGTATGACACGGCGCGCGGCTTCAATGAGACCTTCTACGGTTTCAACATCCTACAGACCAAGCTCGACGCGGAGCTCCGTCGTGGTTCCGTCATTAAGTCGTTGTGTCTTGTGACGCGCTTGCCGTTTTTCCACGTGTTCCGCCCAGTCATGGTGGTGGCGCTCGATAGCTACTTCGATGGCAATACTGAATCGTGCTTGCACGAACTCTACACGACGGTGAACGAAGTGCCGATTCTCCAGATGCACCGTTACACACAACTCTCCGCGGTGCGGGCGATGTTGGTGAATCTGATTATCCAGCCGTCGCTCCATCCGTATCTCAGTGCGTTCAAGTCGCAGTTTCGGAACAAGTTGTTGAATTTGAAAGCGATTCCGGATGAATTGTTTGCGAGGCCAATGGCCGAGCTAAAGCCGACGACTGAGACGAGGCCAGAGTCCCTGCCAGTGACACACACCTCGTCCCCCACGCGACTGGTGTATTCATCAACAATAACAGATGAAACCTCCCGGCTCCGCGGACTCACACTCGATACTGACGTCGTCCGCTTTGGTGACTACGACTTGGCGCCAAAACGGGCCAAACCCGTACGAGGGCTCACACTGGGACCACGTCCGCCGCCGTCGGTGCTCTACCGCAGCAATGAAATTGCGTTCGAGGCACTCATCACCTTTCAGGGCCTCATGCTCCCGCTCCGTGTGCCCATCGCGCCGCTCGAGGACCGGCTCACCGTCGCACCGATGTATCTGTTCCTCAAAAAGCTTATGGACGCAGGGTGCACCGTGGCGCCGACTGAGCTGGCGTTCTCGCCCGGTGCAAACAATCGTGCATCGCTTCTCTTGGCAGGCTCCGCGGGGCTCAAGTTGGCGAAACCTGCATCGCCTGTGGTACCACAGGGCACACCCGCCAACGACGGCTTGCGCATCTACGGCCCCGGCACACCGCCCGTGATTGTGCTTATCAATGCAGTACTCTCCCACCGCAGGATCGTCGTCTTGGGCTACCACGAGCCCGCCCAAACAGTGTGCGACTACGTCTGCCACCTTGTGCAGTTAGTCAACGGCGGCGGACTCCTCACGGACTTACTCCGCCGCGTGTTTCCGTACATAGACATCAGCAAGCTCGACACGTTGGAGCCACTTGAGAGCTATATCATCGGTACGGCGAATCCGATCTTCAAGCAGAACCCACGGTGGTGGGACGTACTCTGGGACCTCGACGCGAACGAAATCGTCGTGGCTACACCCCAGGCGGCCGTGACACCCCAGGGAAAGTTTGGCGAAGATCTCTTCTCAATCATCCGTGAGGATGCACGCTTCCTTACGGGTTTGAAAGATATTGTGCGCAACCATCACGACGAAACCACCATCGAACTCTTCTGCCGCCGCCACATGAATGAAATTCTTCGCATGCTCCACTCGCCACCGCCTGGGCTGGCGGCTCCCCAGGCAGATATGGCAGCCACGAACGCAGAGCTTGCCTCTATGGTGCTTCCAGGCCTGGGCTATGCCTGGGCAAGCACCGTGGAGTACGATACGTACGCTGCGGTGCGTGCTCGCTTCTTCGCCGGTACGTTAACATACACGCTCGCGCCGCCCGCGTTGACCAACGATGATGGCGTGTGGATGGATGTGTCGCTTGCGTTGAACCGCTTAGAGCGCTTGAACGCCGCCCTGTCGCTACCGCTGCCACAGACTGTTGCCTCGGATGCTACGTCACTTAGCCTGCCTGCCGAATCGCCGCTCTCGAACCTGTTTCCAGGGAGCTTTGCGCCGTTGAGAGTGCAGTTCCAAACTAACCTCCCCGGTACCACACATACGGAGCCCGGAGCGCTCGAGATCTTCCGGGCCTTGCTTGGTTACGTCCAACGAGGTGCGATGGAGACGTTTCTCCTCTCATGCCACTTGCTCCCTGCCGCCAGTGGTAGGCTTGCGGACGTCTACAGCAACCTGGGCCTCGACGTGATCTTCTTTAACATGTTCAACAAGAGCCCGCGCGTTCGTGCTGCGGTGTTGCGGTTACTTCAAGAAATCGAGCGCCATCCGGTGGGTAAGTTCTGGATGAACGAAATGAATGGGTTTCACCGGAATGCATATGAGGCGTTGAGGAAGAACGTTTGAGCGAGTGCGAAACACGGGCCCGAACAGAGATGACTTTTGACTCGTAAGCCCAGGCGAATGGCGATGACTGCGATTCTTGACGAAGTGAGGTTAGTATAAACGAGCTTAAGGCCTGCAGTCTGAAGTTTCCTTCAATGTTTGAGCAAGCGTTGCTCCCCTCGGTGCTCTAGCCCTGTGTCTTACTTGGAGCTTTTGTGTTTGTTTTTGGGGTTCCTGATGTCTTGTACATCCATTTGAGTGCCGAGACCGTTTTGGTTGCCCCAGTCAGTTTTTTGTGCCATTAGAGTATTTGATCTTTTCTGGATTCTTCTATGGTGCCCTAGTTATATCTTTTTGGTGTATTTCTTTTGGGCTCTCTTTAATTCTTCCGTTCTTCTGGAGTGATGCCCCTGTTTATCACGGTGTACAAATTATAATCGGTTTTGTTTTTGGTAATTATCTGTATGTTAGGTACATGGAATGCAACGGTACTGATAGGACGATTATTTATGATCTGCGTATGGGTATTTCTTAGGTAGCTCTACTTTACTGTGCCCTGAGCCAATATTTATTCCTACGAACTGAAGATAAAAGTTAGCTGATTTGAACCTCAACGGGGTTCAAAGATAGTATCAGATGGGCACAACTATATTTAATTCAATGAAATAAAATAAAATAAAAAAAATAAAAAAAAACTGCTTAATAGTCTGGAAATTCCCTGTTCCTGGTATTTCTACCATATATAATGCATCTAGTTTCAAACCTTGCGGAATGAACCACCATGTATGATCTATATAAGCCCGTTAAAGCTTTGAATTCATTTTAAAACCGCTCAGTGATACACCAGAACATGTTCTAACTCCGTAGCACGGTAATTATTGGTGTGATACTACGCTTAGATAATACCTCTAGTCGTAAGCCGGATAATCGACAATTGTCCTTCTGCTATACTTCCGAAAAATATCACTCGAATCTCTCAAGGCCAATATTCCTACCATCTTAAATCCTACTCTTGAGTACTTATGTTTGTATATTAACTGTGGAACCTATATGTAAGAAATAAAGCAAAATGAAACCGTACCGTGTATGCATAAAATTTGTGGGGCTCTACAAAGCAAGCGGCTTGAAGGTACCGTATTTTCCTTCAGTCAAGGCTCCAAACCTCCATGGAGCATCCATTGGGTGCAAAATAACCTCGATTAATCTCAACTTGTCGCACTTTTGGATGTCAGAGTTGGCCATCAACTTAGTCAACTGGATCTTGGTGTCAACCTTGACGCACTCAGTCTTGTTTTCAATGTCACCAAAGACCTTGAATAACTCGGTCCACTTCCAGTCTGGGGAAATGTCGTTGTAAGATCTGGTGGCGCCTTCGATGATTCTCTCAACGGTATAACCGTTGTTGTTCAAGAGGAAGACAGTTGGCTTGATGTCTTGTCTAACAAAAGTGGCAAACTCTTGGACAGTCATCTGGGCAGAACCGTCACCTTCGATCAAAATCAAACGCCCGTTACTGCCCATATCCTTCAAAGCCACGCCGACACCCAAACAGGCTGGTAAGGCGTAACCAATAGACAAGTAGAAGCCCTGGGCGATCAAGGAAGCGTTCTTTGGCAATCTGATATCCGCCAAACCGAACATGAAGGAGCCGGTCTCGCAGACAACAATGTCGTCTTCTTTGATAAAGGAAGCCATTTGGTCGATCAACCAAGACTGAGAAATGTCCATTGGAGAAGCAATTGGCGCGGACTTTCCAACAACCGGACGGACAATGTCCTCGGCAACAAACTCCATGGTTTCCAACTTGGCCAAGAGCTTTGGTAAAACGTGAGCAAAGTGAACACCTCTGAAGATCTCACCACAGACAGAAACGAACTCGTGGTGGAACTGGATCAACTTTTCGTGCTCAATATCGTAAGTGTACTTGGCGGTATTGATTTCGTTAGCAAAGGCACCAACATGCATAATCAAGTCGTGGGATTCCAAGGCTTCCTTGACACCTGGGGCGCATAAGGCACCATTGTAGTCGCCAATGAAGCTGGTGTTGGACTCGTCCAAAACGCTCTTGCCCATCATGGAGGTGAAGTTGTTGAACTTGGTAACGTCGACAATCTTTCTCAAGGTGTCAACCATTCCGAAGCGGGAGGTCAAGACGTCGCCCAAAATAGCGGTGGAGGTCTTGGCAGCGGTAATCTTGGCCACGATCTTGTCCACAACCTCGTCGGTCTTGGCAGGGTCAGCATCAACAGCTAATCTGGCGATCTGGTGTTCTAAACTGAGAGAGGCCACGGCTTCATTGACAAGATCGATAGGCAAGAACAAGTAGCCCGGTCTGGAGGTTTGGTAGATGGTGGACAAAAGAGTGTCCAACTTCTGTGGGAAGTCTATGGCATTCTCAACGACGACAGAGCTGCAGGAGATGCCAGAGACCATCTTCTCATAGACAGAGTGGTCGGTTGGCAGGAAAACAGAGTGGGCACCAACCAAGTGGTGAATCTGCAAAGCCTTCTGTGTCTTCAAGCCGGTTGGGGAGGTCCCGACGATGTGCAAGACCGGAACGTACTCAGCAAAGGCACCGGCAATACCGTTGATGGCGGACAACTCACCGACACCAAAGGTGGTGACAGTGACACCCATGTTCTTGGAGGCTCTGGCATAACCATCGGCAGCGTAGGCAGAGTTCAACTCGTTACAGTTACCGACCCACTTCAAACCCTCGACAGTGTAAAGATGCTCCAAGAGCCCCAACTGGAAGTCTCCAGGGACACCGAAGATGGATTTAACGCCCAACTGGGAAATACGTCTGAAGACGTATTCGCCCAATGGGATGCTGTTTGGAAGTTGTTGTGGAGCGACAGCGGAGACTGGCTCTTCCTTAATGTGATCGAATGTAGCGATTGGAGCCATTGTGTATGTAGATGTGTGTAGTGACAGCCGAGCAAGACAGTTATTTTTACGGGCAGCTGAAGGCCTTTATATATTTTATTTATGATTCTTTGCTCGGATGAGAATGAGGGGATAAGGTTGTCTATAGCCGAGATAATAGTTGCCGTGCATACTGGGGCCTAAAAGGAGAGAAGAGTTCATGTAAGCGGCACGTTCTGTGGTTATGCATAGTGTATGTGCTTCCGAGCCTGTGTCTGCCCGTGGTTTTCCTTACTAAAGTAAGTGCCACTCCGGTTCTGGACGGATAGCGTGCTTGACAGGTGTAAGAAACTACGCGGCTCCAAACATTTCATGCACCTCTTGGGGAAGAAGTGACCTGTCGCACGGTAAGAGGGTGGTGCGGCTTCACCTCCGACAACCGAGTTTGACAGACATCCCACGGTCTGCGAGTGCGAAAAACACCTGACGGCTCGGGTACGAAAACGTTTCTGTTGCAGGTAACCGACATCAGTGCAGACACACAAAATTGCCCCGAGCCCTTACCCGAAATTCGTCCAACCTTAAAATCATCAAGTTTGGGTGCCGAAGGTCATCCGAGCATATATGAGAGTTGCTGGGGGCTGTCTAAGTGGGTTAAACCATATTTTTGCCTCTGAATGCAACGACAAAAAGGGAGGGGTCTGGTCATACTAGATTTATCGAGGGTACAACGGTTGAGATAAGCCTATGGGTAAACTATGTATAGCCCCTTCCGATTGGTGTGGATATCAACTTTATAAGAGCTGTTGGAAACACATCGATGCTATAAGTAGAACTGTTGATATTATCTGATTTGAATCGTAGTCTAAATCGCATATAAAACATAGAAGCTGTACCGGACGGTATAGTTTCTGAGATTGCAAATGTATATTCGTACCTGTAGGAATGTAGTAAGCGTGTGGCTGTCACGTGGTAGAGATCAGTACTCTATATAAGGAGGTCGATTCCTCCCTCCTCTATCCTATATACATTATATAGGCAACCAGTATACTATTACTATAAGTAGATATTGTACCCTCGATATATACCACAACGAATTTATTTTATTAAACATATAGTATATACCTCAAATATATATATTCTCACGTATTACTATCATGTCTCGAATACACAATCGATTAATATATATATATAGAAGCGTTGATTTACATGTATATGGTTATGCTACTTTTTTTTACTTTTTTTATATTTACCATATCTTATTCACTTGCATTGGTTGATTAATATTAACTATTCTGGTGTACACCAAAAACTATGATTTCCTGTTTTAACTGCACGCTACTCTATGCATTCAAGTCACATTTCTATGGCTCTAGACCAAGATATGCCACATTTCCTCCCATTAATCTCACACATAGCCCATAGACCTCTACATCTCACCATCTAACTGAATTTCTCTGTTTACGGGGCCTCGATCGGCGCTATCGCACTTGCCTATGACACAGGATCCGTTTCTCCGATCCTGGGCCTGCCATTTCGAGACACATTGGGTACCGCGATACGCAATCGCTGACTCACACCAATGTATAGAGAACTCTCCGGTGCAGGACAGGCCTAACTCTCCAACTTTTCAGCCTTAAATAGCAGGTGGGGGAGAGGAGGCGCAACGGATTTTTTTTCACTCACCCAACGTGTCATAGCATCGCGATTTTCTCCATATATAAGTCTACATCGCTCTTTGAACTTTAAGTTTCTTCTCCTTTTACCCAAGTACACACACACAATGTTATCTGCTGCCAGACAATCCCTTAGAAGCTACTCCTCCGTTGCCCCAAAGACCCTCAAAATCGGTTTGATCGCCGGTGATGGTATCGGCAAGGAGGTGATCCCAGCTGGTCGCCAGATCTTGGAGGCCTTGCCATCGGACTTTGGCTTGAAGTTCAACTTTGTTGACTTGGAAGCTGGCTTCGAGTTGTTCAAGAAGACCGGTACTGCGTTGCCAGAAGAAACCGTCCAGATCTTGAAGAACGAGTGTGATGGTGCCTTGTTCGGTGCTGTTTCGTCTCCAACCACCAAGGTTGAGGGCTACTCCTCCCCAATCGTTGCCTTGCGTAAGAAGATGGGCCTCTACGCCAACGTCAGACCTGTCAAGTCCGTTGACGGCATCGGCAGACCAGTGGACATGGTGATTGTCAGAGAAAATACCGAAGATTTGTACGTCAAGGAAGAGAGACTCTTCCAGGCGCCAGACGGCACTAAGGTTGCCGAGGCTATCAAGAGAATTTCCCAAACCGCCTCCTCCAGAATCGGGAAGATGGCTTTCGAAATCGCTTTGCAGAGACAAGCCGTCAGAGACTTGGGCGGTGCCTCTTTGCACACCGTACCATCGGTCACCGTCACCCACAAGTCCAACGTGTTGTCTCTTACCGACGGCTTGTTCAGAGAAACCATCAGAGAGTTGTACGACAACTCCCAGGCACAGTACGCCTCCGTCGACTTGAGAGAGCAGATTGTTGACTCCATGGTCTACCGCATGTTTAGAGAACCAGAGATCTTTGACGTCGTCGTGGCTCCAAACTTGTATGGTGACATTCTCTCTGACGGTGCCGCCGCCTTGGTTGGTTCCTTGGGTGTTGTCCCATCCGCCAACGTCGGTAATAACTTTGCCATCGGTGAGCCATGTCACGGTTCCGCCCCAGACATTGAGGGCAGAGGTATCTCCAACCCGATCGCCACCATCCGTTCCACCGCTTTGATGTTGGAGTTCATGGGCTACGCCGCTCCAGCTGCCAAGATTTACGCTGCCGTTGATGCCAACTTGTCCGCGAATCTCATCAAGACCCCAGACTTGGGTGGTAACTCCAAGACCCAGGACGTTATCGCTGATATCATCAGAAGACTTTAATTCTTTCATTCAAGCTAACTAGCTTTCATAAACCCCACCCCTTCTTGTGTGTTGCAAATTTCAATTCTCCAGTCCATGGCTTTCTCTATCAGATGTACATTATTTCGTGGTTAAACCGCTGTAGGTGTAAAAGTTAATTAAATGTATTACGTAATGCTAGCTATTTACAAGTCGTTTCTTCATAATAATATCAAGTCCCTCATGAGGTCTCGCATGATGTCGCCCTTGACCCCGGGAACCACATTGCTAAAATACCCACCGCCATAGGCCAGACCTAGACTGCCGTTGAGCCGTTTCTCCGATTCCATAGTGTCTGTCACTAAGTTGTTGAACGTAGCTTTGAGATGCAAGAGTTTGGCGATAGAATTACCGTAGCGGTTGTAGTCTTGCCCCAACACCATCAAATAGCAGTCGAAGATGTTCGCGCAAAAGCTGCGTGTAAAAACGATGGAAGAGGTCTGGAAATAGTGGGGAAACCGGACTTTGTCGTAGTTTGGCTGGGACATTTCCTGGTTTGCGTAGAGTTCCAAGACAAACTTGGTGAATATATTTAGATTTGCCAAGCTCCAGTTGTTGGCCAGCTTTTTCTCATCTATGGAACTGTTGTTGTGCATGAATCCCTGGTAGACCACGTTGAGGGTTTTAGATGAGAGGAGAATTTGGGACTGGTTCATGACGTCCACAAGCGCCATCACCTGTGTAAACGTTTCTTCCACTGGAGGCAATTTGCAATAGTACTCAATGAGGTGGCGGTATGCCTGGTCCCCGAGCTTTACTAAATATTGGGGAACGTCCGCCTGAGGGAGTACCTGGAGAATGTCATCCACCATCCGGTGTAACTGGGCCGAAGACCGGCCAGTGTCACCTCTTTCTTGCAGCAGCTTTGCAAGGAATGTTTTGGAGAACACGCCAACCAACAGCTCAGCAAGCTCGGCTTTACCAAACCCGACCAAGCCGTGGACGACTAGCGTGACAAACTTTTCGTCAGTGACAAAGTGCTCAAGGTGGAGCTTCATCAAACGGGTGAACACTTCCTGGCTCTTCCACTCGCGGAAACGTGGGTCTCGTGCTATATACTCCTCGTCAATGTTTGCAATCAACGCCATCACCGCTTGGACGGTAGTACGCCTGGGAACCACCTTCTTGGTTGCAATATCACACAATATGGCGTGGATGACGTCGTAGTTCTCCCATTCCGTGGTCTCTTCATTGGAGACGCCTTTGCGTCCCTTCACCAACATTGCGCTTTTGAGGAGAATGTCAAACGTGGAGATGTCGCGGTTCCCCTGTCCTTCAAGGGTGGCGACAAGATCGCGATACGTCTCGAGGGTTAACATCTGGCGGTCTGTGTGCTTCAAGAACTGCAAGTAGATCAACTTGTTCTGCTCATGAACACTCAAGGGGAACCCGTACCCCTTCATATCTTGAACCACCTCCAAGAAGTTGTCCAACGTAGAAGCACTGTAGTTGTCGGCCGCGGCTAGGAAGCGGTCCAAGAAGAGCTCGAAGTGCTGCGGCTGGACGTGCACCGGTTTGGGTGACGGTAACGCACAGTACGCGTCAAAGAGCTTCACGAGGTCGGCTTCCGGGTTGTACAACAAGGCAGAAAACTTGCTGTATGACACGGCAGACTCCGGGGTCGCAGCTAGGCGGGGGATGGCATATCTTTCATCTAAGGTTCGCTTGTAGGACCGGTTTAGGCCCTGGGTCTTAATGATTTTAGATGCCAAACCAGCGTTTGTAAGGGAATTAGCATTTGAATTCTTATTACTACGGGAACTTTCCGCTGAAAGCTCCCGATAGTACTCCGCGTACCGCTTGAATTTGCTACTGGACTCTGGAGTCGGACCAGCCTTTAGCGCCTCAATAAAGGTGTCTGACAAGCTAGCATACATTGTTTCGGCGTTAGAAAACCGGGGAGATCCGGTGTACCTTTCCTCCATTTCCTGGACTATTTGCCTCGTTCTGACGTCTGTTCGGTCTCTAGCCCTGGGTTTAGCCACCCCAATCGCCTCGACAAACCCGCTCAACACACCGTACCGTCTCATCCAGGTCTTAACACATGTATGTAGCATACCGATGGAACAACGAGAGCTCAGATGTGGGCAACAAGCAATCTCTGGCAAAACCTGGTGTCTTCTAGCAAAAGCTCCACGAATCCTGGTGTCACAATAAATATACATATCCTGCATGCTTACATAAGCACTTTTTTTCACCAACGCATCTTGTGATATTTTCGAGCCAACGTCTAAATCTGAAAAATCAATACCGCTCCTGACATTTAACAGCAAACCCTCCTCACACACAATGACACAGGCCAGAAAAGCTCTCAACGTTTTGGAATCGACTTCCGCGTTTGTCAAGGCTGGGCTCTTGGAAAAGCCGCCAGTGTGGATGAAGGTGGTGGCCTCCAACCCGCCACAGAAGGACTTTACCAAATTTGCGCTTAGAACGAAGCAACAAACCACCTCTGAAAAGCCGACTCACAAGTTGTACCGGACCAGAACCGACCCACATGCGGCAAAAACAAAATTCTTCAAGCCACAGAAGTTGCGATTCTTGGAGGACGACTTGAGAAAGTTGTTTTTCCAGCAGCACCCGTGGGAGTTGGCCAGACCAAAGAACATCATCGAAAACACCGGTGACGACGAGGCATTCTTGGACTGGGACACCATCAAGCAGGTGCTGAAGCCGTTGGACGGTGAGAGCGTTGTCCAGAGAACGTTGCACTTGGTTAAGAATAAAGACAACAAACTTTCGATGATTGAGGCCTACGACCAGGCCAGACTCGAGTTCTACCGTGCCCGAATCGAACAGGAAATCGAGCAGCAGGTCACCTTGGAAGAGAGCTCCATGTACGGCGCCGTCTTTACCAAGTCCTCCACGGACCTCGGCTTCGAGGCTGAGGCGCCAAAGATTGCTAAGTGGAAGGAGGAAGCCTTGGAGCAGACCAGCTTATTCCAAACCAGATCCACCGCCCACATCCACGAGTGGGCCTCCGATGCCGCGGAGGATACCGCCGAGGCTGTTGAGGATGTTGCCGAAGCCAAGTAAAAGTAGACATGGGTCTTGTAAATATATCACGGAAACTTTCCGCCTTTTATCATAACTGTATGTACATATTATATCTTTGTAGATTGTCGGATGCGGGAATTTAAATAAGAAATGAAATAACGGCATTTTAGCAGTAAATAGTGGATGGTGCCAATTAGCTAACTATCAATAATCAGTATAGCCAAATGATAATTCAGCGACGTACAATATCCGTCTAATCTCAAGATTTGGTACATCAGAGCTACAAGCCATAGGTGTATCATCCTGGTCTACATTTTATGTTGGCGTTACAAAGAAAGCGGTGTTAGTTTAGATCATGGTTCAAATAGTATCAGTAGCCGGTTATAATTATTGTTACCATATTAGGTTAAACACTTCTTTTTTTTTTGGATTCTACTTGATCCGAACGGTATTGTCTTTTTATTTACCCTCAAATAAACACTGTCCACTTTTACGCTGTCCACTTTTATGCTGTCCACTTTTACACTGCCCACTTTTACACTTCTCACAAATTAGAAATCAACTCTATTTCTTTGGCTTTCTCACCAACTTGAATAAATGAACGCGACACTTCCGATAGTACGCCTCCTCTTCCTCGTTAAAGTTCATCAAGTCGATTCGGTTGAAGTTTTTTGCTATCCTGGCAAAAAATTTCTTGTCCTGCTTCCGTCTTTTACGGTAGCACATTAAGATCTCCAAGTCCTCATTCATATCGGTCAACTGCAACAACGTGGATTCCAATAGCGGAAACGCTTGCTCTAAATAGACAACATCAGCAGCAAGGACCAATTTCAAGTGTTTGATATACATGGGGGGCTGTCTTGCTAGCTGCGTTAACGCATCGAGGGTATTCGCATCCACAAGCTGGTTATCCTCAACAAGCCCACCTAAAGGCTCACCCCATAAGAGGGCTGCTGGGATAACCTCGTTTTCCAAATGGTTCAACATGACATTCTGCAGCATAAGGGGGACAAGGTCACTATAAAGGCGTTAATAAAGCCCAGTGGCTGGATCTAGGAAAGATTGCTAGTCTTCATCGGCTGAACGAGAATAGAGAAGAGTGCAGGGCACAGTTAGATATTTTTGGTTCGGTTAATGTCAGAAAGTAATGATAACCTTTGTAACTCTGGAGAAGCAACTGAGGAAGTTCCGGTCCTTCTCCAAGCCATACGTACTCGATATCGGTGATAAACACTTTCATGCCAGGATTGTATTTTGCATTTACCAACCCAAGAACCAAGCTAGACATTGTTAGTATTTCTGGAGATCACAACGTTTGAAGTACGTACCCAACCAAACCTGTACCGCTGCCTAGTTCGACGATATGCGCGGTGTTAAACTCTTCACCGGTGGAGTATTCCCCGGTCTTCCCATCAAACAACTTATCGTAATTATTCAACAAATAGCTAGAGAGACACTCACCGGCAATCCAGATCTTGCCACCACACCCAACAGCCCCACCATCCTGATGGAGGGCCAACCCCCCACCGGGGCAATGCGCTAGCTTGGGGTGGTTACCGAAAGACATAACGGAATCACCGGCAGCGTACTTGGAGTTTATTTCCTGAAGCGGAAAAAGGTCTTGGGATACAGACATGAAGAAATCGTCTTCTATAGCGGGCACTAGAGCGTTCACGAGCGTGCTTGGGAGCAAACACAGTCCCGCGTTCGATTTAGTAATATCTGTGAGAGTAAGTAAACTAACGGGCACCATAGTTGCTAAACAGAGGTATTAGAATAGGAGTCTTTCAAAATTTCACGCAAATAACTGGTTATTGGTTTTCCCGAGAAAAAGGCTCAAGGATATCTGATTACAAAGCATCTGAGTTATCCGTTTCTATGCAAAAGTTTGCCAGGAAAGTAGGCAACAAGCATGCAGAAAGCTTAACATGGACTAAGATTCGCGTACATTGGCAGAAGAACTTTCATATCGGTCCTACCTTTTTTTATACGAGTTATATCAACAGAAGATTTCACGAAATGTTTCCAACGATAAAATGTCACTGGCCACTCCAGTCTGTCATCACCAGCACCTGCATGTAGCCTTTATACAGGCGCATGAAAAAGGGTGCCCCAAGAATGCAAAATGGTCCCATAGCTTCGCATTTATTGAGGCCCAAATGCGGATTGGGAAACCTTTTCATTAAATCAAGAAGCTATAAGTTAAGATTTGAAAATTCTCAGCTTCGTATGGCTAATGTGATTGCAAAGGGCATTCCAAAAACAAACTCTCTTTAAGAGCTATGGTGCAGTGGGTGCTGGATACCAGAAGGTCGTGTGGGGGATGGCACGATCCAGCCACGACTTCTTCCGTGCCACGCTTTGCGACATGAACAAAAGAAAAGTCGAGTCTTATCTCAGGTGGTCATTACCCTGTTACCTCAAACATGGTACGTATGACTTTGTGACGTTTAAACTACAGCAACTAACCCTTTAGTCCGCCTTATTCAACTTCCAGTCTCTTCTACAGGTCATCTTGCTTTTGATCTGTACGTGCACCTACATCCACTCGTCGTGGTCAGCGCTCTTGGATAACAACAAAACCGGCGTCAGAGGCGTGTTCTGGAAGTTTGCCAGAATCGGAGAAAGATTAAGTCCGTACGTTTCCATCTGCTGTATCTTGATGGCGTTCAGTCAATTAAGGAGTTGAACAGCTAATACTATTAGCCCTTTGGCAAGCCATTGGCCAAATCTAAAACATAAGGACGAATGCAACAGATAGCCACAGATTCGTTACATACCCGAGAAATGCCCGTAGGAGCATGTGCCAGTCGGAAGTGTTGCTACAGCGTAACCCAATACATATAATACACTTTCCTTAGATCACCGTAGGGCTCCGTCTAGCAATTGGTAAACAGTGGTACCTCAATATAAGACTCGCTAATCCAATTTATATAGAATATCCTACCCAAGTCTAGGATTTGGCAACCAATTATAATACAATAAGACAGCCCAGCACTCAATCACCATTTGAGAGGCAAAAGATCCATGTCATTGGCATAGCACCAGCAATCGTCCTCATTGAACAATTCGATGAACTGCTGGTCCAAAGCGCGCTGCTTCGGAGCGGCAAACTTGCGGTATTCGTCGAAAATCATGGTCAAGTTCCAGTTTTGGAGCTTGCGAATGCACCCCACCACACACCCAGTTCGGTGTTTGCCTCTGTTGCAGTGAATCAACACCGGCTGATTGGCAGGGTCCAAAATCGTCTTGATCGCCTGCGTGATGGACGTTTCGGGGATCTTCACAAACGGCTCCTTGTTCCCCGGCATACCGTATTGGAACAATTGTACATTCTGCTGCTCAAGAAAGGCGAGGTTTTCGTCAGGATATGGTTCAGAAATGAGGCATACAATCGACTTGAGCTTTAGCGTCGCAAGAAACCCGAAATTGGACGCCTTGGGAAACGACGAGCGATAAATATCAGTGAGCACCAGCGAGAAGTTTTCCGGCGGGTACATCACTAGCCTGGGCTGTAAATATAGCCCTTCGCACGGTTCGGGCTTCTCGGTGACTGTTTGGTCCCCTGCCTCTGTCTCTAACGGTCGGCCTTCATCTTTTGTGGCTGTGGACATCACCGGTGAATGGAGCAAGCAACGGCCTGTGTTGGAGAGTGGTGGAAGGAGCGGAGTGCGATGGCTTACGTAGTGGTGTAACCCTGTATCTAGGCTGTGGATAACGGGTGAATGGAGAGTGGCGAAAGTAATCAATGGGGATATCCAGGCGCTATGAGTTTACCAATGGCTCTTATATGCGCTAAATTCAGCAGAAGGAGCGCCGGACAACTACGGCTAAGTGCAGAAGGGGAAACCCGCGAAATTGCATACGAAAGTTGAGATGGGTCTAGATCAACGTTTACCGTACAGAGAGCAGAAAATGGGATGTAACATAAAGAGACAATAAGAATTGGGAAGATATATCGATTTTGAGCATACCCAAAAGGCCGGGTTTTATATGCATCACGTCAGGGGTTCTTGGGAAGGATGCAAAATTGGGGCAAATGCACACCAAAGGAGAGAGTACAACCCATCTAGCATATAAATTATGTCTAGGAACAGTGTCTGGAAACAATATTCAGAAACGAATGAAATAACCCTATAGTGATGGCATAAAATATAACTAAGCAAATATTGGGTGAGTACAAGACGCTATGGTTTAAGAGTGCCATCTTTTTGGAAATTCCACTCCCCCCATTCGCGAAACCAAAGTGTGTATACACCGAATATCAAGGCAAAGCCACCTGACACGCCAAGAGCCAGGCTACTGGCTATTTGTACCCGAACCATTGACTTGAAGTTGGAGAGTTGAAAACCTCCTGTGTCAAACGCTTATTGCAATTTGTAACAAATTGACTACCATGTCTGGCCAATCCCAGTTTGACTCCCCCGAGTACTCGCCCATGGAACATCTTGGGCAGCTCTTCCCGACAGCCGAGTCACTCAAAGGGCTCCAGCAGGTGCTAAACTCCACCAACTTCTACAAAAAACAGCTCAACGAACAAACACGTGGGAAGATCGCTGAATACCAGGCCCGCCAGACCTCCCGTGAGGTTCCCGTCAAAGCGCAGTTGGCGGCGGAGTTAGGCGATTTGAAGGCCTCCATCGTTCAGACCCAGGCCAAGTCGTTGGAAACGGCCGCCACAATCGACGCGATGATTTCACCGATCAAAAAGTTGGATGACGTCAAGAAGAAGCTCCTTTTGACCATGAACGTGTTCAAACGGTTGCAGATGTTGATTATCAGCTACACGCTGTTGAGCGAGTTGGTGGAACAGCAGAAGGGCCGTGAGGCAGAGAACGGTGAGCGGCCGATTTTGCACTACCAAGAAATCTACTTCAAGCTAGATGCCACGTTATCGTTGATGGAGTACTTCAAGCCGTATAAGCCCATCAAGGACATTTCTCGTCTTTCGAAACAAATTAATGAGCTCAAGTACTCCATTATCGAGCTGATTTTTGTCGATTTTAACTACTATTTGTTTGAAACGCGTTTCAACGCCCGGCTGGAGACGTTGGGACACCTTAACCATGCCTGCCTCATCCTTGACTTGCTAGACGGACAGTCGTCCCACCATAACAAGGACAAGCTTGTCAATTGGTACATCCAGAAATTCTTGTCTGACATCTTTGAGATCTTCAGGCCCACGGATGAAGCGGGCTCACTTGAAAATTTGACCAGACGGTTCACCTACTTTAAAAAGACCCTTACCGACGGGTTTTATGAGTCGCACCAATGCGATGCGTTCCCTGCTGGGTGGAACATTGGACTCGCGCTTGCGGAACACTTCGTCACCCGTACCCGTGACGACTTGCGTGAAGTCTTGCGGCTCTTCCAGAATAGCACCAGTCAGGTGGAGATCCTCTTGAAGGCCTTGCAGGAATCGATTGACTTTGAGAAATACTTGCTCAAGAGCTTTGCAGACGAGGAAGAGTCGGCCGCGACACTCACCATATCGGGTGTGTTTGTACCGCATTTGAGCATCTGGATTAAGTCGCAGGAGCCCCAGCTTGATGCCAAGTTCTTGGAATTCCTATCTGCTCCGAAGTTCCCGGCGGCCGGCGCTGGGGCGACGCCCCACGTGATTCCCTCTTCGGCAGAGCTTTTCAAGAGGTACAAATCGCTCATTAGCCAAGCCGGCCGGTTCAGCGTCCACTCGTCTACGTTCCTCGCTGACTTGTCGCGACTCTTTAAACGGTATCTCCAACGCTACTTGTACGAGATCTTAGTACCGATCCTTCCGACAAACCCCAAGGTATTGAACGACACCGAAGCGGTAAACTATCTCACATTGGTGCTCAATACAGCGGAATACTGTTCATCTACCGTGGAGCAGCTCGAGGAGCGAATCAACGCCATGATCCAGAGTCAGTCCCAGAGTGAGCCAGTGGTGTCGTTCGATGACATCAGAGAGTCTTACTTGGGGTTTATCGTAAAAACGATCAACCTCATTGTGGAGAATGTCTCCCAGTCGTTGGAGATCTCGTGGCGCGAAATGGTCAACAATCCCAACTGGGCCACCACGGTGACCACGGAGGAGACTGACGCCGCATCTGACGCTTCCCGCTATGTGGCCCACCTCAGCTCCACGATCGAAGACAAATGCCAGCAGATCTTTTCCAAGCTATCCAAGCAGTTGTACATGAAGAACTTGTGCGACCGGTTCTGTGAGTTACTCGTTAAGGGCTTTGCCAACAACCTTACCCATTTAAAGCCGATCAATGTCTTGATGGGTGAGCAGTTGTTGCTAGACCTCCATTCCTTGAAAGATGTGTTGAGCAGGCTTCCCGACAGGGAAAAAAAGAACCTTGAAGACGACGGTGCGAAGACGGTCCGGGACCGGAAGAACGCTAGACATAAGGAGTACGTGAACCGGTTGGTCGGCCGGTTGAATAACTTGTTGAAGATCGTAATTACTCCCATCATCTCTGGCGACGAGGAGAGCTTCATTAACACGTACTTTTTGTTAATGAAGGACCAGTCGACTCCGAACTACATTAAGGTGCTCGAACTCAAAGGCATTTCGCCCAACGTAAACATCAACATCAAGGCTACCAAGAAGATGTACCACATGATGCTCGATATTTTCGAGCGCTTTAAGCGCGAGAACATTCAATATTTGGATGTGAGCTTTGACGAAGGTGGTAATGTGTTGTTGAACAACTTAAGCCTCGAGGCCGCTGCTGTGGCTAGTCCGCACAACACAAACCGGCTCAATGAGTTGTTTTCTTCGTCGTTGGTCTCCTCTGCATCGGCTCTAGCCTTGAGCCGGTCCAATAACGCCTCGCCTAGACTTGCGACTCCATTATCGTTTCCAGGCCTCACCCTCGACTCAATCACGTCAGGCTCCATTTCCCCCTCCACGGGCTCGCCAGCAGCCAACAAGTTTGACTTTGAGAACATTCAACACAACCTTGCGGCTTCACACAAGAAGAATCTAATGGTTGTGGAGAAGAACTTGAAGGACTTTGAGGGTAATGTGAGCAAAGTAGGTGAGGGGTTCAGAAATTTCAGCAACAAGTTTTTTGGCAAGGATGTTAATGATTAAAGGTAAGGAAGGAAGCATATTGTGACAATCATTATGGTAAAGGTGTTTGTGGGTACCCAAAATTGTAATAGTTTGGTTAGATTTTCAGCCAATAAGATAGGGTAATGTGAGTTTGTAAGCAGGGATGGGTCACCACGATTCTTTGTGATGACTCTAGCTATATTTCATAATACTTTGGGACTGGTAATGTACCAATCCATGCCCCAATCATTCCATGCAGTGTCAACCTTTCATATTTTGTGTGGGAGGATAAATAGGTGACCTGCCTTCTTCAAATGGACAATAAATGTGACCAGGATTTGTAAGAGCCAAACCTAGCAAATGTTCCAGAGACATAATCGGGCCGAACTACAGCAGAAAGAACATCGCAAAAGACAGAGAACCGAGTCACAATCTAGGCATTTCATGCTCCTATCTTTGGGGGGAAAAAACTCTGTTTCCATACCCATATCCTGAAACTATTATCTGTAAACTCTAGCATAATTGAATACCGTACCCGGATTAGAACCTAATTCATAGTCCATAAACCGACAACGGCTTCGCCTGCGGCTCAGCCATCCCAAGTTTCAGTCATGTGACCTGCAGGTAAAAAATTCGTGCGGCTGCTTTTCATTTAATTTTTCAGTGTTATCAGTGAAAAATTATACCAGTATTTCTAATCTTCAGCTACGCCCCCAAATCACAATGCCAGCCAGCAAGTTCAGAAAGAACAACCGTGCAGGTTTCAAACGTCCGTCGGATGATTCTCATGAAAACGGTGCGAAGAAGCCGAAGGGCACTCCAAAAACAAAGTTTGGCAGAAAGGAGATGAGAACCGTAACGAGAACCACCAGAAGAGGCCAGCACCAGGCAGAAGAGGCCCCACAACAGCAAACTCAAGGACACGAGTCTTCAGAAAGCGAGTATGATTCCGATCAGGATGGCGAAAATAGCAGCGAGGCCACTATGGCATACAACGCGTTGTTGACGTTGCTCAAGAGCGATCATAAGGAAGAGAGGCCAAAGAAGAGCAGGAAGGTGGAAGTGGAAGCCAACGACAGTGATGATGCTTCTGATGTGCAAGAAAACGCACAGCTTGTTTCTGACGACGAAACTGAGGCGGGCGTAATTTCCAAGGAGGAAATGGTTGCGGACGATGCGAATGAGCAGAACCAGGACGACCCATTTGAATCGCACTTCAGCTTGGTATCCGAAAAGGAAATTGCTCAGAAGCAAAAGTTTTTGGAGGATGGAACGTTCAAAGTTTCGGACAAGGCCGTGTACCGTGATCTTGGTTACAGCAAGACGATTTCCACGCTTCCGCTTGAGGAAAATACTAACAAATCCACTGCCTCCGTTGGATCTCTCAGTTCGTATTCCATCAAACAGAGAATCTTGCTGCCGTTTAATGACAAATGCACGTTGGACGCTAAGGACAGAATGATCGTGGACCCGATTTTCCAATACCAGGACTTGTTGTACCCAACGGTGCAGCACGACAGCGACCACTACCAGAAGCTCTATTGTTTGCACATCTTGAATCATGTTTTCAAGACCAGAGACCGAATCTTAAAGAACAACAGCAAACTTGCTCACTACACGGAGCTTATGGCTAGCGGAAAGACGAGCATAGATCCGCCGGAGTTCCGTGACCAGGGTTACACCAGGCCGAAGGCATTAATCCTTGTGCCCACTCGCAACAAGGCGTACGAGATCGTGGAGATGCTCATCCAGCTCAGTGGTGCAGAGCAGAAGGAGAACCGCAAGAAGTTTCAAGGACAGTTCTTTGACGATAGTGAGGTGCCAGCGTCAAAGCCAGAGGACTTCAGAGCAACGTTCAAGGGGAACAATGACGACAGATTCATCATGGGGTTGAAGTTCACCAGAAAATCTTTAAAGTTATTTGCCAACTTTTACCAATCTGACATCATCATCGCATCACCGTTGCGCATCAACGACTTGATTGTGGAAGACCACAAGCCGTATGATTTTCTCTCTTCGATTGAGATTCTTACTGTTGATTCTACCAATGACTTGGAGATGCAGAACTGGACCTTTGTTGAGAACATTTTCCAGTACTTGAACAAGATTCCAAAAACAAAGCATGACATTGTGGACTTCTCCCGTGTCAAGATGTGGTACATCGAGGACCAGGCGCGCTACTTCCGCCAAACGTTGGTGTTTTCCAAGTACCTCACACCCCAGATCAGCAACCTCGTGACAACCAAATCGGTTAATATCGAGGGTAAGTGCAAATTGAGACCGTTTGTGGCCGCCCCAGCCTCTGCGATTAACAAAAACTTGATCAAGTTGAAGCAGATCTACACTAGGTTTGAAGCGTTTTCGCCAGTTGAGGGCCCCGATGCCCGCTTCACCTACTTCTCTCAGGTGGTATTGTCTGCCATGATCAAAACCACGTCATACGAAGATGGCTTGTTGATCTACGTGCCTGATCACGCGGATGCCCACCGTGTAAAGAACTTCTTACGAGACCACTCGACCTTGAACTTCGAGTACATTGACGAGTACACCTCCCAGTCACAGTTGACCAGAGCCAGACAGGACTTTGCCAACGGAAAGTGTAAGGCCTTGGTATACACCGAGAGATTGCACTACTATCGCCGCTTGGAGCTCAAGGGTGTCAAGAATATTCTCTTCTACGCTCCGCCAAGCGACCCGGCCTTCTATAGTGAGATTATTGGCTGCATCGGCAAGACCGCCTTCCGCGAGGAGTGCGAGTTGGACTTGTGTTTCGCCAGAGTCCTCTACTCTAAATGGGACGCCTTGAGCGTGGAGCGCTTGGTCGGCTCTGAGCGCGTCGGCAAGCTCTGTGGGACGAAGGACGAAGTCTTTGAATTCCGTTAGATGTATACTAATAAAGATTGAAAACAAAGGCAATAGTAGTCTTGAGGCTTATATTTTAAGTACGAGAGTTTTAGCAAAAGGACATAAAATAGCTTGAAGCCAAGAAAACAGCTTCCAGATATAAAAACAGATATTTAGGCCAAATCCCTGCCCGCACGCCCGCCCTTTCTACTTAGTGAAAAAGTTACACCATTTATGCTAAACCTTATAAGAGTGTTATAGAAATAAGCTCAACGGAATTTTAGATCCCTGACTGTGCGACTGTTTGAATAAACTCGAATTATATATAATTCTTATCTAATGAGAAAATGAGAATAATACCAAAACTGATCTATGGTTAGTCAGAAAGCTTTCGTCGGTATTGAAGGTAAATCTTTGTGTCCTCTAGTTTCCTCTATAAAGTGCATAAAAGCAGTTAGTAATAGCTCATATACTAGATATTTATGTTATATTGTCCTAAAAATATACGACCGTCAACTTATTCCTGCTACACCGAACAGGTGGATACGTAAAGGGGGAATGAAACGCGCTAAATCTTGCCAGTTTTTGCTCGTTTTCGCGCTCTCGCTTTCGCGTACTCGTTCAGATATTAGGGTCGTGGGACACCAAAACTCGAATTTTTCCTACCACTTTGCCTGCTATTGTGCTGCTTCGAAAATAAACTACCGACAGGGGGGGCATAAGCAGACTCGATACCACATACATACAGTGTTTCCGACATTGATTTTTATACCGTTCCAACCCAGCAACTTGCTCTCCAACCCGCAAACGTTGAACATTACCCTCTGTTCACTCAAAAGTGACTTGAAAAGCTGTTCCAGTCTCTAGGCGTACATATCACCCGTCCTCGCTCAAAGGTCTCCGCCAACAACCACCTTCACAGAGCTGGTCACGCAGCAACCCATACCTTTCCTAAGAATTCACCATCCGCGAAATAATACAAACTGTTCTGACTGATTTGACGCCCCAAATTCGGTCCAAATTACCCACGAATCAAATACCTTTTTGATCCCTCACGTATCAACCCAGACGTATTTGATTCTCTCACAAACCGATTTATATCTATTTGAATCGCCTCATCTACGAATATCCACCTTCCGCTCGGCCAGCTCGTTTCGTTCACGCCTCGCCTTACCCCGCTCAGATGTTCAGTCGTGTCAAAACCCTCCGCACGGTCCTTGCGACCGCGTACATGCTTCTTGTCATCCTTACCATCCCCCTCGCGTTTGAAATCGGCGGATTGGATTGCGGATTCACCTACACCATCATTATCAATGCGCTCTACTTTGTGCTCACCACCCTCACCACCATCACTCGCAACCGCTACACACTCCTCTCGCTCCTCTACTACTGCCAGCACCTCATTCTCCCGTCGATCCTTTCGCTCGTCCTCAGCCTCTACACTGAAGGAAGCCCGTTTGCGCTCCAAGCTGAGTCGTCATGGTCACGTGTGGTGCTCGAACCGTGGAAGTACTTTGTGACAAACTCCACGCCGCTCTTCACCATCTCTGAGGGTCTCTGCTCGTTGCTCCTCATCCAAACGATAGGTCAGGCTACTAACTGGCTCTCCAAGCACAAATCCGACTCTTACCTGATCCTTGCGCTCCTCATCTCGAGTGTCACCATTACCGCGTCCGTCTACTTCCTCTACGAGATCTACGTCTCACCGGTGCTCAATCTCTCCCAGGAGATCACCGTGCTCCAGGCGTCCATGCTCGGCTCCATCCTCACTTATACTGGCGTCGTGGGCCTCTACGGGATCCTCCTGAAGAACGGCTCCACCATCGAAAGCTCGCTCCTTTTCGCCTACATCGTGCGGTGCATCTACGAAATCTTTCCTGAAATGTCACAGGACGTGTCGTCGATGATCGCCGCCATGGTCAATACCGCATCCCAGAATATCCAGGGTAATGGCTACCTCCACCAACTATTCCAGACGCTCTATGCCCCGTACACCGCATCTTCCAGCACACTTCTCCACCAAGCGCAGCAGATGTGTGTCAACCTCACGAGTACCTTCCCGGGCCTGTTCGCCACGGTTCTCCAGTTCTCGCGCATCGCGGTCTCCACGTTGAGCCCGTTGATCATCCTCAACCTTGCCTACCGCATCGGTGTTTTCTACGCAGCCACCCGCATCATCCCCATCTTGTCTTATTCCACTCCATCCTCCCCGTCGCTCAGCGCCGCCTCTTCCAGCACTCTGCTCAACCGCCATACCCTCTCTAAGAAACAATTATCCACCAACATGAACTTGCTCTATGCTTACGCCCCGTGCATCGTCATCGCCGTATACACCCATTTGATGGTGCAATACTATTCGGGTGCCGTGGCCACGCACAACCAGTTGCAGATCTGGCCGCCAACCGTGCTGCAGAGATTCCAGTACACCTCAGAGTTCTTTCGCAATGATTCTGTCATCGTGGTCAACTCCTTGCAGTTCTGGCAGTGGATGAATATTGTGATTACGTTGGTGACATACTCGTTAGAGTTGGTGGGGAACGGGAAGAAGGGTGGGAATAGAAACCAGATCCTCGATCATCATATTACTGCAACTGTTTCGTCATTTGAGAAAGAAATAAAGGATGATTGGAAGGACTAAGTGGCTAGAAGCGGAGTTCGCTGGAACCACCTGGTGGCTAAACATAGACTTCCAGACTTGACTAAGGTGAAACAGATAATACCAAGAGTTTCTTCCGCAAGCTTTCCAATCCTGTCTAGGTTTAATTTGGTTTCGTCCCTTGGTTGTTCACCTTGCAACCTCCACTCGTGGAGATTCTGAGTCTGGTTTGGGCCGAATTTGTGCTGTCAGCATGCTCATACATTTCACACTTGTTTTGATGAATTTTGTTGAGCAGTCCGACTTTTGCCATTTTCATGATTTGACGACGAGAAAAAGGCTTGTTACGGCATGCCCTACATCTCCCTCTTGGCTGCAACACTACGGTACTACTTGCCAACTGTTGCTTGTTAAGACGACGATTGTCACGCCATGACGCCATGCTCTACCCGGTCCGTAAAAGGCAGTGATATATCCTCAAACTTGTTTCAGGTTTTTGGTAGTACTCTATCTGCAGTTTGATTCTGCGCCAAAGGTGCCATCGAACCTGTGTTAAAGGTGAGGATTACCACATCATTCATCATTCATGTCCCTTGTCTCATTCTCTTCTAGTATGAGCAGACTTATGACAAGCCTTTTGCCATATAGTGACCTTGTCTCTTTCCCTATGGTATAGATGTTGTGTGTAAAGTTATCATCTACTATTATCTGCATGGATATACCACTCATAGCATCGCAGTTTGCCAAACTCTGTACCTTAGTGAACCTTACGGTGACCGTATTAGCAGTCGTACAACCTCTATGTTGGAGGTTTAGTACACACCAACCTTCTGTAAAGGGTCTTTCTTTCTAATGGTTTACGAATGTAAAGTTTTGCCTCTTTTTGTAGTTGTATATTCACCTCCCTTGCAACTTCAACACGATATTCCATTTAATTTACCGGTTGTGTGTCATATAAATACGGACTACGTACCAACCCCCTTTTTTAGTGGTTGTCACTGTGATATTGCGACATTAAGCTCCAGAATCGAGCCACATCTGGCGCATCCTCCTCACGTGACTCTCATCGGACTCACGGGGCCGAACACGGGCCGATGTCACGGCTAAGGGAATTTTTCAAGATTCATGTCGTTATATATAACAGCTTTGATTCCGGTAGGCTAGATTAAGCTTAAATCGTTTGACCCCAAAAGTCTACAGCGATGCCAGACGAACCAGAACCCGTTTCTTTATGGCGCTATCCCCGCAATTTCCTCAAATTCTGTCAGGCGCAGTGGTTCTTCATCGGCCTAGCGGTATTAATCGCCCTTGCACATTCTTACCCCAATTTTGCGCGCCTGGGTGGGCTTCTCAAGTCCCAGTATACCATCTCATATGGAGCCGTGGCGATAATCTTTCTCATCTCGGGAATGTCTTCTTCCACGCGTGACTTGATGAAGAACATTGGCCACTGGCGCGCGCACCTCACGGTTGCCACGATGTCGTTTATCATCACATCGGCGATTATATACGGCATATGCACGGGCATAGCGCGCGCACAAAACAAGGGCATTGACGAGTGGATGTTGGTAGGGCTCATTGTGACGGCTACGTGTCCCACCACGGTAGCACTGAACGTGGTGATGACGCAGCAGGCACACGGAAATGTCGTGCTCACGCTCTGTGAGGTGTTCATTGGCAATCTTTTGGGCGCCTTTATCTCTCCGGCCTTAGTCCAGATGTACACTCTCGGAATGTGGGCGTTTGCAAACCCCGCGGCCGACAGCTCCGTGGGTGATTTGTACCGCCAGGTGATGAAGCAGTTGGGACTTTCAGTGTTTGTGCCGATATTTGTTGGCCAGGTTGTCCAAAATGTATTCCCCCGGCAGACTAAATGGTGTGTATCCACGCTTAAGTTAAACAAAGTGGGCTCGTTTATGTTGTTGTTGATCATGTATGCATCGTTTTCCACGGCTTTCTACCAGAATGCTTTCACCTCCGTCCCCACCGCCTCCATTATCTTTATTGTGTTCTTCAATATCGGTATTTACGTGTTTTTCACCATTCTCTGCTACTTTTACAGCCGGCCCTTATTTCTTTTGTGGCTCTTTCCCACCGCTCCGACGTCTGACTCGTCCAAAACCTACTCCGTGTGCTATAAGATCTTCCGCCCGTTCTACTATAACAGAAAGGATACCGTCTCAGTGATGCTCTGCGGTGCCGCCAAAACCGCGGCCTTGGGGGTTTCCTTGGTCACGTCGCAGTATGGCTCGCACAACGAGCACTTGGGACAGCTCCTTGTGCCTCTCGTGTTGTACCAATCGGAGCAGGTAATGACTGCACAGGTTTTGACCCATTTCATGAAGAAGTGGGTGCATGCTGAAGAAGCCAAGACCAGTGATGAGGAAACTGCTGTAGAAGCAAAGGCTAGTGATGGGGAAACTGTGGACGCGTCAGACAGCGTGTCTAATGGGGTGCGGCCTGGGACAAATCTCACACCGGAATCATAACTATGCTATACAAGTATTGATACGATCCCCTGACGGCCCCATAAAGTTACAAAGGGTGAATTGTATGTTGTTTAGGCGGAATAGATGTGCTAGGGTAGAAAAGGAAGATAATGACATGGGGGAACCACTTATCAAAAGTGACACAGAAGGCGATGCTCCTTTTTATACCAGCTGCTTATACTTTGTTCTGGACCTTCACTAAAACCATGCCTGAGGTCTGATGATTTTGCTGTCTATACAGGCCTACCAATTCTGATATTTGAAGAGAGGTGGTTTAGTGACGATTTCAGATACTTCGCGTTGACCTGTTCTGCAATATATATACATATTCTTAAGCTTAAGAACGATAATTTTACGTGCGTGCTCAGTACCTGTTTAAATTAAGAACGCCGTAGATTCCCTTCTTAGACTAATGTAAGCTAAAACAATTATTCTTGTTCATATCTGGTTCCAGATTAATATCCAAGCTCCAAAACATTTGAGAAAATAAGTCTAAATTCTCTTATGCTCATACTGTGTCTCCCACTCCTACCCCTATGCTTACTCGGTTACGTCTCAGTCCCAAGAGTAAGCACCTACCACCAAATATCCACCCCTTGGTCAAAGTCCACACAGAGACAATATAGATATCTGATCATTAGGTATATAGCTTGTAAATTTTGAGAGTGTCAACACCCACGTTTCACTAGCATACATCGCTCGCAGTCTTTCGGTTATAGACCTTCATTTGTAATGTTTCCCGCTTTTCCCAGTTAGATTCCCAGGATATCAACGCCCGCCAAAACATCCTCTCCATCCGCTACATTGACTTCGGTGACACCCACCGAAAACCCTCCAGCAAGCTCAGCGCCAGGGAAACCATATCGCTGGCCACTGCCAGAGTGTTGTTGGTACGCGCTAGCAAACAAGTCCTGATTCCAGACAAAGCCCTGACTCTCATCCAACGAAACTGAGTATCTCATTTCAATGCGACCCGAGAGTGGGTTGTAGTACCGCTGGTCGTAAACCCTGTGCGTCTCGTCGTGGATCATGCTGTCGGAGAGGAACGAGTTGCGGCGACACCACGGAGAAGAGGGAAGCGCAAACGAGGACCGGCGCAAGGGATCAGCAGCTTGCTCGGAGGAGTTATCATCCACGGCAACCGCGGTCTTAGAGTGACTCCGCAAACGGCGCTGGCTCCCTTCCGAGTTCTTGGAAAGTGTGTACCCCTGGAAGCTTTCATTAGGATCTGGCATTGTAATGTGGTGATATATAACTATTGGGTAGCTATTAGGATATTTTTAAAGGGAAAAAATACTATATTTTGAGAATGTTAACTGTTTAGCAGCGTTGGCAAGTTAAATTTCTTTTGACTCCAGATGCCAGTAGGCCTAGCCGAGCGGTAAATATGTAAGATACTGCAACATGACGCAGAAAGATTGCTCCTGTGGCTGAAGACTAAAGGAGATATCGAGGCTGGTGCATGGCGGTGAAGACATACCCACGCGTGAAACGCGCTGACGCGTGGAATTTCTTTTCTAAGAGGTTTTTTTTCGCCATACAAAGTACCACTTCAAAACACCGCTTCAAAGCCCTTCCACAAAACGCCACGCCGTCATGTCAAACAGACGGTTCTTTGTGCTGGAAGAAGAATCCCTGGAACTGGAGCCAGAGGTCATTGAAAATGCCTTCGAAAGCCAATTCCAGGGCCATCTTTCAGGAGACGCCGCCGCAGATACCATCAGTGAGTGGCAAAAACGGTTGGCCGCCTTTCTCCCCGTGACACGGTCCCAAGTCGAAGTCTTGCATACAAAGTACAGCTCCCTTCTGAGCGAAGATGCCTTTGCAACGGTTGTCAATGAGCTCCTTGATAGAACCGTTCAACCCCCCACAAAGGCAAGTAGCCATGCCAAAGCCACTGAAACGAGATCCCTAGAAAACACTGTAAATGATACATGCTTCAGAATAACTCCCCAAAGTAGTTACTCCGCACCCCCCAGCGTGAAAGAGATTATTGTTTTGGACGATCTGGAGGACGAAGCGCCGACCACTCACGTTAAAAGACCCTTGGCAGGAGGGGTCGATAAATACCCGAAAAAACAGAGAGAATCAGGCTGGAAACGTTTTATTGGCTCATTTCAGGTGCGTGCATGGGCTGTGCGGCCCACTGTGAGACCGTTAAAGTTTCGCCAGACAATGCGGATGAAACGACTCATCCCCAAATCGCTGAAGAAGACGGGGGACCGGTTTGGATCCACAGCCGTCATCAGGCTCGAGGACATAGAAACCCACCGGGAGATTGGGCGCTTGCCTGAGGATGTTACCAAGATGCTCAGCCCGTTGCTCGACTTGGCGGTTCTCGAGTTGGACTGCCGGGTAATATTGTGCGAGAGCCGGCTCAGCACTGGGGATTCTTTCGGAGTACAGATCGACTGCTACTTCTCCCACCATGCCTTTGAGGAGATCGGAGCTGCAGGTACCCTTAACCCGTTTAAAAAAAGGGATGAGAGTAAGTTTGCGCTCGAACCGGAGTCCGAAGTAGCCTTGAAGCTTAGACAGAAGAGTATGGTGAAGTTGTTTGCGAAGTTGAACGTGCGGGCGCTCGGAAACAGCCAACCGTCGGTTGTGGACGATACCCTGGGGGATGAAGCTGAGAGTGAAAAAGCGGATGAGCTTAACGTGAACCAGTTGAAGGAATTGTACCGCTCTTCCCAACAAGCGGAGATGTTGGAGAACTTACCTGAAACGGTTCCTCCGAACACGTTCCAGCTCGAGCTCAGACCGTACCAAAAGCAGGGCCTCACGTGGTTACTCTACCGGGAGAAGGAGACCAAGGGGCTCAAGGCTGTGGAGGAGTTGGAAGCGGAACCATGGAACCAAACCCAGCAGGTGAGTCAGCACTTGACCCAGGACGAAATCGAAGAGATTGTGGAAGAAGAGGGCATGATCAACCCGTTGTGGAAAGAATACAACTGGCCCGAGGATACCTCTTTTGCAAATGAAGCTGCAACCGTGGCCATTGACCGTGCCTCCTCCTCCTCCTCCTCCTTCTACGCCAACATGTACTCAGGAGAGTTGTCCCTCGAGAAGCCAGTGATTAGACAGGTCACGAAAGGTGGGATTTTGGCAGACGAAATGGGGTTGGGTAAGACCATTTCCACGCTTGCCTTGATCCACTCAGCATACTTTGACAAGCTCTATGACGCGCGGAGGGCTGCGAGGGAGCACTATGCCTACAAGACCACTCTCATTGTGGTGCCGATGTCGCTTCTCTCCCAGTGGCAGAGAGAGTTTGAGACGAGTAATACGCATCTGAAACATAAGTGCTATGTTTACTACGGGTCTGACGGAAACTTGGGTGACCTCACATCGTATTTGTGTGATGATGGGGCTCCGATAGTTGTGCTTACTACTTATGGGACGATTATGAATGAATGGGCTAAGAATTCCCGAAGGGGTCCCGAAGGAGGTAAACTCTCTGGCATCAAATCGGGAGCTAAAGCAGCCAATTCCTTTGCCAAATCCTCAAACACCTCAGGAAACGGCCTTTTTTCGGTAAAATTTTTCCGGATTGTGTTAGATGAAGGGCACACGATCAGAAACCGTACCACCAAAACCACAAAAGCGGTCTACGACTTGACAGCCTCACGGAAATGGTTGATCACCGGGACGCCCATCATCAACCGCTTGGACGACTTGTTTTCGCTCGTCAAGTTTCTCGAACTCGAGCCGTGGTGCAACGTATCGTACTGGAAGTCTTTCATCACGGTTCCGTTCGAAAACAAAAACGTATCACAAGCGTTGGACATTGTGAAGGCAATCCTTGACCCAATCATCATCCGTCGAACCAAGGTCATGAAGCAAAAGAATGGCCGGGCGTTGGTGGAGCTCCCAGAGAAGGAGGTCACGATTGAGTACGTGAAGTTTGAGGAAGAGGAGCGGACCATGTATGACTGGTTCTTGAAAAAGGCTGAAAACTCCTTTCAAGAAGGCTTAAAGAGCGGAGAGTTGCTAAAACGCTACACCACCATTTTAGTTCACATCCTCCGGCTTCGCCAACTCTGCTGTCACCCGCTGTTGGTGGGAACCGCGGGGGATGAACTCGAAGAGATTTCGGTAAACCCGATTGAGCTCTCAGAATTCCAGCCGCCAACCCACGGAGCATTATCTGAACAGGAAGTAGAAGCCACCGTAGCCGGTTTTTCTACCTTGGATCTCTCCAACACCGAGTGCTCCATCTGTACCAACTCACCCGTTTCCCTCCACGAAACTTGTGTCACACCATGTGGCCACACGTACTGTCTCGAGTGTCTCTTGTGTCACATTGACTTCCAGGTACAGCGAGGAAATGACGCTCAGTGTCCGATGTGTCGTGCTGCCATCTCCAAAAAAGCCTTGTTCCGCGTCCGAAGGAACCGTCTGATGAATGAGTTTTACCTTTACGATTCCAAGATCATTTCCTCAAAGATTAAAGCATTGCTATCGCATCTCCGCGCGTTGAAGGACCGGCAACTGGGCGAGCAGGTGATTGTGTTTTCCCAGTTTTCCACATATTTGGACCTCATTGAAACTGCGTTAGCATACGAATCGGACGATTATCTTGTCTACAAGTTTGACGGCCGCTTATCGATGCAGGAAAGACAATCTATCCTTGAAAAGTTCCAAAGTAAACAAAGCACGGGAAGAATTACCGTGTTGTTGTTGTCACTCAAGGCTGGTGGGGTAGGATTGAACTTGACGAACGCCTCCCGAGGGTTCATGATGGACCCCTGGTGGTCCCGAAGCATAGAGGACCAGGCCATCGACCGTCTTCACCGCATTGGGCAGTTGCGCAACGTGAAGGTGGTACGGTTTATAATGGAGGGAAGCATCGAAGTGAAGATGCTCAAAATCCAGGAGCGCAAGAAGCAGTTAGGCGAGATCGTCAGCGCCCAGGAGGAGGAGAGGAGACAGAGAAGAATCGAGGAGATCCAGTTGTTATTTGAAGAGGAGTAAGCGGATTCCTGAGGCAGCCCAGATAAATGCAAGGCGGAGAAGTATTACCCCATAGGCCAGATATTCCCGCTGTTTATAACAATTATCGTTTATGAATATCATGTTTAAAGACCATAGTATTATGAGGACCAAGAGAGTCGGTAGACCCTGTTTTAGGATCACTAGATTTGGTATCTATGGCCCGAGTTACCAGGTAAAAGCCACCGTAGAAAGGCACTATTGTGCTTTGCAAAATTATCACTATGAGTGCTTCAGATTGAGCTACAACCGATATTCACTATCGAGGTCTGCAATATACCGGTGTTTAGTTTGAAGTAGACGTTGCTCCTTCCCCAATTATTGTAAGCTTCGTTGTTTCAAATCCGTACTTATTGCGCAGAGAATTTTGTATTGGCATCCTACGGTATCGTATGCTACTAGATTTAAATGGGTATGCAAAGGCAGTCCTAGGGCATGAATCTAAGGGTGTTAAAAATGAGCATACTAGTCTGCCCCACGGAGTCTTCGAAGTAATAATATCTATTATCGGATCATCGTTCGGCTGGATACCCAACTCCCAGTTTTGTAAGATAGGATCAATCCTTCCTAGACAGAAAGTAATGTATGGTATGTAGAACGAGCGTATAGGACTCACGAAAAGGTGTCTCTTCGTAGAACTACAAAAATTCTGCATAGCACCAAGAAGGAAAAGCTATTTTGTAAGTCCTTGGAGGGTATCAGAGTCGATCTTACCTTTCTATAAGTTCATCAACACTCCAGGCTAGAATCTCCTGGCATCCCCTTCGGAATGTCTCAGTTCGTATAGCCTCTCCAGAAAAATGTGAAACACATAATCTTTCAGAGATATAACCTATGAGACCATGTTCCAAAAGGTTCCTAGAACTTTTGCGGGTAAAAGAGCAGACGGTGTTTCCAAAAGGTAGTGGGCGTTCCTCGAAAGACCTTCGTTAAGGCCATCGTATAAAGAATGTTAGTTTCATAGGCTACCTCCAGTTATAGACATTCCTTCATCTTGGTCTGTTTTTAGAACCTGATAGTTCCATAAAAGATGATTCAAAGATCTTTAAAGGTTTTTTCAGGTCATCTACGAAGAAAACCGGCGGTTTAATAGGAAGAAATCCTTGCGAGGCCTGGACATTCGGCTCTCCCCATAATCAATATGTAGGCCATCTCGGGGAAACCATTTTCAGATCATATAAAGGAGTAGCTTCTGAGACAGAAGATACGAATAACAGTAGAAAGTTCTCCGAACCAACTTTAATAGACAACTAGCCCCCCTTCTTCCAATACTGACCCTTCTAAATTGATCCGATTCTCTTCCACCCACTTTTCAATATTCCCCCTTAAGACCTCCCTCCCCTCTATCGCCCCCATATGACGCAACGCCATGAGTGCATCATCATACCGCAAGCCCGTGACCGTGCTAACTTGTGCCATTTTCACCTTCACAGCGTCCTTGAACGCACCGCGCATGAACGCGCGTGCCAACACCTTGCACCAGTGAGCGACGTACGCAACGCGGCCAAACTGCGAGAGCGGAAGCTCTGGCCCGCTGACACGACCCTCGCTGCACGACAATGCGTAGCTGAACTCGATGAGAAGGGTGCCGAGTCTCCGTCGTTGGAACGGAGGGAATACCACAATACAGGCCAAATTGTTATCCTCCCATGCGAGCAACTCCTTGGAGAAGAAGCCCATGGGGAGCATGCTCTCCCCGTCGTACCCGTAAACTACGTAGAACTCAAACGTTTCCACTGAAAAAAACACCGATTTGTTATCAAGAAACAATTTGCCAAAGAGACTGAGGTTTTGACAAAATAACGGGTGTTTGCAGCCACGTACACGCCGGACCTCATAGCCCGCACCACGATACAAAACCTTGCCGGGCGCACGCGCGCGGTACGCGCAGGCCGCGCGGTGTGCGTCGATCTCGATCTTTTTATCCGAGTACTTGAAGCATTGGTCGCAGAGGTAGAGCGTATCGAGCCAGAAGGATGTTGTTGCTGGTTTCCTGGATGCTCGTTTGGTCAAGTGGCGGTTGGAATACTCGTAGCCGAGAGTCGACTCGTCCGGCGCAAAGTAGACGGCATTTCCATACCAGGTGTCAAATTCGTAGTCGCCAAGACACACGCGGCGGATGTTTGGATCCAGCACTCCATAGAGCTTTTCCTCTTCTGGGAATGGTGATTCCGTCATGGCAGGAATAATTGAAGCGCAGAGGTTAGTGGAGACTGTGAGGTTGTGTTTTGGTTGATATACGTCACGTGTAAATTTTCACAGACAATCACCAACGAGGTTGGGCCAAAACCGTGCGCGCGGGCCGAACGAAGAAAAGAGAACGAGTGAGATAATATATTGTAAGAGCCTTATGGTGTATTAAAGATATTTAAAAAGGCCTTTCCAAATATTAAATGGTTCTTTCTCTGTAACATAGACGACAATTTTCCAATTGGTTAGGTGTTTGCGTATGCAAACGTGGAAGTCTTTACCAGTTGGGTAGAGCTAAGTAAACGGAAGAATGGCGGGGCAGGTTGGATTGTTACCGTAAAAATGGAGATCTGGATCATCATATAATATATCCCGATTATAGTCCGAGTTGTAGATTTTATATTTGATGTATCATGATGAGATTCAGTTTCATATCTCCAGTTTCTCGAAAGTACATGTCATTGAAAAGATTGGAATGGAACAAATGGCAGTTGGTAAAATGGTTTAAAATGAGATGAATATTTGTGCGTACGGTAAGGCTGGGCCCAAGGTGGGACTACTACATTTACGTGATGGCTTCCAAAACTTGTTTAATCCCAAAAGGGTAAATCTCAAGATTCATTTCCCGATAGCCTTTTTATTCGAGTTATATCTCCCTAGTACCATGTTTTATTGCTGTATCTGATTCAATATTGCCTCTGATGACATTCAGCCATGTAACATTTCTGGTTTTTCCCTGTCGGCCTTGGATTATTTATCCGAAATGCAGCGCTAATATATATATATATATATATTAGATTTTTCTCCAATTAAACAATGCGTTTAACTTTTCGACCAGTATTCCAGCTAAATCCAGTAATACAGTAATATAGAACGTTACTGTCAGCCATTAATCCATTTAAACCCTATATCCTGCACACTTTTACTGCAGGACATAAAATTTTGTTAGGTGCCGGACTGAAAAAAATTCTACACATTTAACCATCTACTCCCCACCTCTTTCTCTTCCCCACGACATACCCACACAATATGGGCCAATTTCGCAAGCGATTCAACGAAAAGGCCAGAAGTGGTATGCTTGCCAAGCAGGCCGCGCTCAAACGGGTGAGAAGCAGACAGTTCACAAGACATATGGACGACGGGACGAAGGAGACGGAGGCAGCTGAGCCGGTCAACCCCAACGCAGAGATTCTCAAGCCGGTAACAGACGCCGAGAAAGATGAGCGCAAGCGTAAAATGACAGAGGAGTTGTTTGGTCCAAAGGAGACCAAGGTGTCGCGGTCGAAGAAGAAACGAATGGAAAAATACATCGACCACCAGTTGAAGCGCGAGGAGAAGCAGGTGTTGTTCTCCAAGTTGGCAGACACGAAGATGGACACATCGCTTCTCAAGTCTTCCAAGTTGTTGGGGACGGGGAAGCAAACCAAGAAAGAGCAGTTTATCGAAGCGTTGGAGCTTGAAGCCCAGGGCCGCGGCGATGCCGAAACGAAGGAGACTTTGTATGAGGAGAGAGTTGTCAAGGACTGGGATGATTCTCAGGAGTTTTTGACGAAAGCAATTGAAGTGGAAGAATTCCCATCAACCGATACTTCTTCGTTTATTGATCAGAGACCAGCCGCTGGTGGGTTTGGGTTTGCTAACTTGCCCAAGGTGGAAAAACTGGGGAAGAGATCATATAGTTGGCGGTCAAAGGTAATGGCTGAGGATGCAAAGAAGAAGAAGCTTGAGGACGATTATTATTCGAGCGAGAGTGGAGAGGCGACGGAAATGGAAACAGAAGAAAGTGAAGCCGAATCCGAGGCCGAACGTGACGCTACGGAGGATAACGAAGCCGAATTGGATAGTGAGTCTGGAGCTGAAGAGATCGAAGAGGCTGAATCTAACGTTGAATCTGAAGTTGAATCTGACTCCGATTCGGATGAGTCTGAATCTGACTCTCCGAGACTTCGTGGCCCCTCAGAAAAAGCCCAATCTTTTAAAGCGTGGGCGGAACAACAGGTCAGAACCCTTGAAGGCCGTATGGAAGTCACCAACATCCCCCTCTCTTCTCTCCCAGAGGAGTACCAAAATTACAAGCCAGCCTTCCGCGCGGAGGACCAGGCATCCGACACGGAGGAATTCATCCCCATCGACGAAACCTCTACGCGCAAGGCCTTCTACGTGGATGTTGACAGACCCAACGAGATACAGCTGGCACGCATGCACCTCCCGGTGTTTGGTGAGGAACACCGCATCATGGAGGCGATCCACCACCACGACTGCGTAGTCATCTGCGGTGAAACCGGATCCGGAAAGACGACACAGGTGCCGCAGTTCTTATACGAGGCTGGGTACGGCGCCTCCGGTTCAGGGACCTCAGGAATGATTGGAATCACACAGCCGCGTCGTGTCGCGGCGGTGTCGATGGCAGAGCGTGTGGGAAAGGAAATGGGTAACCACGGCGCGCGTGTTGGGTACCAGGTCCGGTTCGACGCGCGTGTGGATGCGCTGACCAAGATGAAATTCATGACCGACGGTGTGTTGCTCCGCGAGATGATGAACGACTTTATGTTGGAAAAATACTCCGCAATCATCATCGACGAGGCGCACGAGCGGAATATCAATACGGATATTCTCATCGGTATGTTGAGTCGTGTGTTAAAATTGCGCGCACAATACCACGCGCGCGACCCCACACGCTACACACGTCTCAAGTTGGTCATCATGTCCGCAACATTGCGTGTGTCGGACTTTGCTGAGAACAAGCTTTTGTTTCGCACACCACCGCCGGTTCTCAAGGTGGAAGCGCGCCAGTTCCCCGTCAGTGTGCACTTCAACCGCCGCACAACGTTCAACTACCTTGACGAAGTGTTCCGCAAGACATGCAAGATCCACCAGAAGCTTCCGCCGGGTGGGATCCTCATTTTCCTCACAGGGCAGCAGGAAATTCAGACCGTGGTGAAGCGCTTGCGCAAGGAGTTCCCGTTGGCGAAGCGTGCGCGCGCGTACGACGAGGACGTCGCCATGAAGGTGAGCGCAAAGCACGCGGACACCGAAGCCGAGGAGATCGACTTCAGCGTGCGTGTAAATGAAGAGGAAGAAGAGGAGGATGACTACGACTCTCAGGATGAAGAAGGCTTTGAGGAGACCCGTGAGGCGGGCCAGACAGATCGCGATCCGTTGTACATTCTTCCACTCTATTCGCTTCTTCCTACCCGCGACCAGATGAAGGTGTTTGAGGAACCACCAGCTGGCTCACGTTTGTGTATTGTTGCAACCAACGTGGCTGAAACATCTTTGACAATTCCAGGTATTCGCTACGTCGTAGACTGCGGGCGTGCGAAGGAGAGAAAGTTCAATGAGGATACGGGAGTCCAGAGCTTTGAGATCGACTGGATCTCAAAGGCGTCCGCGGGTCAGCGTGCGGGGCGTGCGGGGCGCACTGGTCCCGGTCACTGCTACCGTCTCTACTCGTCTGCGGTGTACGAGCAAGACTTTGTGCAGTTTGCGCAGCCCGAGATCCTCCGCATGCCGGTTGAAAGCGTAGTACTCAGCATGAAGAGCATGGGAATTGACACGATTGTCAATTTCCCGTTCCCAACCCCACCAGACCGCCATGCGTTGGACCGTGCGGAGAAGTTGTTGCTGTACCTTGGCGCGTTGGACGCGGACAGGCGTGTGTCTGAGTTGGGGCGCGCGATGAGCTTGTTCCCGCTTAGTCCACGCTTCGCAAAAATGTTGATTGTTGGGAACCAGCACGCGTGTCTTGAGTATGTGGTTGCAATTGTGTCGGTGTTGTCGGTGGGCGAGCCATTCCTCACCGAGCTCGAGCTCGGGATCCAGGAAGTAAAGCCAGTAGGGGATGAGGACGTGCCCGTGGAGTCGTATCGCGAACAGGAGGCTAAACGCGCGCTTCGCGCAAAGTTCCACCAGTCGCGCAGACAGTTTGCGCGTCTTGATAAGTGCAGTGACGCGTTGCGTCTCCTCTCGGCCGTGTGCGCATATGACCACGTACCGCGCGACGCGCGCGCGGCGTTCCTCGCAGATAACTTCCTCCGCCCAAAGATCATGGAAGAAGTCAGTCGCTTGAGACAGCAGATTGCCAGTATTGTTAGAGTTAATACCGCGAAGGAAAGTATTGCTGCGACAGTTGATGCTGAGGTGAAGCTCGCAGTGCCGTCGAAGGTTCAAATCGCGGCGTTGAAACAGATGGTTGCGTCCGGGTTTGTTGACCAGGTGGCCATTCGCGCGGACCTTGTCACCAGCGAATCCGTCACCAACAAGAGCAACGTGATCAACATTCCGTATCTCTCCCTCTTCCCGTCGATGACCCACGGAGAGGAGGTTGACCCGTCGGTGTACATCCATCCGGGCTCGATCTTGACCAACCTTGGTGAGTTGCCTCCGCCGTACTTGGTTTACCAGTCGTTGAATTTGGGTTCCAACCGCGTCGCTGGGAAGATTTCCAAGTTGCGCATGAGGCCGTTAACGGATATCGGTGGCAAGCCGTTGGCGAACATCGGCAAGAGCAGTGGTTTGGTAACGTACTCCAAGCCGTTGGGCCATCCGTATGCACCAAAGAATATTACCGCGACGAAGCGTGAGTGCTACGTGGTTCCGCGTATTGGCGCGGCCATAGGGTCGGGCGGGGTCGGCTGGGACTTGCCGGCAAAGAAGGTGGTGCAGAACAGGGTGAATGGGCAGTGGGTTATTGAGTAGAGCACCGTTATGTGATGTCGCGAGCATGGTGCTTACCACGTAATCCAAAGAACCACGATTGTGTATATGTATTGTAATATAGTTTTGTTAGTAAATTGCAGTAGGTCTCATGAACAGAGCGTAAGGGGAACGATTGGTGCTCATTCCGACGGGGCATATAAGCATTTCACTTGGCCAAAAAGATACATGGAGAATACAGTGCTCTAGCTATCAAGTACAAGTATGTATAACTGAAGTTCCTAATTATGTTATAGATGTGATTGTAATGTATGCAATATAAAATCTAGTGGATACACACCATCCAACTAGAATGGAGTGGCTCGTTACATTACACCTTGTTAAGATACACAACCGTTTCAAGTTTACCTCGCAGTCTTGATGTTTGCAATTATCCCATGATTGCTGTAATATGGATTTATGGTTTATGGTACGGGTATTGAGGATAATTAGGGTGAAAATAAGGAGTTTATAGCTACCTACAGAAGGCTAAGTCAGGAGACCCTCAACCGAATTCATCTATATGAGCACAATCCAAGTGACACTTACCATTATCGAGTACAGTTATTGGTATTTGCGTAGTAATATAAGCTACAACGACATATTTAGGTACCGCACTGGGCAACCTATTCTGCTTTCGCGTGGAAGCCAAACCAGAATAACTACATAACCTCAATTTACATCAATATCTCCACACGGCATTACAGCTGGTCAGGGGGTGGACTTTGCTTACAGCTTAGAGCATCAATAATATCCACGCACCATTGTTTTATTTACCAATTAAATTCTACAATATAAACCAACCGTAACTTGATTCAGCTTCCTAAGTGAAATCAGTATTCAATTGCGCGGCGTTCCCGTTCTTCTGCACGCTGAGATAGTTCTCAGAGATGATTGTGCTGTGCGGTAAGACTGATATCACCATTTTCAGCTTGTCGCCAAAAACAATCTCCACGTTCGCCACAAACTCACCCTTGAAATCGTACATTGGAAATCTTGCCGTGAACTTGTCAGCCACGGTAATAGTATACTTCTTAAATGTCGACTTCACCACCAAGCGGCCATTGGGGATGGCGCTGGAAAACACAAGGAGCAAGTCCTCCACCACTTTCACAGAGTCTTTGCTCAGACTGATGAGCATAATATTCGGAAATCCTGGTTTGATGTGCTCACCGATGGATACTCCGTAACCCATCGATGTGTATTCGTAGTTGGAAAGGGTGACCCGCAGACGGTGCTCTGTCGATCCCCTCTGAAAAAGATCCAAGAGATCCTGGGTGTCTCTAGTGACGTTGCTGGTCCCGACAGGAGCACAAACAATATCTAACCTGTCTGCGGTGCTATCCTGAATCGCTAATTTGGTGTCACACAACCCAGGAATGTTGATCTCTGCTTCGTACTGGCAAGTCCGCACCTCAGCCACAGATTCCACACTCAAGCGGCCAATTCTGGGGTCGCAAAAGTACTTGACATCGATTGTTCGCGGAGTCAAGGTCATATCGCACTTGGTGCCTCCTCCTACACTCTGGGAAATGTACTTCGATGTGCGGTCCTGCTCAATACTGAAATCTGATTCATCCTGAAACCGCGCGAGATAGTAGATGGGCAATGTCGGGTCCGGCTTGGGGACACCGGTCTTGGCCACCTCCAAGTCTTCGTGGAACTGCACCACCTCCTTGCCGTAGCAGAAGGCATACGTCCACCAGCCAGTGCTGTAGTACAAGCAGCTGTCTAGGGCTTTCTCGATAATGGCTACAGCAGAGGCTAACGTCTCCGTGTCCACTTCGATGCGATTTTCTGATGAGGTGGATACTTGGGGTAATGCGTAGTAAGGAACGGAGCAGATATACTGGGTGTCTGGCCGCAGGAGGAGCTCAAACGATCTGTTTGATTGTCTCAATTTTAAAAGGGTGTCTGTTTCAGGGAACGAGACGAGTTTGTCAGAGTATTGGATGTTTATCTGGGTTGTTAGTATAGGACTTAGGGGCGGTGGTTATGGAGAGATAGCAGTAAGGCATAGAGCATATCGGGGTTCCAACATGAACAGTAGAGAATATTTTGTAGACTATAAGGGTATCACGTCGAATTATTCGGCTGTGTATCGCATTGTTGAGAGATGGTGGCTGAGAATCATTCGGTACTAGCGCCTGGCTTAAACACTACGTTAGAAGTCAGGTGGTTAGCACTACAGCATGGATATGAGGAGTATTTCTGACGTCATTTGCCGTAACCAACCACACCAAAGGTGATATTTATCAACGAGAAATGAAGACAGAGACCACCTTTAACATCTACCCCAATCAACTCCGTACCACAACTGAGTGTGTGAGGTCGAAACAACCCCCTGTATGCGTGCCACGATAACTGATATTCCGATGCTTCCGATATAGTACGTACCTTGGGGGAGCTGTATATGTCGCTGTATGCGCTGAACCCGCATTGCACAGACGAAACTCCCAAAAGTAGGAGCAAAACCCATGAAAGCATTTTGTGTAAACGAGGTTAGGACGGAAAGCTATCGCTTTGTGGGGTCCAAGCCTTAAGTACATGCTGGCAATCTCAGACTTCCCGAAACTGATATGGATACAGCGAAAAGCAAATATCTCGCGAAATTTTATAGAAGATCGCGAAACACACGGCATCCATGTCCATGCATTATCTTAATCTTGTGGCAAGTCTACATTCCCAGTCACACCAAACAGATTTTTGCAACTCCAATGCTTAGCCCCAAGACCTTAGTTCTCGCATTGGCCACTTCTGTGCTAGCACTCGACACAAAGTTGTTTATCAGACTGGCAGGTGGCAGTCAAAGCTTGGGGAGCTTGTCCTACGACGCTGCCACCCAGGAAGCAGAGTTCGCCATCAATGAGGCTCTCGGACCAGTTCCTGATTCCGTCTACTGCATAAGCAATTCTGAATACGGCCCGTGTGTGGCGTACAAACGTTTAGCAGCGCCGCTTAACGAAGTCTTGGTGATACACTTAGACGCCGACCACAATATCGACCAGCTCAGTCTTGTTGGGTCTGGCGCTGCAAGTGAAGCCAATACTGTGGTGACGTTGATGAAAGGACCGAACTCCGGTGCCCAGCCAATTCTCAAATCTAGCGCTGTGAACCCAGAAATCGGCAACGAGGGGCAACCCGTTCCGGAAGGGGATCTCAAAAAGGTACGTGGGGCTTACCTGGCCTGTCTGTTCAATACTAACCGTTTCTAGCAGGAAAAATCGTTTATTCAGCAAAACTGGATGTACATCGTGCCACCATTAGTAATTTTGTTCATGATGTTGCCCCAGGAGGAGGAGGTTAAGAGGTAAGTGACTTTTGTACGGCTCAGTGAGTCGGAAGAGCCCCTCTGAGGCTATGACTGTTATACAGCGTCTGTCAAACTGACAAGTACAATGGCTTTACGTCTCAAGTACATGCTGTATGCTGTTTCCACCTCCTAATGGCCAATCTCTGTTCGAGAGCTTTGTAAGATGGCCACCGAGACTGGTTTCGTGTGATTGCGTGAGAGATTGAAAATCTCAATTTGATAAAACAAGTTGTATATTGCCTAATTCATATATCGTCTCTTTATAAGCTAGGAACTATACGGGTTTTTCGGGCACCCTTCGAGCAAGCTCTAGCAATAAAGAAAGTGGCCTTATGGCCACGGGTTAAACGCAGAACTGGAGACCTATGATTGAAAAAAGCTGGTGGAAAAAAATTCTCCAAAACGTGTATTTTTGTATTAAATATCGAGATTATAGTATCTCCATAATATCCAGTGCGAGATACACCTAACATCTCCTTTTGATGACGTCATCCTGGCTCTGCCGTTCTCAAAGCATACCGGATTCCCCGGAGCATATCTATGTGCCATTAACATGTCCACAAATCGCTCAAACACATTCCGCGCCCAATCGACAACTTAAAGTTAAAGGCCCCTTTCTTTATATTTGTTTAGTTCATTAATACTGCATTTATTCACCCAAAACCCCCTTCCGTTTGCCACCATTATGCGCTGTAATGGCTGCGCCGCGTTCGCGAAATAGCCGCCGGATAATCCGAAACATTTTGTATCGCTGGCCTCACATAACAAAATCTACTCTTCTTCTCACTCTGTCACTCTACCATCACCATTCACACGCAACCCAATGGAGAGATTTGGATTCAACAGAGTTTCGGGTTCGGATAGAGCCCTGGAACATAAAGCCCCCGCCAGAAGCCATGGAATCGACTTCCAGGTGGCCAACGCCCCAGATAACGCCTTCTCGCTCTCTAACTGCATTGCCGTGAGCTCCCAGGACTTTCAAGATGGCCAGTACATCCTCATTAACAATCTCTACGTTTACACCGCCCGCACCGTTCCCAACTTCCCCGTCGGCTCTATTGGTGCCAACGCAAATCAGCGTCTCTTTGTCGGCTTGTCGTACGGCGCGCCGTGCCAAGTGTCGCTGTTTGACCTCCGCTCAGTTTCTAGAAAGCAGACCTATCTCGGTTCTTTGACCGTCGCCATTGACTTTGTCAAGCGTGCCAAAGCTGTGGCGACGATGTTCGATACGGAGGAGTTGGCAAAGGAATTTGTCACACGCTTCGAGAACCAGATCTTACAGCCGGGTCAGCCGATTTTTATGGAGCATAAAGGCAACATGTTCACCATCAAAGTGCAGTCCGTACAACTCGTGGACATCAGTGAAGTGATTCCATCGGAACCAGTGTCGAAGACCGTCACCTCCAAGGGGATCTTAGTCAAGCAGTCAGCCATCAACTTCGTGAAAGGACCTGACGGGTTAGTCAACTTGAAGAACAGCGGCGCATCCGGGTCGCGCGCAGACGCGATTATCGCGCCTGACTTCAAGTTCGAGGACATGGGTATCGGTGGCTTGGACGTTGAGTTCACTGCGATTTTCCGCCGCGCGTTCGCGTCCCGTATCTTGTCCCCAGAACTCATCGACAAGATGGGTCTCAAGCACGTCAAGGGGTTGTTGTTGTACGGGCCTCCGGGGACCGGGAAGACGTTGATTGCCAGACGGATCGGGGCAATGTTGAACGTGAAGGAACCCAAGATCGTCAACGGGCCCGAAATCTTGAGCAAGTACGTTGGTTCGTCTGAGGAGAACGTCAGAAACTTGTTCGTGGACGCTGAGGCCGAGTATAAGTCCAAGGGTGAGTCATCGTCGTTGCATATCATCATCTTCGACGAGTTGGACTCGGTGTTCAAGCAGAGAGGCTCCCGCGGCGACGGCACCGGCGTCGGCGACAACGTGGTCAACCAGTTGTTGTCCAAGATGGACGGTGTGGACCAGTTGAACAACATCTTGATTATCGGGATGACTAATCGTCTTGACCTTATCGACAATGCGTTGTTGAGACCGGGCCGGTTCGAGGTCCAGCTCGAGATTTCTTTGCCGGACGAGAAGGGCCGCGTTGAGATCTTCAAGATCCAAACGAAGAAGATGGCCGATAACGGCATGTTAGCCAAGGATGTAGACTTCCATGAATTAGCTGCCATGACAAAGAACTTTACGGGTGCCGAAATCGAGGGGCTCGTTAAATCTGCCTCGTCCTTTGCCATTAACAAGCACCTCAAGGTGGGCAGCATGGCTGCGCTCAATGATGACGTCAAGAACCTCAAGTTGACTCGCAAAGACTTCCTCGGCGCGTTGTCCGAGGTAAAGGCTGCGTTCGGGGTTAGCGATCAGGACTTGAACCAGTGCATGCCGTTCGGTATCATCGGCTTCTCGCCGTATATCAACGAGATCATGAAGATGGGCAAGGCCTTGACCCAGCAAGTCAAGACGACCGAGACCGAGAAATTGGTGTCGGTCTTGTTGCACGGGCCGCCAGGCAGCGGGAAGACCGCATTGGCGGCGGCATTGGCCTTGAATACAGAGTTTCCGTTCATCAAGATGTTATCGCCCGAGGCGATGGTGGGGATGTCCGAGCCGGCCCGCATCCAGTATATCGACAATGCCTTCAGAGACGTCTACAAATCGCCGCTTAGTGTGTTGGTGGTGGACAATATCGAGCGGATCATCAACTACGTGCCGATCGGACCGCGCTTCTCGAACGACATTTTGCAATTGTTGTTAGTGAACTTGACCCGCAAGCCGCCTCACGACCGTCGCTTGTTGATCATCAGTACTACGTCCGATTACAGGCTCTTGGAGCAGATGAACGCGTTGCCGTGCTTCACGAAGGAGATTGCCGTGCCGAACCTTAGCGACTTGAGCGAGTTTTACAACGTCATGGATGAAAGCAACTTTTTGAATGATGCCGAGCGCGAGAAGATTATTAACACGTTGCAGCACGATAATCCCCAGGGACGGTTCAATCTCAGTGTGAAGAAGGCATTGGGGCATTTGGACACAGTGAAGTATCATGAGGATTCGGTGAACGAAATCATTCGGTTGATGAGTGAGGCAATTTTATAAATGCAAAACACTTTACATCTTTCTGTGTCATGGGATATGTTTCTTTAATTTCCTAACTCCACTCCTTGTCTTACAGTGATGTTTCAGCCCTGTGTATAGTTCTTATATATATATATATATTAATCACAAACTTTCGTATATCTTTGGGCGTAGCATGGGGCCTCAGCTGTTTACGTCTCTCTGGAAGTGTGATGTCACAAAGATATATGTTTACCTTCAGGAAATAATTGAGGTTTCTCCCGGCACGCACTAAAATTACTAACATTCACGGATTGTGACCTGGCGGGTAAACTACCCCCGGATAAGGTCAAACCCCAATCCTCTTCATTTTAGACACTTGAGTACTTATTCCTAGACTACATGATTTGCCAATTCCAAGCTTTACAGAAAAGTTCCCTGGGTTAGTCGTGGTTAATGGAGTGGTCAACTATGAAACGTTTATATCGGTTGTGGAGCATTGGCGGAGTTGGTCTTGTCTTTTTCGGTCCATAAAGTGTTTGCCCCGTGGGTTTCAAGATCCTCTACGAGGTTAGGGTTGATATGGATTTCACGACCAGTCGCTCCTTCAGTGTCTGCCCCACGCTTCTTATATTTGTGCACCAAGTGCTTCTCCAATAGCACATAGTTCCGCGAATTGCACTTGTACGCAATATTCACCAAGTCCCCTACAATTGGGATCAAGCCCATGCCGAAGTCAAAGGCCACGTTGGCTATCATTTGCATGTGAGTGAGAGCAGGCAATCCCCCGTCGATTCCTCCGGCTTTTCTCACAACCATCAATGCACAGCAACAGGCAAGAAAGTCCCCAATAACAGGGATTAATCCGATGATACCCGCCCAGCCTAGTCTGTAACCACAGATCTTGACTTGCAAGTCCAAGCGATACGCATTCTGACGAACAGACTTCAAGACCCTGATGTCGTTCTCGGAAAGGTATGCGGGCAACTGCTTCATGTGTTTTCTGTGGTACCAGCTGCGCTTCTTATTGGCATCTTCAGGCTCATAATAAGGGTCTTCTGTGCCACCCACGGCCAAGTTGTCCGTGATATGGGACTATAATATTAGTAGCAGTCTCACATGACCAACGATGAGTACTTACCTTGTTCAACGCCCATTTAGAGACGATAGCGGTCATGGTTAGTAATTTTTTTTAGCCCAGAAAGGGAAAACTAACTCAAGGTTGATACTATCGAAGGCTCGGTTGCTTTTGGAAACTGTGTTCTGTCATGTATTTATAACCGCAAGTGTGCAAATTTCAGGTAGCAAAGAAACCTGCATACGCAAGGCTAAAGCTATGCAGAGGATGCATAATAAAAGAACCCATGACGGTATGTCGCGCTCTGGCGTAGCGCTACGCCCAAAGCCTATGAGAGGCAATAATACTTAATCGAGCCAACGCTACTAAAAAAACTACGCAATAATCATATTAAGTCATACAATAAGGTACCTCCCAGTAATTATGATTATAATTCCACCCACTTCATATTCCAATCTCTGAAATCAAAATACTCCGGTAGTGTGCCCATCGTGTCTCTGTAAAGTGCCGTGTACGCGTAATTTCTCTCCTGCGTAACCTTCAGCCCACGAGTTTTTCACCCGGCGGCTTAAAAAAAATCAAAATCAGCCTACACAACCACCTCACTTCTCTTCCTCATCAACAATGGCGCCTTATCACAACACCGTGAGACCGGACAATGTCCTCAAACGTGCCGAAGACTTGGTTGCTGTCGGACAGACCGAAACGGCGCTCGAGACGCTCTACGAGTTGCTCACCTCCAAGCGTACCCGCGGCGTGGCCGTGGCGTCGCTCGAGCCGATTGCGCTCATGTTTGTGTCCCTCGCGGTCGAGCTCCGTAAGACCAAGATCGTGAAGGACGGTTTGCACCAGTACAAGAAAAACGTGCAGGTTGCCGCCACCGGTTTGGCCTCTGTTGAGGTTGTGTGCCGCCACTTGCTTGAGTTGGCGGAAAAGCGCTTGGAACAGGCCCAGGCCACCGCCGACAAGTCCGCTCTTGATGCTGAGGACGATTTGGAGGCTGTGGAGTCGCCAGAAGACATCTTGCTCGCCGCTGTGTCCAACGAGCAGTCGCGCGACCGCTCCGACCGGGAAGTGGTCACTCCGTGGATGCGCTTCCTCTGGGAGGGCTACCGCACGGTGCTCGACATTTTGCGTAACAACTCCAAGTTGGAGGTGGGTTACGCCGCCGCAGTCAACCAAGCCTTCGGGTTTGCCGTCCGCAACAGCCGTAAGACCGAGTTCAGACGTCTTTGCGAGATGTTGCGCATGCACATCCAGACTGCCAACCTCCAACAGAAGGGCGTGCAGTTGAACACCATCGACCTTGCCGACCCTGAAACCATCCAGCGCTACCTCGATCTCCGCTTCACGCAGTTGACCCACGCGGTCCGCTTGGAGTTGTGGCAGGAGGCCTTCCGTTCGGTCGAAGATGTTCACCATTTGATCACCTTGTCCAAGCGTCAGCCAAAGCCGCACATGATGCTCACCTACTACGAGAACCTTGCGCGCATCTTTCTTGTCTCCGACAACTACCTCTTCCACGCTGCCGCCTGGTACCGCTACTACAACTTGTACACGCAGCACCCACACGCGACGACGGCCGAACTCTCGCGCTTTGCCACTCGCTTCTTGTTGGCCGCGTTGACCATCCCTGCGCAAGAAACCGGTGATGACGCCAAGAACAACAAACTTGCCGCGTTGTTGAACTTGCCTAAGGTGCCAACTAGAGCATCGTTGCTCGCCGCTGCCGTTAGCAGAGAACTCGTCGAGATTGCCGAGCCATCTATCGTGCAGTTGTACCGGGTGTTGGAGTCCGACTTCTCACCGCTCACCGCGCGCAAGGAGCTTGCCGGCTCTTTTGCCACGATTGAGGCCCACTTCCCAGCCTACGTCCAACCGTTGTCCGCAATCGTGCTCTCCAAGTTGTTTACCCAGGTCTCCAAGGTTTACGAGTCCGTCAAGCTCGAGTACTTGATCAAGTTGACCGCGTTCGAAGGCGCTTTTGCGCTCACCGCGTTTGAGGTAGAATTGGCCTTGGTCAAGATTGCCCGCGATGGTGCCCTAACCCTCAAGATCGACCACGATTCCAGGGTCGTCACCTTTGTGTCTGAGCCGTACACCGAGTCTGTGGAGGTTCCTTCCTTGCAGTCATCCCCAGCCGAGTTGATTAAGACCCAGTTGGCCAGGTTGACAAAGACCTTGATGTCCTCCATCGCTATTATTGACCCATCCGTTGAGGTCAGAGCCAAGGAGGCTGAGGCCGCTGCCATCACCCGTGCCGCCGCCAACATCCAACAGGAGAGAGCCGCTTTGGTACAGCGTCGCGAGATCCTCGAGGACCGCAAGCGCTCCACTGACAAGCAGAAGCGTGAGCGTGATGCCGAGGCTGAGAAGAAGCGTAAGGAGCAGGCACTCGCCGAGCAGAAGGCCGAACAGGAGAGACAGGAGGCTGAGACCGTCCGTCGCGCACGCGAAAAGATGGAGAGGGAGAAGGATGCCATCCGCGCGAACGAAAAGAAAAAATTGGCCGAGGAAATTAACGCCAAGGGGATCATCAAGATCGACGTTGAAAAGTTGGAGGAGCTTGACTCCGAAAAGTTGCGCCTCATGCAGGTCGAGCAGTTGGCCAAGGACAAGAACGAGATGGAGGAGAAGTTGAAGAGCCTTGCCAAGAGAATGGATCACATCGAACGTGCCTATAGACGCTACGAGTTACCGTTATTGGAACAAGACAAGGAAACGCAAAAGGAAACTGATTTCACAACCTACCAGGAAATGAAGACCAAGATCATCTCCAAGGCCAAGAAAGAACACGAGGAAGCTGTCGTTGTGCGCGACCGTTTGGCCAGAGTTGTCCCAGACTTTACTAAGTTCCGCGTCTCCATCGATATCGCTAACAAGGAGAAGCTTGCGGAGGCGCAGCGCACGGCCCAGATCCACTTGGCCAATGCCAAGCAGGCCCGTATCGACGAGTACAAGCAGCAGAAGCTTGCGGAGTTGCAGGCCCAACAGGCCATTGCCCAGAAAGCCGAGGCCGATGCTGCCAGAGAGGAGAAGTTGAGACAGCAAGCCGAGTTACAGAGAGAGCGTGAAGCCGAGGTGGAGAGAACTCTCCGCGAGAGAAGAGCCGCTGCATCTGCGCCGCTCCGTGCACCAGTGCCAGTTGCCGAGGCTGCTCCAGACTTGAGCAAGATGAGTTTTGCCGAGAAGATGAAGTTGAAGAGAGCGCAGAGCGGACGTTAAGCGTTGAGCCGAAGGCGGAATGCATCCATGCAAAGTGTGGTATTTATTGATCCGAAGGACGATATGTACCCGGTTTAAGTGATGCCGGCTGTGTTTCCTTAAAACCAGGATCCTGTTGCGGATGCAATATTTGTTAGACGTTATATTCCCAGTGGTTACCCTTAGTTTATACATTTTGTTTTTAAAACCGTGGTGTAGAAGTGGGCAGTGCAAAATCACATTTAAGCACTTAAGAGGATGGTGTGCTAAGCTTGACATTATCTGATGAGCAGTTTGGATTAATGCAAATGAGCTTGAGATGGGCCCTAATATCGATATAAAATCTAGACGTGGCCTAGAAGACGATCCGTATTTTTTTACCGAAATTTATTTTATACTAATCACTCTAAATATGTGTACAGACGACGTACATGTACCTTTACCAAAATCCCAATCACGGAGCTATGCCATAATGTGTCTCAAGTTATATCTCTACTGGTATCTGCAGACTCTATAACCATAGCCCTCTTACCAAAAAGCGCGCCATGCACGCCCAACAGCCACTATATGTTGAATCACCTGGCAATCGTCACAGTTATGGATGTGTTTACGTCCGGCATACTGAAAATCACCACGTCGCGCGAATCGCGATCAGTATTTAAGACGATTTTCCTTCATCACAGAACACTGCTCTCTTACCACTCACTACTCACATTACATATCACAATGGCCACCTTTTTCGATAACATGAACAAGTCCTTCGTCGACGTCCCAGTCGTGGACGGCAAGATCGACACCGCCGCGTTCCTTGACGCATCCGAATCGTTGGTCAAGTTGTTCGACCTCCTCGGGTCCTCTGCCTTTTCTGTTGTCCAGAACGACATGAACGGCAACATCAAGAAGATCCGCACCAAGTTCCTCGCAGAACCGCTCGCCGCCGGCACCTTGCAGGACTTAGTTCTCTCCGAGAAGGACGCGAAGAAGAAGGACGCGACTCAGGGCTTGCTCTGGTTGTCCAGAGGCTTGCAATTCACTGCGCAGTCCTTAAGAGAGACCGTTGACACCCCAGACGCTGAGCTTACCAAGACCTTTACTGACGCGTACGGCAAGACCTTGTCTAAATACCACGGGATGTTGATCAAGCCGGTCTTCAAGTTGGCAATGAAGGCTTGTCCGTACCGCAAAGACTTTTACGCCAAGTTGGGCAGCGATCAGACCAAGGTTGACGTACAGTTGCAGGAGTGGTTAGTGGCTGTTGAGAAGATTGTCGCGAACATTTTCGCTTTCTTCGAGAGCGGCAACTACGGCAAGGGCTTGTAAGTATATGGGCACCTCCAGACGGATAATGAATCTATTCTTTATCGAATATAGAATTGGTTCGACTGAGGGGAGGAATTTTGAGCAGGCAGAGCTTACAGCTGGGAGAAAACGCCTGAGATTGAGTAAAATCTGTATACACAAAGGCACACAATATGCTTGAGAATCAGAAGTAGTCAAATATATGGTAACGTAGGCATGATTCGGAAAACTGGGATGAAAAAGCAATCATGTATGAGGAGATTCCTGCCTTTTATATAAGAAATAGACGGCAAAGAAACGATGTCTCCATGCACGGAGGACGGGGTTTTGAAAATTGAGACAATAATCGTGGGAGCAGTTATGCCAACGCTAAAGTGTGGGTTGAGATTGCATGACCAATTGGTACCAGTGGCGTTTGGTGATACAGTAAATAGAATAAACGATCTGCCGAGCATGTGGTTTATATCTGATTGTCCCTTGGTCTAACCTCGAGGAAAGTAATAGAAATGTATAAGGGCGGCCTTTTCATGCTTCTTTCGCTAGATTTTGGATAAATTTGGGACTATTTGTTGATAAACCATGACTGGAGCCTATTGAGCTTGATGGCACCACTTGAAAGCTGTCAGCTCTGGACCAACTACATGCTGTAACCCAAGCTAGACAGTAGTTTACATCCCTCTTTAATGCTTCAGATGTAAAATTAAAAGTTACGGGAAACAAAAATTAACGAGGTGAACAGGATAACCACTGGGTAAACCAACCATTTGGCTCTTCTCGGTGCTAATACTGGTCACCGATTAAGCTGCACGCTCTTTCGGGTAATGAATGTATAACCCACTTTGAGGCGTGAACATATATTCCGTCATATCCCTCGTGGCCTAATCAGAAACACTAAGTGCCAACCCCTGTAATAGTGTCACCAAGAGAACAAGGAAGCACACTCAACATCTACCAGAACCCGGAAACCCCCTGCCCTCTTCTTCTTAATCTGTTTTCTATACCGTAGGTCGATGTTCTTGGCGTAACTTTTATCTTTCAATAGAACCAAAGCTTACACTCACCGGTTTTGGCCTGAGTCTTGTCTACACCATCTTCATTTATCATTACATTTTGTTGCCCTAGCGGATCCTAGCTGAACTTCGAGTAGTTAGGTTGCGGCGATCTTGGATAGCTCCCAAACTGGTTCGGATACGGGGGGCGCGGAGCGTAGCCCGGTGACATCGGGGCATTAAAGCCACGGGCGCCCGGCGGGTACACGGGGGTCGGCGGAGGCATGTACCCACCACTTGGGTAGCCCATCGCGGGGATGTACCCGCCCGGAGGCATGCCAAAGGCAGCGCTATCATACGGCATTTGCATCATCGGCATCATTGGCATCATTGGCGCCCCTGACATGTAGTTACCCATTGACCTATCTGCCTTTGGAAGCACCGCTGTATACGGTTTGTCCACGGTGAAGTTCCACGTTGGCGGGGTCATATATGCTCGCTCAATGAACAGAGGCTTTCCGTCCTTCTGTGCCTTTTTGGCGACTTCAAACAAGTTGAAATCTTCCGCAATGTTCTTTCCCGGGTGTTCGGTGGGAACCCTCTTCCCGAAGAAGGAGGCAGGGGTGACGTTTCCGTAGCGTTTGTAACGGGTGCCCATCAGTACTGGCGACTTGAAGACAGCAGGCTGTGAGGGAGTGAAAGAGACCAGCGCAGGGTTGAGCTTGAAAGCAGGGGCCTTAGGGTCCATCTTGGTCTTGGTCTTGGCCAGAGACTTGGAAGAAATTGCGGACGTGGCAGCCGAAGTGATAGGAGCCGATGTGACAGGAACCGAGTCTTCGGACGCAGTAGAAGCCGCAGGCTTGTCAGTCTGCTTGCGGATAATCTCGTCTTGTTTGGCCTTGTCCTTGGCCAAGATCGGCAACAAGTCTTCTGGGAACTTCTGCGGGACCTTGAACGTGGCAGAGAACTCCTTGAGGGAGTTGATTTCCGACTGCACGTTCAAACGCGTGGATTCGCTCTGGAAGTGTTTGACTGACCTGGTGACGGGTTTAGCTGGAATGTCCACGGGCTTTGGCGTTTCCTTAGCTGGCTTGGCAGGGATATCAACTGGTTTCACAGGGATATCAACTGGTTTCACAGGGATATCAACAGGCTTGGCAGGGATGTCCAATGGCTTGGAAATCTCCTTAGCAGCTGGCTTCGCCGGGATGTCAGCCACCGGCTTGGCAACCCTAGCAGGATCAGCTACCGGTTTGGCAATCTTAGCAGGATCAGCCACCGGCTTGGTAATCTTAGCAGGATCAGCCACCGGTTTGATATTTTCCTTAGCGGGGCCAGCCACTGGTTTGGTCTCCGTCTCCATTGGTTTCTGTGGAACGGACGATGGACGATTTCCCGCAATCTTGAACCCAGGCAATGCCGAAGGGGTCCCCGCAGCCTTAAACTCAGACAAGCTCTTCCCAGAATTCCCGGAAGCCGGCTTTCCGGAAGACAAGATGATTGCTGGATCGTTGTGGATCTCGGCCGCCCGCTGCCTTGGTGGAACGTACTTGCCCGGAGCTCGTTCAGCCGGCGACGTACTCTTGGAAAACTTCAAGGCGGCCATTAATTCGTCACCGCGGCGGTCAACCCCAGAGTACTTATCCTCTTCATCCACCCCGCTGTCGTCCACGATCAAGCCTCTCTCCTCGGCCAAGTGGATGTTGCCATTGTAGCCCTGCCCTTCGATCTCCCTGGCCATCTGCTCAGCCTTTCTCAAGCGTTGGTGGTAATCCGGCGCATCCGTCTTGATCCGCGTGGTGTATAAATGCTCATCATAGGTGGATTCTACTCCAAACTTCTTTTCATTGACCGCAAACTGGTCCCATGTGCCAGTGCTGTCGTCCTCCAACGCCCAGTCCAAGGTGCCTTCGTCCGGTATCCATCTCTGGAGATCACGCTCCTTGAAGGTTTGTTTTCCAGATATGTCCGTGTCGGTTCTGAAGCCCCTGGTCTCTGGTGCAGTTTCTGGCGCAGGCACGGCTTCTGGTACAGACGCAGCCTCTGGCTTCGGAGCCAAGTCCACATCGAGCAACTCTACGTCGAGCAACTCACTGTTTGGGATGATCAACGTCTTTGGGAGATCCGCGTCCAAAGCTTCCTCGCCCGGAGCGGTTGCGTACAACTCAGGGTAGCTCAACACAACGTGCAAGTTTTCCTCGAGCGTTGCGGAAGTCAACACGCCGCGGTAGCGTGCACCAGAGGTGACGGTGACAATGGCCTCGGAGCCAAGCGACCGCGCGAGGAGAAATACGACACGGTCACCCATGAGCCGAGTAGCGATTTCATCCGCCGCGCCGCTAAGCGGCGCGGGGCGCAAGGTGCGCGAGTTAGTCCGGCGGTGCTCCTTCTTGCCGGCTCCGTTCCGCGTAGTGGTGGTCTTCATCCTGGTTACTGATAGGGGATGATTTTCTCAAGTCCTCGGTAGAGACGCACTCAGGAAACGGGGGTAGTTTTGAGGGAAGAAGTGGCGTTGATAAGCAAAAACGAGCCGAAAAGTCGCAATTCGCAACACGAGTTTGCGAAAAAGCTAGTCACGTGCAGGAGAAGATTAGGAGACGCGAACCGGGGGAAATTATTACTGGTTATTTATAGCTCTTACAGCACAACTTGGCTAGTCTAGTTTGTTTGTTTTTTATCGTTCTGATCGAAGGTATTTGAACTAACTGATGTTTACAATGATATTTGGAGGTGATAATTATGCTCACCAGTGTCAATTTGCAATTATAACGGGCTACGTTGGATTACAATTAATAGGTGCAGGGAAGTGCCTTATCAGTAAGGAGACGATGGTGGAAGTGTTAGTTTCGAATTGTGGAAATCAAGAGTTTAAAATGGCTATTGAGTTTAAGGGGTGGTATTTATGAAGCAATCATGTCTAGGAGAATAAAAGAAGTTTCACGGCATAGACGGGTTTATTTGATGGATTGCCCTTCAACTTTCATTACAGGTCTAGGTCAAAGATGAAGATGGCCTTTTTGCTACGTATTTAGTTTAATTTTAATGGCATAAATTTGAGGGTTTTTAACTCTCAAATAAGTAAAATATGCGAGATGGTGATTTAATGGGGATATTTAGGAGATTTCTGAATGGGTAATGGTACAACCCAGTTTTAATTAACGAAATTGTTTGAGTAGACCTAACCTTATTTTGACTCAAAGGTTCTAGGTACTTTTAAGTTATATTAAGATAGGTTTTAAAATGACGGTAAATAATAAGTTCTACCTAGCGTGTGATTTCACGATGCATTGGCGTATCGGTATATTCATCCTTGTGTCCACGGCCCTCTTCACGCCCGGAATCACAAAGACATGGCTAAAGGCATAGACTCTCCTCATAAACATACGGTTTATGCCATGTCAAGCAACTCGTTGACCAATTCCAAACGTCTGTCTAGTCCTTCCAAGCCGTTAACGTTTCGCTCAATCGACCCCACGTGCCGCACTAACTTGCTGACCAACGACACAAAGTCTTTGTCAAGTTCTAACAGGGCATCTGAAGGATCATGACTGTTTGTAACCAATCCAATCCTCGTGACACTGTCCGTTACTTCTGCAGCGGGAAGAGCTCCGTCGCTGAGAAAGCGGTGCTCACCAAGCTTGTCATTCATTTCCTGCATACTCTTCTTCATCAGTTTGCTGAGCAGGTTGAAGTAGTCCTCGTCGCTCCTCAAGGCTAGGGTTTCCGCAAGAAGTTCCTTTTCAAGCAGAGCCACCTGCCGCAAGTCCGCCGAGTACACAGTGCTCAACTGGTGATTCTTTCTGGTGGCTAGATCCAAATCCAAGTACTGCCGAATAGAGGCGTACGATGATCCTACGCCGTTCGAGCTGATTGGTGGTAGGTTGGTATAAGCTAACTCAGCCTGGAGCTTGGTTACAGTTTCTCGGATAAACTTGTTGGCTGTCAAAAGCTTTTTCTTCGGAGTTTTTACAGCATTGGCATTGGTTTGAACTAGCGCTGGGTCCATATACATCTCAAGGGCGCGGTTGATATGGGCTAAGGCATGTTGCGATAGCGGGGTCCATAGGTTCTGTGTGATCTTTCCTGAAACTTTCTTCCTATACGATCTGAGCGTGATATCTGGTTTGGTTGTAGGTGCTCCCATGATTTTCCGTTTCTTTGGATTTCGGTTCTGGGGAGGGGATATTGCTTGTGTTTCGGGTTCGGGGGTTACAGACGCGATGGGTGGTACGATACTTGGTTCACCTATCGTCAGCGATTCCGTTTTCGTGGTGGTAACATTCTCGAGCATAGTCAGTGCTACTTCATCGGTCATTATTTATGTGTCGTATGTTGGTAAATTTCTAGTATGTCTGAGAATGGGACTATAAGCATTTATTTAAGAAAACGTAAACAAAGAGATTGTTATGACCTGTACAGTAAGTCAGAGGTCTGTACGGGATCGGAATTCTGTCTAATAGCACATGAGATCTATACCAACTCCGGCTGGTCGATAACGGTTACAAGATATTCCATTGTCTCAATGACTGTTTTACAGGAAATATCATAATATACATGTGAACGTGTCTGATTTCAAGCATATTTAAAACAAGATAAGCTGGGATGGAAGGGGGGAAATGGCAATTAGAAAGCTCATACCGGATAAACGAAAATAAAACTAGAATATAAATACAGAATCACAAGACAACGGCCCTTCGGATGAAGACGAACTTGATCAAGTTAATGGCAAAGTCGCAAAAGGGGATCTTTTGAAAGTCAATGGTGCAATCGTGTTGTTCGAGTTTAGAACGCTTAATCCTGGTTACGACGGGCAACCTTCTTGGCGTGACGCTTCTGGGTACCGAAGATCTTCTTGTCACGGTTCTTCTTCTGCTTTCTCTGCTGTCTAGAGGACTTTTCAACCTTGTCAGCCAAACCGTATCTAACCAATCTGTAAGCTGGCTCGAACTTCTTGGCGTCAGCGACAGAGGAGTAGATCAAACCGAACCCAGTAGACTTACCACCACCGTATTGGGTTCTGAAACCAAAGACGGAGACAGCGTCCTTTTCAGCCTTGTAAATTTCAGCCAACTTTTCTCTCAACTCATCCTTAGAGACGTTAGCTCTGTTTGGGTGCAAGACATCGATAACGAATTGTCTTCTGGCCAACAATGGGTTGGAGATAACCTTTCTGGTTCTGATGGTAATAGCGTCAGACTAGAGAGCATGTTAATAAGGGTACTTGATATACAGTTCCATGTTACACAGAGTGCCCGGGAGGTTGGTGCAGAGGGGTTCGCTTTGGGCAGCGCTTGCCACACCATGGTGTGGCCATTCAATGTGCGCTCCTGGGACTGATGATAATGGTCATTAACCTTTCCTTTCTCAAGCGATATTAGCCAGTCTCGATGCATAGTTCCTGATAAAACGACTCTTCACCCTTGGAATCCCGGTGATAGCTCTGTGGAAAATTGAATAAACATGGACGGTGAGCATTTATCCACACATACCATTTTCAGTGTTGTTAATGTGAAGTAATACTAAGGTTTGAAACTATCAAATGTTCTATATATTTCACCTACTCTTTGCTCTTCAACACCCATACTATCATACTGCGCGGCGAGCGGAGCGCCTGTTGGAAGAGTCCATAGTGTGCTAGAATCGAATACAGTGAGGTGTTCGCGACCCCGTACAAAATCGCCATAGTGAAGGGAATGCGATTTTCCAAAATTTCTGAAAATTTTCGTGCGTTTACGCACACCATGCAGGAGCTTTTTCTGCTTACCTCAGCACCTCGCAACTGCTTATATAATATTGCCCATTCTAGGCAGTATTTTCAGGCTAAGGTGAAGCATTTCGCGCGTGGTGGAAAAACCGGTATTATCAATTTTCGCAGCGAAGCAGCAGTAGTGCGGGTATTATGCGGGTAAATACAATACTGGCTCAGAAGTTATAGGTCTTATTGCCAATTTCAGAAAAACCAGTCACAAAAATTCTAGGAGAACAGACGTCATAGGTTTCGCCTTGAGTAGCCAGAGGCTATTGATAACTGATTAAATGAGCTGGCCGGCTTCTGGGCTTCGAGATATTTGGCCCTAGATTTAATTTAGCTGGATTTTATCTACTCTTATAAAGTAGTTTTTGTGAATCCCGTATAGATGCGAGATGTAGTGTAGTGCAACACAGCGAGAAAGACAGCCTACCTCATATTTGGCATCTGCGTCAGTACAGTGTGAAAGTGCCGGTTGTAGCTGATAAATTACCAACAAGGGTTGAATACAATAAGTTGTATCTAATTTATTAATAGGAAACGCACTAGTTATGGTCATGGGCTTTGATGCTAACCTTACACCCTGCTATATAGAATACGGCATGGTAATACGCCGTTATATTAGGTACAACCAGTTAGGAGTAAATTGATACTGAAATTATTCCTCGCCAATCTAACTGACTTCTGTTTATATCCCAAAAGGTGACTTTAGTTTTATTCTTATGGGTAAGCACGAGGTCTAGATACGAAGAGATAGCACCCTTAAATTTTTGTGCGTCATGCACGAATCCCTGACAGGTTTTCCTCGTAAAGGAGGCTCTATGCTTCATCTGTGGACTACAGACATAATCCAGCTAATGGGGAACTGGACGCAAACCTATCAGCAGTTCTATGGGCTAGAAATCCAAGGACCAAGGTACATAGAGTATGCGTCACAACTTGCCAAAGCTGGAAACAGGAAGTCTATGGTTAAGAGGACGTATTGCTCAGAAGTAATGCAATCCTACATCAAAGAGCAAGATCCTTATTTCGTGCTTGACACCTAAAAGAGTCCTCTCTACTCAAGCTTGAATTTCATAATGATAGAATAGTTTTAGATATGTAAAGCTTTAGTTTTGTAATACGTCACAGACGGGTATACCTAAGCAGACTTTGGAGAAATCTTAATTCTAACAGCCTTGACCTGAGTGTAGTTGTCGAGAGCCTCAGTACCCATTTCCCTACCGAACCC